GAAAGGACTGAAAAAGAAAGCTGTGATGGATGTTAGAAGATGGATTGAAAGAGGGATTTTCTTTCAACAGAGCACCCAATTCTCTAATCCCGGAGAATATAAAACGATTGGTATATCAGACAAGTCGACGGAAAGGATAGTTACAGACTCAGGTACGATCAAAAATAATAGGCAAATTATTCGAAAAACCATGAAAGATCTCCCGAAGAGATGCAGAAAATGTAAAGAATTGTAGGAGGACAATTTGAAAATCTTCGCTGAGGAATATCAATGTACAGACAATTTTTTTTCGAGAATTTCGAGAATTATTTTGTAGTTTTTGCAAAAATCAAGTCCGGTCTTGGATTTTTTCATTGAAAAAAACTATTCTCAACAGTATACAAAAACAAAAGTTTTCAAAACTTCAAGTGAAATGTAGAGAGTAATGTGCTCGGACGAAATCAAAAAAACATTTCTTTCATGTTCTGGTTCCCACGAAAAGGGATATCCTGTAATGTTAAGAGAACATCGTGAGAACCTATGGAAATATGGTAGGAATTGATGTTCTTCTTAAATTTCTGGAAGTTATGTGCCTCGTAGAACACCTCCCTTGGCAATGTGTTCCAGAGCCTCGCTGTTCGTTGGATGAACGAGTCTTTGGAAAGAGATGTTCTGCAGGTCTCCAAAGTGACCACGAAGGGGTGCGCAGCCTCAACTCGACACGTTAACCTCGCGGGGACCGCCAAGGGAGGAACAATATCGTTGATATCTCAGAAGAGCATCGTCCATGAGAATATCTATAAAATAGAGCCAGATCTCCAACTTTTCTACGGTGTCCCAGAGAAGTGAGTGAGTTTGTGAGCGAGACATCACCCACGAGACGAATTGTCCTTTTTTGGACAGAATCCAACAGTTTCAGGGTATGTTTGGGTGCTGCACTGGGAACAGTATTCCAGGACAGGTCGAATCTGTGCCTTATAGATCATAAGCAGCTGACTGGAAGTGAAATAGTTCCTGACTGTTTGAAAATGTTTTAAGAAATCGGTCGAAGTGTGCCGTACAAATTGAAAAGCTGCAGTTGTATTGTTTTTCCTGATCTTTCTGATTCTGATGAGTTTTCGAAAAATACGATCCAGAAAGTCAAAATTATGACATAAAAAACTGAATTTCCCGAGAACAGCTCTGGATATATTTTTCATAGTAGACCATCTTATGAATCTCGTTGATAGAACGTGATGAAACAGGGTTCAGAGTTCTCAATGTTGTATTGTGCCTTTATGGTTCTCAAGTACGTCTGGAATGAGCCCAGAATTGAGGTACATGATAATCTGAATTCGTATTTATTTTATTGTACCTAGATCACAGCACAGGTGACCGCTTACCACACTAGTGCCCCCCCACGGGCATCCATGAGGAAGAAACGCATTATCCAGACTCATGACTGACATATGGCCATAATCCAAATTCAACTGACACTACTGAGGCTATATTCCGAATTCAACTGGTCAGTACTGTCAGTAGATCCACTGACTCTGCTGAAAATCTGTGTTCCGAAATATAAAATCAAAAATACAGTGCTGTAATTCGGGACACGTTTTCATGGTTTTCATCAGTAGTCAGCAGCAGTTGATCAGCTGGTGAAATTTGTCAGTCTGTATTTTCTCGTTTATATGGACTAGATATTTGATATTTAACATGGAAGAGCACTCGATTCTTGTAGCCTCCATAGTTTCTACGATTATTGACGAGGCTCGAGGATAAAGAATACTTTGGACATTTTGTTGCCATTGATTTCTCATGATGCACCAGATTGAGAATTGAAAGATTTATAGAAAACGTAATGATGATGAATTTAGGAGACATTTCAGGTTTATTTAGTTATTTATTCAGCCAATGCTGCTTCTTCTTTTGTTACCTCTACTACTTCATACTCAATATCATTCTCAGCGCTTATTATTTCAATAACAGGTATTTTCTGATATTGAGAATGATATTATCAACAACGGAAATGAATGTTACATTCCTTTCCCCTCTAAAATAAAGACAGTTCACTGAAGCACACTACCTTCTGATACTCAGCAATTTCAGCAGAATGTTGAGTCCAAATATTTGGAATGAATAGTATGTCTGGTCACAAGCATCTGTCACTTTCAGTGAATTTTTTGATTTCGGAATGAAAAATCAGCAGATTCAGTACTGTCAGTTGAATTCGGAATATAGCCTGAATCTGCTGATTTTTCATTCCGAAATCTAAAAAAAAATCACTGAAAGTGGCAGATATCTGCAGTATAAACTTGTGAGCAGAAATATTATATTCATCTCAAATGTTTCGATTCAACATTCCACTGAAATTGCTGACTATCTATCAAAAGATAGTGTGGCTTCAGTGAAGTGTCATTATTTCAGAGGGGAAAGAAATGCCCTTGTTTCTTAACATTTGGTCTTGTCTTATCAATGAATTAATTATAGCATATTAAATAATATCAGGAAATGCCTGTTATCGAAATAATTGTTCTTAGAATAATATTCAACTGATCAACTGCTGCTGATTACTGATGAAAACCACGAAAACGTGTTCCGAATTACAACACTGTATATTTGATTTTATATTTCGGAACACGAATTTTCAGCAGAGTCAGTGGATTAACTGACAGTACTGACTAATGTCCCTGTATGTATTCGACAGCAAAACCGTCAAATACATACAGGGACTAGTACTGACTAGTTGAATTCGGAATATTGCCTCAACTCTCAGTCCCTGCATCTTTCAACATTATGTTGTTCTGATCTTTCATCAACGTTATCCGCCGTACCACGCTATCATCATTATTATATTCAGTATTATATATTTTCACGATGTCCTCACAAGGGTGATAGGTTTTACCCTTTCGTGGACACCTGGGGTTTATTGATTCGCGATTATCCAATATGGATCGAGATTGTCCATTATGGATCTGCACATGCCTAGAATACTAAGGTATCCAAATTGGAGATAGATGTTGGTTCAATGTAACTATATATACATATAGTGGAGAATAATTATTGATTCAAGATAAACCGATTACCAGCGGCGTCTTCATAAAATATGTTATTTTCTAAGGATCTATCTGAATCCTAGAAATACTGTCCGGAATTCATTTTGATTGATCCACTCGCTGAATACCATTGAAATATAAATATGTTACGGAATATTTTTGCATATATTCCAATTTGATACTCTTCAGTAGTGGAAAATAATTCTTAGAATTTAGAAGAATATGTTCACTTCTCAATGAATTTTCTGAAGCAGTGTTGCTTGATACCCTGGTTACGGCTCTGTTCATAACCATCAGAAGATGGTATCCAAATATCTCATTGGCACACTGATACATTTTTTCTTATGTTCGAGAACATCTTCAAAATTAACGAATCATTTGGCGTTTCTCGCGAGTATAAGTGAATATACTTTCTCTTGAGAGGTCGAGGTTTTTCAGGTTCTCTCATTTTTATTGAGGTGACTATAGAATTGATGGCAACAAAAATGTCGTATGTAGATCATCTGACACATTAGACGTTCCTGGTGAATGCTGGTGAACTAGACATCGGATCACTTTGAAAATTTGATGAAGATCATAATCAGACATTGACATTCCCTACTAAAATATTTTCGACAATGCGGTGTTGCCACTTCTATTAGAAAGTAGTAGCAACTTTGATATTTCAAATGGAAAACCCTGTATTCCATTGCATTTTAAGAGTATCCCTGATGAGCTGATTCCACCACCCTGTATTTGTTCCAATTAAATGGCATTAGATAATAAATCAAAAGTTAAGATAGGTTCATGAAAGCCTTTTTGACCGATGATAAATACTTTCAACATAAAAAATAATCATTCCCGCTAGACCCAAAATATGCATGATGCATTGATGAAATCAACTCTTCAGGGATAATCTGAAAATGCATTGCATTTGAAATATCATAATTGCTACTACTTTTTAATAGAAGTGTCAACACCGCATTGTCGAAAATACTGTACTTGAGTAGAAAATGTCCGAATATGCTCTCCATCAAATCTTCAAAATGAGCCGATGTCTGGTTCACCAGAAACCTCTATAATGATGTTTCATCCATCGTGAATCAGCCTATATTAATCTGGGATAAGAGGACAGAGTAAACACTCAACTGAACTTGATAAGTACTACAAAACCTCATTTCAAATATTTTATATTTTGTCAACGACTATTTTCTCCGTTTTCAGCTATGGCCGAGTGAGTCTCGACTCTCGAGTGAGTATATAGTGAGTGTATAGATGTGTATAGATTCTTTATAATCGAAATATCCCACCCTACTACTGCGAAGAAAAGTATAAATTCGACGCTGCTCAAAGTGGAAGTAACTGTTACACAACAAGAATGGTGGAAGAACTCGTCAGGAATGAGACAGGCAAAAGAGTTTATCAAAAAACTATCGCCAACATTCACAGAATATCTACTGAGCCAGAAACGAAGTACAACTAGAATACTAGTGGGACTTCTCACAGGGCATTGTAGGCTCAACAAACACATGAGTACGATAATTCTGACTGAAGAACTGCTGTGCAGGATCTGTCAGGAAGAGGAGGAAACAGCAGTACACATACTTTACCATACTGTGAGGGCTTGTCAAGACTAAGGTTCCTCACTCTTGTTGAGGAGAAACAAATAGCCCAAAGTTACACAGGGGATCTGAAAGCTAGCCTATGGCACAGTTAAAAGAATACAAAACTGTGCCTATGGAGTATCATAGAGAAGGCGGAGCCAAACGATTTTGAGGATTCAGTAATCTTTGACAATAGATCTGACAATAGATCTGATAAGGTCGCGATGTGAAGGCAGATAGCCCTAAGGCCCCACTCTAAAACTCTCTCTCTCTTTCTCTACAAAACAAAGTTTTCAAAAAAAAACTATTTCGTAGATAAAAAAGTTTAATGAACACTAAAGACACCATCACAAATGATAACTAAATAGTTTCAACATGAAAAGATAATTACGTTGAACTTGATTCACAGTTTATATTGTTTATAGTCGTTGAAGGAATTAAGATATGCCTGCTCCACTGTTGTGGGTCCATCTGAAACAAAATGAAAGAAGAGTCAGCATAATATGGATTTTCAACTGTTTAGCTTTCCATGATGTAGAAATTGTATCTTTTTGTAAGAAGGGTAGTAATTTCGCCTGGTCACTAGGTACGTTCATTATGATTCTTATATGACTGCTTAAAGATTCTGATCTGATTGGTTACTGCCCTTGAGAAGTGGCAAATGTTAATTTGACGTCATATCCACTTTGATGATTAGTTCAGCCGCTAGGCAGTATCTATTTCAGATTCCATATCATCAATATATTTTATTCTTTCACAAAGTCACTTACTGAATGGTATCCATGTTGCTTGGCTAGCATCAGCTTCTCTCCTAGCTGAATCCAAAGCTTGCCTTATAGCCAATGGTACAGTAACTGACAGACACAACGGTGGTTCAGCAGCAGCTAAAAATGATATCATAAAAAATAAATGTTTATTCAAAGATTATAATTAATATCATACATTAGATATTTTCATGAATTCTAAATGTTGCTTCATAGATAGCACCAGATAGTTTATAAACATTTCGAACACATTTTGACAACCTGTAGGACGTACGATTAAGTAACCTACTATACAATAATGAATATATTTTGTACATGGTTTTCACTATTTTCCGTACCCCTAAAACTAGTGTCTAATTGAATGATCTAAGTACCTTTTCTAAGTTAGCCTCAAAAATTAGAGAGAGAAAGAAAAAATACTTTATTATCATAAGAAATCAAATCCTTTTCGACAAAGTTTGCTCATGTTTAAAAAATATCAAGTTACCTATTTCTTATACATAAGTATTAGCCGTTGATTAGGAAAAATATTCGATGTACCTATACTATACTAGAATACTTTATGTCAATTTCATACTAGTTAATACGTAAAATAAATGTAAAAAATAAAAACAAACCGCAATACATATTAAATACACAAAGCAACAACAAACAGAATATGTATATAAAAACAGATAACAAGTAAATAGCATATCATAAAAGTGTTAGAATTAAATTTGTGTCAGATTAAATTTTCTGTAAATCATAATAAGCTTTATGTATAACAGCAAGTTTTTCACAGATTTTCTAAACATGTTCAAATTGGTAGTGTTTTTGATATAACTAGGTAGATGATGGTACATCTTGCAGCTGTTGTAAATAACAGAATCTTTTTTCAGTCATGATTCAGGAAGTGGCAGACTTACGTTCATACCTTGTCGAGTGACATAATGTGAAGGAAGTTTGTTGAACGTGTTCAGATGCGTTCCCATATCAAACAAACGGTTTCTAGTATAAAAATTGCTATTATCGTGAGTATTCTATTTTCAATGAATAAAGGCTTAAATTTTTTCATCTCCTGGAGTGCACGAAAGGAAATCACGAATTTTAGCTTTGCACATGAATCTCAGCACTCTTTTTTGAAGAACTAGAATACTGGTCATGCAGTTAACATTATATGCACCCCAGAATAGGATGCCATACCTAAGATGAGAATCAATTAGGGAATACTAAACGATTCTAGCCGCAACTAATCCCAACTGATTTGAGACAAACTTGACTGCAAAACACACAGAAGATATTTCTTATTCAAGACCAGAATTTGTTCCTCGAATCTCAACCTGGTATCAATAAACAATTTTAGGAATTTTGTGTTGGATTTATTTCCAATTATATTTGACCCAAGAGGTATGTCCTCAAGTGAGCATCGGAAGGTATATAAGTTTGTTTTTGAAATATTGAGAACAAGTCGATTAGAGTCACACCAAATTTTAATACTGTCCCAGACAGCACTGGATATTCCTAGAATATTCTCTAAATATGCTAAAAGAGAAGAATATATTCCGAATATCCTTCGAATATTCTTAGAATATATACGTGCCTCTGAAACATTCAAGGAATATTCAAATGTGAATATTCTAGTAATATTCCAAAATGAATATACGAAGAATATTCCAGAAGGAATATTCTAAAGTGAATATTCCTAGAATATTCCAGTTGGTTAGTGCAGGGAATATTCAGGTATGAATATTTCAGGAATATTCCCAACTGAATATTCTGTTCCTGTATATTCATGGAATATTCCAATAATATTCCCATGTGTTTCAATGAAATGGTAAAGTATGGAGATTAAGCAATCACTATTTTATAGATGTGAGTCATTGATTTTGAAATCTGTGGTAGAAGTCCATCGTATTTCAAAGTAAAGTGGTTATATTACCAGGGATCAAAAACACAAAGTCGTCTCCACAATTTTGATAGGTAGTGATCAAAGTACTCAAAGATCATCGTACATCTTGAGAGCCCATATGGAACTGGAAGTGTTTATGATCCGCTACTGAACAACGCAATTCAATGAATTGTTATGTACAATATTATTCAAATCACTGGCCTAGTGGTTAAGGCGTGACAGTCTGAAAGTTCCGAGTTCGAGCCCATCTTGGGTCCTTTTTTTTAATTATGAATATGTATTGAGGAATATTCCCGGAATATTAATTTATTTATATTCCTGTAGTATTCCTGGAATATTCCGAATATTATCTGAATATTCCTAGAATATTATAGGTACATTCTGAATATATAGGGAATATTCCTTGTGTAATATTCCGGGAATATAACAAAATTTCCCCACCAGCACATTCAGGGAATATTCCATTGATGATATGTATATCCCTGGCATGTTCATGAATATTCACAATATCCGAAAAGAATATTATATGAATATTCATGGAATATCTGGTGCTGTTATATCATTGTATATCGCCATTTTGAGTTCACTGCTGTTCTTGGCACACCAAACGATCGTGATATCATCTGCGAATAGTGTAAACTTCCCAGATACTTTGATAAACTCTACTCTTAAGGAATATTAGGATCGTGACAAGATTTCAGAATAAACTATATTCATTGTTGGGAATTCGATATTCATTTTGATACCTTTTGATTTGAGTACTCCAAGAGTGGGTTCATGACTTTCATTAGCAAATTTGATTCTGAAATTTAGAGGTATATCTTTCGCTCCAGGCGGTTTGTATGTCCATGTACGGTCCGTTAGGAGTTTTCCATCCGGATCGTGAATTATTTGTTCCATCGTAAAGTAACCCAATCCTAAAAATAAACAATGAAAATTTCACTACCACTTAGCTTTTTTTACATGACTTGTATAAATAATATGTATTTTAATGCCAATTGATTGATTGATTGATTGATTGATTGATTGATTGATATGATCTGTTATAATTAACACGAATTCACTGTTCTGATGCGATTCGAAAGAATGACTGTCGAATCTAGTAGGTATTTATCAATAACGACTTGTCATATGGTGTCATGGTCATGTCATACTTGATTTCGATCAGAATTGAGAAGAAGTGATTTCATATTGACAATATACAGTCTGTCCAAGATAAGGTTGAACAGCATGGGGATCTCGGAAACGGTAGGAGATACGAAGTCGCTTAAATAGGGAAAAAGTTGCGCATTCGGAGGCTCATATCAAGAGCCTTCGAAAATGTTGAAAATTATTTTTAGTTTTTGAGCTATATCGAAAAAAGTGAATTTTTGGAATTTCTATTTTATTTTTTTTTCTCTGTTATTATCAGAGATACAGAAAAACTGAAAATACTTTTTCATTGCAACTTTTGATGAGGTTTAACGTGGTGATACCGATTTTTTTATGCGACGTTTCGTATTCGTGGAACCATCATCAATTTTTGTTTTTTAAATACGGTCCTGATAATTTTTTCACAGATTCTGAAAGGTTTTTTATTCTGAATTCAACAATGTACTATACAAGGTGATTCTAATGTGTTTCGACCTATTTCTATCCATCATCAATGTTTTTTCGAACTTCCAAAAGAAAAAAGCCATCAGTTCCACTTATTTCTTATCATTCAGTGTCAAACTTGATGGATTAGTTATTCAATACTGAAAAGTGAATAAAAAATATTTCACTACATCATTCGATCAATGCAGCGTTTAAAATTGTTGATGAATTCTTACACGAATTACTTTAACAACTTAACTTTGACAATACCTACAGAGACATTCATAACAAATGTTCAAAATGATAACCATTATTTTCTGAACAAAGATATCCTCTTCTCACAGTTGTTTCTAAGACATTGCTAAGCATTTTTGGGGTTATTCTATTGAATGCTTCGAAGACACTGTCCCTTAGTTCTTCTTCATCCTCAAAGTTATTTGCGTGTACAAAGTTCGATATATCCCCTAAGAAAAAATCCAGCTGTGTTAAATCAGGCGACCGCGCCGGCCAAGGGATAAAAACGCACGGACTTCTCTGGAATTATGTACCGGAGCGCCATCTTGTTGAAACCAACAGAGTTCTGAACTTCGGCAATCGGTAAATCATCCAAAGCTTCCTCAAGATGATTCTCAAGCGAATTTCTATAAGGTTCGGAAGTCTGTGTTTCATGGTAAATAGAAGGAACAATAATTCGTGTACCAAATATTGCAACCCACATATTGAAGCCGAAACGGTGTTGGTGTCTCGCTGTAATGTATAAATGTTCATTTTCTCGTGAACAATAATGTGTATTTTTTCTATCGAAGCTACCATGATTAGTGACCATGCTTTCATCAGTGCAGATGATTGTTCGAAAGAAATCTGCAAAATTTTAACATTTCCTGGTATACCACTCACAGGATGTCTTGCGCCTTTCGTCATCTCCTGGTTTTAGCGCTTGACATATTCTGAATTTGTATGGACGGAATTTTTGTTTCCGCAAAATGAAATGGGTTGTTGATTGAAACCAGTTGATGAGGTATTAGTGTGTTGACTAATTTTCCTTCAAAATAAGTGGAACTGATGGCATTTTTCCTTTGGAGTTTCGAAAAAACATTGATGATGGATGGAAATAGGTCGAAACACAAATGAACCATCTTGTATAATACATGGTTGGATTCAGAATAAAAAAACCTTTTAGAATCTGTGAAAAAATTATCAGGACCGTATTTGAAAAACAAAAGTTGATGATGGTTCCACGGATACGAAACGTCGCATGAAAAAAATCGGTATCACCACGTTGACCGTCATCAAAAGTTGCTATAAAAAAGTATTCTCAGTTTTGCTGTATCTCTAATAATAACGGAGAAAAAAAATAAAATAGAAATTCCAAAAATTCACTTTTTTCGATATAACTCAAAAACTAAAGATAATTTTCAAAATTTTCGAAGGCTCTTGATATGAGCCTCCAAATGCGCAACTTTTTCCCCATTCAACCGATTTCGTATCTCTTACCGTTTTCGAGATCCCCATGCTGTTCAACCTTATCTTGGACAGACTGTATAGGTCTACATTTCAGTTTTCCAGAGCTATAATGATTGAAATATATCGCTAGTGGTGAAAAAACATCAATATACAGCTTGGTAGTAGAGAGCATTATTACCACGGAACCTGCTTATACCCCTGGGCTGAAGCCTATAAATAACTATTATTTGTAGATAGTATAACTTCCCTGACGACATTTTAGCAAAATTGTACAAACCTCCAATATATCTCAATGTTCATTCGTAGTTGAATCTAGAATCATCTAACATATCAGGTTCATTTCATATTGACTATATCAGAATGGAACCAATTCAAATCTCAACAGTGGCATATTTAGGCAGACAATATGGGAAAGGTGGGGACCACGTATAAAGTTTTGCTCCCTCTTGGAACAGAAACAGTGAAATGCAAAACGAATTTTTATCGCAAACGTATCTTTGATAGTAGCAAAACGAGAACATCCATCCGGATGTGAAAGAACCATTGCCGCTAAGCAAGAATGTAGCACAAACTTCATGAATAAAAAAGAAAACGTATAGGTGACAAATTAAATCATTTCACCAAAAAGCTTCGATGATGTATTTATATCTTTGATTCACTGGACAACTCACAGTTGATTTGTTGTATCTTGTATAAACAGTTTGCATTCTCCTTCAGATGTACCCATATGCCACATACCATCATTCTGAATATTGAACAGAAAACAACTACTTTCCTGGCTATTTGCCATAATATGTCTCACATGGCAGCAAATGTAGATGTAGAACAATAACTATTTTCATAAATCTTGAAGAGGTGGATACGAAAGAAAAACTTAATTTTTTACAAGATACAACATCCATCAAACTGAACCAAACTCCGTTGTCCAGTGACTATGGGACAGGCAAAGACATCGGAAGAGTATGTTCATCAAGACGGTGTCGATTGAATCAAATCCCAGTGTCTTGTACCGTAAAAGAGAATTCGGAGAAATTGATTAATTTAACCATTCGAATTTATTCATCTCACCCATAACGAAAGCTCCTTCTATTTGGCCAATATCTACGTATGGATTCATACTTTCCCCTACATCTTCTAGTATATCTACCCTTGAAATTTGTCGCAATCCAGTTAAGATATCCACTTCCACTTCAGCTACACCAACTCCCATAATTTTGTAATCCTCAACAGCTGGAGATTTTGGGTTACAACTAAAATTTATTGTATTTCATAACGGTCTGTAGGTATTTAAATGAGCAGAATGAATACTCACAATCCAGTTGCGTACAGCTGTATATTTTCAGCATAACACTGATTGACCAAGTCTACCCAAGTTGGATTTGTCATCTTTTCCTTGACTGGTTTCATTCTTTCTATAAGCGTTTCGCAGGCTTTCACAGCAGCCTGAAATGTTCGAAAATGCATTGGAGATACAAAACAAGAGGTGATCGTTGTGATGTTATGGAAGTAGATTTTAAACCTAGTAGAAATCACAAAATTCGGTCCACAACATTCTTGAATTTTCGGCTCGAATTGCGGCTCTATTAGTAAATTTTAGGAATAACTGACACACCTCAACAAGTTCAATGATATAATAAACTAGAATGTACTCGCAAATCAACATGACAACAATGTTTTTCGCAATACTTGGCTTCAAACACAAATTTTATTTCGACCTACTCTGGTATTCCTTTGGAATCTTAGGGACCCCCCCTATCTTTATATCAGTGCTGCATTACTGATATTCCATAACGATCATTTCTTCTGAAATTTTTGAAGTAACGTTTCTGAAGATACGGAAGATACCAGAGTGGTACCTGTAAAAAGAATTATATATTTATGGGTATGATTGATGATGTTCTCCAACGTTGAATATTCTCTCGCGCCTGCACGTGTCCCCTTCTCTTTGTTATACAGGGTGATTCAAAATTCGATGTAAATATTCATAGGACATGTTTTTGGGATCAAAATAAGACTTTTTCTTCATATAAATATGTGTCCTTATATATTCATCCCCTCCAAGCTACAGCCACTGTGAGTTATAGGTAAAGAAAAAAGATATTCTGGAATCGTGACTTAAATAACGGATCAAATCTTCTAAAAAATTGGTAAGCCCCTGTTCTTTTAGACACTTTTTCATTTCATTCTTTCTTCAGCAATTATGTAAACCCAGGTTCAGTGGGCGAGGAGTTTGTTGGCCGAAATGAGGTTCATTTCATATGTTTATATGAAGAAAAAGTATTATTTTGTTCACATCATTGCGTCCTTGAAATATGTACATCGAATTTCAAATCACCCTATATATGAACTATCAAAAACTCAACAAGCGTATCATATTGGATGGAGCATACCGCGTACATACATTAGGGCTGGAGCATACTGGGTGCTCTGTCAAATGATTACTATAGTTACAATTCATGATATAGATCTCATTTCACAGATCTGGAAATAATTTGCCGGTAGGATTTTCAATGCCTTTTGCAATGAGATATTGTAGTTAGTCGTTCAGCATGAAATATAGCAGATATATACGATGGATAATCAAGTATTCAACTGGACTACTGTTCCTCCACCTTGCAGCACAACCTTCAGACTGTTTGCCATATCCTCATTCAATTCTAATTATTTCTGAGCCTGCTGAGAGTGAAGACAGCGCGTGGCTACGAAGTGTGAAAAAATCAATGTAGAGTAGCCGAATTTCTGATTATGTATCGTGGATGTTACATCTCGTGCTATAGTCGACTGGCTTTAAAATTCTTCGAACCGATATTTTTATTCCAGATCTGATAGTCACACCATGGAAACCCTAATGATCCTCAAAAAGTGTATTTTTATGCTCTATTCAATTTCATTGAACTCCAATTCGACGGAATCTCCGAACGATCTGCTCTGGAATGCCTATTTTACTCTTGAAATTCTCACTTATGGTTCATCGAAAATGCTTACTGATGTGACAAATTTCCAAGTATACAAATTTCCCTGTAACAATTATTTTTCATTACTCTTTCAACTTACATAACAAACAGCTTCTGTAGTAAAACTTCCTCCAGTAGTACTGGAATTAGGAGTGATAAAATTGTTACTTTGTTTTATTGTAACCATCCCCATACCAATTCCAAATTTGTGGGCACACATTTGTGCCACCTAGAACAAATAAATAGATTTCAGTCAAGCGATATCGCTGATATTTATAAATTCATGTCGGTGATGAAAAAGTAGACTCTGAGTCAGTCGCTGAAACATATTGGAAAGCAATATGATATTTGTAGTTTCTGAGCAAAATTGGAGATTTACGCACTATACAGTGCATAAAATCATCAGTGAAGAACATACAATATATTTGGGAATCCTAATAGATGCACAATGCACATCAATTGCAATGGGATCACCAAATGACTTTTCTAGTGAAAAAGTTGAAGTTGCTCTTATATCAATCTAGTTTTTTCAAACAATTTCTTGATGAATAATATAAAACACCTGAAGACAATGTACCATACTGTCGTACAAACACATCTGCGAGTAATGGTATCATTGCATGGTGAGGTACATCAAAAACATGTATGAAAAGTCTCGAAATAATCCAACGGTGGGTTCGGAAAACAATATTCAACAAAAATCGCGAGTATCCAGGAAATGATTTGTATAACGAAAGCGAAATGACCTAAGAAAATTATACTGCGTAGCGTTATTGTTATACAGAGTGGCCCTTTGAAAACGAAACAGAGGCTCTGTAGGTCGCCCTAACGCTTCTAACGAAAAGAAGCAACAACTTTGTTATTTCAAATGGAACACCTTGTATTTTATTGCATTTTTAGATTCTCCCCGAGAAGCTGATTACATCGATGCATCACACTTGGGGTCTTGCTGTAATGGTTTCAGGGATATAAAGGGTTGAAAATCGAGATTTTTCAACTCTAGCATTTTTTTGTGTCGAAACTATTCATTATTGGTCAACACGGCTTTCATGTCCCTATCTCAACTTGTGATTTACTATCTACTGACATTTATTTGAAACAAATACAGGCTGGTTCAAGATTCAGAATTCTGATATGTACCTGATATCAACCCTTTCAAGTTAATTTGGTACACCGTATTTTAATGTAGATATTGTGGTTTATGGAACCTGTCCACAGGTAACTAATCCTTCAGGCTGGGAAAGTAGGATATATAAGCAAGCCAATGTTGATTGATTGATCATCAGCTACTGCATGTATTACGCTATGCAAGACTCGAGAACATAATATATAACCGCCATCGCATATCGACATAAATAGATATTTTGAATTGACTCGGCCGTACCAGTATATCACCTGACGAAGCTATACTGTTTTAGCGAAACATGTCGTGTGTTTGAGAATTTTGTGGAAATCTCATCGTTTGTGAAGTGTTTGCACTTTTTTTATGTTTATTTTTCAATGTCGATTACTTACTTTCTATTTATCAAATCCTATTCAGAATGTAAATTATTTTTGTAATTCGCATTAATAATGTTATATATATGTTATATTTTTGCAATGACCATATTCATACATACCTATTATCCTATTTTATATTAGATCTTTTCATATATTAGTAGTATTTAATACAAATCTCCATTATTTGAAATCATCAGAAATTATCTTTTTCAATAATTGATCTCGGACCTTTCAAGAATGTTAGCTCAAGTTACACCGACAAGTCACCATATTTCTCATATGTCTCAACAATCAATAAGAATCTACCTTGGTATTAATTCCTTGACCAATTTCTATTCCTCCATGAGCGATAGCTACAGTACCATCTCCATGAAAAATGGACACAAATAAAGAATAATTGAAAAAGGTTGGCAGAGTCCATACCATCGGTACCATAGACAGTCCTTTTTTCGTCCATCGGTTTTCCTGGAAGTCAATAATATAAATGAAGCTCAAAGAACATTTTTAACAAAATGCGTTATCTTATTGAAATACGTTGAAACCAGAAAGAAGCGGTATAGTTTCACCAAATTTACATCATAAACAGTATGGTAGGATGTGGAAAATCTCTCGGATTCAGATAGAATCGTGAAAGACACTGTTGGCGATCGGTTTTTCTTGAATAACTTCAAAATTAAGTAGATGATGTGATGAATAAAAACGCAATATAAAATTCACTTGAGACATATTCAGCTTTCTTAGTTTATCAGGGACAGACTGAGTTTTATCGTTCATGCTCAAATTTTCAACACCCTGTATGATGAAGGCTTGACAAACACTGTGTAATTTGAACCTTGATGATCTTATAGGTCCCGGAAAATTCCAATCAATCGTGCCGGCGATAGGAATTGTCCTCGGAATTGTCCAATAAAAAAGTCGACTATGATTCCTGCCAAGATACTTATTGACTGGAGGCATGAGCATTTTCATCACTGAGTAAATTCATGGTACCATTCTTGGGTTTACCTGTGAAAGGAATAGTGCTGATGAAGTTGATATCATTTCGTCGCTGTTTGTCAATTGTATATTCTTTGAGGAAAATCTTCAGGAATCAGTTCATGTACTTTTCAAAAGTGATGGGTATTATAGCTTCCTCGAAGAATCTCATGTAACATTTTTTTCGACGTATTGAACTGACTGACAATTTTCCAGTGCTCGTTGGAGTGCCAGCTACAGCATTTGAAATATTTTCTTGTAATCACAGTGTAAATTTCGACTTCTCAGACCAACTTTTCTCAGATTATGAAGAAAATCAATATTTTCACCTCATCAACGGGAATGAACCTATATTCTCCCTTAGATATGGTCAACTCTTCGAAATGTCTTCTGACTTCCAGACTATCATTGCGAGACTCATGACTGTAAACATCATATTATGCAAACCTGCGAGATCATTAAACGTGTATTCCATTTTCTTTATCGATTCAAAACGGAATGCACCACAAAATCCTATGATAAGTGAAGCGAGAAGTAAAGTTAATTCGTTCAGAAACTCAGGATATTTATTATTTTCGTACCATAGTAACATTCACAACAACGATACAATTTTTGATACCAATAAATAAACATATATAGGTACTTTTTATTTATTAAAACGGTCCTCACTAGTGTCTCTCATGTTGAAGTTTCATTGAGCTGTACATTGATTATTTCAAAGTTATTCAACAAAAATCGATTCCCAGTTGCGTCTTTTAGGATCCCATAATGAGCTGGGTATTTATGGAAAACCCTGATAGGAACTTGTTTTCCCATTATTTCCAGATTGTATTCAAATCCAAGAGATTTTTGCAGCATCTTGAAAACTGCAAGTTCTCATCACATACTCACTTGATTGAACTCATTGATGGCTTTTTTTCTAGCAGGAATATCTCCCCAAGTTTGCATTTCCTTCCAATAATTGATCACTTTGGGATATTTAGTTGCATTCATGTTAGCGAATTTGACATCTGTTGGGTCCAGCCTGAGGATAGAAGCTATTTGTTCCATGATATTTTCTGTTGAAGCTAAAGCTTCAGTAGAACCTACATAGACGAAATGAATTACCTCGTTGAATAAAATAAATCACTAACCTGAAGGATCATGCATCGATCAGTTCTTTATCTATCAACGATAATATCATAATGGTACTTATACAGGGTGATTCATGAGGAGATTCACATAGCCAAATGGTGAATAGGGGAAATCAAGACGAGTGATACAACGACGTAATTGTGAATTGTGGAATTTTTTATCTATATACTTCAGAGGATATTTGCTGGAATATCAGTAGAATAACGATGTATTGTGGCATTGTTACTCTATGAGTTATAATTGTTTGATATTTTATACTATAACCTCTGTTGAATATTCGAACTTCACCTGTGGGTAATAAATAAATTTACATGTATTTAAGTCATAAACTTATGAATATGACTATAGGCGCGATAAATTATTCGCAATGAAGATCTACAAGTTTTTGTTATGCCAAGCAAAGCAATGGATTCTGTTTATTTGAGTTTCAATAAAATATTATTTCCGTATACTGAATTGTGTCATAATTTCATATAATTGAATTGAATTGAATGTGACGGTAGAACAATGACGTAAATGGAAGGTCATCGACCTCTATTATAGGTTTTAACTGCTATACTTTTTTCGGGAAATTCTGGAAATTGAATGAAATATTTCATACTGTAAATTTTTTGTACTTAACATATATCTTCTTTATTTTTTTGCAAATTAACTATTAGTCATTCAACCAATTAATAGAAATGAAAATACTTGAATCGTTATTTCTGTAAAATTGTGTGTTTTAAGAGGTGTAGTATGTAAAGGTAGAACTCAACTTAAAGACCTATGATATGAGACTAATGAAAAAACTATTTCGTAACAAGCAATGAAAAGTTGGTGTTATATAACTTGGTTGAATCATTTTTTTCTCTTCTGATGAAGCTTAGAATAAGTCAATCTGATCTCGTTAATAATCACAAGTCGTATTATAAATTCAAGTTCCATTCAAGTTTAGTTTCAGAATGTAGTGATGAATCAAAGTACTTTATTTGATCCTTATCTGAAAGATGCCTCAACTTCACCACGTTGATAGAACGTGTGAAGAAACACTGTTTTGCAGCGATACAAGTTATATTTTGTATTTAAGTTCTATTTGTTCTAGAACGGTATATGATGAAACAAAGTTCTTTGACTGATCTCTCTTGTGATAGAGCCGAAACAAGTGTAGTTAGCTGGGTACCTACTTCCATCTTACCTGGTGCCCTCATAGCACAATTCGCAGAAGTATCTGTATGAACATCATATGTAGAATAACCCCAATACTTCGTGTCATAACAATTCGGAACTAGATCTAGAACCAACATATCAATTTTCTCGTTTCCCCCTACGCCATAGTCAGTATAATAAGAAGCTTCCAAGTGTTGGATGACTCCTTTGTCATTGAAGCCCACTTCATATTCAACATAAAAAGGATACCTCTTCCCAATAATATCCATGTTCTTTTCCAGAGGCATAGTCATTCTAACAGGTGCTTTGAGTTTGTGTGCAGCCAGGGCTGTGGCAGTGGAAAGGATGGTGTTTCTCGTTATCTTTCCTCCAAATGATCCACCAACACGACGCACATTGACATTTATCCTATAAAGAAGAGTATTAGAGACCGATATTTAGAAATTATTACACCTGGTATAACTTATTCGTTGGGATATTGAGAGTTGCCGCTGCAGCCATTTGACAGACATCCATCCATTGAGTGACAGGGTAAATATCCAGTCCATCATCCTCCGTGGGAACTACATTGCAACACTGAACCTCCATGTAGTAGTGGTATTGTTGGCCAATAAAAAATTCTCCTTTGATAACATGTTTGACATCGTTTCCTACAAGTATATATTATAGGCAATGATCTAATGATATCAAACTTCTAGAGTAGTTGGGTCCAAACTTCGCTCCCATTTTAATTCCATTGCAAATATGATATTGCAAGTTATTCATTCGACTCAAATGTTTAGTGTGAGGTGTTTTTGAAATAAGTGCACATATTCGGCACATTAATTCTTTGAATTAACGAGAAATTTCATCCCAAAAATTGAACAAAATACGGGAAAAACATCACCACTTTAAAACAATTTAAATGATTGAACTGTGCGTGATTGTGCTTTCCGCACGGAAATCTGAACAGAGGTTACGTAGAAGAAGGGGTCTCACCCCAAATTCAATTTTGATTCCTATATTTATTTATTGATGCCATTCGATAGTATAGCTTGCTCAGGTTTTAAAATATATGCACTTATTTCAATGCCACCCTGTATATACTTAGAAATTTTGATGACTGAAGTTCACAAATCCAAGAACAGACAGAAAGACAACAATAAGCAACACCAACTGATGGTTAAATAAAAATATATTTGTTTTTGTTGCAATATATCAATATTAGTCATAAGTATTCTTCCATAATTTTGTATAGGTACACTAAGATGATTCTAATGCATTGATATATAGCTTTTTATAAAATGTCGATCGGAGTAAAGGTTGGTAGGTACATATTTTGAGAACTGTTGATTAGAACTTTTTCGAGTACGAGACTGACTTTATTTTTATATACATATCACAATGATCCCATTCATTACCTAACTTCAAGCCCCCGTGAGTTGGTGCCCTGTATTTTTCGTTTGATTCGCAAGATATTTGATTAAAATCATGTGTGATTCAGAATGGTTCTGTATTGTCTGTTGAATGATCATTTGACTCATTTTTCTTCCATGGTATATAAACATCTTATATCACAAAATCAGAGAAGATAACCGTGCGAAATGCTTTCATATCATCGTTTTACTTGGGAGTAAAAGTTGAAACAGGCTAGATTCGAACATTTCTATCGGCATCAGATGAGCATTTCAAATTGCATCAAATTGAATCAAATAGCTATCTCATATACACCAAACAAACTATAAGCCAATCAGGTGGGCTATTTGATCGCAAAATGAGAAATAACCATATATACCTTATCGATATTTTTTCTCATGCTTTACGAAATAATAATGATCTAAATATGGGGTAGTTTTCGGGTCATCCTGGTGTCCTGGAGACCACTCTTCATTCTTCTGTCCAATAGCACGTGACTCGGTCGTCACGAAAGCGTCATGCATGCGATTTTCACATATATGACGTAGGGTCCCTTGATGTAAATTGAGGTATTTGTCATCTTAACAATAAGGTACGTCAGATCATAGCTCCTTTCTCTTTTAATGATCTACTGACTTCGGTTCTGTGTATTGGCGTCCCATAGGCGTTAAAACAAATCCTACAAAATTTTAACTACTACTTTGAAACTTGATACGAGTCAATTATGTTTTGGAAAGATGGTAAAATATGCTGCGCTAGGCTGTAACAATCATTTGGATGGCAAATTTAAATTTGTCAGCTTTCCAACAAACGCAAATGAACTTGAAACATGGAAAGTGAAGAGACTGAATTGGGAAAATCGGTAAAAGACATCAGCAAATTATGCGAGGCAATGTGCCCAATTATCCACTCCACAAGTTTTTGAATGCATTTCAGTAGAAACAGTTTTGATTAAAACGGAGAAAGAAGAGGCATATATGCCCTTCCATTTAAAAAAATATATATATACCTAAGTAGGTACATACAAAAACTGCGAATTGATACCCAACATGGAAATATAAATATACAGCACACATGACATATGAGCACATCAGTTTGAATACCTACATCAAAGTTTTTACCATTTCTCAACCATAAAGCTTAGTCTGAAATCAAAATGCATTTATCTACAGGGTGTCTGTAAAAGGTCTTCACAAAAACATACCACATATTCCTTAGACCAAAATAAGTCGATATAAGTGAAATTACCTTGGTACGAAGTTGCATCGTTTGGACTCCAGAGGGCCTTGAAGTTACAATTTTCAAATTGTTTTTCCCATATGGATTTAAAACGGCATATGCGATTTTGGTACATTGATGTTTTAGGTGGCAAAAAAAATTGTGTTAAAATTTTGCCCGATAATAATACATAGGCGTAGAACTTGATATTTCAAATAATTGCACCTTTAAAAATTCTACGCCAATGGAAGAAAAGGAGTTTGGGTATGGAATTTATATTGCGCAACTCATTTACTTTGAAAAAGGTACTCTTGATGAGGTTAGATTGCTCTCATGGTTTTGACGAAATATGCATTTTAATAATTTTAGAACATAAACAATGCTTATTAAAATACAAACTTTGTCAAAACCATGAGAGTAAATCGAGTGTTATCAAGAGTACTTTTTCGTAGTGAATGAGTACCCAATCCAAATTTCATACTCAAACCCCTTTTCTGCCATTGGCGTAGAATTTTTGAAGGTGCAATTATTTGAAATATCAAGTTCTACGCCTATGGCAGAAAAGGGGTTTGAATATGAAATATGAATTGTGTACTCATTTACTACAAGAAAGTACCCTTGATAACACTCGATTTACTCTCATGGTTTCGACAAAGTTTGTATTTTAATAGTTATTGTTTATTTTCTAAAATTACTATAATGCAAATTTCCTCAAAACCATGAGAGCAATCGAGTCTTATCACGAGAACCTTTTTTAAAGTAAATGAGTTGCGCAATCTAAATTTCATACTCAAACTCCTTCTCTTCCATTGGCGTAGAATTTTTAAAGGTGCAATTATTTAAAAAATCAAGTTTTACGCCTATATTATCGGACAAAATTTTAACACCATTTTTTTTGCCACATAAAACTCTATCAATATATCAAATTTCAGCCAAATCGCATAAACCGTTTTAAATTTATATGGTGAAAACGATTTAAAAATTGTAACTTCAAGGCCTTCTGGAACCCAAACGATGCAACTTTGTACCAAGGTAATTTTACTTAAATCGACTTATTTTGGTCTTGGGAATATGTGGTATGTTTTTGTAAAGACCTTTTACAGACACCTTGTATATATAGGTACAGCCTAAGAATAGTCATATTTGGTAAAACACATCAAAATTTCAGACATATTAATCCTTGGAAAATCGAAAATTCAAAAATTATTGATCATTATTTGGATATGATATCATGTAGAGTTGAATCAGGAATTGCATATGAAAATTGCGTATGATACGCCATGTCCTCAATATAAAACAACAAATGTCAGAAATGTAGAGTTTATCCCCAGAAATGGAAAATGGATGGAACTAGTTATATAGTTTCACAAACACTTTAGAGTGAGAGGAGTCGAGGATCTGTTCGTACCCTGATAAGATGACAAATACGTCACTTTGCGTCAAGGGACCCTAAAATGACGCTTCTTTGACGTTTTGACGCATGCGTGATGCCCGAGTTACATAATATGGTGTTGGACAAAAGTGGGGTAGAGAGGGGTCTCTAGGGTGATCCGACAAATAGTCAGATTGTTATTCTTGACTACAGTTACCTTTTCCACTTGGCACAACTGTTGTCTGGTGCACAATTTTATCTTTTGCGTTAGCTTTAACGACATCTCTTGCAGTCAAGTATGGTTTTGTTGTTGGCGGTGTGTACTTTACTTTCACGTGTTCTGCGGCATTCCAAGCGATTTCTTGATCGGTTGCAACAATTATACCTATTGGTTGATGATAATATTGCACTCTTCCACTACAAAATAGTTCTTCTTGGACAGCCAAACCAGCCACCTTTGGCATGAAAGTATTCACGCCGGGAACGTCGTTTTTGTCGAAGAAGCGAACAACTCCTTTCATTTTCTATAAAAGTATATTGAATGTTCACATAAACTAACAATTTTCATTCTTCATCATTCAGCTTCTTTGTTATTATTGCTATCGTCATGTAGAGGAGGGTTGGATAGTAGTCTAAATTATGCCATATATCTTATTTATACCGATATTAACATGGATATTGGTATTTGATACTATTATAAATTATTTGAAATGATCAGAAATACACGTTGTGAAAGAATTAAAATTAAAGTAGGTACCTTTCGAAAACGCCTTGATGTCGTAATGCACCGACAAGCGCCATATCTCTCATATTTCTGAACAACCAATGAGAGCATAACTACAAGAATTCACTTCAAACGCAGAGGTATACTCAGATATACACAATACATAAGTCAATTTATGAAATATCGTGGATTTCATGATTGTTCAAAAAAGATTGATGAGAAAATGGTTTGTGACAATGAAATTATTTGAATGACGAACTAGGCTGATGCCAAAAACCAGGTACTTTGTTAAATACTTCTGATAAACCTGGTGAAACATGTGTAGGACAAACTAGAAATATCTTAACCATAGGTTCAAGGAACACCTGGCACATTGTTTTAAGGCGGTGGATCAAAAAAACAATAAGGATCGTTTATGGAATACTGTATCAGGATATAGGTCCTTTTGGTCCTTTCAAATCTAGAATCATAAACACACATGGACTAAAATTATTATGATCTGAAGTAAATCCGAATTTGACAATTCAATTCTAATCCACTAATTTTTATCTCTAGACCAGGAACTATGATCACTGCTTTTGGGGATATGAGCACTATCAATTTCAGCATAACAGTGAAATATACTCATTATTTAGAATAACTCAAAAACTCATCAGTATTATAATACTTACTCCAGATAATAAATAGTGACAACAAAATGTCAGGAATAATGTTTCCATAGAAAATAATATTTTTTGTATATCGACAGATGATAATTGAATCGATGTCGTTTTGAATTAGTAACCCTAAAACCAAAGTTTACCCTATACTTACCAAGGCAGGAGAAGCATCAACTGAGACTATTCGAGAGTTTGCTGGTGCATTAGCAGTGACGAAGGCTGCGTACAGTTGATTCGGAAGATCTATCAGGTCATCAACATATTTTGCTTGGCCTGGAAGTAAACATAGATTCAAGGATATAATGAGTATAAGAGTTACGTTTCCAGTTAATTCCAATGGAAAAATGAGACTGACCTGAGGTTTGACCATAGGCCTCCAGTTTAGGCAGGGGCTCGGTGAGAGGCCATTTATCTCTGTTTGTACCGTATTCTTGAATTCCATTTGAAACTGGTCTATGAAACATGTAACCTCCACTTTTATTTCTGCTCGATACAAGATTGTCTGGGCAAACTTTCAGAATGAACTGCAAATATCACACATCCAATTTGGTTTACAAAGTATAAGTTGACCGAACAATTCATTTGTTCTCGTACCAACCTTGTAAAACAAAGATATTGCCAATTTCTTTCTGAATTCAGGTGTTGGTTCTGGAGGGGCATCGTCGGGCTGAATTTCTTGATCCAACGATTTGAAAGCTGTCTGCATTGTTTCATTGTTGAACAAGTTCTTTCCTTTCAGGATAATCTCGGTTTTTTTCGCATGGATGAAATGTCCATTTATTCCGCCATACACTATACGAGCCCATTCAACAATGTTGTTGTTGAGCTTGATCAGAAATCCAGCATTGACAATAGCGTGTGCATTTTGTGATCTTGGCATGATCTGAAAGTAGATTCACATGATATCCATATCTGATTTTACTCTAATCAATGAAAATGATATGAATTATAAAAACCTTAGGAGTTTCTCAAAGGAAGGCGCCGATGGATGACAAAGTGAAAAGCGAAATGGGCTGAAGTTACTGACAAAATGGTTTAATTTCTTATATAAACTTGAAAACATCAAATCAATTATTCCACTTATACATAGAACACCTCCTCCCGGATTTTGATAGGAGAGACAACGATATCGTCAATATACATATTGGATACTCCCCAAGGATGAATGTGCATAATCAAACATTGGGTTTATTATTTTGGAGGTGTATAATCTCTGTTATTTTCATTGATTGACATTATTTTCGCGATTTTTTTTTCCTTTCGATGCTTCTATTCAAGGAATTGTTCTCTTCCCTCCATCTCCTCCATATCATTTCAAATTACCTCCCTCATATATGAAGTCAGAATTGCTTCAACTTCCCAAATCTTGAGATTATGTTATCTCATGTATTCACTTGTTACTGCTACTGTTATCTTGAAGAACCTTTCACATTTTGCTTTATATAAACTTCAGTTTCGACAAGTTTCAATTTGTTCAGTTATGGGAGTTAAGTGCAAATGGATACCTACTTTATATGACCCATATTTATGAGTCTTCTCATCTATTCCAGATAAAATTATGTTTTTGATAACTTTTTTCCTCATATCGACCTCGAGAAAACTTGAAGGGCTGCATAGTATATCTTTATCGTTTACTCCAGCTGAAACCATAAAATATCCAGAATAAACAATGATGCATATTTCAGTGCCTATACGTTCAATAAGATCAAAAATAATGGTGATAAGTCAGTACAGAAAAAACAAACAACAGGCTCTTCATATTCCCAGAACATAACAATAGCTATGACTATGAAAATGGTTGATCCGAGAGTTGATCATCATTTTTCAAATGAACTCTCAATTTATTGCGGAAAAAACTTACATGATCGATCAACATTACTTATATCTGTATACCAAGTGTCCCAAAGAAAGATTCGTCCCTATAACTCTTTGTTTGTATGAAGATATAAGATATGCATGAAACATTATTGCTATTACATCAAATCAGCTTAGCAGAATTTCGGTTCTTTGGAGGACAATATCAACTATTGATAACTTTCTATTCAAAAGTGACATCCTCTATATTTTTTCTAGAAAATTTTGATTCCATTCCAAATCACGTGTGTTCAGTCGGAATTTTTTCATTCGAACAGCATCATTTCACTCAGCTCTTTTACTTTTTTGGTATTATATGATTATTGCCTACCTATAACTAATGTAGCATTGAAAGTCTCCAATAAGAGGAAAATATCCGACTGGAATTCATTGTGCTGGTACTTGAGCATCAGATTTCCAGCTATAGTCCCAATCTGCGAAGAAGAAGTTTATAGTTAGTGGAAAAGCGTGTGTCTCTCTGTCTCTATGGGCTTGACGAGGGGCTTGTGCGACGCTTTTTGCCGGTTTGTCCCAATAAGAACAAGATATACCCTGTAAACGGTCTGGAGAATATGCTATATTAATACAGGATAAACGTAAGAAGCCATCTGATATCCGATAGCGAAAACCATATCGTTTATGATTCCTGAGCTTTCTAAATGTTTGTTGATTGAGCTCATCATTGACTCGAACTGGTGTGAATAAAAGGTGAGTACCAGTTACCATATCTGCCTTTTATGCATGATTTTCGATACTGGTCTATTTCAATAGTTGATACATTCTTTGTTCTGGTTCTTCAAAGAGGAAATTCATCAGATTTCATGCTTTAAATAGGTTCATGTCATGAAAGAAGTGAAGCTCGTTAAAATCGGCTACGAAAAAGATTTCTTGCTTCTATTTCAAATTGCAATTTGAATGAAAATGTTGAGCACAGTACTTAGTAACTTGAATCTAGAATCCACAATAGCATGAACCTTGGCATGATATTTACTCCAACCAACATTATTTGCTACTGTTGATGTAGTATTTCAGTACCGATTATGGTCACAATCAATGATGAATTGATCTCAAATGATTTCCATAGTAGGAAAAGGCCAATGTCAATATGGAAAACTATAGTGGAGATTGGAATGTGAAAGATAACAGTTTTTTACGATAATTGCATAATTGTCTTACGTACGTTTCTTATTTGGACTGAGGCCACCACATCAATGTGTTCCCTGACCTCAGATAAGTACTTGAAATTCTGCAGATTTGACGTCTCTTGGAGAACGTCCATCATTTTTGTGAGACTGATGTTTCCACCAAGTACCAGTGTGTTACCATTCATTGAGTGGTCCGTTAATTCTTTCACCGAAGTTACATCTATGTAAACTTCCGGCAAAACGGTCTGCCAGGTCTGCCGATAGATACCTGAAATATGTTTTTCATTTGATTATTGTCGAATTGTCTTTTCTGAGCTGCTATAAGATTTTCACAAAATATTCAAAAACACAACTTGTTTTGCCTAAAGTCCCTGTATATACCTTAGACAAGAGTCCGGACACAGCTATACTTCTGTCCTTTTCTGTTTTCAAAAAATGCATTGATGATTGAATAACGGAATGAGACATATATATCGAGCTCTGTCTTTCCAATTCCCCTAGTATCAACGATTGTCAGAAACAATTTTGAGGGTTAAATTATTTGTCAAACCGTTCATAGCCGACGTAGAAGTGAGAAACTAGAATAACTATTAGATTTTCAAATAATGAACAACAGGGTGTTCAAATTTCGAATCGATAATTTTCATTATCAATTCCTGAGATGGCTATTGCAAATTTTCGTCATCAGATATTTCTTCACTTCATTAGATATAAGAAAGATAATTTAAGTGTTCTACGTGGTATCACATATAGCCAAGAAAATATAGTTGTTTTCTGTTAGGATATAATAAAATAGAAGATATATAATTGTTTCAATAAAATTTTAATTGTGTCGGTTTCCCACCTCTTCCTGGAGTCTACATTCACCTGTAAATTTCGAATATTATCTGAATTAAAAACACCGTGGACTGATGATATTATAGCACATTGCAATTTCTAGTTTCTTCTTCTTCTTCTTCTTCTAGTTTCGATTTCGAACTTTCAATTTCTTTCCGCATCATCTCATTCTCATTTTCTTTCTCTGCGATCGTATCATCCAGTAATTCCCAAAACGATGACGACGGAACTCTTTTTTTGAACGTCTCTATATTTTATAAATTGACGGCACAGCAGACTCTTTCAATTTGAAATCCATCAGCTTGAAAGAATCTCTATTAAAATGGGGTAAAACTGCATTTAGCATGCAATGGGTTTTTTTTCGAAATTTTTTTTTGGTACTTACGTATTTTTGTCGGAAAAACACGAATTTGACAATGATAATGTGAACAAACCACTATTTATCGAGATATCTCAAAAAAAAGTTCGAAATTTCAACTCCTTTTTCCCCTTGTGTTGGATGCATTTACAGGTACTTGCTCTTCTTATTCTGTCATTGGACACTTTATATACTCATGATGTAATTCAATGACAGATTTTTATACAGAAAATTCAACACGAAATATGATTTTTATGGCGAGTTTTTCATATACAGTGAACAAGCATACCAGATGAGGGCCATTTAATCAATCAATCCAAATACGAGATGTCAAATGTCAACAGAGTGCTTTTGAATGGCATTACACACGCCATTATTTTAAATGATATTCTTCCTTCTTCTCACTAAATATGGATAAATCACAAGAAAATCATATTTCTGGTTTCCTCAATAATAGAAAGAAATGTGTCTTACATTGTGATATACATATGTATATAAATTGTCCAATGATGAAAAAAGAATGGTAAATTGTTTTAAATTCAATCCAGAAAATAGGTGGAAAAGAAGGTGAAGTTTGTCACTTTATAGTGAAATATCTTAATAAATAATGGTTTGTTCACATTTTCATTGTCAAATTCGTGTTTTTCAGACAAAAATACGTAATAAAAAAATTTTTCGAAAAAACCCATCGCATGCTAAATGCAGTTTTACCCAAAATGGGCCTAAAATTCTTTTTTTTTGTACTGTTTTTACAAGTAAATTTGAACATTTACCTCACATATTGCGGAATTCTTGAAATTAATTTTCCATTCTGTACGTCTCATTGCATTCTTCCATGACATTATCTTCAAAGGATCATTCGGAAAATTGAATAACTTGAATCCGTTTTCCAATGAATTATCGCAATAATGTACGCAGCAGGACATTGAAATAATTTTAAATGCTAAATTTTGGCGGTTATAAGATTTCAAAGTGACAGTGACAGAAATTCGAAATGATTAAATAAAGCGGGCGGGACGACTATGGTGTTTCGTCACATTGTCAGGTGGGCAAACCAAATGAAACAAAATATTAAAAACCCCAACGGCTGTCAGTTTTGTGTCCGGACTCTTGTCGAAGGTATATACAGGGACTATTTCACACTTCACATGATCTAACCAATCACAAGCAAGAGACAACCGTGTGCTTATCGCGAAAAAATTGACTGTCTTTCTATTCTGGTTGGTGCATCAGCGTTGATGTTTTCAACGATGTAACCATGGATAGCGAAGCAAAGTCTGGATGTAACCATGGACAGCGGCGCAAAGTCTGTCAGTTTGGCATGAAATAATTATGGCTGTACTTATCAGAATGAATCAATCATTCATAATAAATGCTTTTATGCTTCGTGAATGTGGTAAATAGTCTAACAAACAATAAAGCGACAGAATTATCTCGAATATTCAGAAAATCTTGATATTACTCATGATAACTGATACCATATGTAATGATATATACATTATATTATGATAATTATAATCACATTGTAATGAGTATGGTATGTTAGGGGATTTTGACAACGGTCAAATTAGGAAGTGTCTGAATATATAATCAGATGGACATTGTAAAAGATTATTCAGACACTTCCCAATTTGACCGTTGTCACTCATTACAATGTGATTATAATTATCATAGTATAAACGTCTGAAAATGTCCAGTGTAATTTCATGCTTCTTCTCCCAAGAAGAAGGAAAAAATTTACAGAAATTTTTTAAGTTGCTATGGTAACGATACAAAATGCAATCTTCTAATTGGTCGAGAATGTTAGGTGTGAAATTTTCAATTAGAAATTCATCGAATGCTGTCTTTTTCGTTAACCCAACCTGTATAAATAACTTCAAGCATTTATGAGTGCATAATGACCTATACTTTTATGTTTATTCGAAAAAAGTATCATCTCCTATTCAAAATTTTCGAGAAAATTCAAGAGAAAGAATGTCATTTCAAAGTATTACTAAAAGGAATCCTGAATTTATAAAAAAAAAAACAACATACGGTAACCACATATTGAAAGTGAAACATAATTTTGGTGACAGTTTCAAAATTTCACATGATGAAAATAAATTAATGAAATTCAATCATTTTTAATCAAGTGATGAAATCACCATAGGCATACATTCTGGAAATTCACCCAATGAGCAATTTGGCCTCAACAATTCACTGCTTTTGATTTTGTTTTCCTATAGGTATATAAAGGAAATATTTGCAATAACTCCTTTCATCCTCCTTAATCCATCACCTCATTCCAAAATGAGGGATTAGCTAGCCGGCTCACAGGTAATTCTAATCTTTTAAATGTGTAAGTATAAGTTGAGCGAATCATTGTTGAGCTGATTCAATGTGAACTTTTTGGATAACTTATCGTTTCTGATGTTTTGACTATTGTTTATCAAATAATGACCAAGTAAATGAGATAAAAATCCAATATTTTCCATACCCCTTCCTGTATTTCCACCAACAAGCATATAATTATCGGTCTCAGTCATTTCTAAAACCTCCAGCAAATCTTTCATACTATGCACCTTCATCCATTTAGATGATCCGAGCTCAATAAAATAGTTTCCTATATTTTCTTCATCACCCAGTTTGTCAATTCTTCGTCTGCATTCATCATATCGACATGGTTCCAGGTCTTCGATGTCTATTATGTCATCTAAAATCAAAGCACAAGTAGGTATATCAATCCAGGAGAGATCCTAACAACTTGTAATCCTACCAGCGTCTGATGCCAACTTTTTGAAGGCGGTCAAAATGGGTCGGTACCCTGTACACCGGCAAATGTTACCACCAAAAGAATTTTCTATCTGCTCTCTTGTTTGTTGTCCGGATTCATGGAGAGCGTACATATTCATGACCATTCCAGGAGAACAATAGCCACATTGTGTACCGTTATTATCTGCTAATAGCTTCTGGATGGGATGCAGACCGATCAAAGAATTGCCAATCCCATCGATCGTGTGGATTTTCCAACCATGGCAGGACAGAATGGAAACGAGACACTGAAATAGTATTTTGTTTAACGAGCACGGAATTCTAGTGATATCCCACGAGAATGGACACAGAATGAGCCGTAGGCGGCATTTTCGATTTCTTCGTCTTGTAGCCATCTGATTTCCTCTCAAGTAATGCTCATCTATTAGACAGAGCAGTCATTGCTTTAAATTTGACATACCATGAGCGACGAGATGTTTTTGAAATAGTAACACAATGGGGTCGTTATGATATCAGATGCATAAAAATTTTGTGTTATAGCGGTAGAAAATAGTATATTGCACGGAATGACAGTGATTTCTCACGAGAATGAAGTTTGCAGCATGAGCTGTTGGTGAATGCTGCAATCATTCGAGTAGGAAATTGACATTCCGCGCAAGTTATACGCTATAATTTTTCTACGACTATAGTAGATAACAGCGGCATTTTCGATTTCTTCGTCTTGTAGCCATCTGATTTCCTGTCAAGTAATGCTCATCTATTAGACAGAGCTGTCATTGCTTCACATTTGAGATTCCATGAGCGATGAGATTTTTTTGAAATAATAACACAATGGAGTTATTGTGATGTCAGATACGGAAATAATATTGATGACATACAAAGTAGCTAACACAGGAAAACAAGAGCAATTTAGTGTGGTGGATGGAACATTAGAAGTTTCTGGAGAACCGAATGACAGATCATCACGAAAATTTGTATGCGTGCTGGATAATGAAGCATGTTCTATCCGTCAAAAATATTTTCACCAATACAGTATTGCCGCTTGAATTAGGAAGTAGTTGCTACTCCGTTATTTCGAATGAAACACCTATAGTATTGAAAAGGTATATTATGTCATTTTTGAAATCCTTGTGAGATTTTTCATAGGTTTTTCCTGATAATTTCCTCCACTTATTTGTAACAGTTTCAGATTTATTTGTCATTTAATTCTCGCAAAAACTAACACCCACAAAAAATTAGACTTATTTCACAATGCGAATTCACAAAACATTGTAATTCGGGTCCTAGCTGCATAAGACCATTGAGTATTCTATACCTATGAACCAGATCTCAGTTTCAGCATACAGGGAGATTCAGAAGTAGGTAGGTACTCTTTCTGGCTTCTTATAAAAATGGCTGAAACTCAATTTTTTTAATAAACACCCTCTACATTATTACGTATTTGGAAAGATGAATGATTCAACCATTTAACTAGCAAACTGTACGAGATGGGTATAAGAAACATATACATATACATAGTTGAATGGTAAAATGTCTCAACTACCCAAATAAATGATAATACATTGGTGTTCCATAGAAAAAACATTGTCATGAGTCCCCGAAAAGAAATTACTTCTGTATGCTGAAAGTGAGATTCTCGGTTCATAAGTAGTCTTATGCAGCTAAACTCGTTATTTTTGGTAAGTTATAAGTTTCTGCACAAAAAATTAACAAAACCATTTTTATCTCGAAAATTGTTACAGATAGGTATATACAGGCTGATTCACGGTGGATGGCACATTAGACGTTTCTGGTGAACCAGAAAACGGATCATTTTGAAAATTCAATGGGGGGCATATTCGGACATTCTCTAGCCAACTAAAATATTTTCGACAATGCGGTGTTGCCGCTTCTATTAGAAAGCAGTAGCAACTTTGATTTTTCAAATGGAACACTCTGTATTTTATTGCATTTTAAGATTCTCCCTGAAGAGCAGATTTCATCGATGTATCACACTTGGGGTCTAGCGGAAATGATTACAGAGATATAGGGTGTGAAAAATCGACATTTTTCAACTTTAGGAGTTTTTTCTGTCGAAACTATTCATTATTGGTCAAAACGGCTCACATGTCCCTATCTCAACTTTTGATCAATTATCTACTAACATTTAATTGAAACAAATACAGGGTGGTGCAGAATTCAGAATCTTGATCACCCGGTATATGTCCCAATTAAATATCAGTAGATAGTTAATCAAAAGTTGAGATAGGGACATGTAAGCCGTTTTGACCAATGATAAATAGTTTCGACACAAAAAAATCCTAAAGTTGAAAAATGTCAATTTTTCACACCCTATATCTCTGTAATCATTTCCGCTAGACCCCAAGTGTGATACATCGATGAAATCAGCTCTTCAGGGAGAATCTAAAAATGTAATAAAATACAGAGTGTTCCATTTGAAAAATCAAAGTTGCTACTGCTTTCTAATAGAAGCGGCAACACCGCATTGTCGAAAATATTCTAGTTGGCTAGAGAATGTCCGAATATGCCCTCCATTGAATTTTCAAAATGATCCGTTGTCTGGTTCACCAGAAACGTCTAATGTGCCATCCACCGTGAATCAGCCTGTATACAGCGTGTCTCACTTTAAACGCCCCCCCCCCCCTCTTTATCTCAGTTATCAGTCATACGATTCCAAATAAATTTGGTGTGGTATGAATAACCATCAATATGATCAGTTTTACAGAGATGCACATTAGTTTGGACAGTGCCGTGCGTTTTTATTGAACTAAAAAGGGGTCGATTTTTCATAAAATCATATTAGGCATTTTTTTACAAAACATCTAATCTCATATTATTGTTCCTCCACCTAATTCCGAATCAACAGGATTGGCTTATTTTTTTTCATTTTCAGTCTCGAATAAATAGTGACTTCAAATCAACTACGAATTTTGGAACGTTCAATGGCTCCGGTAGGTGGAGAATCATGATTTGGAAGGAAAAACGAGTTATACTTTTTTATGTTGAACTCACCGTTTCCGAGTAGAAATAATTATTACGTTCGCAAAAATGCTATATTTAGATGTGCCTGTTTTTCTTAAACCCTTCATAGGCATCTTATGAAATTCCACATATGTGGCTTTGAAACCTTGAAGAACAATTTTATGAGGTCAGTTTTCCTGTGAAAAAATGCCTAATATGATTTAATAAAAAACTGACCCCTATTCATTTCAATAAAAATGCACGACACTGTCTGAAATGATAAATGTCTTTGAAGAACTGGTCATATTGATGATTATTCATACAGATACAAATTTGGTCAAGATTGCACAACTGATAGCTGAGATATAGAGGGGGGGCCGTTTGAAATGAGACACGCTGTATATACAAGGAATTACCAGAAAAAGTTATAAGGAATCTTATAAGAAATCTAAAAATGACATGATAACAAAATAACAAAGTATAGCTACTCTGTCGTTCGGTTCTCCAGATACTCCTAATGTTTCATATCCACCATGAATCACCTTCTAAGATATCTAATTCCATATTATGTATCAGCCTAAGGCAACCATTTTGTATATTTGTAGAGTATCGGGCCTAATTGATCTAAGTACCTAAAACCCTTTTTCCAGGTGAATGTGAAAAACTGCTCATCAGTGAAAACAAACAAAAATATTTTTTCTTGATATTGATAAGTCAACTTTCAACACGAACATTCAAATGTTAGATACATGGAAAATAACAAATTTTTGCAAAATGAAACAGCTTGAAAGTGGAAACGATCTAAATGCCAAGTTATAGTCATCATGGAAATGATCTATGCCCATGATGTATGTCAGTTTTATGCACTTAGAATTTTTCTGGAAAACCCGGTTCTCCTCAGTCAAATACTCTAACATGACTTCTCGAAATTTCCAGGGAAACTGCATCAGATAAACTCAACAGTTTTGCTGATCTGTCGACACCCTCCACTTTCCTCTGACGTTTTTTATTTGTTTTTTCTTCCCTGAAAGCCATCTCATCCATGATGACAGAAAATTTCTATAACCTCGAAATACGATCAACAAACACGAACATAGTATCGTCATAACGTCATAACTTGCGCACTGCATGTTTTCATACGTTTCTATTGCTCGACATTGACACTTAGATCTGTTAGAAGTGCATTTTTAGCACCTGAAAAAAATTCGCGATTGTTTTTATAACGAAAGGAGAGCGTGTTTGATCATATAGAGTGTATTGGCCTTGCAACATTCTCACAAATCTGGAATCACGGAATTTCGGCAATTAGATCAATTAGCCCCGCCACTCTGCATTTACTCACCGAGTTCACAGCGAAAATATTTTTTTTACCATTGATTGTTTCTTCAACTGCTACAGTGCATGAACCACAACCTCCCTCCAAACACATTCTCTTCGTCCCTGTGAGGTGTGCCTTTTTCCGAAGATAGGTATTGAGGGTGGTTTCCGGACCAATGTCATCATTAGCGGATACTAGATTTATTTTGGAATTTGGAATGGTAAGTTACTTTTTCACATTCAAAGGGAGGGTACACCGTGGATCAATGATGCAATAATAGTTATTGATGTAACAAGTGTGTGAAGTGAGTAAAAAACACTATACGCACGTGTAACATACAATATTTTTCCTACAACTGTCAAAAAAGAGGACAACCTCATTCAACTTATGATGTAAATGATTAAATGATATCTCGCAATTATTATTTATATCAATTACATTTACTCATTTCATGTCACTTTATTGATAACACCTGATTTGTAAGTGTACTTTTTCTTACACTTTTCCGCAAAATGATGAAACAGTATTTTGATATTGAAAAATTTTACACTTTAGGCACACAAAAATATATTAAAAAAGCCCAGTTTTTTTGACAGTTGTAGGAAGAAACAATGGGGTATTATCCATCTCCATGATCTAAACGAAAAATATAATAGGATTGTTGAAAATGGAGTGATTCAAATATTTCAATATATTAGAAACAGTTCTTCAAAAAATCATGGAATTTGGTACATCGCATAAACGTTTAATGAATCAGAATGTGAGCTTAGAATTTTGAAATATCAATCATGAACGTACCATAGTGCATGGGTAAAGGGTGAAAACAATCCATTTTTTTTCATCCTATATCATTCTCACATTCTGATTCCAGGATATAATTTCTGGAAACATTTCAGGTCAAAAAAGAATTCCTACTTCAAATTGATAGGGCTAGTAGTTTTCAAGGAAATCGCAACCACTCACTTTTGATATTGGATTAGAAACTTATTAGCTCAAGATTTTAAAATTTTCATCAGAGGGGTATCATACTGAAGTGGTTAGTGGTAAAAACAACCCAATTTTTTTATATGGCTATTGGTATAACGAATTGCGATTTCCTCGGCAATAAGCCCTACCTGAACTCTTCAAGAATCTAAAAAATTAAAAAACAAAATGTCCAAACTATATCGCAATTCAATGATGGGTTCTTACATCTTTAAAATTTGAAATCCAATTTGGAGTTGAAACTTTATGTTGTGTATCAAATTTTAATATTTCAGTGTAAGAGATTCCGAAAATATTGAGGATAACCCTTCTTTATGGTGCCGATGCATCGATATAGAAAATTCCGATTTTCTCGGAAACTGCTAGCCCTAAAAAATACCTCCAGAATGTAAAGAAAATTGCCATAAAAGAATGGGATTGTTTTTACTATTAACCCGTCTAGTATGGTGCGCCCCTGATCGGAATTCTGAGCTGAAACTTTAATTCAAGACTGAAAGTTCATACGATGCACCAAATTTGATGATTTTCAGAAGAATGGTTTTGGAAATATTGGGGAAATACCGTCTTCTGGGTAAAATCACTCCATGATTCTTTCACCAATGTTGTGAGAACACCCTGTCATTTTAAATGAAATATTGATGTCAAAATTGGTACACTGCCTCAACGTGATGAGTAATTGAAACCTAATAATTGTACTTTTGGATTATTTTATTGGTATAGAAAATACAAGAGTTTGAATTCAATTTTCTACCAAAAATCTATCAGCTTCTTAGAAGTAGAGTACCTCCTCCACACACTTCAATTTAGAACCTTATTATCTTGACAAAATAAAATGAATAGTAGTTCAAAATACTAAAGAAACACCCTTTCATATAGACAGCCAAACTAAAAAGGAGTAGAAAATAAAAAAAGGAAAGTGTGTTGATAAATACAGAACTCAGAAAATATTAGCATCTCCGTAATCAGTATACCTTCTATGTTGTGTATTTATCAACACACTTTTATTATTTCATTTCCTACTTGTTTTTACTTTGGCTATCTACAAAAGGGAGTTTCCTTAGTTCTTTAAACTACTATTTATTTCTAATTTTTTAGTACGGCTAACTACAAAAGCTTGTTTTTAGTGTTCTTTTATTTTTGTACCCAATTCTGACCAGAGAATCATGATTCCGACCTCGTTAACCCCTAGATACCAACTTTGAATAGAATCGGATCATATGATTACACAATTCTCTCGCCATATTGAATCCGCCATTTTGAATATTCCAATTTGGACAAGAGAATCATAATCTCTAACTCCAAAAACCTCCAGATACAAATTTTGAATGGATTCGGATCATAATTACAAAACTGGTCAGCCATATTGGATCAGTCATCTTGAATTTTCCAATTTCGACACAAGAAGCATTATCTCCGACCTCGAAAACCCCCAGATAGCAATTTTGATCATATGATTACAAAACTCTTCCGCTATATTGGATACGCCATCTTGAATCTCAAAATTTTGACGAAAGAACTATAATCTCTGATCCCGAAAATCCGCAGTTACAAATTTTGAAAAGTCGGATCATAATAACAATACTCGTCCGCTATATTGGATCCGCCATCTTGAATTTCCGAATTTAGACGAAAGAATCACAATCTCCGACTCCCCAATTTTGAATAGAATCGGATCACAATTACAAAACTTGTCCGCTATTTCGTTTTTTGCCCAACAAAAATGTCATGATGCATTGCCACCCGAACTATGTACACCTGCCAAATTTCAAATCAATCGGTCCTTTCAAAGTGGGTCAAAATTAAGTCCAAAGGAGTCGGTTGCGTACATACAGGTGAAGCTAAATTAAAAGGGTGTTAAAAAAAGATAAGAATTAGAAATCATCTTCTTTAGTCATTGATGGCTAGTTAGTAAACGTCCAATTATTTTGTATACAAACTGTGTTGAGTTTGACCTAATATCAAAACCACGTCTGATTTGAGAAAGCGGTTCGTAAAATTCGTTACAAATCTAATACTCAAAATCTAATTATCAAATTTGAATCTGGTAGTAAACTGGTAGGTTCCCAAACATCGAAATAGTATATCTGTCAAGAAATGTTGATATTGATTTCAAAACTATGAAAACTCACCCTTATGCTTTTCGGTACCTACAGAAAACTCAATGTTTTGAAGTTGTAGCATTTCAAAATCTAATGCAATACTGAGTGAATGTCTAGTCCTCAACGATTGTTTCATATGACCTCGAGTGATAAACTCTTTGGACTACTAGATCGGAAGTCTAAATGTGGAGGGTGATCAATCGAAAATAAGTATCCGCAATGAAATCAGAGCGGTATAAATTTAGATATGCATGACATAATATAATTATGATGTTCTAAGTACAAGAAATCAATGAAGAAATCAATATCTATTTGAACTCGGAAATTTCATCTATTGTTACCAAACAGTATGAATATAAGGTAGGTAATCTAAATGTCGTATGTCACACAAGAAATCTATCAATACGTAGTCATTATCCTGAAGACCTTTTTATTGAGTTTTGAGATGGGACAAGGGCTGCATAAGAAACGCAGCAATATTATGATAAATGTATAGAACAATGCCATCATGAATGATAATATTCCAGGAGTTCTAGCATATTACGAAAATAATCCATAAGCGAGGAAAAAATTGAATTCGGTTAGTAAGTTTCAAACTGAATAAATACTCAAAAACTAAGGACATAATGTGATCAGGTCTGGCTTTTCTATTCTCTGCTGTGAAACAGAAATATGGCTTCCAAACATATGAAGAAAACCCATGGAAATACCCACCAGGAAAAAAGTCTGCGAAATTTAAATCTGTCAATCGAGCATAATCCTATGATGTAGAGTTTGCGGTGGATCGCCTTGTATATAATGTTTACAGAACAGAATTTCGGCCATTGAGATATAATCATTATATAATAATTGCTATTTTTATTCATAATATTTCAGATGGCCAAAACGTTATTGAATTTTTCGAAGTAATGCCAATGTTTATGAGTTTATTCTACCCTCAGATCAACAAATTCAAAAAGTTCTGAACTATTCTCTGAACTCTGTGAAAGGAACATATATGACTGTTCTAGAATAAAAATGTCTGGAAAACTGTACCTTATAATTCTCCATATTGTTTACAATTATATTCTATGCACACGACTGTTAATTATGACTTATGATCCCTTCAAAACACAGTTATCCAGTCGCCAATTTTCTAAATTTCGACCGGGTAATGGATTCCAAATCAGCTTACTTTACCTACTAATTCACTATAGGTACATACATATTGATGCATGATATTTATTGAAATTTGATGTTTTTGAACATTATTTGAGATGATATACTGGGTGTTCCAGATCTTCTTAAGGAAAATTCTATAGGCGATTGTTAAACTTGCAAAAAAAGGAAAGTTCATATTTAATAATAATATAATAATAAAGTTTATACATTATAAATACATACATATATAGATAGTATAGACACAAAACATAATTATTGAATGTGAATAAACAAATGATCACTGAAAATTGCTAGTTCTAACTTGTGCGTGACATTGATGCGTGATGAGAAATATGATAGATATTGGTGTTTTTTCATTTCCAAAGAGACACACGAGTAGAATAGGAATTACTACAAAAGATTAATTGACCTTTGTCTGTGGTAAATATCCACTCGGGGGTTCCTGGACGAAATCTTCTTCTTTTCTTTTATGAACTACGATATATACAGGAAAATTAGAAAGATTTACATGAAAGAAAACATGAAAAAATATATGAGGAGAAAAAATAATAAATATGAGGAAAATAATAAAGTATTTGTTCTGCATTCGGCCCAAAAGTCGTCCATTTTTGTTCCAAAATTATCTCTTAAAGACCTAATATAACATGATTTGTATGTATGTTGCCAAACAACACTTTTAGTGTCTAGGAGCTGAAGTTTTACTCCTATAGGAACTAAAAACGTGTCGAATGTCAGCTGATATTTCATTGTTCCGAATTGATTTCTATAGATGAAATAGATATATTTTAGACTTATCATCTGGTGAGTATATAAAGCCTGTTTTTGCTCAGTAGCCATCTCTTTATTTTTTTTCGGAACATCTTTATGACATTTTTGTTATTCCAAGTGAAACCATGTTATAAACTCGTGGTCCTATGAAGGAAAAGCATCTTTGGGTAAGTGATTTTTCAACTCCTGGTATTTGAAATGCGTTGCTTTTGTATTTTGTAGGATATCCATGTACAAATGGATTTTTTCTGAGCTTGTTAATTTTGGACATTCTTTTTCGAGACTCAAGTTATTGATGTCGACAAAATATAGATTGCTTTTACCCTGTATTGGCTTTAAAAATGGCAAAATTCAGTGTGATCGGTGACAAATTTTCAAAATCTCAAATTTATACGTATTACGACAATCAAGTGATCTTCATGGATGAGAATTAATTGTATCCCTGCGGGGCGCTACTGGAATAATTGCAGTTTATCTTATTACACGGCGAAGTGGTTTTGGAGCTGTGAATAAGAATTTTTTTTACATGAATCATGAATGTCATGTGTCTTGAAAATGAAGCTCCGAAACATAGAAGTTCATTTGAACTTTTCATTTTTAAGATTTTCATCGCCTATTGAATATTCCAGATCACAATCTGATGACACACCCTACCTTGTATATGTGTCCTTGTATTCTCTACCAATACCAAATCTCGAATATTGAAATAACTGAAAATTAGACATCATGGGCTTACAATAAGTGTGTTATGGTGCATACAGAAGTTGTAACCACAACATAATACTTCACATAATGTCATCATATCTTACATGGTGTCAGAAGAGATTTTCAACAATATATTGCTAGCATTGAGAGAAATCCGAGCCCAATCATTGATGAAAGATTACTAGAAGCCTCATTTATCGACATAAGATGGAGCAAGGTGACAACCCGAACGAAAGAATTCAAATTCTTCCTGCTACACAGCCTAGACGGATAAACTTAGGAGAAGCAGAAGACAAGTCAAAAATTTGGAAAAGACGGTATCAAGAGAATCTATTCTGTGTTTCAGCATCAGGGATTCATCAATTACCCAAAGAAATGCAGATAGGAAATTTAATGAACTGCTTGGGACCAGACATTTTCGATATATTTGAGTACTCTGAACTAACCGAAGCGGAAAAAAAGGATCCAGATAAAATAATAAAAACATTTTCAGAAGAATTTGATGAATCACATCATTATCAAACGTACAATACTTAGGAAAGGAAGATACAGAAAATATATCATGATAGAACTGCTGGGCCTGAACGAGAGATACCACAAGTCCAAGATAAAGTAATGTCTCGTCCCAGATTCATGTCAGAAAAGTACCATCAAGATCGGAAAATAAACAGCCTGAACCATTACCACAAACACACTGCGATGGTTCCAGATCCACAAGAAATGAGAGATCTACCAGATTCAAATGTTGTGATTCAGCCTAAAATGACATGTTATGGAAGAATTGCCTCGAAGATACAATTCTTGAATTATTATGTTCATGTTGAAAAAAATGAGGGAGATTTAACATAATACTTATTGTTATTATTATATTTACCATTCTGTGTGATACTGACGAGTTCAATAAATATAATCACATAATGTTATCACATCTTACAGTAGTCAAGACAAGATCAAGACAAAGATAGATCGATAGTAGAACCGAATTGAAGAGATATTCCGTCTGTTGACCGGTTTAATTATAAAAATTGTTTAATATTTACAGTATTCGATATAAAAAGTCACAAACATCTATGGTTATCACGAAACGAGACCAAATGTTCGACCAAAATAACAAATGATTGGAGTGTACACAATTGTAATCTTCTCCGATAGTATTTTTTTTTTTAATATTGGGAGTACCTATAGAATGAAGACATGACAAGACACATTGAGCGAGTTTTGTAGGTGAAAGATGAGAATAGTCATAATTAAGTATATAATATTATTTTTCAATTTTTCAAAGTACCTCTGTAAAATTCATAACTTGTATAGATTATCTGAAAGCCAGCTGTTATATTCCCTACCGAAAACATAATAATTGTCATATATTTATATTAAATAATGAATTCAACTTATCTTTGTAATTATGATTATGGCCTCATCTACATCAGGGGTTATTAGGCCAAGTCGATGATCATCAAGAAGTGGAAAGTGCAGTAATAAGAATGACACATTAGAGATTATTCCAGCCATTTATTCCAAATTCTGCGAGGCCTATTGAAAACCAAACTTGATGAGAAGCAGAGCATATGAACTACTATGAAGTTATTATTATAGAGATACAGAAGAACCAAAAATACTCGTCCATGGCAACTTTTCATGAGAATTAACGTGTTATAAAATATATTTTCTCACTTATCAGTATAAAATAACTACCCTATCAATGTTTGCCACTGAACGATCAGAAATAAGTGTACCTCATGGTATTTCTTCTTTAGAGCTTCGAAGAAACATTGAAGATGGCTGAAACTAGGTCGAAACACATTCAAACCACTTTGAGTAATGAATGTTTGAATTCAGAATGAAAAAGCTATCAGAATCTGTGGAGACATAATCAGGACCGTATTCAAATACAGGACGTCGCGTAGAGAAATCAATATCACTACATTAAATATCATCAAAAGTTTCTATGGGAAAGTATTTCCAGTTTTTATGTATCTCTAATAATAACTTTGAAAGAAATTAAACAGATTTTTCAAAAATTAACTTTTTTAGATATAACCGGAGAACTATAAACAATTTTGAAAATTTGAAAGGCCGTTAGGGATCCGCAACTTTTTTCCCATTATCTCTTCCCGTTTCCGAGACCCCCAACTCCTTATCTTGGTTACACTGTATATACATATGAGTCTCCGTTTCCCTTTTTGCTACTATATATAGTAGGTTCGAAGGTAACCTAGATACGGGAGGTTCTCGAGAAGTAAAAATTCAATTTTGTCCTGTATTTCAAGAACAAGGATAACTGTGGAATATTTTGCTTGCTTGATCATACTCTACATGTACATGATTTTAGACTTATTCGGATAGTTGATTTGATCACTCGTGATATATGAGCGTATCTGAAAAAGTAAATGTATTTTACCCTATTGCTAATGATTGCTCAAAAGGGTTGATCCCTTTAGATTGATTGAGCGACAATAATTAATCACTGTTATACATATATTCTTACTTGCATAAAATGTAAAACTGGAAGATGCATGCAATAACTGAAATGAATAATCTCAATCCAAAAAATATATTGTCCAATCTATTGATAAAATATAATAATAGTTCACAAAGTGTATTGTTTGTAGTCATTCAAAGACTGGAGAAATGTTTCTTCAACTGTTGTGGGACCATCTGAAATCAAAATTAAACATTCTCTGAAAATTTTAATCATTCGATAATGTAGAAAGGAAAGCAACAGCATGCAAGGCCATGGCTTCCTATACATAGAAATAAAATATTCCGGAAGAAGTTGAAGTTGGAAATTCCATATTTACTAGGTGTGGGTGAACGTCTACATGAACCAGAGATACTAATAATTATAGGTATTGCTGCATCGATAGGTCAACCCCAAGGCAATGGTCCAGGTGAAGCTATTCAAGTATTCAGAGACTAATGACACAATACATTAGGGATGAAATCCCAGGTCAAGTCTCGAAATGGTTTTGTGAATACCCATGAAATAATTATTTTTTCATCAATGAACAATTTCAGAGCATACATAATATTATTAGTTTCCTCTTGCTTGGTCCCTCTTCTGAGCAAAATCCTTGCCATATACCCTTTTCAACACCAACTAGAGCTGAAGTCATATGCAGCTGGTTCCAGACCAGTTCAATATTTTTGATTCAAGCAGTTTCCATCTCCTATCGTAGAAAGATTTCGACAAAGCATACTAAATATGTTCGTTTATTTTGGGAACTTCCATTGTGATAAGTAGAAATTATGTCACACACAATCATGCACACACAAGACATTGTGGATGAAATTGCAGGTCGGTTTTGTGAATACTAAAGGAATGAATATTTTTTGATCAATGAACGATTTCAAAGGATACATATCATTAGTTTTCCCTGGCTTGGTCCTTCTTCTGAACAAACTCCTTGCCATATACCCTTGTCAGCAAAAAACTAGAGCTGAAGTAATATGCAGCTGGTTCCAGACCAATTCAATATTTTTGATTCAAGCAGTTTCCATCTTTTATCGTAGAATGATTTGGACAATGTATATACCAAATATGCTCGTATATTTTGGTAACTTCAATGTGAGGGATAGAAATTATGTCAGATACAATCGAATGGAAACATCATATTCAGCCGCGGCAGATGATTTGAAACAAATACACTTAAAAATGCAACTCACCAAATGGTATCCATGTTCCTTGTTTCGAATCGGCTTCCTTCCTAGCTGAAGACAACGCGTTTCTTATAGCTAATGGTACAGAAACTGAAAGGCAAAATGGTGGCTCCGCTACGACTGAAACCAGAATTTACATATTCAGTATCTACCGGGTGATCCAATTGAGACTGCCCACCCTCAATAACTCCCAAAAAGAAGATTTAACAAAAAATTGCTGGAGCGTATATCCATTGTTTGGAGAGGGATACCGTTTGACGTGTAAGAGGTCTTACATGCTTCAACCTCTATACTCTCCAGAGCGACTGCCCTCTATGATTTCAATAGATAGGTGAGTCTTAAAGTATAATGCAGCATATCAAAGGTAATTCAATTCTGATAGAAGCATTTAAATTTTTTTCTGCAAGAGCGAAGCTAGAAAAACGTTTTCAGCCGAGGAGAATAGTGCTTTCGAATTTTCGAAGAGTTAGGTAACATTGAATCGTTCGTTTTGCATTTATACTTTCTATGAACTGGCTGTTGAATTCTACCTTTTGATTGAAGAACTCCCATAGTGGCTTCGTGATTGTCATCAGCAAATTTTATTCTGAAATTAAGTGGAATATCTTTGGCTCCAGGCGGTTTATACGTCCAACTTCGATTTGTCATCAGCTTCCCATTTCCATCGTGGATTATTTCCTCTGTTGTGTAGTAACCGATTCCTGAAAAAAGTTCGCAACTGGAATGAATTACTCAACTTTTTATCGATAACTCATCTCACCCATAACAAAGGCACCTTCTATTTGTCCAATATCAATATACGGATTCATACTCTCGCCTACATCTTCAATGATATCAACCCTTAGAATTTCTTTGAGTCCAGTTAATATGTCTACTTCGACTTCAGCTACAGCAATTCCAATCACTTTGTAATTCTTGACTCCTGGTGAATTGGGTGCGCAGCTATAGAATAAATGTTGTTCAATTATCTGAATTCATCTGGGTGACTGGGTGTGAACAATATGTTTACTAATTTCAATGTATAAAGTAGCATTTTATGACTTATATTCCAGAAGAACATGCATTGAAATATACACGGTGTCCGGATGCATTCAAACATTCCACTATAGGATTCGGCACCCGTCTCAATTCTCATTGGCTCATTTGAATACACCTCACTATCACAACCAATAATTGAACTGTACCGAACGGCGTAGCACAATGTTCGAACAGTGCCCAAATCGGTAGTGGAATGTTATATAGTTCACGGTACCCAAAAATCTAATGTTGAATATAAAAGCGGTGCTGAGAAGCAGTCACGAAATTCTCTATTTGGCATGCTTCATTGTCAGTTCAATAAATTGAAATACCTGTAGGCAGTGAAGCTTGAAAATATCAACCAAGTAAGAGAAAACTGTCAAGTGTCGGTAAAATAATTATGAATGACATTCCACTCCGGTTTTCAGCACCGCTGGAACATTCGGGCACCGTAAATATATAACATTCCACTACCGATTTGGCCACTGTTTGAACATTATGCAACGCGATTCGGCACCGTTCAATTATTGGTGGTGATAGTGAGGTGTACGTACTTGAATGAGCCAATGAGAATTGAGATGGGTGCTGAGTCCTATAGCGGAATGTTTAAATGCTGTCCGGAAAGGTCATGTCGTAAATGATAGGGGCTAGAGAGAGCTAAAATAATGTTAGTACCTTTCATATAAAAAAATGTCTATCGCACTTCCTTACTAAACTCATCAATGGTGTTACCAAAGTATTAAATACTGTTAAAATAATAATATGCTAATTATGACAATGACTACAACTACCATGATGTTATTGAATAAATACAGTTCTCATTACTTTTGAAACGGTTGGGATGCATGTTTTCAAAATGCGATTTTCTCTAGAACGGTATATACAAGATATCGATTGGAATGAAGTATATTATTTTTTGAGAAAAAATATCAAGAAATCAAACGGTGGAAGCAAAATGTTAAATTTGTCACCTCTGTCAAAAATGACTCCATAAACGAAAAAAAAATCGTCCCATCCTGTATAAAACATAATCATTGGAGGGAGCATTAGTATGAGTTAATTTAGTTGCCTGAATATCATTGATGCCATGCCAACTGTTTAAAAGTTATACATGATTTTTTCTGTATTCATACTTTCACGGTCAATGACTCCGTAACGAACTACGATAGCATTTTTTTTATATGAAATACTGACATTATTTTGGCTCACTCTATCAGCCTTATCATTTACGACATGACTTTTCCGGACACTCTGTATAGGTATATAATGAATTTTGGTTGAATCTTTCATTATTAGATCAAACGCTCCCCTTTATATCGGCACAATTTGGAAGCTGTCTGATGAATAAAATTCTATGATGATATAGTTTGACGAGAGTGTTATAAACGGAGGTGAGACAGACAATTGACATAAGTCTCATCACGGAACATGACATTAATTTGTTGATACCTAGAAGTACCTCCTCTGTTACCATAGGCGCGAGTGTGACACTTTTTGTATCCATTAGTACATAAACACTTCCTGGCATACATTTTTTGAAGATTCACTCATAAATGTATGTAGAGTGCCAATCGAATCCTATCGTTCACCCCGTGGGAAATCGGAGGTAAAAAGCTGTGACATGGCTAGAATTGTTACCTACCATCTCCAGATCATGGATCCACTTGTCGTCAAAAAATCGTCCTGTGCGTTTGGGGGGTAGGGGGTAATTTATAAAAAAATATGGACTTTTTTTTTATTCGTGGAAAATATTGAGGGATTTCATAACTTTCACCTTGTTGAATCTTGATTTCGTGTGACAAGTAGAACGAATTATAGAAAATTTTGAAATTCACCAATTACATTACGATATATGAGAAAATCATATTTCAAACGGCTATAACTCGAAACTTGTGAATTTTTGTTGAATTGCTTTTCATATACCTCGCATTATCTCAGTAACTACAACGTTTATGAAAAAAATACTTCAAATAATGTCGATGCGCCTATGTTTCAATATGCGAATGGTTCGTCGATTTTGAAAATCGAAGCATAAATAAGGAAGATATTGGGAAAAGCATAATGCAATGCAAGTACCACGGACGAACGCGTTTCGCCGCATTCGTACCCCTATTCTCCCCGCAATACCCGCGGCTATCATAGTTCCATACGCTTTCGTTATACACATCAACATTGAGGCGTTGACCATTGCATCTAATGGTGACTTATTTTGAATTAATTATTCGATATTTGGTACTGTGTGCTCTGTTTCAATAATTAAATAAGTATTGGTTAGCTAACGACATATATTATTGTAAATTTATCATAAAATATATGTTTCTCAAGATAAAAGATGAAAAGTACAAGCAATTCAGACACTGATCTTGAATATGTCTTGAAGTTGAAGATTCCTTTCCAGCAGAGTATAGAATCATCGAGAAAATGTTTCATTTGTGGAAAAGATGGTCAACTCCTACGTTGAACAGAATTATCGATAAAAACATTCGAAAGTTGTATGAATATAAGAAAAACCCTCGGAAAAAACTATGCGAGGCAAGTCGATGTGGATGATATTTTCAATGAAAATAAAGGTCGATTGATCTTCTGGCAAAGGAATATTGGAAACTGGAGACAATATTGTCAGGAATAAAACGCTTTTTATAGTGAAATTGATGTGAAGGATATGAATCAGATGTAATCCTGCCAAAAGAAATAACACTTCGTAAATTTTGTATTTTAGATGTGTCTAAATGTGTTTTCTACCAAAAACGTTCAAATAAGAGTCAAGTTTTGACATAGTATTGACTACCAACATTGTTTATTGCCATGGAAGTCAAGTATAATAGCCAATGCCTTGTATAAAATTGGAAACATTATAGAGGATCACTGAGTGAGAATAAAGTTGTCAATACCACACATGACACAGAATTTGATATTCTGATAAAATTAATAGAAGAGGGTATACTTTTAACTGTTTATATCAAAAATATGTCGAACTTGCTGGCAAAACTGGTAGGAAAATCATTATCGTAGAATACTGTCTGTATATAGGTTAATCGAGGAGGTAAGGCATTCATTTTACTTGATTTTTTTGGGATTTTCTCTCCTCGTTTCTTTGGACGTTTCGTCCTCAACATGAAAATGCATCTTCCAAAGAAAAATGTTTTGCATTTTCATGTTGAGAACCGAAGTAAATTCGTTCCCGAAATGTCCAAAGAAACGAGGAGAGGAAATCTCAAAAAATCAAGTAAAATGAATTTATCGAAGAAATCAGAAAGCACTACGACAAGGAGATAGAAATTATCAAATAAATCAAAACGTTCTAATGAGTCGTATATTGTGATTCCAAATGAAACAAAAACTCATCTGATTCATACACATATATAGAACAAAGTGAAATTACAGAAGATAACTACCCTGACTCTGCATGCATCAGATATGACCCAGATACACAATTTTTTTGACATATTTAGCAAGATATGAGAGATATTCCAGATTATAAACAACTCAAAAATATGGATGTCAAGGCTTACGAATATGATAACAAAAAAACTTTCTTCAAATTAGTTGCCTTATACCCGATAAAGTTGATTCAGTTATTGATTCAAAGGTGTTGAGTATCTGATGTCAAGGTAAAATACTCGCTAATTCGAAATTCAAAAAACTCACACCAAAACACGTTGGTTTGAAAATGATGATTCATCAAGAGACATGATCGAAAAAAATTATCGAAGCTTTCTATTCGTGTGGACACTGTATCGTATAAAAATATTCACAACTTTGCAATTCGATTGGTATCAAATGATGTTTTTTTCAAGTTTCCACAAGGGTATCTTATCTTTATTTCAATATTATATGCATCATGTTTTGTTTCAATATTTCTCAATTTGTTAATAAATGAGATGGGTGACATTTTACTCTGATGGAAAAAAAAATGTACTTTCGAGATAGAATCATTCATAAAATAAATTGAGGTCACTTCCAATCAAACAGCAAGTTAAAAGAAATTTCTGTTAACTTGGAAAATAGCGATCGATTCCATTTTTCCCGTGAATTCCATGATCGTAATTCTGTAACACTCAGTAATTCATATTTACGGTGATCGTACTGTGACGGCCGCGGGCGTTGCGGGGAGAATCGGGGTATGAAAGCGGCGAACCGCGGTCCTTCGTACTACCTGCATTGGATTATGATTTTACCAATATCTTCCTTATTTATGTTTCGATTTCCAAAATCGAAGAACCATTCTCATCTTGAAACATAGGCGCATCGACATTATTTGAAGTATTTTTTTGATAAACGTTGTAGTTACTGAGATAATGCGAGGTAAATGAAAAGCAATTTAACGAAAATTTACAAGTTTCGAGTTATAGCCGTTTGAAATATGATTTTCTCATATATCGTAATGTAATTGGTGAATTTCAAAATTTTCTATAATTCGTTCTACTTGTCACACGCAATCAAGATTCGACAGGATGGAAGTTCTGGAACCGATCAATATTTTCCACGAATAAAAAAATAATCCATATTTTTTTATAAATTACCCCCTACCCCCCAAACGCACAGGACGATTTTTTGACGACAAGTGGATCCATGATCTGGAGATGGTAGGTAACAATTCTAGCCATGTCACGGCTTTTTACCTCCGATTTCCCACCAACTTTTGATCTAAGCGACTTACGATTCGTTTGGCACTCTACTATATGGAAACAACACAGCATTCAACTTTCTTTAACGGTAATGTGTATTTCCACAGCGGGTTGTGGGAAAAACAATAAATAATATACTCACAATCCAGTCGCACTCAGTTGAATATTTTCGTTAAAACATTGATTAATCAATTGTGCCCATGTTGGATTTTTCATCTTATTCTTTATTGGCTTCATTCTCTCTATAAGAGTTTCACATGCAGTGACAGCTGCCTGAAATTGAGGAATAATTTGATTTTATAGGCTATAACACAAAATTGCTCTTGTTGCTCTAGAGAAAAGATGTTTCTTCATTCTCAGAAATAATACAAAACTCGCAAATTTACCTGATGGTTAGGAACTAATATATTGAAAAATGGATCTGAATTTGCTCCTTGGCACAATATCGAGAAAGTAGTCAATTCGTGGTCACAATAATTATTGGTTGCATGATTTTGGCTGGAAAAAACGCGAAAGACTCGCGAATGATGGAACTATTCAAAATTGAATGTGTATAATGATTCTTCTTCTTCTCTTTGGTGTTATTGGATTTCTGTCTCCTTTCGGTAACAGTCTTTCCAGATCAGGTAATCATTTTTTTCCAAGAATAAATACTTGGTTATGTAATAATATTATCACTCGACTCGACACATAAGGCACCGATTGTCTATCACAATGACCTGAAGCCGAGTCATCAGTGTTCATAAAATTCGATCATATATGAACTCCTTTTATCCAACAAATCCGTTGTTGATCCGGCCTGTTCACCGGCGTAGAGATAATGGAGCACGTTTGACTTCAAGTATGGCCTTATCCGATGAATCCGTCATCATCCGGCCTCTATACCGGCGTAGAGCTACACACTTGATGAACTTCACATTATATATTGGATTTTTATCCAGATCAGGTAATTTTAGAAAAATTTCGGACTTTCACAAACATTAACCTGACTTCCATACCACGTGATCGCCATCTGATCACTACCACACGGTCGGAAGTCGAATATGTATAATGATCATTTAACTTGCTGCCTCGCGACAGGACCGGAACATTAACCTAATTAGTCAGGATCATTTAAAAAACATACAAGAAATAATACGATTTCCGTACACATTCCACTCACATATTATTTGTATAGATCGCAGAAAAATACTAACTCGAAATATTTCTCAATCAAAAATATGTTGCAAAAATGAAATGAAATTAGTTGAATTTATATTTTTATTTTATGAGAGTAGAAGGTTTTTCCGTATATTTTAATTTGCACCATATCTACAGGGGTTATTTCGAAAGGCATCAAAGAATGGTGAATACAAAATTTTTATATTCTGAAGATTTAGGAAACTCTTGTATTTATTTATAATTTATTTAGTGTTATGCCAAACTTGTATATAGTCGGAAAATTGGAGAATGATGAATGATTATATTTCCTTCGATTCGACCAATTTTTTGCGACTCTTTTGCATTTTTTCTCTGCAATATAACCACAATTGTGTATAATTTACATTTTTAACTGTTGCCGGCTTTGTACGAGGGGGCAATTTTTCATAGTTTCATTCAAAACTATAATACAACTTCTGTGTAGTTTATATCATTTTGCTATTTTCCCCCTTTTTTCGAATTCAAACGCTAAAATGATTGGCTTAAGTTGATGTTTTCGCGATAATACAAGTTGTCTTTGGCTTGTGATTGGTTAGATTATGTGAAAATTTCAAGATGAGTGAAATAGTCATTATAATATAGATGTTACAGAGCAAACGACAACAAAAAATTCAGAAAGAACTCTGAACTTCTTGGGAATGTTTTCATAGACCCTTCAACTTACATAACAAACCATATCCGTAGTCATACTTCCTCCAGTTGTGCTATCATTGGGGCAAACACAATTGTAACTTTGTTTTACTGATACTAAATCTATATGTATCCCAAATTTGTAGGCACACATTTGCGCTACCTGGAACATTACGAAAATCAGAACTATGATCAAGCCAAAACCTGAAATTGTGAACGGTAAGGGAAAAACTCAAATACATTTCCACAGAATACTCAAATCATTTAGTCATATCCTCCCGATTTTTTGAATTGACTCGGCCGTTACTTGATGGTCACATGGTCATTCTACAAAAAGTACAAATGGAATCTGCAACCAAACCATCGGACATAATGCCAGCCAGGCTCAATTCCGATCGTACCTTTGAAGTGGTTATAAGAAGCCGCCCTAGGTACGGTTCCGCTGAGCCTCAGCTGGACAAAGAGTCCCTTCTTTGGTACACCGATGGTTCGAAAATGGAAGAAGGGGTAGGCGCGGGTGTATATGGACCCGGATGTAGGCTATTTGAAGCCTTAGGTCACTCCCCCACTATCTTCCAAGCTGAAATACATGCCATCAACCTTTGCGCCCAAAGGTGCCTGAGCAAAGGTCTGAGGGGTGCCAACATATACATCTGCTCAGACATCCAAGCCGCACTAAAAGCCCTAAAATCATTCGTTTTCACATCAAAGATTACATGGGACTGCTTTGAAACACTCATGCAACTGGGAAAGGGCAACAAAGTCACACTTATGTGGGTTCCAGGGCATGAAGGAATCGAAGGATATGAGGCAGCTGATCGCCTTGCAAAAAAAGGTGCAGCATCTGCACTTTTTGGTCCTGAGCCTTTTTGTGGGATAAGCAAATGTCACCTAGAGGGAGAACTCGGAAAATGGGAAGAAATTGAAAAGTCCTCCTACTGGAGAGCAACTCCAGGTCAACGACAAGCGAAAAGGTTCATCAACCATTCGCAGAACCGAGCCAAAGAGCTACTCAGCCTCAGCAAACCAGAGCTAAAGCTTATCACAGTCTTTCTCACAGGACACGACCCTCTGAGGTACCACCTCAAAAAGATGGGTCTGGCGGAGACTAACACTTGCCGCTTTTGTAACAATGCGACCGAAACCGCGGAACACATACTTTGCTCATGTGAAGTATCAGTCCGCCAAAGGCTGAACCACCTAGAACAGATCTCACCCCTGCTGAGGTGGAAAAGTCAACCGTCAGGAAAATCGTAGGCTTCATCATAAGTCTAGGGTTAGAGGACCAAAACTAGATAGGGGTAATCACAATAGATCTTCTAGGTCGCAGTCATCGAGAGGTCTCCCAGCCTATACGACCCATCTACAATCTACAATCTACAATCTACTTGATGGAAATTCATGACAAATGTAAAAACTTCACAAACGATAAGATTTCCACGAAATTCTCAAACACACGACATGTTTCGCTAACACAGTAGCTTCGTCAGGTGATATACTGGTACAATGAACTCATTTCATTGTACCAGTATATCACCTGATAGACGAGGCGGTTTTGGACATTTGTATATGGCATATTGCAATCATATTGGCAGTTCCTATAACCCCATAAGATTTGTCGGATTTATCTCTAGTCACCCTGTATACGATCGGAGGTAGGTTCATACCTTCGTATTGATTCCTTGACCAATTTCTATTCCTCCATGAGTAATTACTACACCACCATCTTTATGGAAGATTGACACAAACACAGAATATTTCAAAGCGGCTTCCATCGTCCATGCCATTGGTACAAGGGATATACCTCTTTTCTTCCAACGGTTTGCCTGGAAATCAAAATTGAATATTGAAAACAATGTAAACGTTATTCGATCTCCACCTTATTGTAATCAATAACGGCTTTCTTCCTTGCGACAATATCTCCCCAAGTCTCCATTTCCTTCCAATAATTGATTACTTTGGGAAATTTGGTAGGATTCATGTTAGCAGCTCTCACATCGCTAGGTTCCAGATTGAGAGTAGAAGCTATATGGTCCATGATACTTTCTATGCACGCTAGTCCTTCGGTAGTACCTGAGGAAACATATCTAGTGATTATCACATTGAACCAACCAAGTTGAATGTGTTTACTAGATTCAATGAGTGTCTCGAACATGGAAGATTCCAGTAGGTACATAGATCAGCAGTTTCATATTTTAATTTTAGCTCACCTGGTGCCCTTGTATAACAATTCGCAGAAGTATCTGTCACAACAGTATAGGTGGAATAACCCCAATATTTTGAATCGTAACAGTTCGGAATGATATCGACTATCATGGAGTTTATTGCCTCGTTTCCACCTTTTCCAATATCAGTGTAATAGGAGGCTCCAAAATACTGGATAACTCCTTTGTCATCAACTCCTACTTCATATGTAACAAATAGCGGATACCTCTTCCCAATAATATCCATGTTCTTTTCCATAGGCATGGTCATTCTAACAGGAGCTTTGAGCTTGTAAGCTGCCACTGCTGAAGCAGTTGAAATCAAGGTATTCCTGGTTATTTTTCCACCAAACGCTCCACCAGCACGTTTCACGAAAACATTTATTCTAAAAAAAATATCTTCCATGAGAATTCAGAAGATGAAACCATGAATGTTATTTACTTATTTGTTGGGATGTTGAGAGCTGCCGCTGCTCCCATCTGATTGGCATCCATCCATTGAGTAGATGGGTAAATGTCAAGGCCCTCATCATCAGTGGGTATAACATTGCAACACTGCACCTCCATATGGTAATGGTACTGCTGGCCAAGGAAAAACTCACCTTTTACAACGTGTTTAACATCGGTTCCTGAAAAATCCAGTGAGTTCCATTGTATTGATGATGTTTTGACGCAATCGGATATTCCGTTCCATATTAAGAGATTATGAGTATGAGATAAATGAGAGAATGAAAAAAACTTAAGTCACTTCGATGTGAGTTAAACTCAATAATAATTATAACCCTAGCTTTCTTACACGTTTCCCTCTCAACATCAACAATACAACAACAGTCTATCAGAAATGTAATATAATTCTGTTTAAAGTTGTGATGAATGATCACCAAACGCAAAGAAGCAGTTGGAGATGTCCTCAACGTTTATTTGTAAATGTTCGTGGGTGTCTATGGGTATTCAATGTTGAAGGTATATGTATGTGAGTGTGACACAGCAATGCAACAAATCCCGTAGTTCTTAAATGATTGAGTTCTTTGATTGCATTGCACTAATATGTGGAAATTTGATTCGAATCATTAGTAAGAACGAATCTCGCCGTTACCACCGATAAAACAAGGCCTGCATGCTCCGTGGGTGACGTCACTTAGTCAGGCCTAACCAGCGGCTCGAAACGACAAGCGCTTATAGCGCTATAAGGCGACCGCGTATTTCGATTTTAGTTTTAGATCATTATTGAGCCGATTTTGCTTTTTTTTTTAAGGGCTCCCGGTTGAAAGAGGATGCCAGCCGTCAACTGAGCCCTTCTCCGCATCCCATTCGATTTTATTATGGAAAAACGAAGTTTCAAAGCAAAAACCAGAATAAAACACAAATACCCACCTACAGCAACCCATTCGAATCAAATATATTGGCAAAAATTGTAGTGATTCAATCTCATTAGAGGTAAACTTCACACCTACTTATACAGGGCCCGCAGAACATAAACTTATCATGAGATTGATCGAAAGAAAATTGGGGAAAATGTATTTTAGTTTGATAGACATGCCGTTTGTTATACCTAATTACCTATATTTATCTTGGAGAATTCCTATTACCTAAAAAATTAGCCAGTGAGTGTTTTCAATTTCCTGTTGTTGGATTTTTCACCCAATTGGTCGTTAGACTTGAAACAGTAATTTTTAAGTAGAGTGTTTGTAGTACATGTTAATATAATAGTTGCAATTTGATCATTGGAATGAATTCTGCATTCATTGCCACGAGGCAAATGACCGTTTTCAGAAAGAAATTTGAGAATGTATTGAGTCAGAAACCAAAGAGTCCAATGGATTCGAAATATGTTTCAAAACCCTCTTTTTCTGATTATCAAGACATTTTCCCGAATTATGTATCTCGTTTTTATCTATTTCAATTAGTAATTCCTTGATTTGATTGATATTATTAGAGATAAAAGGTGTTTTTAGATTGGCTTTCAGAGATGTTTGTATCGCTAGGTCATACAAAAATGATTCCACATTCAAAACAAAATCAATCACAACCGAATATGTAATTACGGGCCCTGGAGAATAAGACAATTTGAATAATGTGACTGAAAAGACTCTAATACAACTAGAAATTCTTGAAATTCTGTGTAGCAAAATGATTTTTGGTAATTTTCGAATTCAGTTTTACTTTTGGTAAGTGCTTGTGCCAAATTTTTAGTCTCTAGTATCTCAAGTTTTTCATCACGACTTATGCGTAATTTTATATCTTTCGATAAATAAGATGGACAGTTGGGAAATTGAGTGGGAATAACATCTCGTTTGAGCCTAGGAATTTTCAAATCTATTGTTACAGTTTTGCCAGTTTTTGAATCGGTTGCAGTAGATGAAGTAATAATATCATCTTTAGTAAAATGTAATTCACATACTTTACTGTACATAGATGGAGTCGTAAAATCCTTGCGGTGAATTGCATGTACCCACTTTTTCGATAGTTCCTTGTCCAACGGGAAACTAAAAGCATGAACTTTTGGACCACCCACATAATTTCCCCGACAAGAGGGAACACAACACTTGTAAGGCATTGTTATTTCGCCTATCACAACACGAAATATTTCACCAAACAGTAATTTCTCCGCCAATTATTTTGATGAATAAACAACAAGTTCGAGTACACGCGATTTACCTACGCCACCGTTCTTAAACAAAAACAAACTGACGATCGATCGACGCGAATGCCTTGGAAGATGGCCTGAGTATGCGACGTCACGAGCTGTTTACGTCAGAGTCTGCTGGCCTTGTTTTATCGGTGGTAACGATCTCGCTCATGTAAATAAATAACAATGCTTTCTATTTACCCTTTCCATTCGGAACCACTGTAGTTTGATGAGTAATTCTATCTTTCACTCCCGCCTTAACAACATCTCTGACATCCAAGTATGGTTTTGTTGTTGGTGGTTTATACTTCACATTCACTAGCTTTGCAGCATTCCAAGCGACTTCTTGATCCACCGCAACAATAAGCCCTATCGGCTGGGCATAATATTGAACTTCTCCGCTGCAAAAAAGTTCTTCCTCCACTTGATAACCAGCTGTTTTTGGCATGAAGGTGTTCGATCCAGGAATATCCCTCTTGTCGAGGAAGCGAACAACTCCTTTCGTTTTCTTCAAAATATGAATTCAAGTGATTATCTATGGAACTCAATTGAATCAACAGTAGGGGAAAAATTCGAAGTTTCCTATTGAAGTTTTCTCGAAATAAACAACAATATAGTAGACAACAGCAGAAAAACAACTATACTTTCGTTGCTTATTGAAATATTGGAATATATCCTCCCGAAATATATGTAATAATTTCTATAAACGAATACTGATTGCGAGTCATTCTCTCTTGAATATCCAATTGTGCTTGAATTGAAATCAGTTAATGAACAAGCACCTATAGGCTGGTTTGAGGCTTTGGAATTTCATCACTGCAGGGCAGTCACCACAAAACGGTCTAAAGACCTTCATCCGAAGCGAAACCCACAAAAAAAACGTTTAATCGTGCATATTTGATTTTACTGCCTTCCGACTAGGGGTTTCCTACTATAAACTGTAAATTTTCAACTTTAATGAAATAGAATTTCGATTTTGTAGTTGGAATTTCCAGGTTTAATCATGAAGGAAAATTACAATTCCAACTCAAACTATAGGAACTGTCAACTGCAAACTTGAACTTGCCGATTGATGAGTAGAGAATTTGAAGTCGAATTTTGAGTTGTAAATATCAAGTTTAATTTCAGAAAATGAAATTTCCAGTTATAGGTTTTTATTCTCAAAAAGATATAATCTGTACAAACCCAGAATTTCCAACTGACCACTCTGAATTTCCGACTTGTAGCTCATAGAAAATGAAATTTCTTGTATTCTATCAGTATTCCCAGGTCAAACTCGGGATTTCGTTATTTTCTACTGATTCGTAAATATCATATAGTAAATAAATGAAGAGACAACGCAAGACAACCACGTCGTCCTTCGTATTATTCATTTTTTGTCCAAAACCAAAATTGGAAAATTTCAAAATTAGCTGACACAATTCACTCACTGCCCCGTCCCCCAATAAGTCTCTTTCGGTTTGTCCCTGAGGATGCGCGAAGAACTCTTATTACCAACGAGCGAGCATCAGAATTTACACCGATTCTCTGCAAGTTATTCACCATCTCGTACAAATCTGGTATTTTTCCATCATGCTGAAAGAAAACTAGAGTCCAACCAATCCCCAAAAGAGAGAACAAAAACATGCGCAACAACTACAGGATGAAGAAAGCCATCAACATTAAGTTCATCAAATAACTGGAAAGCCGAGGATTCATGACTGATATGCAATATGGCTTTCGCCACCGAAGTTCAACTGGAGATCTACTTGCCTACGTCACCCATATATAGCAAGCTTCATTAGAAAAACATCGGTAATCTCTAGCTGTGTCGTTAGACAAATTGGAATCATTCGACTGTGTTTGGCTCCAAGAACTCCTTCACAAACTACCATCATACGGCTTACCACCTCAGCTATGTCATCTCCTATCGAGTTTTCCTTCACTCAGATCGCTCCTCGTGGCGGTAGATGGTGTATTGTCTGATACCATTGCCAACAAGTACGGCGTTCCACAAGGATCAATTTTTGCACCAACATTGTTCTCACTTCATATCAGTGATCTGTTGGGAGTAACTACTCGCCCTATCCACAGCTTTGCAGTTGATAGTACTATAGTACTCTCCATATTGTATTCTCTTCCAGAATTCCTATTTATTTCCAGGAATCTAAAAACGCTCGTCGTAGGCAGGTCAATGCTGTCGATGAAGATCTTGCTAAAATCATAGCCTGGGAACCGACAACCTAGTAGTCTCATCATCAAAACCCATGCCTGTATTTGGGAGGCGGAACTCAGTATATGCCTGATATAACAATGTCTGGTACCACCATTCCCACCAAGTCCACTATATCTAAGCTCGGTACCCAAAAGTGACATCCAGGCTGCTACGGGAATGCAGAGAAGAACTAAATGTCCTTCCAGGTTCCAGGACAATGTGGCATCGTGGGGAACAAAAAAGCTAATGAACCGGCTCATCAACTCCATACATTGGTACACAACTCGTACTCGGGGATATAAAAACAGCTACCCGAGGCTATATACGGAACTGGATCGAGCGAAAACATAAGGAGCAATGGACTGAAGCCCCTCACTTGCACCACGGGAATGAGGAGGAACCAAGTCAGAACAATAACGGGACTTCTCATTGGTTACAGCCCAAGAAGAGGACACCTGAATAAAATGGGACTGTACAATGGAGAACTTCTCTGCCGACAATGCGATGAAGGGACAGAAACGGCCAAACACTTATTGATAGAATGCGAGGCATTGGATCGCAAAAGACAAGAAATATTCGGGCAGCCGAGGCTGACTCTCGAAAAATACAACAACCAACCGGTGGAGAACCTGTACAGACTGGTGCAGGGAATAAGATCTACGGAATGGGTGCTGAAAAATAAACTGAAATGCACAAAAAGTCCAGGAGGCTGAGGTGTAGCCGGTGACAGGACCAGTATCCAAGAAAAAAAAAGCTTGGTCTTTCCATCAGCAACTCTTCCATGGGATAATCATGTCAGATCCATCATGAAAGCTGCTCTATAAAAAATCGGATTTTTGTTCCGTGCAAAAAACTACTCTACATCTTAAGAGCGTCTCATGATCTACAAAGCACAGATACGGCATGTTCTAGAATACTGTTACCACATATAGAGATTTCATCCAGAGAAGAGCCATTCGCCTGGTGGGTGATGCCACACTCACTAACTATTTGACATCATTGGAACACCGTAGAAAGTTCGACGATCGTTGCCTCTTCCATAGATACTTTCACTGGAAATATTCTCCGGGAATCATTCCATCACTATAGCAATACCAGTCAAACGAAGTCGGCAAGCTCAGCCAGCACATCCTTCCCGTTGTCAACCTCGAAACATGTCGAACAGCACAGCAACTCGTTGGTCGCTTATAAAACCGCGAATCTCTGGAAATCATTGCCCGAAAAAGGATTTCCAAAAACTTATTTAATCTCCTAGAGTTCAAAAAAAATCCAGGGAGAGAAGTGGTAGCTCTCTCTATCCTTCCAAGTTACGCACGAAGTTCTTTGAACATTATAGAGATTCCATATTGTGTGCCTCAAGCGATAAAAAAAATTGGTTAATGCACCTGCGCAGAATATATCAACGTCAGCGCTGCATGTCTTTGATCTCTGTCAGCGCATACTCGTTAGCTTCGTCTAGGCCACCTTAACATTTTTGGAATCCTGCTTATTGACAGCTGCTGGATTTTCAGTGATGTGGACATAAGAGACTTCTTTACATACCACGGTACCATTCAAATACTTAGTCACCTACCAGTAAACCTTGTTAACTAGAATCGCGAACTCTTCAAAATTACAATGTGAATCAATACACATTTTTCTATTAACGAAACCTGCTTCTTAATTTGAAATATATCTTAATATAAACTCAAACACTCACTAGGGCAAGAGAGGCATCAACAGAAACTATTAAGGAGTTGGCAGATGCTTCGGCTGTAACAAATGCTGCATAAAGTTGATTTGGCTGATCAGGCATGTCATCAACATATTTTGCTTGCCCTGTAAAGAAGCGTTCATGTAAGTAAAGGCACAGTGTAAAGGGTCTTCAGCACTGATTGGGTACCATGTGACCATTTTTAATCCGGTATCTCTTTTTCACACATTTTGAAGAAATACAAATATTGTCATTCTTGGTTGCATAGTTTTCTGTCACCTGGATCTCAATTATTGTTGATGACCTTGGATACAGGGTGATTCATCAAGATGGTAGACACCAGAATATGAAGATTTAGCCCAGCATGCCTCATAAAAATGTTGATACAAGGTGTTCAAGGTAACAATTCTATTTTAAAATTTATCAATAACTTTGGTCGAACATTTACTTTGACATTCTGTTTGTTATTGGTGTTATAATGTAAATGACTGTCTTCTTTCAGTTCACTTCGCATTATTTATGATTGAAAATAATGAAAATTGTATAAGGAAACGCAAATATCTTCAAGAGCGAATAATGCGAAAACCGCAAATTCGTATTTCTCATGTCAGAAAATCTGGAACCGATGGATTTCATGTTCTCATGCTGTTAAATTTTTTATACAGAGTGGGCCATTGAAAACGAAACAGCGGCTCTGTAGGTCGGCAAAACCGGATTATGAAAAAAATCTGAAACACGTCAACTACATTTTCTAGGGGGACATGGTTCTAAAATATTTTCAGCCCCGCGGCGTTGCCGCTTCTAACGAGAAGAAGCAACAACTTTTTTATTTCAAATGGAACACCTTGTATTTCATTGCATTTTTAGATTCTCCCCAAAGAGCTGATTTTATCAATGCATCACACTTCGGGTCTAGCTGGAATGATTTCAGGGATATAGGGTGTTAAAAATCGAGATTCTTCAACTTTAGGATTTTTTTGTGTCGAAACTATTCATTATTGGTCAAAACGGCTTTTATGTCCCTATCTCAACTTTTGATTTACTATCTACTGACATTTATTTGAAACAAATACAGGGTGGTTCAAGATTCAGACTTCTGATCACCCTGTATCTGTTACAATGAAATGTCAGTAGATAGTGAATCAAAAGTTGAGATAGGGACATAAAAGCCGTTTTGACCAATAATGAATAGTTTCGACTCAAAAAAATCCAAAAGTTGTGAAATCTCGATTTTAAACAACCCTATATTCCTGAAATCATTCCAGCTAGACCCCAAGTGTGATGCATTTATGAAATCAGCTCTTCGAGGAGAATCTTGAAATGCAATGAAATACAAGGTGTTCCATTTGAAATAACAAAGTTGTTGCTTCTTTTCGTTAGAAGCGGCAACGCCTCAGGGCTGAAAATATTTTAGAACGATGTCCCCCTCGAAAATGTAGTTGACATGTTTCAGATTTTTTTCATAATCCGGTTTTGCCGACCTACAGAGCCGCTGTTTCGTTTTCAATGGCCCACTCTGTATATCACGATCTGTTCCGACTTTCCGAGATTTCCCATTCTTAATGAATTACCCTGTATATATAAGACGTAAGACGAGAACATTAGGATACTGATTAAACTGGTCGCACATCCTGAACAAACCTGAGGTTTGAGCATAACCCTCCAGTTTATGTATTGGTTCTGTGAGAGGCCATTTGTCTTTGTTGGGACGACCGTACTCTTGAATTCCACTTGACACTGGTCTTTGAAGCATAGTACCTCCACTTGTATTCCTGCTCGATATGAGATTCTTTGGACACACATTCAAATTGAACTGCAAAATAAGTAGTCAAACTGAGACAGCATGACTATCAGGAAATACACGCTGTAGTCTTAACTGGAACGCGGCCCAGAGTTCTAGCGAGAAAGTGAAGAAGGGGGCGCGATAGAGTGATCAGGTATTTGAGACTCAATTGAAATTTGAAAAACAACAAGCCCAGTCATCACATCTTTTCATCATCAAACATGAAATATTTTTCCAAAACTCGTCGGTGATTGCAGTTGAGATACGGATAAAAAAAAAGAGACGAATCACATCGGAAACTTCCTGAGGTTACAGCCGAGTATGTTTCTTGCGTTACATTGTTGTCAGACGTCAAAAAATATTGGATATTGCTTCGTAATAGACAAGTTACCATTATTTATACTATGTCACGAAGATTTCTGGGTATGATTGGATGTGTCATAATATGTCATTCGTCGAACGTTATACGCTATATATGTCCTAGCATGGTTCTCAAGTATTGTCTGAAAACATAATATGTATTACGAAGCGATATCCATTATTCTTTTGAACGTCTGGCAACAATGTGACGCAAGAAACATGCTCGACTGTATTCTCAGGAGTCATCTATTTTTTTTTTCTATCTATATCCCAACCGAAATCGCCTTAGCAATTATTTTCATCGCTCAACTGGCCGTTCCATATGATGTTTCCAGATGTTTCCAAGGTATTTTGACCGATATCTCGTATACCTCTTATAGTACCTACACCCTCCATCACTAAAGCGGGGTGGTCTAACAGTGGACTACCCTGTATAAATATTTTTTGAATTTTTATTCAACTCAAACACCCTGTTGATGATGATGTTACTCCATTGAGACCCTGGTGCCCCACTCCACTTCCCCGCTAGAACACTGGGCCGCGTTCCAGTTAAGAGTAAAGCGTGTATTTCCCCATGCTAATAGTTATGCTCTCTTAGTTTAACTACTAAAATATGGACGTTCAATTTAAAATAACGTAACGTAACTACAGGAGCTTACATAAGGTCTAACCTTATAAAACAAAGAAATTGACAGAAGTTGTCTATACTGAGGAGTAGGATCTGGTAGAACATAGTCGGGCTTTATTTCTTGTTCTAAATATTTGAAAACAATCTGCAATGTTCCATTGTCGAATAGTTTCTTTCCCTTCAAAGCATTTTCTGTAAGTTTGGCATGGACGAATTGTGGATTTATTCCACCATAGACGATTCGAGCATCTTGAACCACGTCGTTCTCGAACTTGATCAAGAATCCTGCGTTTACCATCGCGTGCGCATTCTGTGCTCTTGGCATAATCTGGAAGTAAATCGATATTATATGTTATTCAGGATAGGTTTCAGAATTCAGTTTCTTCATAGAACGTACCTTGTATGTCAAATATTTATGAGATTTGTCATCCAATGCAGGCAAAATTATATTTTTTATTACTCTTCTCCTCATGTCGACCTTGAGAAAGTTGTTTGGTGAACAAAGTATGTCATTATCGTCAGCGTCAACTTAAAAATAGATAGATATGTCATGTCTTATTCCCATATACTTAGTTACTGCACCTTTTGTTCTCATTGGTTAGGTATTCTCCACTACTTATATACTTACCTATAACTAATGTAGCATTGAAAGTTTCCAATAAAACAAAAATATCTGAGGGGAACTCATTGTGCTTGTACTTGATCATCAAATTCCCAGCTATTGTTCCAATCTACAAAATAATTAATTTATCCGATTATAGTATTGATGAAATTTTTTACATAATCTTACGTTTCTCACTGGAATAGTTGCCACCAAGTCAAGATGATCTCTCATCACAGATAAATAATGAAAAGCTTCCTGCTTCGACAGCTCTTCAAAAAGATCCATGGTTTTGGAAAGAGTTAGATTTGCTCCAAGTACCAGAGTATCTTTATTAACGGAATAATGTGTTAATTCCTTTACCGAAGTAATGTCAATATAAACCTCTGGGAGTATTGTAAGATGGTAAACACCTAAAATACATCAGAAGGAGATAGTCAAGAAGCTCTTCATTTGTTGAGAGGTATGAGTGTTTTTGTGAAGAATTTGATTAGATTCAATTTGTCATGAAAACTTGAATGATTTGTTATTGTTGATATTTCGGCAACCAAAGGGATGAGTTGCAACTTGGATTTTGGAGCCATTTTCAAGAATCCTCAGTTACTATCACGGAAGGTATGTGACTCGACCCCAAATACATTAGAAGGAGATGGTCAAGAAACTCTTCATTTGTTGAAAGGACTGAGTGTATTTGTGAAGAATTTGATTAGATCCAATCTGTCATCAAAACTTGATTGATTTGTTATTGTTGATATTTTGGCAACCAAAAGGATGAGTTTTAACTTGGATTTTGGAGCCATTTTCAAGAATCCTCAGTTACTGTTACTGTTCTCTCGAAGGAGTAGGCAGATTGAGACTTCGGCGTCAAGTCTGTGCCGAAACGTCGAACATCTTCAGATTCTAGACGCGGTTCAACCCGAACTCCAAGTTTTCAAATTTCTGACCGCGGAATCCAATCCGAACACTTATATATACAGGGTGAGTCAAAAATGTGTACCGAGCTTCCTGGGGGTGATAGAACATTGAAATATAAGTGTAGTTTGATGATTAAACTCATGGCCCAAAATGCATATTAAGGGAGATATATCCTTCCAAAGTTGATAAAATTAAAATAATTTCTACGCATAACTTCTGAACGATGAAAGCCACCCGATTGAAATTTTGTGCATGAATGTATGTTGTCAAAATACATTTTTTCGTCACACTTCCACATTTCTGATATTGTTATAAAGGGTGTTTTCAGAGGGTGAGTCATGATTTTTTGTAGAAAACTTTCTTCCCTGTATTATTTTCGGAGAAAAAACAGGAGCATTTGATGGAGCGAAGAAAATTACATGGAAAAGGTACTCTTATTCAAATACAAAAAATTGAGCCGTTCGTGAGATATTTGAGTTTTTGTAATTACATGATATCAGCAGATTGATTTTATTCATCGCGAGATTCATCGGTAACAATATTTTAGCAGGCCATGATGAATAATTTTGCTCTCAATTTTGACGTTCATGTCATCAACATTCGAGTCAACATTGTTGTAGTTGATTTGTTCGTGTGGTTTTTCTGTGTCATTTATCACTGCGATTATCAACTGAGATTTTAAGAAATATATGGCAGGTTATTCGTTCTCTGAACAAACTTTGACTCACCCTGTATATATATATATATATATGTCTCTGCTCTACTGGTTTTTGTTAAAGCAGCAGTTTTCAAGACATACCAGAAAGAATATCAACATTCGAATCATTATACGTATACCAAACAACCTTCTTACCTTTTCCTGTATTTCCCCCAACGAGCATGTAATTTTCTGTCTCTGATATTTTCAATACGTTCGTCAGATCTTTCAAAGTGTGCACTTTTATCCATTTAGATGCACCAAGCTGGAGGCAATAGTTTTTCGAAGTTTCCACAGAAAGCATTTCCTCGGTCCTCTGTCGATAGTCGTAATAGTGGCAAGGTTTCAGATCCTCAATGTCGATTATTTCATCTATTATATAACAAATTCAACAATATCAATATTGATATAGAAAACACTCTTTAGATGAGATATACTCAATATCAAGATAAGTTAGTGATGAGTTTTTCGTTTTCATCCCGAATTCATATAGGTACAGGCATAGTAGATGGATTCAATAAAAGAATCATACAATTGAAACTGATATACAATTCAACCATGTATGAAATAGAGTACTCAGTTCATCAGAATTCTTTAATTCAAACAGTAAGGACTGAAAATATCAGTTTATCCAACACATTACAGTTATGACTGTCATTATTAATGTCATTTTAGACAAGTAAACTATCAAATATCACACTAGATCGGTACAGATGCTGATAGTGCTGGAAGACGCCGACACATTAAAACCTTCTATTTTTTCTGCAATTTGTATTTTGTTATGCACCAATTCTTCTAGTTATCCTTCTGCTACTGCCGAGGACTCCCATCCTCCGTGACGCTTCAAAGTAGTCATATTAGCCTTTGTCGTTGCATTGGCCAAAAGAGTCGCCGAAGACCTTCTCAGGCAGTGACCCGTGTAGAGCTCTGGTTCCTCCAAATTCAGAAACTTTGCAACTCTTGAAGGTATCTTCGGCAATGTATTTATTCCCAAACAGTGACTCACTGGCTAGTACACCTCCCACTTTTGTAAAAAACAAAAAAGCGATAGAACTAGTATTCTTTGGTCTCAAAGACATGTATTTTTTACACAAATTGATCGGGTTGACTGGAAATCCTTCTTCAAGTATAATGAAACTAACTCCTCGATTTCTTGGTTTTGGTGTCTGGCAAAACAACGTGAAAATATTTCCCTTTGTCTTGAATATTTTCTATTTTCAAATTGACCAATTCATCGCATCTACAAGCACCGCTAATCTCCATTATCAAAGCCACTTTCATCAACAAGTACTCGCCATCGGGAGCTTCGTTCAAAAATTTCTCTATTTCAGGTCGTTTTAATGTCTTGGACATCTTTGGTTTGTATCCCTGTAATTTTCTTTTCAGAAAGCCCGTTAGTTCACCATATTTCGAAATGTAAATTACGCAAGTGGCTTTGATTTGATCACAAAACCCATTAATTATTATCTCATAAAAAACAATTTCTTCCACTTGTTGGATAAAACATTGTATGCCACTCTTGTGTTATGTTTCCTAAGCCACTTGAGAATTTATACCACTCGGCCTAACAAAAAGCCTCGTGGTATGAATATTTCTCGCGTGACTTATTTTCAACATAACACACTAGTACCATAAATAACTATTAATTCACCCTACTCCTGCTATCTCCCATCTCTTACATTATTGTACCTAATAGGTATCTCATTATGTGTTCATCATACCAGCATCTGATGCCAATTTCTTGAAGGCGGTTAGTATAGGTCTGTACCCGGTACATCGGCAAATGTTGCCCCCAAAGGAGTTTTCTATCTGCTGTTTGGTCAACTGTCCAGATTCGTGGAGGGCGAACATATTCATAACCATGCCAGGAGAACAAAAGCCGCATTGGGTGCCGTCATTATCGGCCAGCAGCTTCTGGATGGGATGCAAACCGATCAAAGAATTCCCGATCCCATCGATGGTATGGATTTTCCATCCATGGCAAGATAGAATGGAAACGAGACACTGAAATCGATAATGATACATCATAATATATTATTAGTATTCCACACTTGAGAACTGGAATTCGTTCGTGTATGAGCAGCATTGGCTGGTCTGTTATACAGATCATTCGATGTCCAAATGTGTGCATTTATAAATTGAAGTTGGTGTGGCCAAGCATTTTTTGTATCGGTATATATTTAATATATAATTTTTTTCTGTGACGGGAAAAAAGTTTGGCATTTCATCTCTGTTGGCAGGTTATAAAATGTCACTTTTCATAAATTACTTTTTTCCCGTGGGAAAAAAGTGAGTACTTCTTTCCCGGATATATATCACATATTATATATATTCTGTTAATGGCTATTGTTGTGCTATAGTTCCGAAAAAAGAGTCAATAATACCGTCCGAGAAAGAACTGCAAGTCCTTTTATCTTCCATTCGACTTCGCGGTTTCGTATATTACTAAACAACTACTGAATTCGCAATTTTTCAAAATCAAATCACAGAATTGAACTGACAGAAGTGACATCAGATATTTGATTACTTCAAAAGAATGATAAAGATGTCTATAAAACGCAGGTGTCCCTACTGTTAAAAACTTGAAATTTCACGTCGCTAATTTTCAGATTTCGAAATAATGTAATATCTTCTCAATATTGATTCGTCCTTCCTTCTGTCACAGAAAAAAATAGTGTATTATACACGGGGAAAATATTAGATTTTAGCTCCAGGTTGTGTTGTCTCCCGACGCGTAGCGTCCCTTGTATAATAAATAACTATTCTTGGTTTCACAACAAACAATAACTATTCAAATATCAAGGGAGCATGAAAAAGTGTATGAGATAATGAGAAGACAAAAAGGAATTTGTATTTGTTTCATATAATAATTAAAGATACTGAAGACTTGGATTGCACGGATCTTATCGACGCCAAAGAAGCATACTGTAGCAAATTGATTCGATCTCCTATCGAAGGTAATATTTTTCCCTCCGTGGCAATTGATCAATTAATGCTTTTTGTTTGTTTGATTGAAGTGCAAACGCCTACTTTCGATTCAATGGGTAGATAATAGTAGATTGTTTTATTAAGATCGAACAAACAAAATCAACTTTAGCTCCTAGAAACTAAACGTATTACCTAGCAACATACCTATGTTTGTGTCAGTAATAGAAACTTCAAGTCAAGAGCTAATTTTGGAATTAGAATGGACGACTTTTGTGTCGGTTGCAGAAAAACGTAAGTTCCGTTATTACTTACTGAGTTAACAGCGAAAACATTTCTCTTTCCATCAACAATTTCTTCAACTGCTACTATGCATGCCCCACAGCCTCCTTCCAAACACATTCTCTTCGTTCCTGTGAGGTGAGCTTTCTTTCGAAGGTAAGTATTAAGGGTTGTTTCCGGACCAACATCGTTCGCGGATACTAAAATCAGGAAGGGAAAAATTCGAATTGAATAGACCAGCCTATAAAAAGTCTTGGAATTCTTGAATGTTCAATTCAAATGCATTTGATTTCGACTCAAAAAAACCCGCGCTGGATAACTTCAGGGTATATTTAAATGATCGTGATATCGTAGTAATCGTTGAAATATTTTTTTCATTTGCCGCCTCTCACATAATCGTATTTTAGTTCTGACATCAATCATTATACTGTCACTGCTGATAAGTTCACAATTGTCTGTTTTTCGTTAGAATTTTCAAACGATAACGTTTCCTATTTCGTCGTTGTCGTGTTGAAAAGAGGGATGGCTTATTCCTCGGAGTAGAATGGCAGTCATTAATGGTGGATGGAGTTACTCGGTAGTGGCCTGCATGCATGAGTACCTGGCGAGATATCCTAATGTACAGATTCAAGAATCTTCTTCGAAAGCTCACAACAGAACAGTGATCAACAGATTCATCCAAACTGAAAACGTCAATAAAAAGAAATCAACCAGAAGGCCCCAAGTATCGGAAGAAGTTGTCGAAAATCTAAGGGCGCGTCGTGTTTATCAAAATCCTCAAACATCTTTGAAGAGATTACCCTTACAATTTGGTATTGTGCCACTGAGTACGCAATATCAAGTGCTCAAGAAGAGATTGAATTTGCATCCTTACAAGACCAGTGTACTAGAGCAACTTCCGCCAGTAGATACCTCACGTCGTCTGGAGTACTGCCAATGGTTCCAAAATACCCTCAAATATTGGACCTAACATTTTTTTACTGATATTGCTTGGTTTCATTTGTCGGGATTCATCAACTCACGAAATATGGAGATCTTGGAGATCAGAGTCTCCACAAATTCATTGGGACTGGATGTTGAAACCATTCATTAATCGACTTGATTATGAAGAAATTTTGGGGGTTGGCTATTTTCAGTAAGATGGGGCCACTGCCCAGACCACACGTGCAAATTCAGCATATTCACATGAATTTTATGACAACCGCGTGATGAGTCGAGGAGTTGATCCTTCCTTGAAGAGCTGCAAGCCTCAATAACACATTGCTGCCAGAATATTGGCCCGGATATGCTGATGAACATTTTCGGCAACAAACGGCGAAGAGTAATGAAATGCTTGGGAAACAACGGAGAAGATTTTGAATATCCAATGTAGGTAAATGAAATAAACCGTTTCAACTCCATTTAGTCAATGAACAAATTTTTCAATACAAGGTGTACAAAGGAAAATCTCCTAAAGGAACCATTGGACGTGATGAAAATGAAAAACATACGATGTAGAACACATAGATACGTCATAGAATTATACCCTCCAAGGGAGCCCTCAGAGGCGGCCGATGCAGGCCTCGACGATGATTTTTGTCTAACAAACCTGATGACAGTCATGGGGGAGCTGACTCCTGTTTGGAGTAAACCTTTTAATACAGCTCATGTCAGTGAGTTGCCCAGGGCAGAAAAGATTGATCGTCGGTTGCTACCTTGTTCTCTCTAATTTAACGTTTTTTCGTTGGAAAAGATAAACAAAAACCAACTTTTAAAAATTCTCTGTGAAAGACTCTATGAGGGATGAGGGGTGGAATAGGTGTGGGAGGGTGATTGGGATCTAATAGACTGATTTCGTATCGGCAAAGAGACTATAGTTTTGTTAGCCGATTGACGTGCTTAGTTGTCTGGGTCCAGCTTCATGGTGATGCTCCGATAGTCGTTCAGCCGAGCCACATAGCGTTTAGTCTATACCCAGCCAAACGACCACCGTTCAATTCAACTCCTCAGCTGTTTTGTCTAGAGTCAGTCTATTGGGGATGAGCAGGGGAGGGGGGAGTTAATCAGGGACTTTCCTGAATACATCGCTGGCTTCATATATCAGCCCATGTTACCTACGGATGTCATGATCTGCCCTTATTCTTCAATAAATATTTTCGAATTGTTCCATTATTCAAAGTCCAATGTTGTACTCGCCTTCTTATGAGATACATTCCCATGGTGTATGCGTATGCAGAGATCCTGTATATGATCACTTCCTCTCTTTTTGGTCGTTTCAATGTTGTCAGCGTTAGTAGAAAGCGGCAAATGGACAGAAAAAATTCATCAGCTACTACGATCTTACCTGTACCTACACAACACAAATGATTGTACCTTCCTTATTTCAATCGGCACCCTGTATATTTTTTTCCGAATTTGAATACTTCTAATTAGAATTACCTTTTTCTACAAACGCCAGAAAGTGAAAAGGTTCGCGCATTGATAACAATTTGCGAAGTGACGCTTTTTTTCAGTTTCCTACGTTACCACGAAACCATGTGCGAAGCAGTGCGCGAAGTAAAACGATGCGCGAAGTACATACTTCGCGCATTGTTATGTAAACTATGTATGAGATTTTTGTATTTCAACTTTATGGTCCTCAATCTAGCAAACATCCAAGAAATAATGTATTTCTGAATGTTTATCTCTTGGGGCGCATGAAAGGAAGTTCCTTAGGGAGGATAGGGAGAGAGGCCTTTTAAGCCAGTTCAACCCTATTTTTTATATTAAGTTGAACATATTACTTCAGAACTATATTTTTCGACGTTTGTAGAAAAAAAATTTGTTTGCAACTACTTATTTTATTCGGCTGCGCCTCGTTGAAAAACTATTATTCGAATTTTGTATCTTAAATAAGATGAAAGAGGAAGCGTATTTTGCAATTTCAATTAAAATAATTGAAGTAGGCTACGAAATTTTACTTCGCCTTTCATCAGATCACGATAAATTTTTGCTTGCAAATTCAGAAACTTGATAACCTACGACAAAATGTCATCTTAACGTCCAATTGAAATTGAAAAAACAACGAAAACGAATATAGGACACAATGTGAAATGGAAAGTCTCAAGCAAAATCGAAAATGCATGTTATAATGCAAAATAATATTTATATTTAAATACCATTTAAATAAACATGACTTATTTTGACCTCAACCCGTGTGAACTATATTTTTTCGAATGCATACCACAGTATTTTTCACTTGATAGGTACTCAGTACGAGATATTTCACTTATTCCAAAAGATTGAGATTTGGGGTATCAGCGAACATTGGATATTTTTTTGTTCTGCATATTCAAATAACAAAACCTTGGGTTATATTTGAATAAAGACACCGAGCTCAGAAAACTGACTACGTCACTAGTCTATACGTGAAAAAATATATGAGACAGTTTTAACTTTTTCTGTGAATTGAAAGATGAGATACAGAGGGGTCCCAAAATGCATATAATTTTCAATTTAGCCCTGTATCTCAAAAACGAAGCGAGCTATGAACATTTTGTTCGTGGTATCAGCAACATTTGCAGAAACCGCAAATCTCATTCTCTAAAAATAAGCGTGATATTCTGTAAGAACATCAAAAATGGGACTGTAAAAACTCTAATAAGAATAAGTAAGTTATATTTTTATATCATAGTACATCATATTATTATTCATCAGATTTGGGAGATTATCAATTCTCAATTCCAGAGGATTTTTATTTTTCATGCTCTCCTTTTGGATGTTAACAGATACAATTTAATGTACAGCTCACTCATTTTTGAACCGATTTAAAAAATTTTTTTCCCGTTGCATCAGAAAATACAGGGTGCTTGAAACAAACAATCTACAGAGTACTACTTGATTTTTTCAAATGGAACACTCCGTATTTCATTGTGTTTTTAGATTCTGCCTGAAGAGCTGATTTCATCGATACATCACCATTGGGGGTCTAGCGGGAATGATTACAGAAATATAGGGTGTTCAAAATCGAGATTTTTCAACTTTAAGATTTTTTTGTGTCGAAACTATTCATTATTGGTCAAAACGGCTTCTATGTCCCCATCTCAACTTTTGATTTAACATATAATTCAATGTTCGTCGTGGCATATATATAGCCAGAAAAGTAGTTGTTTTCTGTTGAATAAACCGATAAATAATTGATATTTTCATCTCATAGAGAATGCAAATTCTCAATGTATTTCTTTATATACAGTGTGACCCACATCTAATGGAAACACCTTTGTATCTTACATAATCGTTGGGTAAGGATCCTGAAATTTGCTGGAGCGAGAGATATACCAAAAATGCACTCAATGACCAAGTGGGGTCATCTTCAGTGATATACACTGCTCGCCAACAGCCATGGAACCACCCCAATTTCCGGTGAATGATATTAGGAGTCAAAATAGGTGGAAAATCACTTCAGATTCGGACGCTCAATTCACTAACTACTCATATTTTTCCTGGAAAATTTTCAGTTCTGAAAAATAAAATTTTGTCGCAGTTTTCTTGGAAGCACCCCCGTATCTTACGTAATTGACTTTATCCTTGGACTTTTCCTTCCTCCTGCAAATTTCAGAACCCTACCTCAATAATTACGTGAGATACGGGGGTGCTTCCATGAGGAGTTAGACAAAATTAAATTTTTCTGAACTGACAATTTTTCAAGAAAACTATGGATAGTTATTGAATTGGACGTCCTGACTCCGACTCCGAAGTGATTTTCAACCTATTTTGACTCCTAATATCATTTTTCGGAAATTAGGGTGGTTCCATCGCTGTGGGCGAGCAGTGTATATCACTGAAGATGACCCCATTTGGTCATAGAGTGCATTTTTGGTATGTCTCTCGCTTCAGCAAATTTCAGAATCCTTACCCAACGATCACGTAAGATACAGGGGTGTTTCCATTAGAAGTGGGCCACACTGTATATATCCATTTTGTGATGTTAATAATTTATCTTAGAATATTCCATTCCTTATAAGAGACTTGAAAAGGCCCGATATAAAGATTTTTTCGGTTGGTATAGAAAACATTAGAAAGGATAAAAGATATAGGTATTTCAATCACTTACCTTTATATTCTTCGCCACCAACAGAAAACTTGATATTTTGAAGCTGTAACATTTTCAAATCTCTTATTCTAGGACCCCCGTACATTGAAACTATTGATTTATTCGGTAAGGTCTTATCATAAACTTGTCTTTTGCATCACATTCATAATTATTCTGAATGCACAATGCGAGCATGAGAAGTTGATATCAAAATATTCAATGATTGATATCCAATAATTTCTATATTTACTCATATTACGAATCATAAACAATTCTGGGGTTCACCAACTATTGAGCGTGATATCAAATTATGAGAGCTTGATAATTCCGTTTTTTTTCTTTTATATTTCAATGAACCACATAATCAACTAAAGATATAAAGAAATAGAAGCAGAAATAATGGGTCTGAAGGAGCATACTACCTACCGCACCCATCCATCAAGACTGATGCAGAAATAAAGAATTGGAATATGGCATTAAAATTAAAATTACTTATTTCTCTAGATCTTCTTGTATTTTCTTTCCTCCTTTCTCTAAATGCAAATATATGAGTATTATTTCAATATACCTACAGGGTATATCTGCATTGAATCATGAATTTTGAAGGTTGAACGGATCACTCACCATAATCACAGCCAACGAATAATTTACTTGGAGTGCAGAAAAGTGGGTCTAGACAGTGAATGTGGAACATTGAAAACATTTTCAAATGTAAATCCCATTTTTTCTCCTCATGATTCAATTCTTCTCAAAAATAAGCCCCATTTAGCTCTAATTGAATATCCCATACCGAAAATCCATAATTTCGGAGATGTTCCATAAATAAAACCTACTAATTTCTGCATATTAACTGCGTGAAATTTTGGATGTTTCTAGTAGTCTGGCAAAACATCTATCGTCAGCATGAATAAAATCTCTGTATATTTACTTAAATACATATTTAAATATCATAGTATATTATGGAATCATATAGATGTAAATTATGGAATACCCGTCAAAAAATACTATATTGATTATAGAGTGTATTGTTTATAGTCGTTCAAGGAGTAGAGATATGCTTCTTCGACTGTCGTGGGTCCATCTGAAAATCACAAATCAAAAAGCAGTTATTAGTATTCCGAATGGTTTTATTTTTGCACTGTAAAGTGCATATTGAAGTAGCATACCGTACAATGATAGAACACTCACCGAATGGTATCCAAGTTGCTTGTTTTGGATCAGCTTCTCTCCTAGCTGAATCTAAAGCATTTCTGATACCTAACGGTACAGATACCGACAAACAGAGCGGTGGCTCAGCAACAGCTGAAAATAAGTTTATAGAATTGACTGGTATCATTCCATTTCGAAATGGTTTGATTCTCATATAAATCACGTAATGAATCTATCTCATTCATAAAAATTGGGAAAACCTTTTGATTTGAGTACCCCCAGAGTGGTTTCATGATTTCCAGTAGGGAATTTGATTCTGAAATCGAGTGGGATATCTTTTGCTCCAGGAGGTTTGTACGTCCAAGTACGGTTCGTCAGAAGTTTACCATCTGAATCGTGGATTATGTTCTCAGTTGTATGATAGCCAAGTCCTGAAAATTTGTCCAGGTTTTATTGAAAGTAAAAAATGCCACCAATCTATATCTCACCCATGATAAAAGCTCCTTCAACTTGTCCGATATCTATGTATGGATTCATACTTTCTCCCAGATCTTCAATGATGTCTACTCTCAAAATTTGCCTTTGTCCGGTTAAGATATCTAATTCCACTTCAGTTGCACAAACTCCAATGATTTTGTATTCCTCAACTCCTGGTGCATTACTTGCGAAACTGAAATGTCGTCAAAATCATTTTGTAACAAGTGCTACTACGTGAATAACTGATAGAATTCAGATCTCAGAATTACTCACAAGCCAGTAGCCGACAATTGAATATTTTCGGTAAAACATTGATTGACCAATTCTGGCCAGGTTGGGTTTTTCATCTTATCCCTAATTGGTTTCATTCTCTCGATAAGAGTCTCGCAAGCCTTAACAACGGTCTACAATAATTGGAATACTATTATAATAATCTTTATTTCAATGATCATCTTAACTCACATAACAAACAGCCTCTGTAGTCAAACTTCCGCCGGATGAGGAACCATTTGGAGTGATACAATTATAATTTGGTTTTATCGACACCAAGTTCATACTTATCCCAAATTTGTGGGCACACATTTGTGCTACCTGAAACGCCATAAAAATTCAACATATTGTCAAGAATCGATCAAAACTATAATAAATTTATTGGAAATATTTGAAATTCCCATTTCATTTAAGAACAGTACAATAACCTATTCTAGATCATATTCTTAGAATTATTTAGCATACAGGATATCAGTAGAGAATTACGATATTCAAAGGAAATTATAGTTCGGATTTCAATCCTATGATCATTCAAGTAAAGTCGCTGACGGGCAGAAACTGCTGGTTTTGGATTTTTCCTAATCGAGGTGAATACACTAGTTTTTATGCTGAATCAATTACCACTACCAAAACCGACATGAAAAAGTATTGGAGAAAAAACCGGCAGTTGTGGTTCGGACAGTGGACCGTAAAGGATAGTCTCTTCAAATTCCCTAACAAAAAAGTAAATCTTGAACATTTTTGCATCATGTCTAAACTTCGTGAGTGGCAGTTCCAATCCCCCAACGAAAAGCGAGCCTTTCTGTAAGTACGTTTTTTAATATTACTAGTTTTGGTTTTCTTGTTTTGTTTTTATTTGAGTTGGATGTATCTTGCTGGGAAATTGGTCAATTCATCTCATGCCCGAATTGTTTTTTAATAAAGATGAATAAATTTGTGAAGTTGAGTTGAATTCTTTGATTATAATTTTCATAAAACCTCTTGCAAGCGAGTAAGTTCGAGTTACGATTGTGGGGGTTAGAACCCACTCGTGACATTTTGGTGGAGACAGGGTATTTCTTGAGTACGTGTAGAAAATTCAGGAGGTGCTGATGTCAAAATAAGAAGAAAAGTTTGTACAAATATATGTCCGAAAATTATTCGTTTCTGAGATACAGAGTGTCAAAGTTGAATTTTCATTTTTGTTTCTTGTTAATTAATTCCAAAATAATTGTGATATTCGAATAAAGTCTGGTATCTAGGGGTATTTTTCAATGACAATATGAAATTCTATGTTAGTTTGTCTCTCTCGTGGGGGTGGTGCCACCGATAAGTCTTTTGAGTCTTTTGAAAAGTCATAACTATTTTGTGTGAAAAATCTATTGTTGGTAGAGGTCGCTGCGAGCAACTGTTTTCGAGTTATTCGGATTTGAAATAATCGATGCATTTGAATTATATCCATGGGGCTCGTAAGATTTTGCGCAATTTTTCTCGTGGTTGTCTGTGGATCTTCCTCGGGATTGCCAGAAGAACAGATTCTTTAATTGCTGGAGTCCTAGTAGTCAACGGTCTGCCTATCACTGGAGCTTCTTCAAAGGATCCAGACTCCATGAGCGCCGATTAAGATTTCTGAATGTCTGGTGATTCGGCAGATGATTAGGAAATCTTTCATTATAAATACGTATAGCTCATCGTAGCAATTGCCATCGGCAAGGCCGTATACGTATCATATTAGCCATTTCGCTATTCATGTATGCTGCCATTAGAAAAAGCTTGAACCACAAGGTACAGAAGACAGCAAACTTTACTGTCACAAGAACGGATTGAAATAACATGACCAGTACCCACCTGATTGTAATTTCCATCTTCTGCCTACATGCCAATGTTGAATATGGGAGAATATCGAATGAAAGAAGAAAAATGCAGTGGCGTATTTTATCTGATATTCACCACTTAGAAGCGACTTACGAGCCCCATGAAAATAATTCAAATGCATCGTTTATTTCAAAGCCCAATAACTCGCAGCGACCTCTACCAGGAATATATTTTTCACACAAAAATGTTCTTTGAATCTATTTTTCAACCATAAAACGTGATACAGGTACGCCTATAAAAGTTATGACTTTTCAAAAGACTCAAAAGACATGTAGGTGGCGCCACCCTCACGAATAAGACAAACCAACATAAAATTCGATAGTGTCATTGAAAAATACCCCTAGATACCAAACTTCATTCGAATATTACAATTATTTCTAAATTCAAGAAAACAAAAATAAGAATTCAAATTTGACACTCTGATGTATCTCAGAAACGAAGAACTTTCGGACATATATTTATACAAACTCTTTTTCTTATTTTGACGTTAGCAACATGCTCCTGAATTTCCAACACGTACTTAAGAAACACTCTTTAAACCACTTTGTATCAAGGTTTTTTTATATCATCCCCAAGATTGATATACCTATAATATAATTATCAACCATACACCCTTCCTGATATTTTTTCATTCTTCTTATGGGAATAAATGACCACTTCCTTGCATGCAAATAAATAATGCACACAATGATAATGATTGTGATAATGACAAAAAAATTATAATTAAAGACTATATTGAACCTTTGTATTGATTCCTTGGCCCATTTCAACACCCCCATGTGTGATAACCACTCCGCCATCACCGTGGAAAATTGAAACTAACACTGTATAATTTGCTCCAACTAACAGAGTCCATGCCATGGGTACGAGTGACATTCCTTTCTTCTTCCAACGATTTTCCTAAAAAATCAGAGGAGTAATAGCAAAAAAACTATGTTACCTGTACGTATTGATTCTAAAGGAGAGATTGATAATGTATTTTCAACTATATGTTTCGGGCCAATTAGATATCTTTCTAGTATCTGCTTATTGATGATTGAAGCATATATAGGGTGTTTCAAGAAAACCTGACCCCCTTGCTAGGTCGTAACGGCATCCGTTCGCAAGATACAAGGTGTTGAAAAAATGTTTTTTTTACACATTTTTCACGATTATGTCAAAACTCCTGACTGTAATGACATTTTCAATGAATGTGTTTTCGAAGCTGATACATCGCATGATTTTGTTTTTATATCTGACTCTCATAGAGGGCGCTAGTTACACGCTTTGTACCGAGCAGTTTCATTTTCGGAATATTTCGATTTAAAAATGATGAAGTCAAAACCGTCGTTCATTCGTTTGAGATCGACGCTTGCGTCTCGGTTAACTAAACTATACCTTTTCAACTTCAATTTCGGAAAAAGTAATCTTGATTTCAGAATTGGTTAGTTCGATTTCAGAAATGGTGAACTCAATTTCAGAATCGGTGAGATGAATTTCAGAAAAAGTCCATTCAATTTCAGAAATGGTAAGTTGTATTTGAGAATCGGTAGGTTCAATTCCAGAAAAAAATTCTTATATTTGTTCGAAATGTTTCCAATTGTATGTGAGATTAACAAACCATATTTACAATATTCAACTTGTCAAAAACAATTCAATAACATAATTATAATCTCAATTTAATCCACAGATGCCTTCCATCCGAATCGCTGGAAGATAATAGCGTTCAGACACATTTGAGGTGTTATCATTTTCACATTCCTTAAGACATCGCAGTCTGAATTCTATCTGGTTGAGCAATCTGTTCGGATCCCCAGCTATGACCCTTTGGCGATGCTCTTGCAAGAAGCTCGTCACTTCTGAGGCACCCCATATATGTTCAATCTGATTCAACATAGGGCTCTCAAACACCGTTCATCCACTGTAAACAATCTTCTCTTTTGCAATTAAAAACATTTCAAACATATGAAAGGATTTCATCTCCTGAAATTGAACCTACCAATGATAATTCTGAAATACAACTTACCATTTCTGAAATTGAATGGACTTTTTCTGAAATTCATCTCACCGATTCTGAAATTGAGTTTGCCATTTCTGAAATCGAACTAACCAATTCTGAAATCGAGATTACTTTTTCCGAAATATAACTCACCGATTCCGAAGTTGAAGTTGAAAAGGTATAATCTCACGACAGGAATGAATCACTTCCCACCTCGGTGTGTAATAAACTATTACTGGACCATCCACTGAATCCAACTCATAGGTAGGTCCTATAATACTAACCTGATTGAAGTCGGCAATAGCTTTTTTTCGGTTTGAAATATCTCCCCAAGTTTGCATTTCCCTCCAATAATCAACCACTTTGGGAAATTTCGTTTGATTCATATTAGCTGCTTTGACATCGCTGGGATCTAATTTCAGTGTGAATGCTATGTGTTCCATGATACTTTCAATCGAAGCTAAAGCTTCCGCAGTACCTGACAATAAAAAAAAATAACGATCTTCAAAATTCGATCGGGTTACTACGCAATATGCAATTGAAGACCTTAGAGCAATACAATGGTAAGCCTCAAAATCAAAAAGTTGAGATATTACGGTTTAAAGTTTTCAAAAATTCTGTAAAAAGATGGTTTTGATTAAAAGATCCCAAACTTTGTCAGTACATTATGTCAAAGAGGGAGAAAGATGAGCAACTCTTATTTACAAAAAAAAACATTTTTTTTTTACAAAAAATGGAGTTTATTTTGAAAAAAATGTGGCTTAACATGTTTTTGCTTAAACTAAACTCATCATAAAAATAACTGAAAAAATACAATACTACTCATCAAGGATTTCAATCTCTTCGTCTGAATTGTCAACAGCAACATTTAGTTGCGTATAAAATGCATGCTCTGGCGATTCATCCTAAAACATAATAAAATAAGACTTAAAATGCAACATAAAAAAAATAAAAAAAAGTTTACGCAGTAACATGTTAAGCCACATGGCATACCATGTTCTTGCATAAAGTAGTTACAAAATATTTTTACATAAGAACATGGTTAGCCAAAAAAAAAAGAAAATGTAGCCTACCTCTGTAGAATCCGACGATATATCATCGCTACTTGGTACAAAGTCTTTGTCGGCACAACTGTCATCACTATCCTCAAAAAAATCAGAACTTGAACCGCTATTTCCACTAAAAACGGCCCTCAAATGAGCACGTGTACTGGAGGTCGACGCCATTGTGATATGGCTTACCACGTTTTACGCGACAAAATGACGAAATTTGGCTGCCTGCAATAACACGATGCAGCGATCGCTCCGCCATCTATTGCCTTACAGTCGAATTAATTTTTTTGTGGCTTAACATAGTTTTCGCTGAGTGATTTATGCAATAAAACAGGTTTCTGTCAAAGTTTGGCTTACCATTGTATTGCTCTAAGGTCTTCAATTATTCGAACTGCCAATTTATTTTGAACTAGAGTCAATGTTATTCAAAAATCCAACATAAAAGTAAATAATAATTTTGAAATATGTTATCAACTTTGATAATTCAATGTCGAGATTTCAATAAGAATATTAGGAGTATTCTTGAGAAACTACGTATAAACTATCATATTTTCATCATTACTTCGGAATACAGAGTTACTCATTTTTCCATGTTTCCGGAAATGTCGTTGATTATTGTCTATCGACTTCTCAATCGTTGATCGTTAAACATGTGAGTTGTATAGGGTATTTTCAGTGGTGAGGCATCTCAACAGTACATGTGTAGAGCTTATGATAGTAAATTCTTTTCACCAAAAATCTCCTATTTATCATTGAAGTATTATTAATATTATTATCGTGAACGCGTTCCATATTGTATACCAAATGTAAAGTGAAAATCAATTGAGAAAACGATTTCATCACAACAACGCCATACGCCACACTATGCTACACGAATACACAAACTTGCATGGAGTCTCGTCGATTGAAGGATTAAAGTATTGAAGTAAGGTTTTACATTCTTCCGACCGATTAGCCTGACCTCGTTCCTATTACAAACTCTAGAAAAAATTCTAGACAGGCACATTAGAGAGGAGAATCTGAGGGAACATCTCCTAAATCCCAATCAGTATGCCTACCAAACAGGCAAATCTACGGATTTAGCACTGAACAATCTTGTTGGAATGATCAGCCATCTAACGATCATAAAGAAATTGCACTAGTAGCTTTCCTAGGAGCGTTCAATAATGCCCTATCACAATCACTCTATATGGCAATGCAAGGTACAGGAATCAGCAGGCAAATATGTAACTGGATCAAAACCATATGATTGGAAATCGGTACGACATATCATCACTGCATGAAGAGTCCATCAGGTTTATAGCAGAAAAAGGTTGTCCTCAGGTGGTCATTCCAAGTTGACTTTCTGCTGAACGATCTTTCCATGCAGGGTGGATTTCCAATGTTATTCAGATGATCAAGTCCAGATAGTGAGAGGAAAATTTAAATGGACGATCTCAAACGGCCTACAAGAAGCCCTTAACACTGTTTACAGATGGTGCGAGTGGGAGCAGATGTCTGTGACTCCCTGAAAACTGCAATTATCCCATTTACCAATAGGCGAAAGCTAGATAAGCTTCTTCAGCCTGTCCTATATGAAGAGAGCTTACCGTTTGCGGCGGAGGCGAAATATTAAGGTGTCACCTAAGACTCACCTGGAACGCCCACATGGCCAAAACTATCAACAAAGCCAGATATTCCCTCTGGAATCTCAGTAGGGTTTGCGGCAAATCATGGGGAATGAACCTCAAACAGATTTACTAGATTTACTAAACAATGGTAAAACCAATGATCACGTATGGCTCGTTAGTTTGGTAAACCAAAGGTCGGCAGGGGACAGCCAGGGCGAAGCTCGCTGGTCTTCAGCGGCTGGCATGCATGAATATTACAGGGGCGACGTCTTCCACTTCAACGGCAGCGATGGAAAACCTCCTGAATATCACTCTCCTCCACATTTCTTGGAGAGGGTAGCCAGGATGGTTACCTATAAATTCCTGTCACTGGAAAATCAAATTAGAGGGGGGCGACTGCTGGGCCACTCCGGGATACTGTGTGAAATTAAAAATCACCAAACTCTAGGAATGAATCTCAACATGTTGGCTACTCAGACATAGGTGAAAAAGTCCTCTTTTCGAAGAAAGACAAGTAATAGGATCAATTCAATTCCCAGAGACCGAACACGTAATGTCCACAGATAGTTCAAAAACCTTGCTTGGTGTTGGAGCCGGTGTGTTCAGCAGAAAACCGAACACGGAAATCTCAATCAATCTCGGTAGGTATGTTACAATCTTTCAGGCGGAGGTCTTCGCGATATGATTGTGTGCTCGAGAGTTGACGAATAGACCTCTAGTAAACAAAAACTCAGACAGTCAGGCTGCTCTCAGAGCACTGAGCTCCAGCAAGATAAATTCCATGCTTGCATGCAACTGTATTGAATCCCTAGAATGCCTGGGTGCTAACAACAGAGTTGCTCTGCTGTGGGTGCTTGGACATCAGGGGGAGGAAGGCAACGAAGAAGCCGACATCCTCGCCAAACAGAGAACCTAATCTGTGTTCATAGAACAGAAACCATACTTTGGGATCTCCGCAAGTGCGGCCAAAACAACTATCTCGGACTGGGCGGGAAAAAGACTGACGTATACTGGTCTGAACTACCAGGATTAACCCATTCGAAGGCGTAATTGCCTAATCCATCGAAAAATGTAACCAGTAAGATCCTGGATGGACTGTCGGTTCTGCTGGGTGGAAAACTAAACGGCTAAACCCATACTATGTTCTTGCCCTCACTTAGAGAGAGACAAAGGTTCGACATATTTGGGTATACACTACATTGTTTCACCACTAACCAAACCGATTTTTTGAAACGCCTCCACACGTGTTTCGCTAACTATGTTAGAAGTTCAGTTTTAATCTTCTCCTGAAGATGCTAACATAGTTAGCGAAACACGTGTCGAGGCGTTTCAAAAAATCGATTTGGTTGGTGGTAAAACAGTGTAGTGTATTATCGTGCCAAAGGTTCCAGTCTTCGATATATATTTTGGTATACGAATTTAGAACCTACCGAATTCAGACAAATTTCACCACATTCAACCATGGATTTTGTACAGTGAACTGTAACCTCTTGGGGTGAGCCATAATAGACCCATCCGAGGTCGCAGTGGAGAGGCGGTATTCGTCCCACTCACATGAAACCTAACCTAACCTAAGGTTCTACATCCTGCTAAAGAATGATGCGTCACCTTCCAAAACACGCATAATTCATGAACATGTGGTGCAGCTATCGAAAAGCTAATTTCATTTTACCTGGGGCCCTTGCATAACAAGTCGCAGTAGTATCGGTAGCAACAGTATAGGTAGAATAACTCCAATATTTGGAATCATAACAATTCGTGATCATATCTACCAGCAACGGGTCTATTGGCTCGTTTCCACCAACACCGAAATCACTGTAATAAGAGGCTTCCAAGTACTGAATGACTCCATTGTCGTCAACTCCTACTTCATATTCGACGAATAGAGGAAACCTCTTCCCGATGACATCCATATTCTTTTCTAAAGTCATCGACATTCTCACAGGAACTTTGAGAGTATACGCTGCGAGGGCTGTGGCAGAAGAGATAAGAGCATTTCTTGAGAGTTTAGCTCCAAATCCTCCCCCAATACGACGCACGAAGATACTAATTCTGAAAAAAAATAAGAATTGAAATTTGGGTAACAAAATTTCGAATCATGAGGTACTTGTTCGTCGGGATATTGAGGGCTGCTGCTATCGCCATTTGATTGGCATCCATCGATTGAGTAGAAGGATGAATTTCTATGCCGTCATCATCAGTGGGTACCACATTGCAACACTGAAGTTCCATGTGATAATGATACTGTTGGCCAACGTAAAACTCCCCTTTTATAGTGTGTTTAACATCGGTTCCTAAAAAAACAACATCATCACACCACCTACAAAAATAGAAATTCACTCAACCTTTTCCAGTAGGCACAATTGTCGATTGATGTGTGATTCTTTCTTGTACTTTTGCTTTGACAACTTCTCTCAGGTCCAAAAACGGTTTCGTAGTTGGTGCAGCGTACGTCACATTCACGAGTTCTGCAGCTTGCCAAGCGATTTCTTGATCATTTGCAACAATTACTCCTATGGGCTGATCATAATATTGAACTCTTCCGCTACAGAAGAGTTCCTCTTCGATGAAATTGCCAGCAATCTTCGGCATGAAAGTGTTCAAGCCAGGTATGTCATTTTTGTCCAAAAACCGAACAACCCCCTTCTTTTGCTACAAAATCGAAATGGCGTTATTTATTTTGGAATATATGTAGTTTATCATCTGAGTAAATCCAGCTTACTGTGGAGTGGAGACCAGAGGAGAGGGCGTGAATCATACAGTTAGCAGCACCAAAACTTTTTGAGATATGGTTTTGGTGGAGTCTAATGTGTGTTGACGCCCCCTACTATGTAGTACAAATGCATGGACTAATCAAAATTCCGTGAAAATATTGAGACAAGCAAGATTTGGATTTGATCAACCAATTTTCAATCCTTTTCGAGATTCTTATAGCTCATTGCATCGAGTAGAATATCACTATTCTATCGTTTTCTCTCTGTTCGATGATGACGACCTACAGGGTGATATCAAAATTACTATCTCGCTGTCTAATGTGTTGTACATTTTCAACACACAGGGGGATCCTCCTGTACTAAGACATCACATTTATCAAGAAATCGGAGATCATGATATTAGGCATGCTGGTATAGGTAGGTGGTAGAGGTAGAGAAGTCATTGAAATATTTGTTCACCTAACTCACCAATGCCGGAGAAGCATCAACTGAGACGATTGTGGAGTTTGCTATTGCTTTAGCAGTGACAAAGGCTGCATACAGTTGATTTGGAAGATCTGGTATATCATCAACATATTTCGCTTGACCTGAAAAGCAACGATGCACCCAATGTATACAGAGTATAGCTTTTGTTACTAAGTTCCAATGTTTCAAGGTGAAGTGAAAACAAATGTCATTGTTACCTATCTTCGTACAACAAATCAATGTACGTTTTATTAGGTAGTGAATGTATACTAAGAGGTACGAAATACATATTTTTAAGCTGAACTGAATATTTAGGTAGGTATTAGTTGTTCCAGTGGTAGAACACATTTTCCTAACAATGATTTTTTCACATAATTATGAAATCTTCACTTTTATGTGAATAGTTAAATGGGAGATATTTCACATGAGAATCAAATGCAGAGCATTTTAGAGAGGATTGATGATATGAATTTATATTCATTATTCACAAGTAGGTTTTCATTTTTAACCAGTTTTAGAGAGATATGATTTCCCAGTTAGAAGATAGCATATATGAGTATATATATCTTGTGTTCTAGAGCTAGTGGTGGAAAAATGTTTTTTCGAATTCGAAGAACTCTAGTGTACTGTACCTATTCTAAATTTACCTGAGGTTTGAGCGTAAGCTTCCAGTTTATGCATTGGTTCTGTTAGAGGCCATTTATCTTTGTTTGTACCATATTCTTGAATTCCATTTGAAACTGGTCTTTGGAGCAAAGGACCACCACTTTTATTTCTGTTCGATACCAAATTTTCTGGGCTTATTGTTAGAATGAACTGCAAATATGATGAAACGAAATGAAAAGGTACTATTTCCGGTATATCAAGCTATAGCACTAACCTTATAGAACAAAGAAATAGCTAAATCATGTCTGTATTGAGGTTTTGGGTCTGGTGGAATATAGTCTGGTTGAATTTCTTGATCTAACGTTTTGTAAACTGTCTGCAAAATACTGTTATCGAATAGTTTTTGACCTTTCAAAATATTCTCGGTAGATTCCGCATGGATGAACTGTGGATTTATGCCTCCATAAACGATTGAAGCCCATTCGACGGTTTCGTCGTTTTTCAACTTGATCAAAAATGCAGCATTGACCATCGCGTGTGCATTCTGCGCTCTCGGCATAATCTACAAAAGCATTTTTTCTCATATAGGAAAGAAAATTAATTTCAATGAGAATTGAAAATTCAAGTTAGAAAAGTATATTTTTCTACGACTATAACACAAGATTGCTCTTGTTTCACTGTGTTCGATACATCAATCAACTCATTATTCAACGGCACTCGACCAATCACAGATTCAGAATTTTCAGGATCCACAGCAACTGAAAAGGTTAGATTAATGAAAAACCAGCAAATCTACAAAACAAATTTCTCAAGAAGGCTCTGCTTCATTTTACGGGTCACGTCACGGCTTGACTTTCGCGAATGTCAGATTGACTTATAGAGTCTTTTAAGTTTTAACTTTGATATCTGGAGGATATAATGGAGGCTTGCCGTTCCATAGAAATGTACTCTATGAATATTGAAGATATTCAAGATCTTGGATCTCCATGGATGATAACTATTCCTGAGACCAAAACAAAAATTGTAATGAGGTTCACTGTAACCGGGAAATTTTATCAATTTTGTAAAAAGTACATTGATATACGGGCAGCAAATGTTGGGATTTCCAATTTTTTCATGAATTACCAAAAAGGAAGATGTACTCTTTAGAAAATTGGAATTAATAAGTTTGCAGCAATGGGAAAACAAATAGTTACATTTTTGAAGCTACCAAATCCCGAGATGTACACCGGGCATTGCTTTGCTTGTCAATGCAGGTGGAGGTATAACAGCATTGAAAAGACATGGTGGCTGGAAGAGCACATCGGTGGCAAGGATTTCTAGAAGATTCCATGTTGAATAAAAAAAACGGCAGATTCGAATTCTCCAATGAATCGAAGAATGTTCATCATCATCAAATAACAGTTCCTTCACACAAAAAACATCAACTAGCAATATGAATGAAAATGTCAGTGTTGATTTAAATGCAACACCAACAGTAAAATTTAACGAATTGTGAGAATATCACTAAAATTTTATTCACTAAGTACGAGAAACATAATTTACTGACCTAATAATCATTGTGTTGTTTCATCATTGAGTTCGTTGAATATTAAAGATTCCTGTCAATTGTATTATCATATCATTACAATTCATACATCAAGTATATTATTTTCATGAATAATAATTAGACTACATTAAATTTCTGACTATCGTATAGTCGTAGAGAAAGTATAGTCTTCTACTCGCGTATAATAGCTATTATTACACGCTCGGTGAAGAATATACTATTGTATGTCATCAATTTTATTTCCGTATCTAATATCACAATGACTCCATTGTGTTATTATTTCAAAAAAAAACCTCATCGCTTATGGAATGTCAAATTTCAAGCAATGACAGATCGGTCTAATAGATCTGCATTACTTGACACGAAATCAGATGGCTACAAGACGAAGAAATCGAAAATGCCGCTGTTATCTATCGTGATATTCTTTCATTCTGAACTAACTGACATATTTCACTTGAACTGAACTGAATCAGTTGACATGCATTGTACATAATGAACGTCATTCGAAAGAATGATTCAGTTCAGTTCTAGTGAAATATTTCATTTACTTCAGATTGAAAGAATATTACTTATTATAGCCGTAGAAAAATTATAGTGCATAACTTTCACGGAATGCTAATTTCCTACTCCAATAATAAATTGAAGCATTCGCCTATGGCTCATGCTGCAAACTTCATTCTCGTAGGAAATCACTATCATTCCGTGCTCGTTAAACAATATACTGTAGTACTGGTGTGTCAAAGTTACACTTTCCACATTGCATTTCAATTAAAAACGGCAAAAAAGTTCGTTCGCATTTTACGTATAGGCGAGTACACTCGTCTTCAGTGAACATGTCGCGGTTGGACAGTATGGTCGCTCTTATTGCAGCGGTGATTAAGGGAGCTGACACCGTCCATGTGTGACATGTTCTCTGAAGACGACTGTACATCTATATAGTATAGGTACATACCTTATATGAGGAGTATTTATGCTTTTTGTCATCTAATGCATTCAAAACTATATTTTTGATAACTTTTTTCTTCATGTCCACCTTGAGAAAATCTTTAGGAGAACACAGAATATCGTCATCGTTAACTCCGACTGAAACATTACAAAATGAGTAGACTATATAGGTAGAATTAACACACTGGTCCATCTAGTGATTCACACGAGACCAACGAGACGAGACTTTCATAAAGTCTCGTCTCGTCTCGCCGATGAAATATGAAGTCTTGTCTCGGGTCTCGTCTCGCAGCCTCCAGTCTCATCTTGTCTCGCGTCTCGTACGAGAGTCTCGCAAATGTATCGCAATTTCGTCATGCATAATCTTGTTCCAGTCTAGTACGGGATATTTACCTTTACCTTCTTTCTGGGTATAATGTATAGAAGTAGGAAGACAAAATTACAACAAAAATAACATTATTTATTGAAAAGTAAGTACCTAATAGGTACGAATAATCTTTCCGCCGGGACTGAAGTAGCCGGTATGCTTAAGAGATCTCGTGGCATCAAACTTAGAATGGGAAATTCAGAAGCATGAATTTTCCAGCATTGCAATATATCGGTGTTTCTATTACACGGAGGCACAGAATAATATTTTTGAAGCTCCTGCATCCATACTCTCGTCAAAACAAAGTTATTCTTCATCTTAGACTATTTAGCACAGAATGACTTATTTATAGATTTTCAGTCAGTCAATTTGCGATCTGTCGTTATGGCAGAATTGCTTTTATTTTCCGCCGCCATAAGAGATCATGGATTGTGTTTTTAAAGTATTTATGAATGAAATGTGATGTCTTTCTGTGCTGAATAGTCTGAATTATTTCTAAATATGTTGTGTTATGAATGAAATTCTCAAGTATGCAGTCGGCACGCAGAAATATTTACCTGCGAGACTCTCGCACGAGACTCGAGAAGTCTTGCACGAGACTCGAGACGAGACTAATAAAAGTCGACGAGACCATGCGAGACTCTCGCAAACGAGACTCTCGCGGGCACCACTAGGTCCATCGGATATCATCTTTCGACGAGGGTGACATATTGACGCTCTGCTACTCAGATCAAATTGCAAATTGCAAATGGGACATTTTTCCCTTTCATTCGCTTCTTGTTTCAACTCGTTATCACATGACGGAAGATTTGGCTCAGACTGAAGGGTGGGCCAGGTAGGGTTTTGAAATCTCCCATTCAATTTGTATCGGATGGCATAATTAGTATCGTTATCAAATCGCGATTGTGTGCCAATTTCAGCACAGGAAAGTGGAATTTTTTCATCATTTTGCTCAGGATAGTGATTGGCACAGGTGCCGTTCGATGAACTCCAATATTTTTACTTAACTTTGGGATATCATTTCGTTATCAGATGACGGTAGAAATCAGCAGCCGGCTCTCCTACTAATGATTAATGAATATTCTATTCTACAGGGTGAGTCGGGAAGATCGCACCAAACTCCAGGTGTGTATTGTACACGTGAAAATAATTTGAAAAAAACCATATGTTCTGATACGATTCTCATTCGTTTTCATTTTACATTCGAATAAATTTGTGGCAGTTTATAAGACTTCAATTGTACAAACTTGTTTCATCTGTTTTGTTGTTCTGACATGTGTTCGCGTGTCAGTGTCAGTGTGTTTGACGCGTTTATTTTCGAGTTTTGTACGAATAAAGTCTTATAAAATGCCACACATCTATTCAAATTTAGAATGAAAACAAATGAGAATCGTAAATGAACATATGGGTTTTTTTAAATTATTCATACCTGAACGATGCACACCTGGAGTTTGGTGCGTTCCTCCCGAGTCACCCAGTATAATATAATAATCAATAAATAACACGAACTTAGTATTACTAAGTTGAGAGATCGATTAGAAATAAAGTTTCGATCGATAAATCAGTCATCAGGGCCAAGCAACATAATGCCTCTCAAAGATCGAACAATATCTGCTGATTAGTCTTGTGAACGATGCATTATTGAGACATCAATAATATTTTTCATCCGTTAATAGTTATTTAACCAACTAGGGTATTAATGATCGATCATTAATCGCCTTTTAATATACAAGTTGGTTACAAAATTTTTCCGTCGACTATATTTCTCATTTCTCCTGCAATGAAGAAAACTTGGTTCGCGAATTCATCATTCACCCGGAAATTGCTAATAATCACCCAGTAGCCTTGTTACTGACATTAGTGACATTTGACATTTGTCGAAATGATAAACATAGAAAATAAATTCCGTGTGTTAGAAAACAGGGATTAAAATCGTGTCAGAAACTTGGAAAGGCGAACCCGTTAACGGAAAATCTTTGATGAAATCCATATTTTCGATTTAAATGCAGATTCCGTAAGTTATAGCACAAACAATGAAATGCACGCGGTGTATGTTTGGTTGCCTATAAAACAATCGTGCATTAATAGACTAATCGTTCATTAATAGGGGTCATTAATGAACGATTTCATATACAGGGTGGCTGGAATTCGAGCCTCATCATTGGGATCTCGTGAACCGTGAGAGATACAGGGTCGGTTAAATTATGGAAAAGTTGCGCAATTTGATGCCTAACAAAATGCCGTTCTGAAACTTGGAAAATTCTGAATACTTCCGGAGATATCCGAAAAAAATCGAAATTCCATAAATTCGTTTTTATGTTTTTCTGGCGTTATTTGAAGAGATTAATCAATATGAATAACACTTCATCAAGGCCACTTTTTCTTCCTTACAACATGGCGTTTTCAAATTTGAAATTTGACGTTTCGTCTTCCAGAAACCATCATCAACTTACTTTTTTTGAATACGGACCTAGATTTTTTATTTCATTTTTTGTTATTTTCGGATAGCCCAAAAACTATCAGCTATCACAAATTTCGATTTTCAAAAGTTTCAATGACTAAAATTCACAGTTTCTTTATTTTTTCCAAATATTCAATGCAATTACCGAAAATAGAAAAGGCGGCTATGCTTTTAGAGATGAAAAGTTACAACCACTCGTCAAAGTTTGACAGTTGAAGGTTTTGAATAATTTGCGCGTTCAAAAATGGTGTTTTCCAATTCAGAAAAACGTGATAGGGTCCGAATTGATTATAGTGCTAGCAGAAACTCGCTTTCATGTGAGAGATATTTACAGCAATACCCCGAACGACCACAACCGCATTATACGTATTCCAATAATTTGGACAAGAATTTGAATCTGTATGGTAGTTTAAGTAAGCCCCGAAATGCGTATGGTGGAAGATGAAGGAGCTGTTATAAATGCGGTAAGTTTCGAAAAGAAATAATCTATATTTGCGATAAATTTGATCGAGAAATTTTGAAGGTTACGGAAAATCCCCGAGGTTCCACACGACAATTTGCTCTAGCATTGAATATGCCTAGAAGCCGAATTCAGAAGATTCTCAAAAATCATAGGTATCATCCTTATAAATTACATGTCAGCCAAGAACTAAGACCAGGAGATAATGAAAGAAGGCCAGAATTCTGCAATTGGCTTGATAGAAAATTGCAACAGAATGAAGATTTTTCAAATAAAATTATCTGGACTGATGAATGCAATTTTTCTACGAGCGGCCTTTTCTAACAGAAATAATGAGCATTATTATGCAGTGGAAAATCCGCACCAAAATCAGCAAGTGCGAAGGCAGGGACGGGCATCATTCAATGTCTGGGTGGGGCTGTATCGAAACAGAATCTTGGGGCCAATTATTCATGATGGGAATTTAAATAGTGTTCGGTACCTTCATTTCATCCAAAATTGAGATGCTCTTGAAGACGAGCCGTTAAATATACTCCAGCAACTATGGTGGCAACAGGATGGCGCACTACCCCACAATGGAAGGGCCGTTACTCAGTATCTAAATGAAACATTTCCCAATCAGTGGATTGGAAACCAAGGAGTGGTGCGCTGGCCTGCAAGAAGCCCCGATTTATCCCCGCTGGATTACTTTTTATGGGGATATTTGAAAAACCGTTTATTCAAAGATATTCCACGGGACATAAATATTTTACGACAAAATTTAATGTTTGAAATAACAACACTACGAGGTGGAGGAAGAATGATCCAGCGCGCGCTTACTGGCTATTTGGGAAGACGCATACGAAAATGCCAAGAGGTGCAAGGGGGACTATTCGACCATTTACTTCAGAATTTCATTTTGTTCTTATTACAATTCAGTTACATATTTCACATATTTTTCACCATTAGTTATATTACTGATGAATAATAACTCGAATAATAATGTTTCAAAAATAGTTTCGGATTAAATATTTTGAAAAAATAGAGAAACTGTGAATTTTAGTCATTGAAACATTTGAAAATAAAAATTTGTGATAGCTCATAGTTTTTGGGCTATCTGAAGGTAACAAAAAATGAAATAAAAAACCAGGTCCGTATTTGAAAAAAGTAAGTTGATGATGGTTTCTGGAAGACGAAACGTCAGATTTCAAATTTGATAACGCCATGCTGTAGGGATGAAAATAGGGCCATGATAAAGTGTTATTCATATTGATTAATTCCTTCAAATGAGGCCAGAAAAAAATAAAAACGATTTTATGGAATTTCGATTTTTTTCGGATATCTCCGAAAGCATTCAGAACTTTCCAAGTTTCGGAACGGCATTTTGTTAGGCATGAAATTGCGCAACTTTGCCATAATTCAACCGACCTTGTATCTCTTACGGTTTACGAGATCCCAATGATGAGGCTCGAATTCCAGTCACCCTGTACATTAAACATAGTCGTTAATACGAGGTCGACGGAAAATACTTTTTATTTGTGCCAGTTGCGAGTATCCATCAGACATGATATTGTGATTTTTGGTTTCATTCATTTTACCAGGTGATTTTCCTCAATATGTCACTGCGTTTGAAAATTTCTCTATAAAAGCGCCTAAAAGAAAAATGCAATCGATTGTCGGTGGCGTCTTGTCTTGAAAAATATTCGGGGAAGTCGAAAAAGTATCAAATTTCTACTTAGCTGTTGACGTTTCAGAAACGAGACTTTTCTTGTTTTCAACTAGAAAAATTGAAAATATTTCTCTTCTCGAATTCAATGAAAATGACGAATTTAAGAAAAATTCATGAAAACAACATGTAGCTCATTTGTTTGTATCAACAACTGTCATTGAGAAGTGTCAATATTGAAATGAGAAATTTTTTTTTCATTTTTGTTATTTGTAGGGGGCGAAGAAATATATTGTGCCCCGGGCGCCAAGTGGTCTTGATCCGGCCCTGCGGCAGAGTTTATGATCCTCTTAGTAAAAGTGGTAAATAATCAATCTTCATCAATTCCATCGCTATGATATTAAATGTGTAAGAGATACTCAGATATGAATGATTGAGGGTAAAAATATGTGTTAAGCTTCATAGATAGATATCCAAATGAAATTCTGATCATGATAGCTGATAACATGAATACATTGCTCTTACTATCAAATGGAGATAACGGGACGAATACAGAATTCCATGAATATGGATTAAAACTATCTCTCGATAATCACACATTTAGCACTGGCAAATTTGGACGTAACGTCATGATATTCCCACTCATATAATAATTATTAACGTCATATATTTCAAGCACTACTTATACCTAGAGTACCTGAATGAACTTGACACTGCTATTTTGACGTTTTTTGTATATACCTATACCCATCTGGGGTCACAGTATAATGGTATAGTGAAACCTATAACCCGTACACCTTCGTACTCACTCACCTATGACTACTTCAGCTTGGAAGGTTTCTAATAGTACAAAAATGTCGGAGGCGAAACCATTGTACAAATGTTTTAGCATCAGGTTTCCAGCTAGTGTTCCAATCTGTGCAAAAAATTCTTAACATAATGAAAAACGAACCCATATAAACAACCTTGCATATATCGCCAATCAGATATACAGTGTGCCACAACTACAATTCATCACCCGCAATTTATTAGGTAATCCAGAAGATAAGGTGGACACACATGAAAAGTCAAGAATATACGAAATTAGTTGTAATGATTGTGATTAAACATATATAGGCCAAACCAGGCGTCCCATAAAAACAAGGTTTGAAGAACACTTAGCACGATTGAAATACGGTAGGTAAAATAAATCGTGTGTAGCTGAACACATGTTCAATCACAATCATAACACACATATTAATAACCTCAAATTAGATAATCAAGTTGATAATGTTAGGAAATTAGATGCATATGAAAGCTCAGAGATATTTATGGATAGTGCACTGAATATTCAGCTGTCTATATAGCAACTTTTTTGCTGGAACTACTGAATTTTAGTGCCTGCGTTTCGTGAATGAGTCAATTTCGAGCGCTACATATTGGTTGGTCCGATTCAAAAGTGAACAAGATATTATGGGAATATAATGAAAACAAACTACTACAAGCGACTACAAGGCAGTAAAATCATAAAATCATGAAGAACAAGAACTTCTGAAAGGAGCTATGAAAAATAAAACCTGTATAATCTCTGCTACAGGTATAGCGTTTACAATGCATATTGATTACCTACTTTTATATTTTTCACTGTCCACTTACATTTCGAACTGGAACACTGGCCACCAAATCAAGGTGATCCCATATTACAGATAAATATTGGAAGCCATCCTGCTTTGAAACCTCTCTGCAAATGTTCATAAGCTTTGTGATTGTAAGATTTGCCCCTAATACCAAAGAATTTTCGTTTACTGAGTAGCTTGTCAGTTCATTAACTGTCGTTACATCGATATATATATCTGGAAGTATTTCCTGTCTAAATACACCTGAAATTAGATTAAATATTCTTTGAACACTGCACTCGTGTGTCTCATCAGTAAAATTCTGCTAGAACTCTGAATTGAGTTGTATGGACAAAAAAGTAAGGACTACTGGTTGAGCGTTCAAATAATCTATTCTTCAGATTTCTTTGAAAATGTGTAGGGGTTTCTCAGTTACTCAATCGTTGTTTCGATTCAGATATTCGTGTGTAATCTGCAAACTGAATCAATAATTACTTGTGCCAACATAAAGAATTACAAGAGCAAACAAAATATAGTCCACCCTGCTTGGGATGTAGTGACTTTGATAGTAGGGCCAGGTAGCCGTGCGGACAGAGTGTCAATATTCTAATCCGCATTCGCTTGCCGGTCGTGGGTTCGATTCCCATCGACTGCAGAAATTTTTCTGATGGCCCAAGAAAGTGTATGGGATCACACGTTAAAAGGTAAGGCCCCCGTCATTCCTTGCTCGCACAAGACTCTCGAAGATTTCTGAGGGTTGCTCGTAAGGGGGCAACCGAATGACGGATAGAACAATATTAGAACAATATTAAAAAATATATATTAGGTATATGTATATATAAGTATAGGGTAGGGTTATTCCAGGGCCTACTCTATCTCACCTAGGCCCTGGTTATTCACGTTATTCGACACGAAGCATTGTGGCTAAAGCATTTGATTTTTTGAAAGTTCTTTTTTCTGGTGAATATATAGAGACCTATTAGCGCTACAATCTGAAATTATTTTCATGTTGTACAGGGTGTGCCAAAAACACGAGTTGTATCAAAATTGCTATTTTTTAAATTGGATGCGCTGTATATTATTGCATTTCCATATTCTCCCAGAAAAGCACATTTCATCAATACATCACACTTTGAGTCTAGCTGGAATGATAACAGGGTGTTCAAAATCGAGATTTTTCAACTTTAAGAATTTTTCGTGTCGTAACAGTTGAGATGTGAACCGTTTTGAGCGATGATGAATGGTAACGACATAAAAAAATACTAAAGTTCCAAATCTCGATTTGGAACACCCTATATATCTGTAATTATTCCCGCTAGACCCGAAGTGTGATGCATTGATAAAATCAGATCTTCATGCGGCGAATCTGGAAATACAATGCTATATATACAGGTCATTAAATTTATAAAATAGCAACTTTGATGTATTTCGTGTTTTTGGCAACATGAGAATATTTTCAAAATGTAGCGCTAATAGGTCTCTATTCATCCGAAATCAAATGCTTCGGCCACAATGCTTTGTGTCGAATAACGTGAATAACCCTGTATATGTATAAGTCAATAAACAAATTCGAAATATACTAATATCGTATAAGTGCGGTAATCATTTTGTTGAGAGATTGAAGCGACACCTAACCTAACATTATTATAGACTTAATATTTTAAACTTTGGTCTTTCATAAGGCCTTTTCAATTTAACTCAATTATTTTGTTTCTGCAATTAAAAAAATCTAGTCTACCAGACTCATACTTGTGAGACAACTGCTATTATGAGCTAAATTTCAACGTTCCATGAAAGCGATTCAACCTTAAAAATTGAATGAGTTTTGCCAGTAGAACTCTTCACACGCCGAAGGTTGGTGAACTTCTTCTAAAGTACTCAACAGCAATTATATTTTCCAACAAGCGTACGGAGAAGTAACTTTTCTGCATGATTTTTCGTTTCAAAAGTTAAACTTTTCCGTACGATTTCACTTTTCCACAAAATTTTTATTTTTCCGCACGATTACTACCTATCCGCACTAGAAATATTATACATGGGAAAAAAAGGATTTATACAGGGTGTTTCATAATTGAATGCTGATCCTAAAGGGCGATGATCCTTGGATGATTTTAAGGAGAGAAGTTCATATCAACATAATATGTCCTGAACCTCTTAGTTTTTGAGCTACAGGGTGTTGAAATCAGAAGCGTACAGCCTTTTTTTAAACTAAACATTCAATATCAGGTCTTCGAGGACATCACTGGTAAAAGTAAAAGTTTGATTTTCGTCCCAAAACAAAATGTGTTTCCACTTATAGTGGGTGTCTACTGAATTACCAAAAACAATATCCAAAAACTGAAAGAACAAAATTCTTTGGTTTTAATTTTTTTACGCGACAACGGTACGTTGTATGAAAGTAAGTCTAGGAACCAAATTTGCTCCAAAATGAATAGGAATTGAGAAAAAAATCTGGTTCTCAGAAAAATCAGTGGCGTACAATTTTTTTCTTCAAAAATTGTCAGTTCAAACCCCGTACGGACGCCACTGGTGAGGATTTTTAAATATCTTTCACGTAAAAAAATGCTCGTTAATAATGAAAAGGTGTATACAAAATATCATACCAATATCTAAGAGTGATAAAAAATTATGATGAAAAACTCATTTTTTTCTTGAAATTTCATCACCCTGTAGCTCAATAACTAAGAGGTTTAGGACATATGTTGATATGAACTTTTCTCTTTGAAATCATCCAAGGATTATCGCCCTCAAGGATCAGCATTCAATTATGAAACACCCTGTATAGATAGACAATATTGTATAATAATAATGCTACAAAATGACACATGAGATAGAATAGTTAAATAGACCATTTAGTTAGACCTAAATATCCTCATTTTCAACAGTACAAAAATCGTGCGGAAAACTGTTCAGCACTAGAGCGGTAAAGTAACTTGTCCGCACGATTTTTGTATAGTTGAAAATGGGGATATTTAAGACTAAGGATATATGTAACTATTTGTCTCTTGTGTCATTTTGTAGCATTATTTCAAAATTTTGTTCATTAGAAACCTTTTTTTTTCATATATAATATGGACAAAGACACTCGTAGGAAAAACATTGCACCTAACTGATGCAGATAAGTACTACTTTCCTCCGTTATCAGGTAAATAACTATTCAATGTAACAGATATCATCATGGTATCAAGTTCTTTAGGTACTTACCTCTACCTGTGTTTCCTGCAATCAACATATAGTTATTTGTCGAAATGGTTTTCAATACTTCCAACAAATCTTTCAAGGTGTGCACCTTCATCCATTTAGACTTTCCAAGATCAAGATAATAGTTTTCCAAATTTTTTGTATCTTCTAGTTGCTTGGATCTTTGTTGGCAATCATTATAACGACACAGTTTCAAATCCTCGATGTCAGTGAGTTCATCTGAAATGACAATTGTATCCATATATCTATAAAATATCAATTGCAAGTCAGATTATTCAAGTGAAATTCAGAATACTCCAGTTGAAAATCTGATTTTTCAATTGGAATTTGGAAAGGGCCAATTGAAATTCGGATATCGTCATTTGTGATTCAGAATGCAGCAATTGTTATTCAGACTACGTTATTTGTAATTCAGATAGTGAAATTCAGAAAATATTAATTGTAATCCGGATTAGACAAGTGAAATTCAGAAAACTTAAATTGTAATTCAGATTAGTCAAATGAAATCAGAAAGCATCAATTGAAATTCAGATATAATCAATAATTGTAATTGAGAATGTGTCAATTGTAATTCAGATTGATGGTTTATGAAGGTATATTCATGTAGAACCAGCGACTTCAGAATTATGGAATTATTTTCATTGATTGTCAATTGAAATCAATTTTAATAGGTGAAATGGGGAAGATATAATAGAAAACGTAATTTCCGGTAAAATATTGCTTTGTAATTCATTACCTACATTCATGACACTTGGCTCAACAAGCAAAGGTAACATTGTTCCATATTTTTGAATTATTAATTTAGCTTTCTGAATTTCAATGGACTATTTCTCAATATCAATTGGCCAATCTGGATTCAAATTGATATTTTCTGAATTTCAATTGACTAATCTGAAATTCAAGTGACGCTTTCTGAATTTCAATTAACTAATCTGAATTACAAATGACGTAGTCTGAATTACAATTGACCCGTTCTGAACTACATAATATGATACATTCTGAATCACAAATGACACTTTCTGAATTTCAATTGACTAATCTGAATAACATTTGATAATTTCTAAATTTCAATCAACTAATCTGAATTACAAATGATATTGCCCGAATTACACATGACGCTTTCCATCATTCCACCATATTTATTAAAAATTCATTCAGCATTCACTGAGAAGTTTTGTTTAATAATTTCAATTCATTCTTGATGTGAAGCATGAAAAGTTCAGGATCCGAGAAGAATTTCGTTAATTTAGCTTAAACCGTTTCGAATTCAAACCCTATATATCGAAACTAAAGCGTTTCAAAGTATATATTCATATATTTTTATTATTATTTCAACAAGTACACAGTATACTGTTGAAGTTTCCGCTTCAAAAACTGCACCACCCTATATAGCCGTAATTGTAATAGTTATATTTATGTAACAAGTGCGTAAAGTCGTACTTTTTTTATGAGTAGGACGCGTATCAGTAAACAACTCTTCACGCACGTGTTACATACCTACAATATATTTCCTACAACTGTCAAAACAGAGGACAACCACAGTCAACTTATGATATAAATGATCAAATGATATTTCGCAATTATCATCAAGTACATTTACTCATTTCATGTCAGTTTATTGAAAACACCTTGTTTGATGAAATAGCTGGAGCCACCTATGGTTAATTCAAATAAGTCGTTCATCCCTCTAGCGTTCAGCGATGCTGATCAAGTCATACATGAAGTCAGCCGCCTTGATTTGTTCGCTTGCTGTCTTGCAGAATTCCGTAAAGGAGCCCATAGACTGCGTTGTTGATGGGCTGTTTTGTTCGTTGAACAAGTATGTTCGAACGAAAATGAGACAAAACTGGAGTGTGTGGTGTGTGGCTAGCGAAAACGACCATTTTGCAGCCAGAACAGACTTGTTCGTCGAACAAAACAGGCTACCAACAACGCAGCTCCTCTCACGCAAGCATTCATTCCATCGTCCAGCAAGAACCGTGAAAAAGGTGTACTTTTTTCACACCTTTCCGTAAAATAATGAAACAGTATTTTTGATATTGAAGAATCGTGCACTTTAGGCACACAAAATATATTGAGGAAGTGCAGTTTTTTTGACAGTTGTTGGAAAAGCATTTATATTGAATCTAACCTGCATCTGATGCCAGCTTCTTGAATGCGGACAGTATGGGCCGATACCCAGTACATCGGCAAATGTTGCCCCCGAAGGAGTCTTCTATCTGCTGTTTGGTCAGCTGTTCAGTTTCGTGGAGGGCGAACATATTCATAACCATGCCAGGAGAACAAAAGCCGCATTGGGTGCCGTTATTATCGGCCAGCAGCTTCTGAATGGGATGCAAACCGATCAAGGAATTGCCTATCCCATCGACTGTGTGGATCTTCCAACCGTGGCAGGAAAGAATGGAAACAAGGCACTGAAATAGATACTCACGTAACCTAAGGTCGTCGATATGGGGGATATTGATAAGAAAGATAATAGATATAATGATAAAATAGACGTTTATCCACGACAGTTGTATGAAATATTCACGGTACATGTACTTCCTCAAGCAAAACGGTAGTCATTCTTCACACCAGTGAATAATAGCAGCGAATAACCATATAATTTCACTGGTTTAGAGTTCCTAGGGTACGCGATATAACATATAAGGAACTTTAGACGACGACTGTTGTACTTCCTCAAGCAAAACACCAGAGAATAATAACAGTGAATAACCATTATTCACTGGTCTAAAGTTCCTTATATGTTATATCGCGTATATTCTAGGAACTCTAGGCCAGTGAATTATGGTTATTCACTGCTATTATTCACTGGTGTGAAAAATGGCTACCGTTTTGCTTAAGGAAGTACATGTATTATGAATGTTTTATACAACAGTCGTGGATAAAATCATATTCTCATATTATAATTGTTTAGACCTAAACACATGGGTATCTTATTTTTGTTAATCAATAATAATAAATGATTATTGTTAAATCATTACGATTCCGTATGACGGGTAATTTTTTGGGCTGTTTTTTGAGTTTGATTTCCTAATGACAACAAAACTCGAATTATGAATGTTAGATTCACTTCGACCTGAAAAAAATTCTTGAGGTAATTCGGTAAGACAATTTTAAGGAATGCGTGAATCGCTTTATTGTTGATGAATTTTACAATTTCTCCACTAGGAGACTCTCCAAATCGTGCCATTTCAACAGATAAGATACTTTTTTGACAACGCATGGTTGAGAAAATATGCGAACGCGAAGCGATGCGACGCGACGCGACGCGACCCGAAAATGTCAAACCACGAAAAATATTGAATTTTCCTTTTTTTATCATTTTAGAAATACCGCATCAACCTCGAGGGTAATTAGAGGGGTACAGTACGTATTAATTTCATTTTATGAATACATCGGAATATTTTAGATTATGCATTTTGTTTTCCTAGAGCTAGTATCACGATCACATTATTATGAATATTTGTATAAGTTTACTCTTTCTAGGATTTTTATGTCTCGGCCTGGTTGTTTGTTCAGCAATTCTGTGAGATTTCTGGAAATATTGCATTGGTTCCTTTGGTATTCGAGCGTAGGGCATTCCGATAATGTCGCATGGTTTGTGGAAGTTAAAATTTCCACATTGTACTGGAGGTTCTCTCTTCATAAGATGCTGGTGTGTTAAACGAGTGTGTCCTATTTTGAGTCGTCTGAGGAGAATTTGGTTTTTTGCGGCTTGTACCACTATAAGGTTGGTTTTCTAAGTTTTGGTTGATTTCATACAGTTTGTTGAGACTGTGTAGGCACCATCTATATTTTCATTTATTTTTAGTTTTTCGTTTTATTTCGTTTTATAAGTCTGAGTGTGGTATATTATTCACTAGTATAGAGGTTGGGTTTTCTGGAACGGTGCAGGCTGCGGTATCTGCTAGCTCATCACCTAATATGCCACAATGCGATAGTACCCAGACAATCTCAACTACTTTTCCTCTTTGTTGAATTTCATGTCGCACGTTCAATATTTCCTAACGGATTGAATGTTTAGGATATAGTTGTTTTATGCCTTCTATCGCACTCAGTGAAGATGACTGTGCTACCGTTAAGATATTTCGCAACAATTAAAGATTGTTTAATCGCGAGAACTTCCCCTGTGTAAATACTGCAACTTTTCGGTAGTGTATAGCAGTAGCTATAACCATTGAAGAGAGCTGCAGCCCCAACGTGTTCTTGTGTTTTTGAGGCATCAGTATGTATATATGGTTGTAGCCGGTGTACTTGTGGGATAGCCCGTTGAAAGCGCATCGGATCACTGGAAGAGGAGTATATATTTTTTGGAATCTGAGGGGTTCTGTGTTACAGTGAGGGATATTGATTGTTCAAGGAGGGGGTGTCTTATTGGTATTGATGGAATAGGTGGAATCAAAATTGAGGGTACTGGATACTATTTGTATTCGTTTGTCGAAGGGTAGTGTGGTGTTGTTATTTAGATTTTAAATTGTATGGAATCTGTTAGAGAAGGTGTTTTGGTATGCTGGATTGTCCTTATTAGTTGATATTCTAAATGCATAATTATGTGAATTGTCCTATTTGAACGAATGCACACGATAAGCGAAGAACACGCGAACACAGGCGAAGCGATGCGATCAATTTTATTGATATTTTTGCGCGATTGACGCGCGATGATGATGAAATACTGCTTGCTTGCTCGTGTCTTTGTGGATATACATATAATATTATTTTGACTTCTTTGACATCGATATGTCGAATTTGTACATGAGATACGAGTGTTCAAGTACGGATTACGTAAGACAGCACAGGCCATATCGCATCGCTTCGCTCTAAATCGACTCTAAATCGCTTCCCTTCGCATTCGCATAGAATTCGCCCACGTAGCACACCGCATTGATCTGCCACTGATGAGACATTATAAAAGCAATGGCAAAACTCACTGAATTAACAGCTAAAATACTTTTCTTTCCATCAATTGTTTCCTCGACTGCAACTATGCAAGCGCCACATCCGCCCTCCAGACACATCCTCTTCGTTCCTGTGAGATGCGTCTTCTTTCGAAGGTAAGTGTTGAGGGTGGTTTCTGGACCAACTCCATCGTCGGCAGATACTGAAAAGTTTGAAAGATGGAGTTCTGCTCATTTTCATATATTTTAGGGCAGGAACAGAATCTAACAGAGTCAACTCGGTAAACTTTTTACTTCAGAAAGAAAACCCAAATACATACTTAATCATGAAGATATTAATATTTTGACAAAGGTGATCAGCATCCAATTGCGGACCCTGCACTTTTTTATTAACACATTTTTTTCTTAAAATCAAGTACTTTTTTGATTTTTCATTATGTGAAATATTTTTCCCAGGACAGTACTTCCTGTAACAAATAATTTTTGCTGATGATGAAGCTTTGAACATGTCCAATGTTAAATAAAGTATAGTTTTGGTGCAGTTGACTATAAGATTTTCTTCCTGCCCTGTTATCTTTATATATTCCACTGCAATATGGATCGACTCAGATGGTTATAGTATATTATATAACAAGTGTTGTAAAAGGCATATTACGCACGAAGTGGAGAGAGTTACATACGATGCCACCTATAGCGGCGAGTGTGTAACTCCACACATCTTCACGGGTGCGTAATTGCTGTACAACTCGAGAAAGTGCACGAATACCTCTACCGTCACTTTAAACTAACTGCATGAAAAGGTACAAATTCCAATTGTTCTTTTCAATTCTTGTATTTGTTTATTAGTAAATTGCATAACGAAATATTTTCCCCAATTTGAACTAAATTGAACCCGTTTTTCATATCTTAAAAACAACTTAAAAAACACATTCGATAAACACATAAAATTATTATAACGGTTATTTATAGTCACTGTGCAGTTGTTGAAAGTAACAGAATATTTTCCGAAAATGATATGATATTATTACATTTATGCAATTTCCAGGATTTCTGGTGATGTAGAAATAATCTAATCGTCATCGCTTAATATTTTTTAACTTAAATCGAGAAATATCAACAGAAAATAATCATTTTCAAAAAATGTTACTTGCTTTCGGTTTCGATTGATTACTATTGATTTATTGATATGAAAGGATAAGTCCCTACCTAGCTACTGACATCAACTGAAATTGACACATGGTCTAAGCAACAAAACTGAGTCATCTAGCAATATACCTATGAAAACCGTGTGATCGCTCGCTTTACGACGAACGCTAGGCGTAAGGAGAAGCTTTCTGAGATTGTTTTGTGTAAAATATTCATCACTGTGCGAAATCAGATTTCACAGTTCGATATATCGAATTATCGATAGTTATCGATATATATATCGATAATTTTGAAATTATATCTCGATATATCAATATACCGATTTTTTTCCCACGGCTAAATCGGAATAATCCTATTTTTTCTCTAAACCACTGGTAATAGAATCTTCAACCAAACTACTATTGAGAAGAAATATTCTCAGATATATTATGAATAAATGAAAAAATGGAAATATATTATAATAATAATAAATAATGATAAAACATATAAAGATATACAATGAGATCGGCTTTTCAAGAGAAAAGGCATGCTTGTGATTTGTTTGCATTGAAATCAACCAAGTTATTGGATCCCCATTCGAGAATTGTTGCCAAGTCCATATTTATGTTGTCAACATATTTCTTCCTTGTTCGTTTCTGAATTGCCTGGCTGGTATTGGAGCCCTGGAAGAGAAGGCTGGATGATCTGGGGCAGAGAACAACGACCTCCATATTTTGTAATTATTGTCACTGATAAAAATCATAATCATCATAATATCAACACTCTCGATAAGGATGGCGACCCCTATATTGATATTTGGGCTGTGCAATTCCCCAAAGATGGAACGCTGAAATGGAGGTGGAATCACAACCTCTGGGCAGAGCCGGATTTAGCGGTGTGGAGGCCCTGTGGCATTAAAGGAGTGGAGGCCCCCTGGCCTGTGCGGAATATCGAGTATCAAAAAGTAGTGCCAGGTATTGCCAAACTTCTTCATCATCACACCACAACACAATATATAGGGTGATTGTCAGTACACTAATAATAAGGCAGAACATGGTCTCCTTCAGCCTGAATAATCAGGTTCAAGGAACTGGAGGTGGATGTCCGGTTCATGAAATGTTTGGATTGCATCTAATCAAGTTCATTTTCTTATGACAGAGGTCAGCAAGAGTCTTTGCTTCGGCAAGCGGAGATTCCCTATACGGATACATGATCTTATGTCATTTTTGATTGAACGTTAAATGTTCACCTTCCATGGCCTTCGAAAGCGTTTGTCTGTTTGTTGCTGGAATGCTGGATGAGCTGGAGCAGAGAACAACGACCTCCATATTTTGTAATTGTCACTGATAAAAATCATACTCATGATAATATCAACACTCTCGATGAGAGTGATGACCCCTATTATATTTGGGATGTGCAATTCCTCAAAGATAGAACGCTGAAATGGAGGTGGAATCGCAACCTCTGGACAGAGCCGGATTTATAATTATTTTCCAAATAAAATTAACAACTGTTTTTAGTAAAACCTAGTTAATTATATTACCAAAACCAAGTAACATTATTTTATTTTTCCATGATATCTGATATATTGAATGTGATATCTGATCTATTGTATACGCCCAGATAGCACACAATCGCCTAGGGTCATCCTCAATGATTCGCCAAACGCCTAGAGAGGACGTTATATTTTCTACAATCCATCAACAACATCATCAGTAAATTTACCGCCGTAAATGTCCTAGAAAAGTTCTTTCAGTGACAGCCTGAGGCTGCAGCAGATTTCGTGCCTACGGATGTCTTCAGATGACATTCCATGAAATAACGTGTCGACGAAGCCGAAAGAAGAAGAATAACTAGAAATACAAGAAGTGAGAGTGAGAGAGTCACAGCAGAGATGTTTTATTCCAAGATATTTTGACTTCTTCGGAATCTATCAAACATTGTATGAAGGCTTGAACTCTCAGTGGATTCAATAAAGATAGGAACCTTCCTGAATCAACTTGGTGTCATCTATAAAATATTGTATGAAGGCATCAACTTTCAGTAGATTCAGCATCCAGAGTTGAAAAATCAAAAACAACATAGAGAAATATTGCCTATGGGCAATAACTTCTAGTAGTGCTCAACACATTTTTTTCAAAACGAAACTCGAAAATCTTTATAATAAGTTATAAATAATAGAATGTAAGTTTTTTATTTGAACATATTATTATTCCAGGGAAATTTCTCAAATATCATGATATCCATATTTTTTCAATAAAATTTCAATTTTATCAGCCTATCCCTAGACATTTTTGAATACTACCTAAAGATGTTTCCATAACGTCCTATACATGTCCCAGAAGACCTTATAGGGATGTTCTAAGACGTTATTAGGATGTAGAGAACGGTAACAGGAGGACGGTCTAGGGACGTCGTCAGCCTCGCCCTCGACGTCCTGAGGACATTATTGTGAACGCCTCAGAAGAGCCTCAAAAGATATTTGGGCTATCTGGGCGATATCTGTTATATTATACGATATCTGATATTTCGATTAAGAATTTATCACGTCAATTTCTTGATTTATTGAAGTATCAATTGTTTGAAGTTTTGATTTGAATGTTGGTGTTATCTTAAACTTTTTCAACTTTGTTTCGTACTTAAATTAAGAACAAAGCATATGGAAGCAAATAAGCAGTTGTCATATATCTGGAGGAAGATCGCTCGAATGAAGAAAAATGCAGATGAGTGGCTGAGAAGTTGGAAATGATGGCCGTACAGGAACATGTATAGAAATGATTAACTGAAAAAAATAATCGCCTGACATTTTTGTTACTTCATTCGAAAGGAAATGTTTCATCCACTATTTAAGAAAAACCATATATTATGTTGAGTTTTTTTTCATTGGAAACTGAAATAATTGAGACTACTAGATCCATACCCAAGAAGCAAATGTATTTGAATTTTTTTTTACTCCCAATTCAGGCGACTTGACCTGGAAAAATCGAAAAAATTGGCCTGCGGCGCAATAATCACAGCACAAAGTGGTTCTGAGAACGTTCTTAGGATCTCCTGTGGAACATTTCGAATATCCTCAGAATGTTCTCACAAGATGCACTGAACGTTCTGAGAATATTCTAGGAACATGCAAATGGGAAGAAAATTCATGTTCCAAGAACGCTCTCATAATATTCTTTGGAAGAAGTCATCCCCACAACATTCATTAGAATGATCAAATAACAATCGTGAAGAAACAAGTTTCGGGATCATATATAAGCCCATCATCAGCCAATAGAAAGTATCATAATTAGGGAAATGAAGAAAGTAGGCAAACAAATAGTATAGTTAATAACAGTGCAAACATATATATGGATATAAAATTATGTTATAAATTTATTATGCTATTTTATAAATTTATGTTCATATTTCACAAGGGCACACGTGCTCTTGAATTACCGAAAAGTGATAATCGAACTCAGAAAATTCAAACTAAAAAGTTTGATGAGGCATCAAAATATCCTCACTTTATCAAGTTATATATTTTTCGTTAAAATTGAGATCATGATAGCTATATACTTCAATGGGATTAATATTTTGTTTTCAGCCTTATCAACACCTCCATGAGCTCAAAGATCATTTTGTCTATTTCCTTTACCTGAAAAATCTAAATTATCAAGTTAGATATGAGTTGATTTATATATATCCAGATTCTTTTTTTTTCTGGTTTTCATCATATGTGGGGTTCATTTTCCATTTTTAATTGTTGTTGTTACATTTTTTCTATGAATTAAGACGTTATGATTATTTTCGATTCCGTATGAAATCGTCGGATGAAGGGATTTGATCAAACCTTTATCAAATACCAGTCTCAAAACGTACTTTTTCAGCGTAAAAATCAAAGCGTCAGATATGACCGAAACCCCGGGCTATATCGGACGACGATAACCGTGCCAACTTTTGAAATTAGTTTTTATGTAAATATGTTCAGTAGGTTAACTTATTGTTATAATATGCATAAGTTAGCTTTCATTTCGTATAACAATAGAAATACTGATGGCGTGTGATTGAATATATCGTCCGATATAGCCCCGCGGGTGACTTATCTCGTAATGTACTACAACTTTTCCAATTGTATTTCAGAAAGCGTCAATTTTATTTCAGAATAATCAATTGAATTTCATGAATCGTAATTTTTTCGGATATACAAGTGATTATTCTGAAATACAATTAAAGGTTTCTGAAATTCAATCGACTGTTCTGAAATACAATTAATGCTTTCTGAAATTCAATCGACAATTTTTCAGAAAATCGGTGGCACAGAGATCTTTCATGTATTATAGCCCTGAATTTTTCAACATCATTCCGACTGACCTTAGCGAAATAAGGAGATTCAAAACTTCCAAAATCAAGTTGAAAAAATTCATAATAGAACACAGAGAACAATAACTTATCATAATGGTCTAGAAGTAAGCACATTTCCTATTTTCACCATGTGATTATTATACTCGCATAATATAATACTTTTACAATCCATAAAGCATGAGTAATGGAATGTAGGAATACAATACAGGGGCAATACTTGTCTAGGTATTTCCTCTAAGCCACATTCTCTAAAGTGTAATATGTATTTAAATATTGTATTTTATAATATTATTTATATATACAGGGTGTTTCCTAAGTTGCTTCGTTTCTGAGATAAAGGGCGTTGAAATTAAAAAAAAAACGGAAATTATAATATATCATGAATATCCTAGAACCGATTCGGTTGAAATTTGGTACTTCCATTTGAACTAATAAGGCACTCATTTAGCTTGGATTCAGATTGAAATTATTGGGGCCAGTGGCGTCTCAGTGGCACCACAGCCAACAATAATGTGAAAAAAAAAATACGCCACTGACTTTTTCGGTAAATTTTTATTTTTTTCAGATTGACCAACACAAAATACAACTTTTTGGTCCCTTGGATTTTCTTCATATCCAGCTTCGTTTTCGAGAAAAAAAATCAAAGCCACTGTATTGCATATCATGAACACCTGCATTGGAGAAATGAGTTTTTCATTATTTCCGCCAAGAATTCAATTGACACTTGATATGCTGAAATTTTAGAAAATTTGACAAATAAAAGTACCAAATCGGTTCCAGGATATTCATGATAATTTATAATTACTGTTTCTTTTTCTTTAATTTCAACGCCCTGTATCTCAGAAACGAAGCTACTCCGGACATATGTTCATAGGAACTTTTCTTCTTAAAATGATCTAACAAATTACCCCCTGCAGTTAGGAACCGTAGTTAGGAAACACCCTGTATATAGGACATATAGCTCTCGAACTTATTACTCTATGTACACCTAATACTGAATAAATCGATGTGAATTGAAATGTATATACTGCGCAAGGGTGATTCTGCATGAGAAAACATGGAATTTATTTCATATACACATGGGTCCAGAAATGCATAACTTTCAAGATACAGTGTGTTAAACTTAAAAAGAAAACGTTTCTTTATGAATTGGTATCTCAAATATCCTTCCACCGATTCTCTTGAAATTTGGCAATGATATTATTTTCCATGAGGGATTGATTTGCCCATAATTTAAATGGAATTATGAAATCCAGTTACGTCCCAGGGGCAGCCTATCGAATATTATTATCAATAAAATGTGCGCCACTGATTTCTTTTTCATTTTATATCTTTATATTCTATTGATCAACTAAAAATGCAACATTTTGATCTTCTGAATTGTTTTGATATTCTGCTTCGTTTCCGTAGAAAAAAAATTAATACCAATTTATTATGTGAATTTGTGCAAAACATTCCTTCTAAAACAGGGGTGAAAATAAATGCGTGATCCATGTCCATAGACATAGAATAAGAATGAACATTCATTTTCTTCAAATATCTCATGATATGTACATATTTAACAAACTCTACACTCTGTGTATTGAGACCTATGTATTCTCGGTCCAGGAAGGAGTAATTTTCAATAGAACAAAGTGTGTTAAATATGTTATCATGAGATATTTGAAGAAAATGAATGTTCATTATCATTCTATGTCCATGTATATGGATTACGCATTTATTTTCAACCCTGTTTTTTAAGGTATGTTTCGCAAAAATTTATACATTTATATTTTTCCAAGCAAAATATCAAAACAATTCAGAAGACGAAAATGTTTTATTTTTAGTTCATCATTAGGATATAAAGATATAGAATTTAAACAAAAATCAGTGGTGCACATCTTATTGACCATAATATTCGATAGGTTGTCCCTGGAAGGCCACTGGATTTCACAATTCCATTCAAATTTTGGGTAAATCAGTTCCTCATAAAAAATTTGAGATATTCATAAAAAACGGATTATTTTATCTGGATCTTGAAAACTACGCATTTCCGGACCCTGTATGTGAGTATATCTCAACAAACTGTGTTCAATTATTATACTCACATTTATATTCAACGCCACCTACAGTAAACTGGATGTTTTGGAGCTGTCGCAACATCTCCATATTATGATAGATTAATGAGTACTAATCATTTCAATTAATTTTCATATATTATATATACCTACATAAATATAGCTTAAGAGTCGTATTATACCCTGATATGTAAACTTGACACAGATAATATAAAGCAATCTTATTAGTTATCGGTAGATGAAGCAGTGTTTAATTAATCAATCATTGTTCACAAACATTCCAACAATACATAATATGAACCACCTACTTATCATGAAAACCGATATAAATAATACTATTGGATTTAGATAAAACTTGAAGGCACATTGTTCTTCAGTTTTTCGAGCCACATATTTCAATATGTTCAATAATTGTACAGGATGTTACCAGGGGCGGATCGACCTATCGGACTATCGCCGGCTCTTCGCCCGGGTGACCAATGGGACCCAAGGCCGGATTAACCACAGGGCACGAGGAGACAGAACTGCCCAGGGGCGCATTCAGAATTGGGGCGAAATATTTGCCGATAAGTATAATCAGCAAAAAACAAGAGAATTTATCAGTGATCAAGAATTTTTTTCCTTTGACGATTTTAGGAATAATTATAAGAGAAATATATAAAAAAAAGAAAATCGATGTATTTTGTATATATTTATTGTGTGCCTATTTCCATTTCCCTTCATATTTTATTTCTCAACAGCCTGTGAATGTATTATCTATGATATATTGTTCATGGTTTTGTTGTTAACTACTCCTTTTCGAGGCGCAAGGTGTGTTTTTACTACGCAAGGTAGTTTTTGTCATTTCATTAACCACAAGTCAATAAAGAAATTTTTTTTTATCGCATTATAATGGCACTCGGAATATTTATCTATGCTGTGATGGTCATGGCTGCTAGATTTTAATAAGAATTGAAAAGAAGTGCTTTCATAGTGACAATAGGTTCATAATTCAGTTTCACAAAACTAAAATGATTGAAATGTATTGCTAGTGGTGAAAAAACGTCAATATAGATATAGCCCTCGGCTGTATAATCTTGGTCCCTGATGGGTAATGTGGTAATACCATAGATTAACGGTAATACTGATATCCTTTACTATACGTTGGTGTATAAATAACTATTATTTATGCCAGTTTCGAGTTTCCAGACTTTATATCTTTTGCTTGTGATGTTCGAAGAAGAAAAATATAGATATATCAAAATAATATCAAATTTATCTGGAACACCTTGTATACAAAAATAAATTCCTATTTTACTTGGTCACGCCATTACGCGTGAACGGCTAGACCGATTTAACTAATTATTTCTTTGTTGTGTTTGTTATTGTTACGAGAAGGTTCTTATGGAAAAAAATAGAGACATTCAAGATGGCGTCTCCAATGTGGCAGACGAGTTTTGTAATCATTATATGATTCTATTCAAAATTTGTATCTGAAGGTTTTCGGGGTCAGAGATTATTGATTCTTTCGTCAAAATTGGGAAATTCAAAATGGCACATCCAATAATATGACGGACGACTTTTGTAATGATTATCCGATTACTATTCAAAATTTGTATCTGGTGGTATATGGTATGGAGATTATAAATCTTCCGTCAAATTTTGGAAATTCTAGATGACAGATTCAAAATGGCGGACGAGTATATCAACTATGATCCGATTCTATTCAAAATTGGTATCTAAAGGTTTTTGGGGTCGGAGATTATGATTCCTTCGTAAAATATAGTAAATTCCAAAATCAAGATGGCGAATCCAATATGGCGGACGATAGTTTTGTAATGATGTTCCGATTCTATTCAAAATTGGTATCTGGGGTTTTTTGGGATCGGAGGTCATGAATATTTTCTCAAAATTCGACAATTCAAGATTACAAATCCAATATGGCGGACGATTTTTGTAATTAATTATGTTCAAAATTGGTATCTAGGGGTTTTCGGTTTCGGAGACGATGATTCTCTCGTCAAATTTTGGAAATTAATATATGGTGACTGAGTTTTATTAATTATATAATATGATTCTATATAAAATTGAAATCTGCATGCGGGTTTTCGGGGTCGAAGATTATAATATCTTCGCCAGAATGAGGAAATTCGAGACGGTGGATCCAATATGTCAGACGAGCTTTGTAACTATTATGATCCGATTCTATTCAAAATTGGTATCTGAGCTAGAATTCAAGATGGCGGATTTGATATGTCGTCGAACGAGCTTTTGTAATAAAAATAGTGTTTTGAAAAACTAACATAGAACCACAGTATACACCCTTATACTGTGATAGAACGAGCTTTCAGTATGACTTTAGTCATACTGAGGAGAAGTAATAATGAATATATAGTAGTTTGAAAAACTGAGAGAACACGCTTTTAGGGTTCGTCAAACTGAAAATAAGTAAAATAAATTGGAATTCTAAAGGTGTGTTGTTGAATATTTTCTATGAATAATGTATCAGGTATAGCGTCAACTTATAAACATCTCAGGAGTATCCAATATTATTTTATCAATTTTTTGTTTTATTGTCGAAATTATTTCTTTGAAAAAATCTCAGTTGTTCTTTGTGTGACAAACTTTTATGCTACAAAAACAAAATATGAACATATCCCGTCATTTTTGCACAAAGGATTATCCAATATTTGAATTTCCCGCGCGAAAATATCTGTGAAGATTCGACGATTGGCATTATTGTGCACAATGTCGTTCGTGACCAACTTCAGCACAGTCGTTTTACATACAGTTCATTGGCTTGAGTGCGAGTGCAACTGTCAGTTTCTGGCGTTTGATGTAATGACAGATAGGATGATGAAAGATGAAAGATGAAATTCAGTTGAAGTTGAAACTGTTGAAACTTAAAACAGTGGTTGAAGTTGAAGTTGAAGTTGAAATCATTTTGGATTTGGTTTGACGTTTGTTTGATTTCAATCTGTATTCTGTAGATTGTAGAAAACAGAGAGGGAACCTCTGATATTCAGCATTATTTTGTGTTATTATGTGCTCTAAACGTTGTTAACAACAAAAATAATAATTATCAATACCTTATCGTATTTCACCTGTAATATATTGTGATATTTTTATTTACCAGGTCGTAATATATCTCAGTTCATTTATAAAGTGAATGAAGCAGGTGATCGGAATCCTCACCACATAATAGGAACAGGTAATAATTATTATTATTATGATAGTGATTCACAGTGCTTCCCATTATTTCAACATTAGTTTATGAGTATTAGAACATTCTTCGAATTAGAAATCATTCAATTCAATATCTCTAATCTCAGATTTGTTTTCTTTTTTGGTGCAAGTAGGCGGCCGTTCCTGTTATTGATTTTTGCTAGTTAGGGAGGATTATATATATGTGTATTGTACATTCCCTGCATAAAGTAGTGCACTTCTATTTCAATTCAGATCCCAGTTCCTGTTATGTTTTGGGAATATTTGAGTACCTATTGTTGATATGGGAAAGTAATTTCATATTGCTTTTGTTTTTTCATTTACACTAGAGATCTAGACCAGTTTCCTGAGTGAAAATGCCTGTCCCAGCATCTGCAGCCGAAAATGGTGCCCCTAGAAGTGAACTACAAGAATTACAACTCAAAGCCGGACAAGTTACTGATGAGGTAAAACAAATAAAATTTCATATCATTTTGGATCTGGTTCTGTATTTTTTCTTGGGTACTGCCAAACATCCTTTTCTTAATTATGAATGTATACACCCAACTAAGTACAGGGTGATTGAATATGGGTTTCACACTTTCAACACTCAATATCTTGAAAACCAATAGCTCCAGTAGGTAGAAAATGATGATTCGAAAGAAAAAATCAAGATATAAGTAGGCCTTTTAAGCCAATTCAACACAATTTTTTATATCAAGAGCTAAGCATATGTTTTCTTCAAAACTATATTTTTTGACGTTTGTATGTTATGTCAGTCATTGAATCCCAATAGTTGAAAATATATATATAAAAATAAACCTGCTTAATTGATTATATATTTAACAATTTTAGTTTGCAAAAATGATATTTTCAAGATAGGTATTGGAAACTTCAGAACAGAATCTTGATTCAGATGTTTTTCTCTTTAAAATGATGCCCTCTAAACATATCCCCATTCCATATATGGGGGGCGTGAAAATGTTTAATTTTTTCAAATTCTATATTTTATTCTCGATTTTAGTGAGTCAAAGAAATATAACTTGGCATTAATTGAAATGTTTGGCATGAATCATCTAATTCAACTCAAAGTGCACTGAAACCAGGGGATAATTGAAAAATATCCATTTTCAGTTGACTTGACAATAAACTTGTATTCAATGAGATGATTATATGACAAATTTCAAATATTCTCATGTGATATTTCTTCTGATACACCTAGTATTACTCCATGGAATGTATAAAAATTGTATATTTTTGAAATCAGACAGAACTACTCTTTCAGCATATGCAATAAAATATAGGGTGTTCCATTTGAAAGAATTGAACTTTTTCACACCATTCGTATATAGAATGGAGATTTAATGTTTGGAGGGCATCATTCAAAAGAGATCAACTTCTGAATCAAGATTCTGTTATAAAGTTTCCAATATCTCAATTAGTTTTTGAGATATTGAGTATTGAAAGCATGAAATACATATTCTATCACCCTGTACATTGAAAGATGTTCTAATGAACTATCTAAAATAATTAGAATTAGAAAGATATTTGAAAACCAGATAAAAATTAGGAAATTTAACCTATCCTATTTGTTTTAAGGAAGTATAGAATAATAAACACATGACAATATAAATTAGCATCTTCAGGAGGAGATTGAAACTCAGTATTGAGGAGGATATCACAAGTTGAAAAATATTTCACAATGCAAATCATTGCATCAGAGACTATTAGGGTTACCCATGGGTAGAGTAACTACCATGGGTAGCTTATGTAGCTTATCACTTATCTCTGCATAAAGTGAGAAGTTCAAAAACTTTAGCCAGCTTTGAACAGTAGTTGTCACATGTATCAGTTTCTGTCAAAGTTAAAAACCGGGATGGAAAACAATATATATTATGTTTTATTGGAAACTTACTTTTTGTTTTTTTTTACAGTCTTTGGAAAGTACGAGGCGCATGTTGGCACTATGTGAAGAGGTAAATATTCTTCAATTTACTTGAAAATACTGGTGTCTGTCTCAATGTTTCTACTAATTTCTAATTCTTCAGATATAGGTACCTAATTTAGGTCTGAGTACAAAGTTGAAATAATGTGTTCTAGAATACTGGACGAAAATAATGATCCTGAATCTTTTTCATGAAAATTTGCTCAGTGCACAAAAATTTTCTACTTGCCAGTATTTATGAAACTACATCTTTGATATGGGAGAACAGGAAGAGGATTGAATCTTTTAGTGTCTTACTTTGTAATTAACTTGTCATTCCTTCTCTATGCTCTAAATGTTTGAACCTTTTTGCAAGATAATTTAGGTTGTATTTTCAAGACAAAGAATCTTGAAATACATTAAAGACATAAATTTATGTTTATTCAAGAGCAATGTCACCTCAATGTTCAATTACCTCAATTTCAACATTAAATGAAACATATATAATACTGATTTGATTATTGTAATTGTAATAATACAAAAGGGGTTCTGGTTTAACATTGGTTCATGTAATCCTAACACTTGATGGAATTAGAAAACTTGATAATCTGATTGATATGGATTGGATAAGTATCTCAGCTTTTTTCATGTTATACATTATGTATACCTTTGATACTGTCGAAAAGTCTAGACCTTTGACAGTCAATTAGCCGTATCTACTTTACAATGTACAAAATCTGAGGCACCTTGATTCTTTCAAAATTAAAATACAGATCAAGCTTGTAGCCTGTTTTTACAAACTATCAACATCTCAGCACTTATAGCCAGTGTGAAAAATAACCATTTCATGATTGTGATTTATTGACCTGAACCATTAAGACAGTTAATAAATAACTAATAATTTCCCAAAGGTCATTCTGACACTTAAATGAATACCAATAATTTCTTCTGTTGACTTTTGCATATCTTGCAGAAAGGTAACTTAGATGTTTCTCTGTGCTGCATGTCATGCACCCCCTTTTCTATCAAGAAATAAACTATTCCTTCTCCCGCTGAGCAGGGTGCCGCGTATTCTGGATGGTTGCGTCCAATACTCGTTGCTTTCAACTGGAAAGGCGTCCAGTAAAAATATGCGTATCTTGTTGGGGTGCCGTGCTTGGATCATTGAAATGACCTTCTAGTGGAATACTGGAAATGTGTACTAGAGAGTCATGAATCTTTGTTAGCAATACACGGTGTGCTGTATATTCTACAGGGTGATTTATTCTTATGAAACTCTTTATTTACTGACTCTGAGATGCTTGTTAAATTAGTGGAAGAAGAATTCTATTGGATTGGACGTCAATATTGAATATTATGTTTCCAATAATTTCGAGTTGAGGTGATACCAAAGTGAGGGTCTTCAAAGGAATTGGGAATTCACCCTGTAGAAAAATATCTATGTTGTGGTAGCGGTAGCCCTGCAGTGTGGCTGTGTCTGTGCTGTGTTGGATGATTCAAATATCTAGAAAATATACCTACACACATGCACTTCTGCACACGCTCACACTTGCATACTGCTGATAAAATATACTTAACAGTCAGGCCACTACCATAACATAATATACAAAGAGTGTGTGGTTCAAAGCTGACAAAATTCTCTAAAAAATAACAGCATTTTCAAAAAACTATCGGAATATAGCTATTCTTGTGCATACAATTTTTCAAATATTCCAAAACTTGGTATAGTTTATGCAAAGTCACTTGAACAGATCATCAAACGAAGTCGGGCCGCGCTGCCGCACTTTTTGAACTTTCAAAGAGACCGACGGCTTGCGGTGATGTGTCTTTCCAACTGACTTTGCATAAACTTTACTCGGTAAGGAAATGGGGAAGTTTCAATATTCAGATATATCAATAAATTCTATGTGAAAAGCAATGAGACTCAATTGTAATAGCGGCTAGGTTCTTATACAAGTATAATGATATTTTTGTGGATTTCCTGATTGATCAAAAAGTATGATCCAAATTGTCTGATGAAATGACGAAAACATTGATATTTTGATAATATCCAGAATAGCTTCAATGCTCAAAATTGATTCTTGAAATTAATAGCATTAAATTAAGATTCGGGAGTAGATTTTTTCATTGTTTCTAAGAAATTAGCAAAGGAAATTCGACACTGCGCCCACATTTTTACCTCAAACAAGTTCACACCCAAACTTATTATGTTGTCATTGTTCTCTGTTTTCTGTTTATTCATTATTCAAGTTCTATTATACATGTGCTGTTTCCATCAAATTCGATATTACATTTCATAATTGTGATGGGAAATTGTAATGGGAAATATTTTGAATGTTTATGATTTTGACCCAGAAGATTGTGTACATGTATTCCCCTTCTGATTTTCCTTTCGTTTTCAGTTCACATTTGTACTAGATTCCTCGATTTTGTCATCGTTTGCCGCCTGAATTTTTTTATTGCTCTTTTTCGAAAATACAAATGATTTGAATCATTTCAATGGACATTCTAGATTGCGAAACCATGAAATTCATCAACGTCAAACTAATTTGATGAAGATGCATCAGAAGGAAACTTTCCCATTGGAGACAGAAACCATAACCTAAGACTATGAATAAACGTAGACGGCCGTTTTGTATGAAGAGTGAACAAACAAATTCAATGAAGCCGAATCATGCAATACAGATAGCATCCTTGTAATATGATATAACCTCACGGCTCACTAATTGTCAATTGTTTTGTTAAACTGATACTTGATATGAAATTTTGGAGGCTTTGAACCGATATGTATACTTACTAACTGTATAATATACTTACTGACTTTCAAACTGTTATTCTAATTCTTTATGTGTGCTTCTCAAATTCATTATTTGGCGATCAGTATGTCTACATTAATTTGTAGATTCATTGACACTGCTTTTGATAGCTACTAATAAAAATCTATATCCCTATATTCCTTGGTCGCCCAAGTCTCTTAAAGACTTCTAAGGGTTGCTCGTAAAATGGCAACTGAATGATGGATAAGAACATTTTTTTTTAGAACAAGATGAATGAACAATATTTGAATTATTATTATCATTATAATATTAAATTATTGTTCTATTCTGCGTCTTTGATGAAGTCATTTTGACATTTAAATTCGAATCGAAACAGCTTCTATTGGGACACGCTGAATATCTTCTTTTAAAGTTGGTAATGGTAACGTCAAAGTGTCAGACACGAATGACACGAAGTTTTGTGTGATTAGAGAATGAACATCCAAATGTTTTTGATACCAACTACTTACTTCATGTATTTCTAAAATTTTATATTTTTATTGATATTTCAATAAAAGAGTACAAATGATTCCAAAATAAAAAAATAGATGCTTACTATTCTGTTGAAGATAGATGATAGGGTAGGTGTATCCTAACGAACTGACCAAATCACTATGACCTCAAAATGAATTAACCCCACAGGTAAAAGCAATCATTTGGTACTCAACTTTGGGAGCATACTCAGCTGTATCGGAAAACTAGCATGCTGTGATTCAAATGTCTAAAATCTACCAACACAAACTATGAAACTTGAGAAAATGTATACCACTCTCCTAACACACAAAAACTCTTTAGAAACTAACTCTCTTGAAACTAACTGCTCCAATTTAACGGGCGGGCGTCACTCACAAAAAATTAACATGACATTTTAACACTTGTTTTGTGCTGCTGTAGAGTAAGGAGGCTGGAATACGCACCTTGGTCGCTTTAGATGACCAGGGAGGTGAGTCTCTCACTCTATCTCATACCGTCACATTGCACCATGTACCGTCATGTTACCCCTTTTTCATTACATTTTACTTTTCATCATACTTCTTTGCTCGTCATTTCAAATCGAACGCATGCAGATTGTTTCGTATCTCCAATAAAAGATAGTGAATAGTGAGGCTGAATTTCGATATTTAAAAAGAAAATCAGGAATCCATGGAAAATATACATGAAAGAAGAAGGATAATTGAATTCCTTCCAACAAATATATTATATATTATAATTATACAATATATATTATACACTTGATGTGAGATATGAGCTATTGTCTCGGAGAGGGTAGTTTTCACAACTGACCAGGTAGGATGAGTCAATAAATAATCTAATTTTCATAAAATGGTCAATAACAATTTATTGTAGATGTATAAATGATCAAATCTCTCCAGTGGATTTTCCATATTACTTATTCTACAATTCTACTTACTTTTTATGGATTCATCTTCTCGACTTAAACTAAGACCATTCTTATGGCAGGAACTCCCTATCGGTCAAACTCCTTTAGCACCCTCACAACTCTCCTAATCGTTGATGAAATTATTGTATTCTTTCAGTACTACTCTGTACATAATGATTTATTACTGATGATTTATCTGATTCGGATTAGAAATATATATTAATTTTGTATTATAAAAATACAAGCTTTCAAAATGTCACAAAATCTTGGATATGCTGATTCGAAACATTCTGCATTTTTACCTATTTCACTTGAGAGCTATATTTATTTCAAGAGTATTTTCAACTCTATGGTAAATGAATTATATTATGTTTTTGACCATAGTTATACAAAGGTTATCAGAAGATTTAGAAGGGTTAGGAAATCCTAAGCCACAACCTACAAATACCTAACAAGTTGAATGAATGCATATTCAGAGAATTTTATCATCCAATATGTCAAAAACTATTGTAGCTAGATACCTTTTTATTTCCGAATTCAAAAAGAAACTCAAATTTTCGATACTCATGTACCTATTTCATTTAATGTAACACCAAAACCGAGAAAACTACAAACTTAAAAATTTTAAGTTTATTTCTAACTCTCATTGAACTATTATTGTTGAATTATAAAATCAATTGTAGTTTAATTAAAAATACCATTGATCAATAATTTTGAAGGTAAATTTAGCTCTTTTATTGTGTCACCTCTGCATCTCTTCATTCGGATGTTTTACTGTATTTGAAAACTGTTACATATAAACGTATTCAATGGGTATTTCCAACAAATTTACTTACCTACAACATGGCAGTTCCACACTAGCATTAAACACTAATTATATAGAATGCTTTGCTTAGTATTTTTACCGCTTTTGTTGATTGTGTACTATGTGTTTTCCTCTTCCATTGTTATATGTTTATGTGAGTGTATATTATTAGAAGCACTATTTTACTGTGCTTTCACCACCTACTTGTATATATCGAATCATTATGAACTTGACATTAACTATAACCTCGTGAAGCTGGGAATAATCGTGAAAAAATTGAGTAGCATGATTTCGTTCAAAAAGTTAATCAAGAACGGTCCTTATAACAGCAGAATATCAATGACATCGATAATACATCTTTCGTAACATGTTTGTTGATACCATTTCGAAGACTGACGTCTTTGCTACAGTAGTACAATAATTATTATCAAACTAGAGAACTACTTCCAATCCGATTTTTTGACGCTTCGACACATGGTTCGCTAACTATGCAAAAATCTTCAGAAGAAGGTTATAACCGACGTTCTCCTGAAAGTGAATATGCGAGGCGTTGAAAAATCAGCTTCGGTTAGTGTTTGTCGATGTGTTGATGTTTTGTTAACGTGTAGTTCGGAATATCGATACTACGTACGTGGTACAGCATTAATTCTATAGGACCCCCGCATATTTAGTACGGAAAATGGCTTTCGGCTAATTTTTCTGAGAATTTGATATGTTCCAGATATTAGCGTCCTTATGACACGGTCCAATTTGCAGATCGATCTCATGACCAGTTTTCGAGCTACAGGGTGTCAATCATTCGATTTTGGCTGTTTAGAATATTTTGCATTGATTTGAATTATGTGCTCTAAGTCGTGATAAATCTTCAGTAGAAATAAACGCTCCACGTCTAATAGAATAGGACCTATTCACTTATTCTGTCAACCATTGTTGACCCAGACGAAAACCCGACGTTGTCAATCGCAACATGTTGGCTCACTTTTATGAATTGAAAGAAGAGTAATTCTTTTTCTTGAGTTCAAATAAAAACACGATTTGCTCACAATGTTCAAAGATGACACATTTCAATGTATGTTGGCTTATTTAACTGACATATTTGGTGCCTTGAATGAGCTAAACTTGAAACTTCAGGGCAGAAACGGCACTATAATAAGCAATTATGATTATATTCAGGGGTTCATAGCAAAGCTTCAACTTTGGAATAAGAATTGTCTTCTAAAAATGTTATATCTTTTTCTCGGCTGTTCGAAGCAATCAAAAATAACGAACTGGACGCAAATTTGAAAGTAGACATAAAAACTTATTTACAAGCGCTGGAATACGAATTTCGCCGATACTATCGAGACATCGATTCAGAGTCACCAATATGGCACATGGCAAGAAATCCATTTGTTGTCGATGTGTTACAATTACCAGAAGAAGTTCAGAAAGAATTTCTAGAAATGAAAGCTGATTCGTCCATGAAAGATGACATTGGAGAAATTTTGGATCAAAAGATTGCCTGTTAATTCGAAACTTGCCTGTCTTGCTTTACGAGTATTAATTCCTTTTTCTTCAACTTACTTGTGTGAGATAGGCTTTTCTGCTCTAGTTTTGATTAAAACTAAACAGCGAAATCGTCTTGATGTCGATAGCGACCTGATGATAGCTCTGGCAAGAACAGAACCTAGAATCAACCAACTGGTACAGAACATGCAAGCTCAAGTGTCTCATTAATACCTACTCTTATTTTATTAAATTTTTTGGATAAAAAACATTTATTATTTTAATTTAAACTTCTGAAGTATTAAACTTCTTCTGAAGAATTAAAATAAAAGGCTTTTAAGTACATAATGTGCGTTTTTTGTATTTATTGTAAAAGTAAAGGGGGGGGGCATGAAAATATTATTAGTAGTCCGGGGAGCCTCAAGAAAAAAAAGGTTGGGAAACCCTGCTTTAGACAATGGATGTTACTTCAATTCCCTTCAAATTTAATATAGTCATTAATGTCAGGTTCGTTTTCGTACAGTAGTTGTAGAAAACGATATATTCCTTGTTCTTGTGTCGTTTTCTTGTTGTGAATTGCTATCGGCACTGTGCTGTTGTAGAGTACCGATGCGGGCACGAAGACAATGGAGAATCTCAGCAATCAAGTCGGTAAGCTCAGAAAGATGTGTAGTTGAAAGGACTTAATTCGATGGTTGGTGTTGCTGCTGATCTGGGAGCTCTGCTCTGTTTAACTCTTTTCGATATTGTCGTGTTGTCTTCTGTTTTATTGCATATTTACGAACAGGCGGCCGTGCCGAAAGTATTTTTTCTCGTGGTTTACTTGATAACGATCATACATTCAATCGTTCAGTCATTCTGTTAATAATGGGTTATGAATGCAAACGAAATATTTCTATTACTTATTGTAAAGTATAGATAAGTCGTGGATCTAAACACCAATTAAACACGACTTTTGATAGTGAAGATATTGTTTTTGAGTATTTGTTTCACATCATAATTGGTCGATTCATTAGATACATAGAAAGGTTGTATTGATGCAAAAGATTATGGAGTTTTTTTTTAGCACAATCATAGACTTAGTGGTCCTAATTATATCCCTATCTAGCTACCTCGAGCGACACCGTTAGAAAAAACCATGTATAGACAGCGCACTACATAAACTGATCGAAAAAACTAAGGATATTTTCCAATGCAAAAGACATAGAGGTATTGATAGGCTATATCACATTTTTCTCATTTGTTTTCGGTCAGTTTATTTCTAGTATTTCTAAATATCCTAAAGAGGGAAAAACATTCCAAATATTCATTGAATATTACGAGAACACCCGTATAAGTAAATACACTGTGTCCAAGAAAACTGAATTTTTGGATTTTCAATTATATGACAAAACTGAAGTAACATCTTCATCGCAACGTTTCATCTATTAACAACCATCATCAGCTCCATTTTTTCAAATACAGCCCTGATATCTTATCAGATTCGAATAGCTGTTCTTTCCATTTTGATTTCGGCGATATGAAATACTTCTTCGGCGATATGAAATACTTCTTCTATATCTTGGCCATCAGCAAGTAATTTTTAGAATACACACATGAATTCTTCATAATAATAATAATAATAATCAATAATTTAATAATATAAAACAAATAACAGTAAAGAAATACATAAGCCCAGAAACATTAGTTGATGGCCAAAAAGAGGTCGAAATTCAGTTTTGTCATAATTTCAATATCAACGCCAGAAAGAGTAATTTCATTGGTCCTTCAATAGTGCCACATTCTTACACTTAACCAAATCTCAGAGATATACTGTCCTGAAAATCCAAGGAAAATTCTAAAAATTCTACGAATAATAAACCAGTCACCGTCATTCCTTGCTCGCACAAGACTCTCGAAGACTTCTGAGGGTTGCTCGTAAGGGGGCAACCGAATGACGGATAGAACAATTTTAGAACAATTTTAGAACAATTTAGAAATAAACCAGGAATTTCTTTGCCGAAATACACTACAACGGCAAAAAAAACCGGCCACCAAAAAATTCTGCCAAATTGTACTTTCAATTTTTGTTCGATTTCGGTGAAATTTCGACCAAATCCTATATACATGTTTCGGAATGTTAGCCTGGATATAGGGTCCTAAGAAAATCTGATGGCTTGATCATTATGCAGGGAAAAACAAAAGTGACTCTTTCACCCTTGACTTTTTAACGCCCTGTGGCAAAAATGAGTGTTTATACCACAGGGTTAAACTGAGCTTCATTATGTTTTGGATTAAAGTGTGATCCCTTCTTAACACAATAGTTTTCGATTCTCGTCGATAACCACTTTTTAATAAAAAATACGAGTGTTTTAAGAAAGTATGTTTTTTTATTTTCATTATCAATAATTCAGAACCATTCTCCAACCTTCTGCATTATCATGTTTTGAATTGAAGTGTGACCCTTTGTCGTCCTTTCTTAACACAATGGTTCGAGATTCAAGTCAATATCTTCTTTTTGAGAGAATTCTCTTGAGAAAGTATGGGTTTCACAAGAATCGGGCAAGGATTAAAATAGTTACAGAGTGAACAATTTTAGTATCACAACTTACCTCCAACTAGGGCTGTGCAAAAATCTCAATGTATCGATATTAAATGCCCTTTTTATTTTACTCCTCACACTCGTCAAAGCAGCAATGCAGCATCACCATCTAGCGGAAAAGAGTAGATTCAACGTCTCGCTCTATGTGACGTAGAGAAATCATAGTAAGCGGTTGAGTGATTTTTCTCAAGATTTCAATACGTAAAAATGACCGAGTACGATATATCGATACCAAATCACACACTGATATCGATATCAAATTTCAAATATCACACAGCCCTACCTCCAAACAACCAAAACTAAAAGGGATTATACTTAGGATCACTAAGTCTACGATTATTTTTTAGCCTAAAATCCTCTAATGACTGAACTGAATTTGGGATAACATTTCATATGATTCACTAACATTTCCAGACGATTAATTCGTCGGTTATTCCGTTCATAAAAAATGATGTCAACAAACACTCGAAAACGAACGTTTCATTGTTCCGGAAATTATACCGCTTTTCCAACATCCCCTAATCGCTTCCAGTTGAAAAAGGATCACTTACCCCTCAGAAATATTTTAGAACCACTGGTTTCGATGTTCAATAAATTGATGACTACAACACGTACCTACACCATAACACGATGCGTTTCTTTACCATCTAATAATGACCAATGGTGCACTAATGGAAAAATCTTGAAGAGCTGTTTTGTTCTCATGTTTCCACTCATGGCGATAGGGGTGCCAGGCTAACAGTTTTTCAATGTTTGTAGAGTCACGAAGTTGGCATGAAGACCCTGGTCATGCTGGATGAACAGGGCGGTAAGCATTTCCTAGCTTTCATTGTTTTTCAGTCATGAGGAGTGGTTTCAGACAGTTGGCTTATCAAACATTCAGAAAAACTTTGGCCCTTCAGTTTTTGGAATTATTATTTGACATAAAAGAATTTTGGTTTCGGTTTTAGTTTGCGACATTCAAAATCAAATTACAATGTCGCAACATTTTCTGAATTTGATGATACCCAGCAGTAAGTCTGAAACACTCATCAATGATAATACCTCGGGACCAACCCCATATTCATCCAAAATGCATAATTTACAATATACAAAAGCAGACGGATTAATTGTTATGATTGTAAAAATGTTGCTCGATTATCATTTCTTTGAATTACACCTTCTAAATATTCATATTCTAGTGCATTCAAAAATGTTTACATTAGCTACTACATCAGAAATAGCAAATGCAGATTTTTATACTGGAAAATTAATAAATCTGACATAAAAATTTGTGGGTCTGCTTTTGTGTAAATTTATTCAAAGTTTCAAGAATCAATAAACACCCTGTGTACCTATATATCTTTATTCGAATAATAGTTCACCTTTAGAATCACTCCTAAGACACTAATGTACCCTTTCCATATCAATTAATTACACAAAGAAGTCATAATACGATTTTTTCAATTCCTTTTGATTTTTTTCGATTGAGCTTTTATTCATCTGCTTGATTATCTCAAAAATTATGTATCAAAAATCTAAAATGAATCTATGAATATATTCATCATGACTGTAAATATGCAATAAGATATTTGACGTAATTTCTGATGTTATCAGTGTACACATCTTCATACTATAGATAATAGGAGGAATTATTGTTCTTTCATCTTTTGGTTATACTCTCCAGTGGAAGACTGCGAATACGCTATGAAAATCTTCAAGAAGTATCTACCAAACGACATACCGTTCAATTTGAGGATTTATCCAAAATTGGAGGACTGGTAAAGCAAATGTACAGAGTCGTTCACGACAAAATGACTCGATGTAAACAGGGTTTTTCATGTATATTATGTCCCTATAGTAAGGGTCCCCTTTTGCAGACTGTTTGCCTCGGTCACAAGTTACGTGCAGGGTAGGTCAATGCGATATTTAAACTTTTTTTTATGATACAACACATCAGAAATCTAGCGTTTTTCACATTGTTGAATTAATGTTTTGAAGATATTTCAATCATGTGAATCTGTGAAACTAGATGATCAAACATATCGCTGAATCACGAAAAGAAGTCGCTCATCACTAGCGACTTCTGGCAACTTTTCCTATGAATTTTTGCGACATTTTATTCACAGCAACTGGTATCACTGTTTACGTATCAGGTGTTAATCGGATACTAAAATCTAATCTTTTTCCCGTGTATAATACACTATTTGTTTCTGTGACAGGAAAACAGAAGAATCAATATTGTGAAGTAATCAAATATCTGTCAATCCAATTCTGTAATTTGATTTTGAAAAATTGCGAATTCAGTGGTTGTTAAGCTCGTTAAGTAATTTACGTAACGGCGAAGTCGATTGGAAGATGAAAGGACTTACAGAGTTCTTTCTCGGAGACGGTGTTATTGGCTCAGTTTTCGTAATTATAGCACAACAAAAGCCATCAACAGTGTATACATATATATGTTGGAAGAAAATATTCACTTTTTCCCGTGGGACAAAAGTAATGTATCAAGAGTGGCATTTTATAACCTGTAAACCTGTCAACAGATATGAAATTTCTAACTTTTTTCTCTTCACAGAAAAAAAGTTATTTATTCGGTAAATTCAGCTTGTAACTGTTGTTATATAACTTACCAACATTCCTGCATTTTTTTATTGTCCAGAGTTATCTAAAAAACGCTTGCAGAAACACATCACTTGCTGAATGACAAATTATGATGAAGCTTCTGTTTCTATCTTTAATAGAAGTTCATAGATGGCGCCATATATCAGTTTCGACTTTTCGAGTATAGACTTCATTGTTCGAGTTTAGAAAGTGGAAAATTACAGATTTATAAACATTTATAGGCACATCCTTTCAGCGTTCCTAATTATAAACATGGTACGTTAAGAGGTTAAGAACTAAATTACGACGCGTTTTAATTGCCATCGTAAAAAAACTTTTTTTTTCACGAATATTTGTCTAATGAACAGGTGTAATGTAAATTTACTCAAATTTACATAACTTAACTCAACTTAACTTTACTTCACTCGATTTTACTTGATTTTACTTAACTTTTCGATTTAAATTAAAACAGATACAGGGTCATCAGAATAGGCTAGTGAACTATTTTTTTTTATTTCTTCAATAGAATCGTCACTCAAATACCTTTCAATTCCATATCTTTTTAAAAATTTTCGGTCGATTTTAAGGTGCCAAAATCATCAATAATGCTACGGCAATTTTTAAACGGGTAGAAATTTACCGCGAGTTAAAACTGACGTCACGATTTAGTAAACAGGGACAGACCATAGCACAGTTGCCATATGTCGAAATACGATTGGGAACTTCAGAAATATTAGTCATTCAATATTCCAAATTATCAATCAATTGTCTCAAAATGTTCTCTCATGTGTTGTGGTTTATTGCTCATATTTGTGTAAATAATAATCATATCAATTCAGACTAGAGGACATTTGATCCGGTAAACGCTCGAGTACACGTTACAACACAGCGCACCACGAATTGTGGGCGTGGTCTTGTCAGTTCTCAACATTCAGCACAATGTTGCCAAGTCTCCAACATTTACATGATATTTTGTTATGCCGTCATGGGGTATAAGAAATATTTGGACATGCTGGTTGCTCGAAAAAATTAAGGATGATACTTTTTACTCAACTATAGGACTCTAACATCTTTTTGTTAACTTGATTATAATTGGTGACTTGGCAACCTTGCTTCATGGGTGGGAATGAAAAATGAAACTGCATAAAAACTGACGCCACCATTTATTCGACGTATCGCCAAATGGCGGCCATGACGGTGCGTTTGAAATGAGGTCTGAAATTCAACAATTTCGAACGACACATAGACTCATTATTTACATAAAAAAGGCATTCTGAACTTTTCACCACCCTTTGTGATGAAACTTTTCAAACACACTCTATTTGACATTTCATAATAATTGACTAGAAGACCTGGAATAATCGAAAGCTTTCATAAGATAAGATGTGTTGATGATGGTTGATGAAACTCAAGTGTCAAAACTTGAAACTCACAAAAAAATATAAGGTGCTTCCGAAATTGGGGCAATAAATTATATGGATGATAGAAGACGAAAGAACAAAACGAAATGAAAGAATGCACTTTTGTTGAAAAAAAAATATTTTGGATTATATTGCGCTCCAAAGTTGGACTGAAACTTTTGTTAATCATTGAGCCCAACCCATTTGTTTCGGCGCCTGTGTATCGGAAAAGTTCTGCTATTAAAAACTAGCTCACCCTGTATTTTCAGTCAAGTTATATATTCACATGTAGACTTTCCGAAACGGCAGCTATTTGAAAACATAGAGTAAAGCATAAGATGAATTGTAATTTTAACAGTTTCCTTCTATTATCGAACCTCTAATACGCTACAATAAAATATTGACAGATGATACATAGTTGAGAAGACTTTTTGTTTAAAAAATCAGGCAAAAACTCGTCTACATATTTTGGATTATGCTTCTTTTTCCTACTAAACAAATTCGACTAAAAACATACCTACCTACAACAACATTTTCATATAATATCAAATAATTAGTATATTTTCAATGCTTTGCTAATTTTCCAATCAAGTAATCCTAACAAGTCCTCTTCATACACCTCATTCCTCATATCGAAATTATTTGTATGCTACTCATCTTGACTCCATTATAATCTAAATTGAAAGGTCAAGCATGTTCAAAATCTTCAAGACTTGTTCAAAACATACAAATAACTTCAGTACATTATTCTTGATAATGGATATGGCTGATACATGATTTAATCAAAGACAACAATACATAGAAGGATTGAACACTACTAAAGTAAGTTGACACCCTACTCACAACTCTTTTTAACGTGTTCTCTACACTTTTATTCCTCGTTTCTATGCTACATGCCTTTTTAACTAAACAGATAAATCGGTAGCATGACAGAAAATATTGCTTTTAGAAACTAGTTCGATTACGAGATTTTGATTTGTGACAGAAGTTCGAATTTTCAAAAGAAATCAATTTACTTGAACATAACACCAGTGATGAAGGAATCATCATTTAAAGACAAAACGCTTTTGAAGATACGAATTTTCTACCTTCAATCATGAATATTTTCAAGATGGTAGATAGCATGAGCATGTCATTCTGTAACAAAACTAATACATTTTATTACACTAATCACTTAGAACTTGTGGTAACAACATGATAACTAGAAAACTGATCCCTTCATGTGTTGTACAGAACAATTGGACCGAATTGAGGATGGCATGGATCAAATCAATACCGACATGAGAGAAGCAGAAAAAAATCTAACGGGGATGGAAAAGTGTTGTGGACTCTGCGTTTTACCTTGCCAGAAGTAAGTAATACAATAATACAATGAACTAAACTCATTCATTGTACCAGTTTATCACCTGACGAAGCTACTGTGTTAGCGAAACATGTCGTTTGTATAAAAAATTTGTGGAAATCTTATCGTTTGTGAAATTTTTACATTTATATGAGTCAACTAGAAATATGATTTTCTTGTGATTTATCCATGTTTAGTGAAAAGAAGGTAGAATATCATTCAAAATAATGGCGTGTGTAATGTCATTCAGAAGCATTCTGTTGACATTTGACATCACGTATTTGTATTGACTGACTATTGATTAAGTGGCCGTCATCTGGTATGCTTTCTCTCTGAATATGAACAACTCGCCATAAAAATCATATTTCCTGTTGAATTGTCTATATAAAAATGAGTCATTGAAGTACATCATGAGTATTCAAAGTGGTCAATGACAAAATAAGAAGAGCAAGTAGCTGTAAATGCATCCAACACAAGGGGAAAAAGAAGGCGATATTTCGAACTTGTTCTTGAAATATCTCGATAAATAGTGGTTTCTTCACAATTTCATTATCAAATTCGTGTTTTTTAACTCTATCAATTAAACTGGTGCAAAATTTGAACCACGAATTTCTTGGACTGGAGAGGTATGCTGGGACAAAATATACCCCGATCTGTAATGAGCTAACGGTTTGTGGTACGACGGTTCATTTCCTTTACCGGCCCATATAAATATAAGTCACTCATATTGGTCTTCGCCATCATATGTTCAAGGCTATAGCAAAGAGAACAAAGCATTAGAAGAATATAGAATAAACTCCAAGCTTGTTCCGTACGTTGTGCGTATGCTTTCAAATCGCGGGTGCAAATTTCATCATCTTCTTGTTATGACTCTTTTTTTTTGCATGAAATACAAACTATGCAATATAGGTAAGCTACTAGTTCCATTATTTCAACTTAATTGTTTATCTTACATCCATAATCTGTGAAAATCGATGCTGTTCAAAGTTTGTCCCACCATACAACAACGAATATTTTCTTGCAGAAATGGCCAAGAGATTTTCCAAGGAACCCTTGGCCTTCACGCTCCAGATGAGACAATGAAAAGAGGTGATTTTGAATGGTTCTGCAGTAAGACAGGTGCTTGTGCCTACAAATGACTTGACAAAAGAGCAGTTCATTTTCTCTCGAATTTCCAGTCCTAATCATGTGACTGGAGTAAGACGGAAGGGGGGTGATGGAAGCATTACAAATATATCGTGCCCTGCCGTTCTTGTGGATTATAATAAATATATAAATGCAGTAGATAAATTCGATCAGATGCGAGCAGTTCATGGCATTGATCGAAAAAGTAAAAAGTGGTGGTATAGAATAATGTTCTTTTACCTGGATGCTGCTGTTGTCAACTCATTCATCTTTTACAAAATACTCGATCTTCCAAAGTTTTCAATGAAAGTTTTCCGAAGAAGTATCATTGATGATTTAGTGGCCGATAAATTAGTATCTTCATCAAGAATATCAACCGAAATGATGATTCCAATAAGGATAAAGAAGCCTTGTCAGAGCCTCGCAATGAGAGTCACACAGAGTGCTCACAAACTTGTCTGAAGGAGTCGAAGGAGATGTGCTCTTCTTGTCTGAAGGAGTCGAAGGAGATGTGCTCTTCGCAGTTCAAGAGAGTTTGAACAAACTGGCTGTGTTCAGTGTTCAAAGTTCCACTTTGTCTTGGAAAAAACAGAACATGTTTCCAGACGTATCACAGTGATTTCAAATAAATTAGGTATCATGAAATATTTCACCTTATGGTATGGTGGGTTAAACTTCGACCCACCCTTTATCTGAAAAAAATGAATAATTTTGAAATTATTTTACGTTTGTTTGAGTTTTTCGCGATATTTTGAATTGGTTATATGATAATTATCTTTCTTGGAAATCAGATCTAGGGGGTGTTATATATCAAAATTCCTGAACCTGATAGAGTTAAACAAAAATACGTTAGTATCAAAAAAAAATTTCGAAAAATAAACCCATCGCATGATAAATTAAGTTTTACCGAATCGATCAACTCGTTGAACGTTCTCCACGTGTTCCAGAGGCTCTTCGTTCAAGGAGGACGAGGGCACGTGGAAGGGCAACGACGACGGCAAGGTGGTGAACAACCAGCCGCAGCGCATGATGGACGAGCGCAACGGAGCGGGGCCGCAGGGCGGCTACATCGGCCGCATCACCAACGACGCCAGAGAGGACGAGATGGAGGAGAACGTCGGGCAGGTGAACACGATGATTGGCAACCTGCGCAACATGGCCATCGACATGGGGTCGGAGCTGGAGAACCAGAACCGGCAGGTGGACCGCATCAATCTCAAGGTAATTGTCTGGCCTGAAGGTTATCCGATTGGCTGTTGGGTAACTGAGTGCAGTGTTCTGTTGTGTGTGTTTGGGATGCTTAGCGGGAGTTATAGATTGAACCGTTGCCGCCGCAGCTGCGGTTGCAGCCGCCATTCAAAATTTGGAAGTGTAGTTGAACATGTGTATGTTTATAGATTCGCTACAGCCGCCATCGCCGCTGCCTCCCGAAGTTGATCAACTTGCATGTTTGGCGGCGGTGGCAGCGGACAAATGACATAACACAGTGCCGGATTTATACTCACTTACGCCGGGGGCTAATTATTACGATGCCGCCGCACCGCCGCCAAATAATTCAAAATTTAAATTACATGTTCTCCGAATGTAAAAAATATAAAACTGTAAAGTTTACCTTCTTCCTTCTTCAGAACGTGAAGTGCCCGGATACGGTTCTGTCGGTTCTCATTCTATCTCATTTGAACTGAGAAAAAATGAAAGTATATTAGTGCCTCTCTTGTTAACTTCTTCCAACTTTATTTGTTTATTCATCTTCTGCCGTTTCGAGAATGCACGACTTTCTTCTTTACTCATATTTTTGAATTCCAGTTTCAATATTTACCTTTACCACGACAACCTATTGAGTACTGAATTCTGGTTTTGTTATTTGTTATTGAGTTAGACGAATCACGAAATTGTCCCTACTGAGTAAAATATGGTTTTTTCATCTTCATCAAATAAAAGTATGTACCGCAGCCGCTTTTGTATAAAGGCACAGCTGACGCTTGATTAGTGAATGTTATGATTTTCACAAAAACAGTATCCCAACTCCGATTCCTCCCTGTAAGACGAGTCAAGAGGCGACATATAAAAGGCAAGAAGCAATATTATACTTGTCGCCTCGTCGGCGATAAGTATATTGCTGCTTGCCTTTTTTTCTTTCTCCCTACCGCCTCGTTAAAATTCACCGCCGGGGCCTGATAGTCCCATAGTCCCCCCCCCCCCCCACTAAATCCGGCACTGATAATACATGATATAGTTCTGTGCTTCTGGCTCAAAAAAATTACTAGAGTGTAGAAGTAATGTTATATTTTTATTCAAATTTGGATTCCTGCTCTTGAACGTTGGGAAATCATAGTGAAAATTGAGAACATTGATATAGGAGTAAGTATTCCTAAATTTGCTGGAGAGCTTTTCCATCTATACAATTTGATAAAGATCTATTAATGAAGAAAAACAGTTGGCCAGGAATGAAGTATGATTTTCCTGCTACGGCGGCTGCAACTGCAGCGGCAGCGGCTGCCCCCAATCTATAGATCCCGCTTTATAACTGGGGGACCTTGATGGATTTTTTTTTAATAAAGTACAGACATCAAATACGCAGACAGATGATAAATGAAAATGCTCATCGCTTAGATGCAGGTTTTTTATGATATTTCTTCCTCTAAATGTTTTCACTTTTCTTGTTTCTTTTTCTGGTTAGTGTCCGTACACGATACAATGATTTCAGAAAACGTCAAATCCATCTAGGTTCTCTTCTTATAACTATGGTGTGTTCACTTCTCAATTGTTTTCGTCAAAATGTCTCGATGGATCGGTTTAGTCGGTGTATTCCTCAGATGGAAGAATAATCTAGATGGAGCATATAGTTATCTGAAACGAACCAAATAATTTCATTAATAGTGTTGTACTCAAGAATAATACTTATTACTGAAGGCATCTATTCACATCATATCGTTGATATGTATATATTACATGCTAGCTGCTGGCAGCTTGTTTGGATCACTCAATAACATCTTGAGGGGGGAAATAAGATGGAAGATGACATAAATGTTGGAATATATTCAACTAAATATTCGTTTGAACATCTTGTATTCTGAGTTTTAGTAGGTGGTGAGACATTAACTCATATTTATAAAAATAAAATGTTGATGTCAATTATATTATCTTTCAAATAAAGTTCAATATAAATCTGTATTCTCTCATTGTTTGAGATACCACAGCGTCTTATAATAAACATCAATATTTTTTTGTGAACATGTGAAAATTTGCCTGATGAATTACATATTTCCTTCATTTCTATCGTTCACGTAACACAAACAACATTTTTTGATATTTTCGGCTACCAGAATAGTACAAAACACACCAAAATTCTATCCAAATATCAATAACCGAATGAGTCTAATGTCCATGATACATGATAAAGAAAATGATAACTGCGTAAGCATTATTAGATAAAAAATTTATTAATTTTGACTATGGATGTTATCCATATTGTCTATTCTTTTGGCTGAGATGAATTTAATCACATTTTTGACTCCTATTTTTATATTCTTGACGCAGTGAACGATTTGCAATATTTACATTGTAAGCAGTTAATTTTAATTTTAACGATTAAGACAAAACATCTAGCGGGTTTTCTAAAAATTTCATATGGCCATCCAAATGAAATATGATAGATTCCATCGAGAAATTGTGACGATACCTTCTTCTATTTACTAGCTACACCATAATTATAAACGTCTCAGGTGTGCCCTAGTCACAAGCTGCCCGGAATCCGCCCAAATTTAACATCGCTCAAATGCATATTGGCATTTATTTGACAGAGATTGGGTCAATAGTTTGTTCTCCGACGATAGCGGCTAAGCTTTTCGTGATAGAAATAATCACTTATTTTGAGGAGTTTTAGTAAACTTAGATGTACTGATTGTTCATACGTTACTTCACCTTAATAACCTACAAACCACATGTTGAATCACTGGGTGTTTCATCTGAGAAACGAGTTTCGCGCATTAAAATTCTATAAAAATTGAAATGTCATTCTAATTCCCTACACAAAGTTACAATAGAGAGCTTAGCCGCTAACTTCTGATCGCCCGAGAACTCCATAAATTAACTCATCTTTTGGTACGGCACCAAGGCTATATGAGAAGCACCGTACAAAGAATAAACTGAGAAGGAATACACTAGATATTTGCTGTTTAACTCTTACCAAGAAGAACTCTTACCATGCAAAGCTATTTTGGAGAAATACACTAAATATTTGCTGTTCAGCTCTTTTACTAAGAACTAAAAAGCACTTTAGCTAAGAAGTAAAATGTTGCCTAACCATGCAAAGCTTTTTGGGATTCAAACCCAAGGAGACAACTTGTTTTTCTTTAATCTTCCCAATTCTCGATGAATATCGAAAATACTTTTCACCCATGGTGAGATTGAAGTGCCGACTCAAAAATTACACGTGTATCTCTAGTGGTACAATTTGGAAGCTCTTAAAGTCCGAAACTTCAAGTTTTGTGCCGACACTTCAACGTGCGTATAGTGACATGACTGACATGTTTTAAATGTGCTTGCTCCAGGAGAATCAATTCGAACTCGTAAATTAATTGGCTTTTATCTTTTGTATATAGCAGTCTAGGGTCTAATAGATTGAGGCCTTAAATCTCTGTAGCCCGATCTGGTAGACAATAGAAAATATTAGCTTTCAATGACAAAATTTGGGATCTTCGTGTTGTTAATATTTTCTTTGGCGAGCTCACTGGTAATTCCATGGTCTCCTATCGCTTCACCAATAAACTGCCTTGGTGCCATATCAATATAAATAATGCCATGGGGTTTTCCTGGTTGTTTGAGCGTTTTTATTCTATTTCTTGATGCCCTTCTCTACGTTCTCCTGGTGCTTTTTCTATAAAATTTTCGAGAAACGTATAATTTATATTATGAAATATGAATCTTATGGTCTCCCTAGGTATACCAGGCGTTTTCAATGCCATTTGGACTTATTCTCAATGATACATAAGTTTTATGATGCTTTCAGAACATAATACCTAATGAAAATTTTAAATTTGATAACGCCCGGTTGCTTTCATTCAGTGTCCAGGGCGTGCATGAAAATGCCTAGGGATGTTATCTAGAAAACATGTCCATATTATTTCAAAGTAAAACTGATGAAAAAAGGCTATAATGAATGCAATATTTTATAAATACTTTCAAGAATTACCAATTCAACTTTTGGTTGCTTAAAAAATTACAGTTTACTATCAAATTAATCATATTATTGAAAACTTTCAACCCATATATCTCACGTTTGTCTCAATTTTCATTGCACAAAAAATTATTTTATCATACAGGGTGGGGCATTTCATAGGAAGTTGCCTTTTTATGAAAAGCTATATTAAAGTTTAATTAGTCACTTATTCCTGGTCGAATATACAGTAACATGCACATCGAAAATTACCTTCGGTCATAATATGCGATTCCCCACCTTGATATTTTGTTGCAAGAATTATTATCCATAATTTTGGAATGCCTACTCTTTTCTTTTTGAGCATAGCACATAATAAAAACTCAATTAGAGTAAATATTGGTCACACCAACTTTCATCTCATTCAGTAAAGAAACTGAAAATGTTGAATTTTTTGAGGAATTTTTTCATAAATCTTCAAATAAATTATGGCGTACATGCTACTTTACTCAATTTCAGAAAAACACATCTAGCTAATTCTAAAGTACCTTGAAGGAATGGACTTTTTTCTTATATAATATAAAACGTTCAATCCATCAAAGTAATCCAGCTAATTCAAGTTGTCTGAACATTTGGAAGTAAAAGTACATATCTCGGCAAAATGTATTACCCATTTTATTTCTTTAATAGTACAAAAACGATTTGGTTATTTCAAATAAAACTAATTTTAAATGAATAAGTAGGCTTTTTTGAAATTTTTTAGTCGTAAAAAAAGTTGATCTACACAACATAGTGTTCAAGAAATGGTACGTCCATGTCTCGGTCCATGGCTAGCAAAATCTGTAGATCATTCAGCTCCGGATTATTGTCAGGCTATTTGAAGCTTGAAGTGTATCTCCATAACCTCAGAAAATGAAGATATGATGAAATTAATTAAAGAAATCAAATACTAGCCCACGTTATATTCTTCATAATGTAATGCAAACTAGCTAATCAATTAGAAGAATGCATAAAGAACAATTTCGATAATTTACATAAAACTGTATTTGAATCATAAAAATGAACTCGTTTTGTTATTCAAATAGTTATTGGAATGGTCTAAGCTGTTTAAATTGGATAATTCATTTTGCCGAACACTACAATATATTTTCTCCACGGAAACTGGTATATTTCCATAAATTGCACTACTTACATAATGACGTTCGACATTTTGGTACAAGTATGAACTGACTTGATTGTTTCAAATACTCGATTTCCTGCTTGTGGTTTTTTATTAATCTTGGTGTTGTTTGTTTTTACATTGCTACCCCGTTCACTCCACGAACACAACAACATCAACAACTCTGTACACTGCAACATTATGGCTGTTGTTTTGGAAAAAAGGGAGAGTCGAATGCGACGAGGATAGAGGTGGCCAATCAGCGAGCCCACGATCTCCTCAAGTAGACACAAAAACACAAAGAAATGACACTGAAATTGAAAATTATTCCTGTGTTTCCAACTCGTTCCCACATTTTCTTCATTCTCGCAGCAACTACAGCATAGGAAACTCAAAGATGAACATAATATCTATTTTTAGTTCATATTTAATCTTTTAACTACTTACTATTTTGGTGCAATTTGTGTCTTCTATTTATATTGCCGATTAACATCTAACTGGATATTGAACAATTTTATAGAAAATGGTGCTTGTGAATATATTGCTTTGGATATCAGCTTGTGAGTGATCAATAAATGAATTTATAAATTCTCCATGTTACTTATTTTCATCAATTATGACTATGACTAAACATTGTGTCTGTTGCATTTGATGGAAAATTGATTGAAATTCTCGAAAATATTCTTTCTCCTACCTCCTGAAAGCTCATTTCACAACGGCGGTGGTAGAAACTTCAACCACAGCAGAGCTAATCTCTTCAACCATTCTCCATGTTACTTATTTTAATCAATTATGACTATGGCTAAACATTGTGTTTGTTGCATTTGATTGAAAATTAATTGAAATTCTCGAAAATATTCTCTCTCCCACCTTCTAAAGCTCATTTCACAACGGCGGTGGCAGAAACTTCAACCACCTCTTCGATAGACATGTATATTATCCGAAATGATTTAAAATAGTCACTGTCACTGTTGTTGTGTACAACTAAAGGCGAAAATGAAATGTGAGTATTCAATTTTTATTTTGACGTAGATCTACAGGGAGTTCTCTGCGGCACTCGATATATAATAATAACGTATTTGCGCCTTAGTGCTTTCATGTTTTCAAGAAAAATATAAATTTTCTCATAATTTGTAAATGACGCTCTGTTTTTTGCATTCACAATCTCTATTGAATCCATCTTGGTTTGCAAATGGAAAATTTTTCAAAGTAGGCTTACATGAAAACAAATGCAAAAAAGCACTTGAACCTTCATTTCTGTTAAGCTTTCCTATGATTTGTCAGCATTATAGGTGTTTTCAAAAAGACCCTGTATCTCGGTTGTAAGCAACTTTCTAACTCGTCTAAAGTCACATTGCAATATTTTGTATTCATTAATAATTATAAAACATAATTGCCAGTTTTTCAAAACTAAAAGTCGTACCTAATTCTTCTGTCTACACCTCGGTCTACACTAACATACCAGATACATTTTCTATTGGAGACTGTATCGAACTTTCCAAATCCATTCAGAAATGGTTTGGCTTCTCAAACTTGAGGAATAATTGAGAGTGAAAAAGATTTTTAAGTGCTGCCCTCAATAAAATTATCGCTTACAAGTGGTAGACCAGTTGTATTCCAACATCATTACAGGGTGTCCTATAGGTTGATGTTGATCTTCTTGAAGCTGACAAGATACATCATTAAAACCTACGGTTATCAAGATATTCGTAGTTTGCGGTGAAATCTGCAAAGAAATGAATCAACACAACGTGTTGAAATGCTTTTGAAAACTTCTGTAATTTTTCCCTATCGCGAAAACCTTAAAACTGTGTACTGAGAAAGTGTTGCTTAATATGTTCTGAATGAGGTATCCTCTCAACTCCCAAGAGGTTCTGTGCAAACTGCAGGATACCCAAAGATTGGAGCAAGTTTATAGTATTTTATAAAATTTTCCTTCTCCTATATCAGTTGTGAAATAAATGTTTAGTCATTTACCGTTTGAAGATTATCTCCTTTAAAATGCTTTGCATATGTGTGTAGGAACTAGTTTTTGTGAGAGGAATTCACTCCTGACTGAGTCATTCACGTTTAATTTCTAAACGACCAAAATAGTCATTCTTAAGGAAACTCTTGTGATAACTTTATTGGTATATTTTCAACTGGTCTAGGAAATGGAGGCAAAGATGCATGAACATGAGTTGTATATCCAGTACCGAAAATAGTTGCTGCGATCGAAATTCTCTTCCTAGTTTAATCTGCCACATTTCGGTTGTTATTTGATTTATTCGTTATTCTGCGTGAGAACGAGTTGGACTCCTGATGGTGTATGTAACGAAGGGCACACTGGTTATATGTTTGTTGGTTAGGGCGAAAGCAACGAAACGCGCATAGCAGTGGCCAACCAGCGTGCCAACAAACTCCTCAAGTCCTAAGGAGGCACGGAACGAAGCGCCCTTTTATACTCCTTTCTCAATTCTCGATGTTTACAGCTTACTAGTTTTTACTGTTCAAGTAATATATTCGTACTTAGTATAAGTTGGAAATCAGACCGAGAGCGCTATAGGAAAAGTGCAAGTGACGATGTGAGGGGTAAGACAACTTGAGATTTTGGATTTTTTGACATTCATTGCAAACTAGTTAAATTGATTATATAATGACAGTACTATTGAATTATACAGGGTGAGTCATAACTATTGCAAATATGCGTCAATAAAATATTGCTGTTCAAAATGATACAGGGCATTCAATCGAAAAAGTATTTGCTATAAACTCGCACCAAAATTCATCCCCTGAGAAGAAATTCAATTCACCAGTAATAATTATCTGACTGTCCAAAGCACACTCTTAATAATCATTCACGTGGCGCCCCTTGTAACAAACCGTAGAATACATAAAATAATATTCCCTATATACAATTATGCCTCTGTGCCGATTTTGTTAACAATTGTGAAATTATTAGCAGAAAACGAGAAAAAACATTTAACTTCAACGCCCTGAATCTGTTTCCACAGCAATATTTTACCAAGACATATTCGGTCCTACATAAATGGTCCTATCTATCGCCATATTTTGGTCCAAACAATCCGCCCTTAGCCTATGTCCCAATAGTTATGACTCACCCTGTATAATGACAGTAAGATTGAGTTATATTGTCACATCCCACCATTCTACGAGAGCTTGTACAAATATACAAAGAAATGCGAATTTATTGTACTTCAATAAAGAACTGACAACTGGAACTGCTGTTTGAGGTAGGTACGTCAAATTGAACATAGCTGCCGAGATATACACGATAGAAGTGTTGAAATAGTCACAGTAAATAGTGTTGATGTCTATGTAATCATAACTTGTGTTCTTTAACTATTATAAATATCTCATCTTCAACGATTATTGAGAGCCACGTAACTGTCCTGGATCATTTTTGCAAACGAATGTATCTGAGTTGCACAGTATTGGCCTTGATTATTGTTGAAGACTCATAGAAATCGCTCAATATCCTGCAATAATTAATAATAGTACATTTAGCACTTTATCACACGTAATACCTATAGAAAGTATAGTTTGTCACTTGCGAGTAATACCTTTCATTATGCGGTCTATCAAAACTCCATAAATTGAAGAAGACAATGCTTTTGTAATATATTAGTTCATATGAAATTTAGTATAGTATATCAGTAGGTACAATGACAAAATGTTGAACAGTATATATAGGTGATAAAATATACTTCAACTTCATATTAATTCCATAGAAAATGATGTGAATAAAACAAAAATGATTTCCAAGTTGTTTTACCTCCAACGTCAGGGGCCTTATTATTGGAATGCAATTCCTATGGGAATAAAAGAGACAGAAATACATCACTAACATCTCTAAAGTGCATTAGAGCGAGACTACAGTTTGAATTCCTATAGAAATGAATTTGAAAATCGGGCCCCTGCTGTCATGTACTTTTTCTTTGCATGCCAAAGCTAGTGTAAACGTCAATTTAACGTACAGGGTCTCTATAAACGATCGTAGCAACGTAGTGACCGTTGAAATAATTGATTAATTTGCCGCTTTTCACTTACGGAGATCAAACTACTTATAATACATTCGATCGCTTATTCAATGCCTGTAAAGAACATAAGCGGAGAGATACCCTATTTCAACAGCCACTATGATGCTAGGATAATTTATGGAAAGCCTGTATTTTGAAATAAGTATGGATACCCGTGTTGGTCTTGATAGCAGACGTTTGTGAAGTTTTCACATTTATCCATCCCTACCCTATTAGAATTATTATGTCCTTCAAATTGACACCTAGATAGCACGAGTGTTAGTTCAGAGACTCAAGTTTTCAGACATAAACGAACAAACATCGATACAGATCAAACGAAATATCAAAAACAGGAAGTTTCTTGACTTATTATTTTTTCATTATTGGTTTTAACACCAGTCCGTTTTGGTGACAATAGTTGATTGCCTACTGAAATTATTATAAACATCTAAATGATGGGCAAAATTCGATGTTTCATTTAATATTAATTTCCCAGTGAGCTCTTACCCTCTATTGAAATAGGTTTTTTTGAAATTGGAATGTTGATTCAATTTAAATTTAAATAATATATATGCTTATTTCCATGTAAATCAATAGGCAATAGGTGACAATAATTTCATTTCCATATGTCTTCAACTATGCAGACCCATTATTGTCTGTTTGGCTCGCTCTGGACTTATTACTGGAAATTCTGGGGTCCTTATATACACTGAAAAATGCAGTTTCCAACATGAAACTGTTTTTATTGAGCCCTTTGGAAGTGGCAGTAGGACGTTGAAGTAACAGAGTAATTTTTTTAGTGCATAAACGAATACAAAATTATATTTTGTTTAACCTCCAGTGATTTAATAAATATCAGCATATATCTACTAAGGATTTCCGGACACCCTGTATACAATATAAAATGATCAATGTTGAAACTTGTAGTCTTGATTCTTGTAGCTAGAAAAATCATATATTTTGACATTTTGTGAGATACCTTCCTACCTATATTGTGTGTGGTTAAAGCTGGTTAAAGTTGGAAAATGCCAATTTCTATATTATAGCTCTTGAGTTGTTATAGATAGCTGTCATTACTCGTTTCAATTTATAAAATTCTTTAGATTATAATATATAGAGTCTGTCCCCGTATTAGTGTGATAAAACGATTCATTGCTCAGGTGAAGCACCATTTTTGACATGTATTCGACGAACTGTCATTCAGATCAGTTTTTCATGAATAGTATCAACAAGAGTAGTAATCCACTGTGTGGACAGACTGTATATACCTCATTGCGTTAATAAACTTCAATCTCCCAAACTATGGACAAAAATAAAATCAACTCTCAATTGTTAATCATCCGAAAGTGTCTTTTGAATCATTATATTTTTGTCCAAAATACGATTCGACAAGGTTTAATTGGCACAAAGTTTGCACAGTTTTTGAATGTCTTCACCTGCTCATGAAATATTCAAGTGAACTCGTTTCGAAATGTTACTAGTTCATACCCCCAGGTTTTATAAGGAAAGTTGATGTGTCCACACTGTGCATATATTCGTTTTTAATGATGATCCGTCAAATATTTTGTATGAGTTTGAAAGTTACATCAGTGTAAATAAGATTCGTATTGTAAATAAGTATATGTGGTGGTGTACTAGTAACATCGAAAGAATCGTTAAAAAGGATCATTATGAATCAAGATTATAAATGGTCTTACAATTTCTCAAATTAACCAGTGTTGCCATTTAATTAATTCGTAAGGGAGAAGTGTAACTATTAGCTATTGGGCAACACTATATACATTGGTTAGTAATTGTTTTTGTTGAAGTTTGGTACAGTTTATAAATGAGTCATCTACATAACTGAAAGTATTGATCAGTGATACATAATGTGCTGAGTTGAGTAATTTTCAATTTTGAATTATTCTAATGTATTAATTCTGAAGGTACAGGGACACAAACACTTTGCATTGTTAATCAGTAGGTACCTACTTGAAATATTGCATACCTACCCATTGAATAATTTGGTTTTTAGTAATCACAAGATAATAGAGAAAAAAAAACAGTTCATATTTGTAGATGATCTCAAATTTGTTGAGGAATCAGAAAGAAAGAGATGATTGAAATTAAAATAAAATATTTACTGTGATTAGTCATATCCAAAAAATATACTCTCGCATTAGCGTGAAAATGTATCCTCTTCCATTGAAATAATGATTTAGTTTTTTATGTACAGGGTGGGCCAAATTGGACACTTTTAAAGGGAAAGTCATATTCTCGAACTCGATCGAAGAAAACTGAGGGTCGATTCTGATGAAAAACTCGATGGTGAAAACCGCATATACGTCTTCGTTTCTAAGTTACAATAAGGTGAATTTAGAAAATGAGAATCTTCGGAAAGTGGCTACCTTTTTTTCTTTTGTTCTCATGAAAATAACTGCAAAGAATTGAGTTAATGATAAAAAGTGACTGATTTCAGTGCCTGAGGATCAATGTGCATGACAAAAACAATTTTCTGGAAATGTTTTTATGAAAACGAAGAATTTTTGAAAAAATAAAATTCAGTCACTTCAAAAATTCACATTTTCGGAAATCACCTTGTAATTCTGAAACGAAGATAGATATCGATATGTGATTTTCGGGAATAGGACTTTCTCTTTAAGTATCCAATATTTGGCCCACCCTGTTCATTAATTAGATAGAAACTTAACTAGGTATACCTAATATTATATTTGTAAGTTTGAGTGATATTTACATTATTAAGGAAATGGAGGCTGTTGTGTCAGAATACTTCGAAGTCGAAGAGAGGCGTGTGAATTTATTTCATATTTTAAGTATGCTAAAGAAGCTTATATTGTTAAAGCCCACAAACGGTGGCGTCAATAAAGTAACAATTTATGTATATTAAATATAACTTATATATTAGAAAGTAGAGTAGTTGTTTCAGGTTACAATAATAAATTATATTATCTCAGATCATGCAAAATTATTTCATCCTCACTCTCATTTATTATCACCCTCAAATTAATATCTAATCCTTCATATCATGATGAAATGGCTCCACTGCTCCATATGCTACCAAAGAGAAAATGACTTGAACTCAATTAAACTGAAATACCTACACACATGCATGAGAGGAGACTATACTTTTTCTTAACAATCTAACCTAACTTGGCCTAATATACAGGGTGTCTCAAAATCGGAATAAAGTTCAAGGGCTTATATTGTTCAGGTAAAAATAATCCTTTTTTCCTATATAAACAATTATGTCCTCAAACGCTTCATATTACCGATCTACAGTAATTTTCGATTCATATTTTTTCTTCATATCGATATCAATTTTCAGTAAATATATTTAGGTAAAATTTTGAACATAGGTATACGTTTTTGGGTTTAGGACTCTACTTCTAAAAAATATATCTCTAGATTCTTATGACAATCACTTCTGGCATGACGATGATGATGATGCTAAAACATATATCCTATGTTTCAAATTTGAATATCTCGACAACTGAAAGAGCAATAAAATGTATCCCGAAACTTTATCGGCCACTATTTTTCCAAGACTGAAAATGAAAAAAAATGTAGCCAATTAATTCGGAATGAGGTATATATTTTTACATTCGGATGCATGAGGAATAGTAATATATGAAGTTAGTTTTCGTGCAAAAATTCCTAATATTATTTCATTGGCGCCTTTTATATAATTTCTAACGGCACGGCACTGTGTCCAACAGGATGTTCGTCTCTGAAAAACTGATCATATTGATGGCTATTCATAACTAGCGTCTGCGGACAGGTGCAAGTAATAACTCCGTGGTAGGGGACCGTTAGTTGACCTTTTTTCTTGAAGAAGGAGAATTTTTCTTGAGGAAGGAAAATATTGTTTCTGCATAAAAAATGAGAAGGCGGTACATATACTAAAAATTGGAACGATACAGAGAAGATTAGCATGGCCCCTGCGCAAGGATGACACGCAAAATCGTAAAGCGTTCCACATTTTTAGTATATGTACTCGCTTCGGCGGTACATATACTATTTATGAGTATATCTGTACTTGTATTAACACCAAATAAAATATTCTATTCTATTCTAACCTAACCTAACCGAACCTCACCTCTGGCCTAAACATAGAAAACCCCTAAATGAACCTATTTCCCATAGAGAATATTTTTTAGAAATCACTTGAGAACAAGAAAAAAATAAAAAAAAGATGAGCCTCGCACGGATTCGAACCCCGGCCCGCCGGCTTGGCATGCCGATGCTCTGCTTACTGAGCCAACCAGTTGCTTACGAGACGAAGTATGATGAAGTCATTCAGTCGGCGCCGCATAACGCCAGTCGCATCTACTGCCCACTATAACGTTCTCCCACCACGGAGTTATTACTTGCACCTGTCCGCAGACGCTAATGCTATTCATACCGGTCCCATTTAGAGTCACTATGGTATTAGTTTGATAAGAGTTCGGACACAGAAATGACAACGGTTAGGGTTTTTGAATGTTTAGATTTATCAAGTTACACACCTTGAATTGTTACAAGAGCATCATAGTCGTCCCGCGATTTTTCATTGAAAATTGTTTGAATTTGACAATTCATTTTATAAACGTCAGAATTGAAATAAAATTTCATAATTTTTATACTTTCGAGAAAAATGCAGCTTTGGAAATCCATTGCTGTATAATGAATTGTGCCAATTATGAAACAAATGGATATCATTTATTCGATTTTCCAAATCAAATATCAAGCATTCGTTTATGGAAGGAAGATATGAAACGGCCTGGGTGGAAAATCAATTTGAAGACGAGCGGAATTTGTGAGGTACTCATTGAAATTCACTTCTTACAACTGTTGGAAATATTCACGGCCAATATCTCCCAGGATAGCTTTTGGGTCTCAAGAAATAAGAACTATACCGAGAAACTTTCTACTTTGCTTTAATTGTGAGAAAACGAATATTCAAATTACAAAAACGTATCTCGTGTTCCAAAAACAAAACCTTGTTATCCCTCGTCCTGGAAACCTTCCAGAAAAACATAATCTCTACAGTCAGAATAATACAAGGTGACTCGGGAAATCTTCTACACAACAGCATCTGATTAGAATGAATCTATATTTTAGGCCCATTTTCAAACAGGGGATTTCAAAATCTTTTCTGAGAGAATCTGCTGTTCCATCAATTTACAAAGCAAACAATTTCAAGAACAAAATTCCATTATTATCATCACACAAAATACAAAACAAAATAATCATGGAAAAAGGGGAAATGATCGCAAAATTACATTATGAAATTGAAAATTTGAAAACGAAACTCAGAAAAGCAAGTAAACTACAACGTGATATATTATTGAATGGCGTTTTTGGTGCTGACCGCGAATTGAAAATTAAACAGTGAAAAGTGAATAGATATTTATATATCAAGGGAATTATCATGAGGGCCTTAATTACGCTGGAGGTTATCGTTTTGGAGATATTTTCTATATCGATCCATGTTACTTAGCTCCTAGGGCGCTAAGTGAAGTTGCTGAGAACTTAACAAAACCAAGAATTTGGTAGGTCTCGTCAAAATTAATTATTTTTTCTCATGAAATCTTTATCGAAAAATGATTTGTTCTCTGTATTTCAACACCCTGTATCTCCGAAACGAAGCATTTCCCAGACACAAGCTTATATAGACTTTATTTCTTAAAATTGTCTCAGGAATACTTCACTGGAGTACAGTTTCACATACAATAAGGAATTATAGCTATAAGTTTATCCATATGTATATATTCTCTGATATTAAAATGTTGTTACATGCATTTTTTTCATTTATATAAATCTTGCTCTGCTAGAAGTGTAGGTATATCACTATGAATTGAAGTGGGTGTGTTTGTACCCTATATCCATTGTTCATCTACGGCTATGATTGATTTGACAGAAAATATAACCTCTAAAATCGTATCTGACAATCAGGCGCTACTAGGGAAATTGAAAAGACAAAGAGCAGAATATATGTCTTATTCTTTTATTCACTTAAACCATTGTATTATAGAAAATAGAAAAGGACAAAAGTTCAGCTGTGTCCGAACTCTTATCAAACTAATACCATACAGTGACTCTAGTCCCATTTATTCCCAATTTTTCGCTGTGCTTCCAATAGCTTTGTTCCTTTGCTTTCAGTGTAGTGTAATTTACACCACCACTGAAAACCAGCTGATTTGATAGTGTAGATGAGTGTTGGGAGTTTAGAGGAACAGTGCCAAACCACGCCAAACTCCGAAACCTAGTGCAAACGCATACCACACTATGTGTGCGTTTGTACTAGGTTTCAGAGTTTGACACCTGGTTTGAAACCGTCTTTCTCTCGAAAAATATCAGCACAGACAAGACAGATGTTTGAGTTTTTTACTGACATTCAACAATCTTCAATCTCAACAAAATTATACAGAATGATAAAATTATATATGAATCAACTTTATTCCAAAGAATATAAACTTTCCGCAGGAACATGTATTTCAGAAATATGTAGTGTACAATATAAATTTCATGCAGAGCCAGCGAACAGACCAAGTGTTACAACACTTCGATAACGAGCACAGTGTGAGTGTACACCGTATAACACCGAACGTTATCCGTGTTACACAATCTGCTCTCGTGTACAATTTTGTAGTTATAGGAGGCACAGGAAAAATGCGTTGCCAGATGTGGCGATTTATCGCATCAACGGCTACTTTTTTTTGTGAAATGCGACATTAAATTCAATTCGGCAACTGGCGACAATTTTAACGACATTGTGAACTTTACAGGAAATTTATTGGCGACATGAGATATTGCTACAATCATTAGTAACATTCGCAATCAAGTTTTGTGGATTTACGAGCGGGTAGCAGAGTTGTTACTCTTGGAACGGCCAAGACCGATAAAGGAAGAGGAAGCTTATAAATGTGGGGTATGTTCCGTTTCCAAAGTTGGTTGTGGTTTGCCGTATCGTAGATACTGGTCACGGTCACCTCATGCGCGTGAACCATGCGTGAACGAAAGAATGGTTACTCGTGTGTCACCAGAGGAACCAGTCAAATTAACGGTATCTCGGTAAGTGTAGTTTGGAGTGGTATATTGGATGTTTGGAAATCTTGGAATAGAGAAAAATACTATCAATAAATATACATATGCGTTAGTTTTTCATGTTCTTGTAGTATTTATTTGTGATTTTTTCCATCCATTTCATCGATATGTTTTCTAGTATATTGAGATTGAAGAAAAACTCAATCATTTGCATCACTTTCTTTCACTAACGGTAGTGAGAGATGGATATAGATATGTTTCCTCATCGTTATATGTTATATTGTATTATACATCAGTTACAGTTTTATTGCAGTTCACTCCCCTGCTCTGAAGGAAGTTGATAATCCAATCGATTGATGCAATTCTTATGAGAATAATGTCCTGAAATTTGGTGTCAATTTTTTAAACCTGGCAACACTGGGGGGATATTGAAGTCATGAAGTCTCACCATCCCGCTCCACCTGTGGCTCCATGTCATAGAGAAACGAAATTGTGGTATATTCGTATATTTAGTAATAATTAAAAAAAATGGAATCAACTGGCAGAGTTTTGCGACGTCGTCTTACCCCAGCCGAAAGAGATGAAAAACTTGTAAGTACCTAGGTTTAGTGATCAATGTTGATTTGATAACAAAGTAATTGGCGGGAAATTGATGAAGAAGGTTATGGTGGCACCACAGTGGCACGAATTCAATCTGACCTGAAATGAAGCATCTAGAGACTGGTCGCAAACAGACAGGGCGCAACAGATAATCTGAGCGGAAACAAGCCAACAGAAAATCTGAAAATAAATATAATTGAAATAGCGAATCACTATCGGCCTCAACAGTAAATGAATTCACAGTAATTTTTCGAATCACTTCTAAATAAAAAAAGGAGCAATCCTCACCACAAGGGTTATTTGTTGAGAGATATTTGTACAACATCCTATTGCACTATGCTTCGTTTCAGGTCAGATTGCTGATACCTATATATATATACTTGATTATATTTTCTTGGACTAGTACTAAGTCGAGGCTTATTCAAATACTTCAAATCGATATAGATAATGTAAGGTGTTTATGAATTATTTGTTCAATGGTTCCTCATAAATTTATTTCGCGCCCTCAGTGTTGCCAGATTACTTGGATTACTACTCTAATGTTCTACCTCTGTGATTCTACATACTAGGTGGCATTGAAATAAGTGCAAATATTTCAAACCCTAAGCGCAGATTAACAAACCTTGTTAATCTGTGCCCTAAGAAAGCCCCACGAATATTATCTAATAGCACCAATAACAAAAATATGGGGATCAAACTAAAATTTCGGGTTGGACTCCTTTTTCTAAATTCTAGTTCTACAACTGCAGCAATTCTGACGTCACCTATCTGTTTAAATTTTTGTACTGCAATCCCGCGGAGTTCATCAATCATTTAAATTGTTTCAAAGTGGCGTGCTTGATTTTTTCTCCGTTTTCTGTTCAATTTTCAGGATGAAGTTTCTCTTTAATTAAAAGAACTGGAAACAACCTGATAGGTATATATATATACTAATATATAGGTATGCGAATATTCGATAGACGTATCATATTGCGATATGTGCTGAATATGTGCACTTTATTTCAAAAACACCTCATATACCGGGTGAAACAGGATCACGACGTCACGTTTAGACATGCTTTTTTTTTCACCTCCGGCCTCGCTTCCGGTACCAATGGACTTTCTTATATATAACTCATTTTCAAATGGAACAAAAACCTATATGTCATCATTACATTTTCGAATTCTCTAAATCATTATCTGAATTCTGAATCCAATATATGATTTGCAATTTCATTTTTGATTTTCTATCTAAGAGTGTGCAGTTGTAGTCGACAAGTGTAATGCTGGAAAAAGTTGAATCCTATCGAAAACGTACAACTCTTTGATTTAACAACACCAATAAATTGAACCCTACGAAGGATTCGATCATCTCACGTGATATGTTGAAGAAACGACGAAACAGATAGGTGGACTATGCGGTACTTACCGAAAGTGATCGTTGTCGAAAATCGCCGCAGTAGACAACTTGCCAAAACAGATATTTTGACATTTCGCCTAAAGTAGACACAACGCCGAAGCAGCTATTTGGACTTTCCGCTGAAATAGAGGCTAAATTGCCGAAACAATTCTTTGGATTTTTTTCATTTCTCGCATTATTTCGCATTAATTTAGAGAACAAAGGGAGACTACTTTTTCTAAACTGTCTGACCTAACTCGGCATAATTGAACTTTATTCTTTTTAGAAAGCATATTTTTTGGAAAATATCCTTTCCTATTTACTTAGTTCTAAAATGGAGATAATCTCCATGCTATAACATATACCTTACATCGTATTATTCATTGGCCTCTTCAACTTCAGATTAGTTGGCTATGATATGGAGAGTTTTCTATTGGTTTAGAATTATCATTATCGAAATTGCAAATATACAGAGTGTTCCATTTGAAAAAAGAGTGGCTGTCAATTCCAGAAAAACCGGAAGTACACCATATATTGGATTGTAATGTGATCAGATCCGAAATAGTTGCTTATATAATACTGTACCAAATTTCAGAAAAATCCGTTAACGTATTCAGAAGTTACAGGGTTGGCTCGATACCTGTGTCACCCGGTATATACGGTGTATCATTTGGAATCTAAAAAGTGACGTATAATACTGAAGGAAAAAAAGTTACACCCCGTATACACTACGCACTGTTTTACCACTAACTTTTTACGCCTCGACAAGTGATTCACTAACGTGTTTCGCTATGTTATAGCATCTTCAGGAGAAGATTAAAACTAACATAGTTAGCGAAGTGTCGAGGCGTAAAAAATCGGTTTGGTTAGTGGCCAAAGGTTCTAGTCTTCGATATACACCGGCTATAGTTTTATCAATCGATTAATTTACAGAAAAGAAAACAGACAGAAAAATGTGAGCCTGACGCCGCCGAAGTAAAGAGAGCACGAATTTTAAGACCCTTTATAAAATATAATGGAAAAGTGAACTACTACACGGAAATGATTGACATCGCTATGATTAGTGATGAACTATTGTAAGTATGCAAAGTCAAACTCATCATCGAATAGTCACAATGTAGAACTGGTTGCGCCAAGAAGTATGAATGAGTAGGTAATTTTACCTTCGCAAAATTAACTTTTCAAATGATTTGTCGAGAAGTTGGTTGAAACATGATCAAGGGTAGGAGATGATATATTTCATAATACTTATAGTGAACATTGTGTTTTTGATTAGAACAATTTGCTGCCTTTCATTTATCTCTGGTATAACTATATAGGAATATTAAGAAAGCATGGCATTTGGCAACATGGCAGTTACGTAGAGCAATGCACGTTCACCGTGGACGAATCAATATTGAGAAGATATTACATTATATTTAATCTGAAAATTATCGACGTGAAATTTGAAGTTTTTAACAGGTATGATACCTGCGGTCCTGCGTTGCAGGCATTTATTTGCAGGCATCTTTATCATTCTTTTGAAGTAATCAAATATCTGTCAGTCTAATTCTGTGATTTCATTCTCAAAATTGCGAATTTAGTGGTTGTTTAGTCATTTACGTAACAGAGAAGTCGAATGAGAGATAAAAGGACTGACAGTTCTTTCTCAGAGACAGTCGCCCGTGGGAAAAAAGTAATCACTTTTTTTCCGTGGAAAAAAAGGTTTTTATGAAAAGTGACATTTTATAACCTGTCAACAGATATGTAATTTCAAATTTTTTTCCCGTCACAGAAAAATAGTACTTTTTCTTGATAGGGTTTACCTCTACCATAATATTTTTTGAATTATTCTTTTTATTGTTCCTCTCATATTTTGAGTCAAACGTCATAAGTAGATGTTGAAAAAAGGGTAAGTATTATGTTTTTGGAAAAATTTGACACCCTATTATGAGGAAAAAGCACTATTTTTGTTACGCAGCATACTTTTAAAATCGATTTATCTCGAAAATGGTGAGTGCTATCGAACTAATATTTTCATATTTTCTATTAGAACTGCCGGCAATTGCATAGAAAGAGAAGTTGAGGACGAAATGCCCCTATACCCACCTATTTCCCACGCCCCTGATCGAAATTTCGGAAAATTCATAACATTTCCAAATCGGGAATGAAAATTAATATGCACATGTACAAAATTTCGTTATCTCAACACATAGGATTTCGGAAATATTTACAAAAAATATCGGGCTCACTTTGATGGCTATAACTTTTTTACTATTTTTGTTCCTAGAATCTGTGATTGAAATCTTTCTATGTAATTTCGGGTTTTCGGGACACCCTGTAGAATGATAGTAGAAGTAGATTATACATATTAAAGTGCATGATTTTTCCCGTGGTTGAGGGAAGAAAGAACTCACTTCCGACTCTTCCGAGGTGTATATATATACTATTTTCTGCTTTTTTTGGGGCCCCACTTTCCACCGGGTCGCGGGCCCTTGCCTTATGGTAAAATAGGCCTTATCCAAAAGGAAATAGGAAGTTGAAGGTTACACGAAAACACGTTAATAGGAGTAGCTATTCGAAAAAATACTGGTATGCGATTTTGAACATTGTGCTATATTGGGTATTTTGGATACAATGTAGGGAATTGAAAGACGTTTCAAATGGCACTTGACTTCTCTATCTGTTGAAAAAATGGTGTATATTTTTATTACAATCAAAATGTACGATTCAAACTACCATCGTAGCAAAAACAAAATTAAAATTTTCAAATATGAGATAAGGATTGTGAACTTGGAAAACCATTTGTCTTGTGATTTGTGTCAAAGCGTGGAATTTGGATCAATAATAGTTATTTATTATACAAGGGGAAGAAGTAGTAGATTTTAGCTCCAGGTTGTGTTGTCTCCCGACGCTTAGCGAAGGGGGACAAAAAACCGGGAACTAAAATCTAATATTTTCCCGTGTATAATACACTATTTTTTTTCTGTGACAGAAGAAAGGACGAATCAATATTGAGAAGATATTACATTATTTTGAAATCTGAAAATTATCGACGTGAACTTTTAAGTTTTTAACAGTAGGGACACCTGCGTTGTAGGCATCTTTATCATTCTTTTGAAGTAATCAAATATCTGATGTCACTTCTGTCAGTCTAATTCTGTGATTTGATTTCAAAAATTGCAAATCTAGTGGTTGTTTAGTAATATACGTAAACGCGAAGTCGAATGGAAGATAAAAGGACTTGCAGTTCTTTCTCGGAGACGGTATTATTGACTCATTTTTCGGAACTATAGCACAATAAAAGTCATCAATAGTGTATATATATGTGATATATATCCGGGAAAAAAGTACTCACTTTTTTTCCACGAAAAAAAAAAAAAATTAATGAAAACTGACATTTTATAACCTGCCAACAGAGATAAAATGCCAAACTTTTTTCCCGTCACAGAAAAAAATGTATTTATTTCAGAAAAAAGGCAGAATCTTCCACTGATTTACTAATAGTTGGGTTTGACTTGGAGTGGCCATTTTCCTTTGTAACCGGTACTGAGAGAACGGCTGTAGCTCAAATAAGTATAGACCTGAAGAACTGTTACATTCTCCATGTTAGTAAATTCAAGAACTTGCCAAAAGGTCTAAGCGAGTTCTTGATTCATCCCAATGTTCGAATAACAGGGAACAACATCAAAAAGTAAATTGAACAATAATATATTTGAAGATACCTATTTGTTGTTGTTGTTAAATTTTCCTATTTTTTAAGTGATGTAAGAAAACTGGCAAGAGACTTCCCTGGTTTTGATGGCGATAAAATGGTTGAAAATTGTATAGACTTGGGAGTATTGGCAAATTCTATTCTCCCAACTAAGCAGAGATGGAGTTTAGAAAAACTTGTGAATCATTTGGTAAGTATATGTTCACTATGTCCTAATCTTCTTATTAGCGATCTTGGATTTATAAAGAACTAAAATGAACAGAAAATCTTCAGCTAGTAAGGTGATAGCGTGTGAGTTCATACTTTCATTTCATTGGCTGTGAAGCGTGCCGGCCCAATGATTTCATCATGCTTTCGCAGTTTCAATTTAATAAAAAAAGGTGCTTTTTAGTGCGCGGCTCATATAACACAGAGTGGTGTTCATTAAAAAAAACAAAGTCTACTAGATCACATCCAGAGACTGAAAAAAACAGAATCCGTATCAGCGATAAAAAATGCGTACGCCACTGGAATCGGCATCCTCTGAAATAGATTTGTACCAAGTTTCATGAAAAAATATTCAATATAGACGGATATTTACTATGCATTAAGAAGCTTTTTATCACAGTATATCAATTATCGTTTTGAAAGGAGTTTGTTTTTATGAAGTAACCCATTTAAAAAATAATTTTGAATTAACACACATGACTCGATTTTAGATTTGGTTTTTTTAACTTTTTCTTCAATGAACCCCCATAAAAGTGCAACAACATCTAGGGGAATTCTGGGAGGAAACTGCATAGTAATCTGCGATCACCTGTGACTATAGTAATTGCATCAAATTCTATTATGAATATTACTACATAAACAGCTTCTCATAGAATCGTTGATGTTGAATATTTTTTCATGAAACTTGGTACAGTTACAGATCTATTTCTATAAAAAAATCGTTATAATGGATTCTGGATTTTTTAGCCTCTGAATGAGATCTAGTAGGCCTTGGTTTTTAAAAAAGTGGAAGCCGCTTAGCTTCAAAATACATCCTTCCCTCCTCCACATTTAAAAAAAAGTGGAAATCGCTCCATAAATAGAAAATGTATATGAGGATGGCCCGTTTTCAAATGGGTCACTCTGTATCTTAGATATTTAGGTAACAAGGAAACGAGTCATTTTGTGTGACGATGGGATTTTGCAGGACGAGTGATCAATTCTGAATTCACCAATTACCTTCTCAAATTGGGTCTACAAGGGATTTGGGATATGTTTTGATTATTAATTGATATCTCGCATTGTAATATCTTTTATTAAATTTCAGTTAAACTTGAGGATAAGTAAAGATAAAAAAATAAGAAATAGCAGCTGGAACAAAATACCTTTGTCAACTGCTCAACAAAAGTATGCCGCTCTAGATGCTTATGTGAGTATTTATACAGTAATGTCTGCATGAAGTTGCAATATGGAAGGAAAATAATCACTAATGAGAATAATGAAAAAAAAAATGAGTGATCGATTATGCTTATTGAACCTTGAACTTAACATAGTGTGTTACCATATAATAAACTTTATTTACAACTGATATGATGTATTGTACTTGTACTTGTGATTTTTGCAGTAAAATGCCATACAATATACAATAATCCCTTAGAGAATAATTGAGCAAGAAGGAATAAGTACTATTAATCCTTCGTCATTATTCCCTAAGGAAATAATAAATTGAATTATATTGCATATCCACAAGTATAATATTAGTCGTAAATAAAGTATATCATAGTCAATTATGGGCTATTATTATTTATTGATTTCTGGTATCATCAACTATTAATATAATATAATACCCCGCTATTAGGCATTCCAGAACACGTGACTTTTGACAAATTTCTAATGGCCGCCTGTAGGCTCACAAGTATTTTTTGTTGATTTACGTAGCAGCAGTATAATCTTTGGTAGATATATCAAATAATAATAATGGTTGTTTTGAATAAAAGTGGATATTTATTATCCTTGGACCGCTATAACAAAGATATTGCGACACGAAAGTATGTGTGCCTACAGTCGGCCATATTGATTTAGATGGTTTGACAGCATCTTGGATAGGTCAATTGAAGTGGGACACCTGACATTTTCGTTCAAATTCGTTCATCATAACTTTCAAAAAAATTTAACGATTTCCGAAAAACGAGCTCCTGACATCTGAAAACCGAATCAAAATAGGTCAATTTTTTTGGAAGTTATAATCTTATGAATCTGAGCGAAAATTTCAGGTGTCCCATCTCAATTGCAGGGCCCTGTATTAGAGATGGGCATGTTTGATATGAAAATGCAACTTCTTAATATTTTTTATATATTATTTCAGGCTTCTCTACTGCTATACCACACATTGAAAGACAAAGAAAAGGAACTGAATGTTGAAAAGTCACAGAATGATCAAAATATAATGAATAAGTAATGAGACTAAACAAGTTACTAAAATTCCACTCCTTTTTGTGGAACAAAAAATGACATTATATACATTTAGAAAATATGGTTAGTTTTCTGTTACCTACTTTTACATTTGTTTTATATCATATTGTATTGCCAATTTTAAAAAGACAGTTGAATTTTTTGTAAGCTTAGCTAAGGATATTGAATTATGATACTAATATATACATATTATCATCACATTTTGTGTAGTAATTAATGTTGTTGCAATTTACACTTTATTATCTGATATTTATCTAATATAACTGTTTCTCAAAGAATCTGGTAACTAGTACTCCAAAACATTGTATTCATCTTGTATCAATCATTGTTGTTTATTCATATATCAAAATTCATGTACTGGGTGATTCTCCATGGTGGCTCACCCCTAAACTTTTTTTTATTTTTGTAGGTAGTAAAACGAAATTGGGGGGTTGTGAATTATAGTTCAATTGACATTTTTTTGGAATATCTACTTGCGCTGCCATACTTCCGGTTTGACCGGAAGTGACTTCAACTTTTTATTGTCAGATAAGACTTTCCTGAATTCCATTCCATAATCGGTCAAGGATTATCTTTGTTATGATAATTCAACGATACCGGGTTTGATAGGGTTATTTCAAACTATTATGATGATAAGTCATGGAAACCATCCATCCTTCTCAAAATGGTCCAGATATTTTCAAAGAAAAATTTTATTACAATAATTGAATTTTGTTGTGACTAGTTTCGGCTCAAACAACCATCTTCAGACACAATACACAGTAACTATAAGGCCACGTAGAAATCACATTATAAAATGAAGTTAAAAATTAAAGAGCCGTGGTCATTCGGCCAAAAATCAGTCCGGTAAAGAAATGTAAAAATTTTTGAACCGACTGAACAGCCAACTGGTACAAAATTATTAAATACACTCAAAGGAGTTTCATCTTCAAAAAAAAAAAGATGAAACTTCTTTGAGTGAATTGATTAATAATTTTCCCAAGTTTTTGACAATGATGAACCCAATGATAGTTGGGTTCTTTTGGCTGTTCAGTCGGTTCAAAAATGTTTACATTTCTTTACCGGACTGATTTTTGGCCAAATGACCACGGCTCTTTGATTTTTAACTTCATTTTATAATGTTATTTCAACGTGACCTTATAGGTACTGTGTATTGTGCCGGAAGATGGCTGTTTGAGCCGAAACTAGTCACAAAAAATTCAATTTGTAATAAAATTTTGTGGTCGACCGACTTGGTGTTATTTTGTTTTTTCTCTGATTACGATGATATTTGCATTGGAATTTTCATATCCTCGATGAGTGGAACAGAGAGAGAATTTCCGATATTGCACTGTCACACCCATTGAGCAAATGGAAACTTCCAATGCAAATATCTAAATAACCCTATCAAACCCGGTATCCTTGAATTGGTTATGATAATCCCCAACCGATTATGGAATAAATTACAGGGAAATGTCAATTGAACTATAATTCACAACCCCAAAACTTCGTTTTACTACATATAGGAGTAACCAACTCAGAATTGCTCAGTATGATTATCTGTCTGATCCATACTTGTCAATGAATTTTATTCAATTAAAACATTTCCAGTGATTTTACTGTCATTAGTATTCTGTGTTCACCATAGAAAATTACTAGTTGACTAGTACTCAGAAAAACTCCAAACCGATTTACATATTTTACTGCAAAATTACCTAACATTTATTTTATACATATTAAAAACTGAAATAAAGAATAAGTAGGTATATAATTAAAGACTTAAATAATACATATGGTTTGGAAATGAAAATTAAGCTTTCAACTAGTTTTACCCTAAAAATATGTAAGGTATATTTTAAAGAAAGTTTACTTCATGGTTTCTGAACAATATTCTAAGATGAGTTAGGTGAAAAATGATTATTTAATTTTCACTGCTCTCACCTTGACCAGGTGTTTGTGCAAGACCTCTTATAGAGAGGTCATACACAACTTCTTCAATTTTCTTGACATCATATTTCAAAGCATCAAATCTTTTCCTTAGAGAGTCATTTTTCAGATTCAAGAGTCTGAAACCAGCATTAAGCTGAGCAACAAACTTGGAGATTTGAAGTGGTCTATCATAATCTCCATATGTAACAGAATTGACTGCATATCTAGACTGAAAATTTATTAAAAATTGTGGAATTGATTATTATATTCATGTCAAAGTTGATTTTTAACATACCAATTCTGATGCTAAATTGAGCAGTCCCATTAGGTAATCTTCCAGATCCAAATGAATATTCAGCTTACCATTAACTGAAGAAGTTGAAGATAAGGTATTATATAAATTGGTAGATAATCAGGGCACTCAAAAATAAAACAGGAATTATGAAAAAATTCCAACCATCAAGATCACACTCAAACTTGTCAACACCCAACAGAATTTTCTGAATTATAGAAATTTGTGGAATAATGAATTCTACTGAGAACAGGTAAAAGTAGGTAAGTGAATTTGACTTCATTTAGAATATAATGTTTAAGATTAAACAAAATATTATACACAGTTGAAAAGCATATTTTTGCCATGGTTTATTTTATTGAAATTAGGCATCACCTTGTAAAATAGTCTAATGATATAATTATTAAATGTAAATTAGGCAGAATGTAGAGCAAGACTTGCAAAAAAATGTGTTTTAATTTTAAAGAACAACTCAGTAGGTAGTAGATAGGTAAGTAAGTAGTTTTACACCTTAATTTACTATTCCCAAAAAGGAAAAATATCAACATCATATTTAACTACCTACTTGATGTTCATTATGATTCTCAACTTTAGAGTACAAACCTCCCAAAATATCAGCTGTTGTCTCTTTGTTTATCATTATTCCTTTCTCTAAAAATACTATCAAAGCAGCTAAAAAACACAGTCGCTGTGTAGCAAATCTCCAGTGGTCATTATATCTATAATACTGCCCTGAAGGAACTATTTTGTCTAGAGAATCAAATCCTTGGCGCACATCATCAAACATTTTTCTAGCATTAAGACAAGCAGAATGTACTGAAAAGTAAAATGGTGAAATAGGTATATAATCATCATCAATGCAACAAACCTTGTTCACAGTTGTTGTCATGATGAATTATTTGAAGAAGAGTAACTATTTCCCGCAGCGGCTTTTCAACATCTTTCATAATTTTTCTTATTTCCTATGAACAAATAGTTAAGTACATAATTTTTATTATTAACTCTAGTACACTAGTTTTGTGAATACCTCTCTAATATCTTGTTCCGAGTTCACATATTCCTGAAAGGGTGAAAAAATGTCTGCAATGATTTTATTGGGAGTGCACATTTTTTATAATAATAAAAACCAGAAACTCCAAAAAGATCAAAAATCCATGAATTTTCGGTAAATCAAAATAAAACATAACCACACATAACGTCACGGCATCTTCCTTTTTATATAGGGAAACTGGATCAGACCGTATCGAGACAGTACCTCTGTAAGCTCTCTACTGTGACAGTACACACCATTCTATGGTCTCTGCTCAAGTGCTCAGCAGGCCGTTTTTCGATATAATAGCCTTTGCTCCATAAGGCAATTGGCAAGATTGCTGGCTCTTCTAATCGAAACTTCAAATCTTCGCTCGTTTTTCTTTACTCGTTTCTTTGAATCTTTGAAGGTTATTTTTAATGAAAAGCTTGGTGAAATAGAAAAGAAATATTTGTTGAGAAATAATATTCAATTTATTCTATAATTTTACCAATTAAAAATGGAAATTTCAGATGAAAATTTACAAACCTTGGCAAGATACTTACAACAAACGCTCAGTCCTGATGTAAATATTAGAAGACCCGGTCAGTTTTCCACTATGGTTTTGGTTTCATAGCAGAAATTATCAATAATTATTATACATTTTCAGCTGAGAAATTCCTAGAGGGAGTGGAAGTTAATCAGAACTATCCTTTAATTCTATTAAATCTCATACATAAGCCAGGAGTTGATATGACAATTCGTATTGCAGGAGCAGTTGCATTCAAGAATTATATCAAAAGGAACTGGCAAGTAGTATGTGTCAATAAGAGAATATTATCTAGAGATCATTCATTATCCTATCTGAACAGACTATATATGCAGGTTCTAAAATTCACTTTTCATTGTCATAGCAAGGCTGAAACTGAATGCTGGTGCATGTACAGAAGTTCTTGTACATTCAGTAATTGTTCATAGAATTCTTGGTACATTCATACTGTACCTTGAATTGAGACTTGGATATAGGTATTCACAGCAATTCAAGGTGTTTGTTCCACAACTTATTTTAGGACTAAAAGCATATATAAACATGTCCAAACATGCCATTGTTTTCAAGATGAATTGTACCTATTGAAATCCATAATATCCCAGTGGTACTATTATGGGGATATCATTGTAATGACTGGTATAGTGATGGAAATGTGCATAATTTAATTCAGAAAGACAAACAGCATCCATGAATGTACAATATATACATATATAGGCCAATCATTTTAGCATTTAAAATCAAAAATGGAGATAAAATAGCAAAAACATTTTAAACTTTCACAGAAGTTGTATTTTTGTGTTAAATAAAACTATAGGTAAACATTTGCCCTGTCCAGCAAGACCAGCAACATTGTTACAAATGTAAAATTGTGGGTATTTTGGAGAGAAAACATGCAAAAGAGTGGCAAAATGGTCAAAACAAATATTGTTCCCTAATTTTTATGACCATTTTCAAGTTTGGCATCACAGTAAATAAATTATTTATTCATACTTTTGTTACTAGCTTGTCCTAAAAAAAATCTAAAAGAGTGGCAAACTTGAAGAAATGTTTCTATTTATGTCATGAATTACCCTGAAAATTTGTCACCACCAATAACAGCAACATATTTTTTATTTTACTCTACAATGAAAAGCTGCAATTTGAATTGATTAGGGAAATAATGCAAGAGTTCTCCAAGTTGGTGGCAAATATAGGGAGTAGTTGCCTGGAAAACATATAATGTTTGCCACCACCAAATAATGCAGGAACTATTTCAAATGTCCAAAGAAAAGATAATTTTATTCATTCTTAGACTAATCCAAAATGATGATTAGAAACTAATGTTGAAACATGTATCTGAATTTTGCTCCTTAATAGGATATCAGTAAAGTAAAATAATTAATTTTGGGTCACAGTAATTGGTTGCATAATTTTGAACATGGAAAAACGCAAAAGACTTGCAAATCCATGGAACTACTCAATATTGAATGTGTAATAATTATTCACAACCTTGTGACAGGACCAGAACATCAAGGTACCGAATTAAGTAGTAAGGGTCATTTAATACAAAACATAGAAGAACAACAATTCCCATATACATTCCATTTTCATACTATTTTTCAATCAAAAGTATCTTGCAAAAAAGTTCAAAGACGGAAATAAAATAGGTTGAATTTATAATTTTATTTTCTAACAGTACAGGGTTTTCTGGTATATTTTTGCACCCCACCAAAGCGTTCCCAGGTTATTGAGTAATGGTAAATTCTGAATCATCAGATTGTATTCATCATTTTTCAATAGCTTTCGAAATATCCAATGTGGTGCAAAAAATTCTTTGCTCCGCCCCCAGAAGAAGAAATTAAGAGGTGTGACGTCCGGAGATCTAGGAGTACATTTAAATGTCCACGTTTTGCCTATCTAACTTTTCAGGTTAAAGTCATTCAAATAATGTTTTTCAGTTATAGGCCGCTGACTTTAGACACCCTAGTTCGTATTTATTTACACATTCCTTTCTTTTCTGCATGTTGTTTGGCTATGTTCCAAAAGTATGAATCCAAGTTTGCAGCTTTGAAAGACCTAGGTTAAAAGTGTGGTGCTGGTAAACCTGGAGATATCTTATTTCGGTTTTTAGCCCAAAAGTCCTAAAAGGCAGGTTCCTGAAGAAAAAGTCAATTAGACCTTTTCTGAAGCAGGATACATTCTCGACAATTTGGGTTCAATTTCACTTTTGTGGGTCTGAAACATCCCAAGATACAGGACTTCAAAAAGTTGCTATTTTTTTCAAAAGTTGAAAATTGCAATTTTGGCCCTCTTCTGAGCAAAATATCGGCTCTAATACCCATCCTACGAGGAAATTTATGAAGGATAAAGCTCCACTGTATTTATATATCTTCAATTCAGGGAGAAGATATTGCTCAGATCCACAAAAAAAAGGTTTCTGAGGACTCTGTTGCATTGAATGAGGTTTCCCCGCTTTCTTATTTCTTTCAAGGTTGGCAAATTCGGTGCAGTAAGTCTATCTTGGTATTCCAGTTTGTAAGTTTCCGTTGAACATTATCAAGTAATGTGATCTCTCTGACAAGGGGACGTGACCATTCCACGACATTATATTCGATTAAAGGGCGTATTAAACTTTTATAAAGTTGTATCAATACTCTGGTGTCTGGGGATCGGAAAACTTTCTTGCACTGTAGGTAGTTTTGTTGGCTCTTTTCACAATATTGACAATATGTTTTGACCAAGTCATTGAATTGGCCATTGTTACAACGAGGTCTCCGGGATCTATTCGTGATTCCACTGATTGGATTTGTACGTTGCCAATGTGATATCGGGTGTTTGGGTTGTTTCCACTAATATGCAGAACTGTACATTTGGCAGGGTAAAGTGAAATTAACCAGTCGTTACACCAATCTTCCAAAAGTACCAAGTCGGATTGTAAGCGGTTCAGATTATCAAGAGGGTTGCAAAATAGTTTCGTATCATCGGCATAGAAGGAGTGGGTGCAGTGAAAAATTGATGGTATGTCTGATGTTTATAAAAGAAAAAGTAAAGCGCCCAGGACAGACCCTTGGGGAACGCCAGAAAAAACATTGTGCAGGCTGGAATAAGAGTCGCCCACTCGGACCTTGAATTTCCATTCATTTGAGTAGCATTCCATGATTACCAAAGTGTTCGAGCTTCAGAAGTAGTCGTCTTTGTAGTTCTCGATCGAACGCCTTCGAGTAGGGGGTAGGGGGATCCACTGCCCACTGGAAGTGCACACCTCCCAACTGATGAACATGTCAGGAAGTAAAATTTCGAGAAAAATTTCCGAACAGAACAAAGCACCAAGAAAGAATGGAGCACAGAATCCATCCAAGCACTGGGAAAGAATACCATAATATGGTATACGGACGGGTCTAAAACACCCGAGGGAACTTGAGCAGGAGTGTTTGGGCCTCGCACTAAATATTCCGAACCGGTTGTCCAGTTTCCCAGCGTTTTTCGAGCGGAAATTCACGCCATAGAAAGGTGCACTCAGTTCAACCTCGACAGGAACGACCGGAACAAGGAGATCGCTATCCTTCCGACAGCCAAGCAAGCAGCCATCAAAGCGTTGAGCTCCTTCAACATCAAGGCAAAGATGGTTTGGGAATGCCTAGACGAACTCCACAATCTAGGCAGGAACAATAAGCTAATCCTCTTCTGGGTGCCGGGGCACATCGGAGTGGAGGGAAATGAACACGGAAAGGAGCATCGACGCTACTGATCGGACCAGAACCATTCTTCGGCCTTGGGCATTCTTATTTCCAAGAAAAACTTGATGAAGCTGAAGAAGCAATGAGAGCAACACACTGGCGAAGACCTCCAGGACTGCGGCAGGCCAAAGATCTCGAAAATTTCAACCGAGCAAGATCGAAGACACTGATCAATCTCAGCAAAAATAGTCTCAAAGCAATAACAGGATTTCTAACGGGGCATTGTAGACTCAAAGAACACCTAAGCTTGGCTCAGAGGAGGACAGCACCTGCAGCTTGCGGGGAACATCCAGAAACACCCCACATCTTGCTGGAGTGTTTTGCTGTACCCCACAAAAGATCGAACATACTGGGAGCATGCCAGCTGACCGTGGAAGAAATACCACAAACAGATCCCCTCAAAATCCTCAGATTTCTAAAAGGATTGAAGCTTGAGGGGCTGCTATAAACAAGAAAACATTGAGATAGCAGATCTAATCAGGTCGTAGCGCATCTGTCACCAATACCAATCAGTCCGTTCAAGAGGAGGAAACTGAGGAGAACATTTGCTACTATTGTTTCCATCATTTTAGCACATATCGGGGTGAGACTTATTGGTCGATAGTTTATGAAGTAAAGTTTATCACCCCTTTTGAATATCGGGGTTACTGACGCAATCAACCAGGATGCTGGGAAAGTTCTTGTGTCGAAAGAAGTTTCCATTAAGTGTGCCAAAAGTACAATAAAAAAATCTCCGAATTTTGGGAAATCAAAAAATGTTTAGTATAAATCTCAAAATCTTAAGATTTCGATGAAATAAAATAAAGGCATTATGGCGGTAATACGCCGTAGTACAAATACTTGGAATATGTCGAAAGTCAAAAAATATTTTTGCCATCAGACCAATCGATATTTTTCCAATACTGTCAAAACTACATCATAAAATAATTTACGTTACGCTAACAGACTATATAGGATGTCCGTGTAATAAGGTTCAATCCAATGACCAAATATTACTTGAAAAAATATAATATGACTTTTCGAAAGTATATAATTTGAAACTTCATATTCGGTAAAGTTCTCTAGGAAAACTGTCAGATTCATGGCACATTATCAAAAATATAGCTCCATTTTTAGAAAAATCCAATATGCATGCACTTTAGACTTTCTAAATTGCATTTCTCCATGTAATCAAGCTTATAAAATTGTATTATGAAAATGTATTCATTGAATAATAATCTACAGGGGTAAAAATCCTCGTTCTCTTTTTTTCAAGGAAGAAGATCAAGTAGATCGTATTCATGAATCCGATAGAGCTGCTGTCAAAAATTTAATTGTAACTCTGATGTTGAGTTCACCGGAGTCGATCCAGAAACAGCTAAGTGATGCCATAAGTATTATTGGAAAAACTGATTTTCCATTAAAATGGCCAGAACTTATAACACAGATGGTTGAAAAGTTCTCTACAGGTTTGTATCAATCATTATTACAATGGTCAGGGTAAACCTTCAGCTCTCACTACCTAAACTGGGTGACTATAAATCACTTAATAAGATGACTAGTACTAATCTTATGTTCGCTCGGTACACTGCGAGGACACATTTCAATATTTCAAAGTTATTTGAGAAATGCATCATGCTTGATACTTTTTAGGGGATTTCAATGTGATAAATGGAGTGCTTCGAACAGGCCATTCACTTTTCAAGAAATACAGATACGAATTCAAATCTGACAAACTGTGGACTGAGATAAAGTATGTTCTAGAAAAAATTGCACAACCTCTCACTGATCTGCTACTGGTAAGGGTTTTATGGGCGTTTCCTTACAAAAAATAAATCCTATTGTTTTTCAGGCTACAATGAATTTAGCTCAGACTCATGCCAATGATACTGATGCTTTAAAAGTAATTTACAGTTCACTGGTCTTGATCTGCAAAGTTTTTTATTCTTTGAATTTTCAAGACTTGCCAGAATTTTTTGAAGACAATATACAAATCTGGATGCACCATTTTCACATATTACTAACTGCAGATGTCAAATGCTTGCAAAGTAAAGTAAGTTGTTCACTACAATTTATCATAATCCTAAATGATATTATTGTGTAGAAATTCACAAAATTTCGCCGATTTCATAGGGACAGTATCATCACAGAATACTTGAGTATTCTGTGATATTGCTATTTCCTAAACCATAAGAGATAGAAAGTTGATAAAATTAGACAAAGGTTACGTAGTAATAGTAGTAGTATATATTCTGTTTAAAAATTCACAAGAAATCTCACATCGACAAAAAAAAACATTTTGCATGAGTACAAAATATTGTAAAGAGATATACAGAACTAGATATACTCAAATTTTTATTGGGATCAATAATATCTTGAATATTTTGAAAAGTATTGTCCAGTAAAAGTGATTTTATTACAGATCTGAAACGAAGCATACTCAAGTCTTTAATAACTTCGTTTAAGTTCTTGTAGGTCAACAAACCATAGTAAGAGGTTACAGTCTTTAATCTGTTCAGGCGTAATGAATTTGGATAAATGTGATTTCTATATCAAGTAATGTATGGAGAAATTCTTATCATCATCACGATAGCCCACACTCCTCTCATGATTCTAACAGGTCTTTTTTGGAGCTGATAGATTTTATGCCAGATTGTCGCATGTCCCCAAGCGAGTATTCCGTATATCAATCTCGAGTGGAATAGCGCAAAATATGCTGTTAGCAGGATAGTTTTAGACTTTTTGAATTTGAGTTGTCTCAGACCATATATAGTTCTAGTTGATGATGTTGCTATTTTATTCCCTTCGACCTCCAATAGTTGTTTTGAATCTATGTATATTCCCAGGAACTTCACGAAATTTGGAGTTTCAGATTGGTGAGTCAGATCTTTTGTTGATGATATCATCGTTACTGTCTTTGTCTAGATCAGAGCTAGTTTGTTTGTTGCAAACCATGCAACAGCCTTCGACTGTATATTTGCACATTGTATCAGAAGATTGCCTAGTTCGGCTCCACTTGTAGAGATAGTGATGTCATCTGCGTAGGGATTGGAAAGTCGTTGATATATATGAGGAATAACATAGGCCCTAAAATATATCCTTGTGGTACTCCACTTTTGATTACTAATTGTTGTAATTCAAACCTCTTCAATATGACGTTCTGCAATCTGAAAAAAATCAAGTCGTTTCTGAAATATTTTGAAAGAGAATTACTGATTTTGTTTATACTTCATTTTCTTGGTTAATATCATAGGAAGAAATTCGAAATTTTGCAAAAACAAGTAATTGATCATGACAAAAAATTTGAAATTGTCAGAAATATTCTATCGTCATCATTTTCGAAGTTTTACCAACCCTCTCTGTTATATATAGGAATCATTGAACAAAGCTAACAAGTTCCAGTTACAGCCATGTATAACATATCGACATTTTCACATGAAACAGAGTCAAAAAACAGTAGGAACATTTTGAAATGTGGTAGGCCTTTTTAATAAAAAATCAAAATATCAGTCGTCTTGGTATCCTCCCTATTTTAATTTTACTGGTCGGCGAAGTGGTGGGGATGGGAATAGCATGTAACAGTTCAAGATGGATGAAAAGGTGTCCATCAACCATTATAAACTGGCGTGTTTTAGTTTTTATCTTGAACAAATATTCTCCTGGGGTTATTTTTTTTTATTTCTCGGGTTAGGTTTGCTAACACAAAAGGCGTCTGAATTCGTGCCCCTATAGCTTATTGTTTCAGTTACCTCTACTCACTAACCAAGCCTCAACATTAGCAGATAATATCTAGATAAAATTTCTTCTCAATATCTACCTACAATTAAGTTGAAGACTATAAAAATTATTCAGTTTAGTTAAAAATTGAATAGAGTAGAGAGTAGAGAACTCTATTCAGTTTCATACATTTTCAGGATAGTGATGAGGCTGGTGTGATGGAGCAACTGAAATCTCAAGTTTGTGACAACATTGCTCTGTATGCACAGAAGTATGATGAAGAATTTCAACCATTTTTGCCACAATTTGTGACAGACGTATGGAATCTGCTGGTTGCAACAGGATTAGAACCGAAATATGATTTGGTAAAATCTTCATAAACTCGCTACGGAAGCCTATATCTAACATCATTATAAATTTCAGATTGTTTCCAATGCGCTGCAGTTTTTATCATCCGTTGCAGAACGTAAAAAATACAGAAATCTGTTTGAAGATGATACTGTGTTGAGTAGTATTTGTGAAAAAGTTATAATCCCCAACATGGAATTTAGGGGTGAGTTTGTGTAGGTGCCATATCTTGAAGATTGTGGTACAACATATGTGTGACTACTAGGAGATCTATTGGAATCAGATTCAAGGAACATCTAGCCAATTCAGATTTCAATTTAAATTGATCAAATAAGTTTATGGTTCCCTAAAATTTCAATTGGAAGCGTAAAAATGCATATTAAACAAGTGTTGAGAACCATTTTTTATGGCACTTTGCATACTTTTGTAAAATAGGTTGAGATGTTTGCATAACACATATCTCTGATCTTTCAGAATCTGATCAGGAATTATTCGAGGACAATCCTGAAGAATACACTAGAAGGGATATTGAAGGGTCAGATGTGGATACCCGAAGAAGAGCTGTCTGTGATCTAGTAAACACTCTTAGTCAAAATTTTGAAAAGAGGATAATAGAAATATTTGGGCAATATCTGCATGTAAGTATTGAAATCTTAATCTCTTCCCTAATGAAACTATAATTAAAAAATCATTTCTCGAAGGTGATGTTAACAAAATATGCAGAAAATCCAAAACAGTTTTGGAGAAGTAAAGATGCCGCCTTATACTTGGTTACATCTCTTGCGAGTAGAGGGTCCACACAAAAGCATGGTGTAACTCAAACTAGTGAACTTGTCAATATAACTCAGTTTTGCCAACAACAAGTTTTGCCTGAATTGGAGCGGCCGAATGGTAAACATAATAGTATTTTCCAGAGCCTTATGAAAAATATTATATTTGAATTATGTCCGTGTTGTAGTTGATGAGTTGCCAGTCCTGAAAGCAGATGCCATAAAGTATGTGATGACATTTCGTACAATTTTACCGAACGATATAGTTGTATCTACATTGCCACAGCTGATAAGGCACATGCCTAGTGAAAGTGCTGTCGTACACACATATGCAGCCTGCTGTCTGGAGAAAATTCTCATAATGAAGGATAACAATAACCAAGTTGTGTAAGTGGAAATTATTCTCAACAGATTTCTTCAGGAAATTCTTTTATTATTTTGTTTTAGTGTAACTGGAGCTCAGATAGAACCAATCGCTGGAAATCTATTATCAAATCTTTTCGCCATACTTGATAAACCTGTTTCTGAACAAAACGAATATGTAATGAAAGGTAACAAACAGTCTATGCACATACTTATCCTAGAGTTCCTAAATGTTCTTGACACTGCTGTTTTGACGTTTTTTGTATATTAGAGTACGGACACTAGACAAGCAGTGACAATCAAACATAACCACAAACGATTTTGAAGCAAATCATATGTTTTGCGAGACAAGGACAAGAATATGTTTTTCGCTTAGATAAAGGATCCTCGCATCTTCCATCCTCCACAAGTCCTGGGAAGAGTACATCCATATATCTTTCTCTGTATTTGATTTTTGTATGAGAGGGCATAGCGTCTCCTCGAGTGGGTAAAAGGGTACGATAAATTGATTAGAAAATTATTTCTTCTCGAAATACTGAATGATAAGGCTGAACGACCTCAATGGAGGTCGATATCAAGTTAGTAGGTACATAATATACATCAACGAGATACATATAGTATTCCTATAAAATTAGTCTCTTATATGTAGGTATATAAATTCGTTCAGATGAATATTTGTTTATCACTAAAGTGCAGAATGAGGTAAATTTCAAGAAACATACTTTTATTAGTACAAAAGAGTGGTAAGTTATAATTAATTAATAAATAAACAAATGATATGGCAACAATAACAGCTGATTTCAGTTAGGATAAATAATATAGGTTCTCCAAGACATACGGAAGTAGGTATAAATGGACTTCAGCGCTCGACTCACTATAGATCGCCGTTCACATTTCTAAAGGGGATTGTTAGTTGAACCCGGCCATCGTAAGATCATTTTCAATACCTAACATAAATGGTGCACTTGTTAAGCGTTCTTGCTTTGTGCTCTGATAATATCTTGCTTGTATCTTGGTACTCAAGAAGTGGATCAAAATCCACTAGGAGCTATGTAGTCGTCTAGCACTTCTCAACTACGCATGAACATGCACATTCAGACTTTGAAGAAGAAGTGATACACGAACAATATATTCAACTCTCTGATATAGATACATCAATATCTGGTACATCAGAGTTCCAAAAAGTGAATATATGTTTTCACAAAATTATTATTAGAGTTCGTATACGAAGATGATCTAAAGAATTCTTGGCTGTACAGGGATGTGAAATCAGTTTTAGTCAGTCAATTCAGGAAGTTTCTGCTATTTCATCGTCAGATTATCTCCATGGTGGCTATTGTGATCTCTGCTCCATCATTCATTCACAAGCAATAACCAGAGTCTAAATTGGAATAAGGTTCTTTTCGATACTCGCTCAGTTTATAAATTGTGAGTTCGGCTCTTTCAATACGATCCTATTCTTCAACTTCCTACCAAGAAATTTGAATACCTCGCAAATTTTGTGGCCTGAACCTATATTCCATGCCGGCTGCATCATATTCTGTTTCCATTTTTGTAGAATTACGTTATCCGATGGAAATTCGAATAGAGTGAATTGATTTCCCGTGTTCTCACAGTTGCAAACTACACAAACTTGCATCTTTCTCCTAATTATCTAAATTCCTCAAACCTTTGAAACTTATGTCATGTACGTCCGTGTACTGTCAGTTCCCGCTTTTTCCAACAATTTATTTGTGGTTATATCTGATTGTCAGTGCTTGTCATAGTGTCCGTACTCTGATATACAAAAAACGTCAAAATCAGCAGTGTCAACTACATTTAGGAACTCTAACTTATCCTAATCCGGTGACATATTATTTCAAATGTTTTTCTTTTCAGCGATAATGCGAACGTTTGCTACCTTGCAAGAGAGAGTTATACCATTTTTGAATGTAGCTCTACCGAAGCTTACGTCCATTTTGCAGATGGTAGCTAAGAATCCATCAAAGCCGCACTTCAATCACTATCTGTTTGAATCATTGTCATTAGCCATCAGGTATGTAGTATACAGGGTTATTCCATCGATAAGGCCTACCCCTACATTTCCGTTATTTTTAATCAAGAAAAAACAAACGATATGCAGAAGTTCAATGCCGCAATGAAGCCTTTCCACAGCCCTTATCAGAAGTTTTACAGGGTGATCCCTAAAAGCTTGACAAACCACAAATTGACTTTTTTAAATGAAACACCCTGTTTTTTATGTCTTTCTCAGAATCTGTGATTTTCTGTGATTACAAAATTTAATATATACAGTATGATATCTTTTATTTTTCTCTATCAGTTTCACTTTTTTGACCCCAGAAAAACATTTTTTTTGTGTTGGCTTCTACAGATATCCTGTTTTCCATGAATGATGATACATTTGGCACTTGTATATTGCATCATTATCCAATACATTCCCAAACTGATTGAGTGATCACCAATTAATCAGGAAAAAAATGTTTTTCTGGGGTAGAAGAAGTGAAGATAATGAAGTGAAAATGAGGGATATAACACTGTATATATATATATACTTTTGTGATCACAAAAAATCACAGATTCCGAACAAAATATAGAAAACAGGGTGTTCCATTTGAAAAAAAAATTAATTTGTGGTTTGTCACGCTTTTATAGAAATCTTCTGATGAAGGCTGTTTAAAGGCCTGATTGCAGCATTCAACTTCCGCATATAGTTTGTTTTTTCTTGATAAAAAATAATAAATAATGAAAATATTTTCAAGACATATATTACATTTTTCGCAAATATCTCAGGAACCTCTACATTTAGGCATGTGGAATGTTATTACTGTTAGGTTGACTATCAATAAGCCTAACTGATGACAATGACATCCCATCATCATCCTCTATCTAAGAAAAAATATGAAATACGTGGCTACATACGACCGTAAATACGCCACTGGTAAAGAAAATTCAATAATGAAATTTCCAACAAATTATATTGATTATTTTGAAATAGTGTACCAAGTTTTAATTTTTTTTTCCACTAGGGTTCTGGAGAAGTTGATAAAAACCTTGATATTTTTCGTTCTTTCAAGTTGAAAAAAAATGTCTCCTCAAAATGAGGTCAAGAATCCGTATACGAAGTTTTGTTGGCCTTATTCTAACTCACCCTATGAAATTTGGACAATCTAGATCTAATTGTTCACGTTATCCTAGGATTGTATGCAAATCAAATCAGTCAGCTGTTCGATCATTTGAGGACATACTTTTTCCAATCTTCCAAGGAATTCTGCAACAGGATATTCAAGGTAACGTACCAATGTTTACAAGGTGATCTTGAATTCGAATGACAAAGCTCTAGGGAAGATTCCTTTCATAAAAATAAGGAAAAACTTCCATTAATATGTATACCTATTTGTCAGAAAATTCTTTTCAAAATACAGGGCATTGCAATTTCGTTCACCAAAAATGACTCCCAGTATTTTTTATTTTACTATTTTTTCAGGTGAGCCAACTAAACAACTTCTTGGTAGCAATTAACTAAAACGAACCGTTATCTGACATTTGTATGAACAATAGTTATTTATTATACAAGGGAAAAAAGTAGTAGATTTTAGCTCCTGGTTGTGTTGCCTCCCGATGCGTAGCGGAGGGAGACAAAAAACCGTTAACTGAAATCTAATATTTTTCCCGTGTATAATGCACTATTTTTTTCTGTGACAGATAAGAGTACGAATCAATATTGAGAAGATATTACATTATTTTGAAATCTGAAAATTATCGACGTGAAATTTTAAGTTTTTAACAGTATAGGGACACCTGCGTTGTAGGCATCTTTATCATTCTTTTGAAGTAATAAAATATCTGATGTCACTTCTGTCAGTCTAATTCTGTGATTTGATTTCAAAAAATTGCGAATTTTTAGTAATATTCGTAACCGCGAAGTCGAATGGAAGATAAAAGGACTTGCAGTTCTTTTTCGGAGACGATATTATTGACTCATTTTTCGGAACTATAGCACAACAAAAGCCATCAATAGTGTATATATTTGTGATATATGTCTGGGAAAAAAGTACTCACTTTTTTCCAACCGGAAAAAAGTAATTTATGAAAAGTGACATTTTATGGCTTGTAAATGTTTTTTTTTTTTAAACAAAGTGCAATAAATTTATTATTATTATTATTATTATTATTATAACCTGCCAACAAAGATGAAATGCCAAACTTTCTTGCCGTCACAGAAAAAATAACTTTTTCTCTCATTCTGCCCTAAGCTTTTGTCGTAGATGTATAGAAAGTCATATGGTGTTATTACCTCCTATTGAAAGGAGTTTCGAAATCTCTCGATATCGCCTACTTTGTAAAAATAGCGAGGCGTGGGAGAATCTTGCTAAGTTCTTCCGAAGTTCCAAACCAAATTTACAGGCATCATGATACATTCATTTGAGTTCACATATTCATTTTCACAATTTTTTATGTAAATGGAAACGGTGCGTTATATTTTCGACATTCAATGGTGAATTCATGAACGACACGAAGTCCTAACTCAAAAAAATCCTGTGATAATAGTTTATTTACTCACTTTTGGTACATAAAAAAATCGGATTTTCAAATAGTCCTCACACATTGCAGCAGTCAGTTTATGATGAAATCACAATACAGCACTCACTCAACTAATAATATAATATCAATACCTGCTTAATAAACTACTAATTCCCGCATTCTATAATATTTCTATTTGAAATTGAAACAAAATTTTGAATATGCTGAAAACATGACACTCGTGACAGATATGTCAAGATCAATATGTTTTTACACGGATTATTTGTTGCGCCCTGTCTCTTCTGCGTCCTGTCTCTAGATGCTTCTTATCAGCTATTATTGATTTTTTTCAATTGACTCGGCCGTTACTTGATGGAAATCCATGGCAAATGTAAAAACTTCACAAACGATAAGATTTACACAAAATTCATAAACACACAACATGTTTCGCTAACACAGTAGCTTCGTCAGGTGATATACTGGTACAATGAACTAAACCAAACTTGGCGTGCTTAACTTACATTAGCAATTATTGAATTCATGCATCATCAACGGAATTCTTCAGGTCCCGAAAGAAGGAAAAACCATCATTGAAAATCTTCAACTTCATAATAAGATTCTCAACGCATTTTGAAATTTTTTAAGATATTGTCTATCGTTCACGCCATCTATCATCGAATATGAGAACCCCACGTTCCGAAATCGCATTCAATTGTTCATATCGAGAGCTAGTCTGACGAAACAATTGAAGAGTGTCACTCAAATTCAAGAACACCCAGCTTTCCAACTGTTTAGTCCTACCATATTTGAGTTATTCCAGAGTTCATCCCGTACGTATTTCAAATTCTCTCTCTGCTGATGGAGAACACGGCTCCCGGAGCGATCCCGGAACCCTACATGCAGCTGTTGCCCTGCTTGTTGGCCCCCATTCTGTGGGAGCGACCTGCGAACGTCAGTCCCTTGGTGAGATTGTTGAGCGCCTTCGCTACACAGGCCGCACCACAAATAGTCGCTCAGGACAAATTGGTAAGGACCACTGATCAATAAACAACAAATGTAAGAGCTGATTATTTACACTAACAAGATGAACCATCCTCATATGATAGCAATGAGGCCAGAAATGTTGTTCAGTAGGTGGCGGTATCTATGAGTGACAAGTTGAACTAATTTTCGTTGAGTAGCGAAGGGTAGAGTCAATAAATGTACTTGACAATGCTGTTTTGACGTTTCTATATATTAGAGTACGGACACCAGACAAGCAGTGACAATCAAACATAACCACAAACGATTTTGAAGCAAATCATATGTTTTGCCAGACAAGGACAAGAATATGTATGAACCATCCTCATATGAGAGCAATTTGGCCAGAAATGTTGTTCAGTAGGTGGTGGTATCTATGAGTGACAAGGTGAACTAATTTTCGTTGAGCAGCGAAGGGTAGAGTCAATAAATGTACTTGACAATGCTGTTTTCACGTTTCTATATATTAGAGTACGGACACCAGACAAGCAGTGACAATCAAACATAACCACAAACGATTTTGAAGCAAATCATTTGTTTAGCCAGACAAGGACAAGAATATGTATGAACCATCCTCGTATGAGAGCAATGAGGCCAGAAATGTTGTTCAGTAGGTGGTGGTATCTATGAGTGACAAGGTGAACTAATTTTCGTTGAGCAGCGAAGGGTAGTCAATAAATGTACTTGACAATGCTGTTTTGACGTTTCTATATATTAGAGTACGGACACCAGACAAGCAGTGACAATCAAACATAACCACAAACGATTTTGAAGCAAATCATATGTTTTGCCAGACAAGGACAAGAATATGTATGAACCATCCTCATATGAGAGCAATGTGGCCAGAAATGTTGTTCAGTAGGTGGTGGTATCTATGAGTGACAAGGTGAACTAATTTTCGTTGAGTAGCGAAGGGTAGAGTCAATAAATGTACTTGACAATACTGTTTTGACGTTTTTCACGGACACCAGACAAGCAGTGACAATCAAACATAACCACAAACGATTTTGAAGCAAATCATATGTTTTGCCAGACAAGGACAAGAATATGTTTTTCGCTTAGATATAGGATCCTCGCATCTTCCTCCACAAGTCCTGGGAAGATTACATCCATATATCTTTCTCTGTATTTGATTTTTGTATGAGAGGGCATAGCGTCTCCTCGAGTGGGTAAAAGGGTACGATAAATTGATTAGAAGAAAATTATTTCTTCTCGAAATATTGAATGATAAGGCTGAAGGACCTCAATGGAGGTCGATATCAAGTTAGTAGGTACATATATTTCAACGAAACACATATTATTCCTATATCATAAGTCTCTTATACAGTGTGACCCACTTTTAATGGAAACACCCCTGTATCTTACGTAATCGTTGGGTAGGAATCCTGAAATTTGCTGGAGCGAGCAACATACCAAAAATGCACTGTATTACCAAGTGGGGTCAATCTTCAGTGATATACACTGCTCGCCAACAGTCATGAAACCACCCCAATTTCCTGAAAATGATATTAGGAGTCAAAATAGGTCGAAAATTACTTCAAATTCGGAATCAGGACGCCCAATTCAGTAACTATTAATATTTTTTCTGGAAAATTTTCAGTTCTGAAAAATTAAATTTTGTCGCACTTTTTACGGACGCACCCCCGTATCTTACGTAATTGACTTTATCTATGGACTTTCCCTTCCTTCTGCAAATTACAGAATCCTACCTCAATAATTACGTGAGATACGGGGGTGCTTCCATAAGAAGTGAGACAAAATTCAATTTTTCTGAACTGAACATTTTCTAGGAAAACTATGAATAGTTAGTGAATTGGGCGTCCTGATTCCGAATCCGAAGTGTTTTTCAACCTATTTTGACTCCTAATATCATTTTCCGGAAATTGGGGTGGTTCCATGGCTGTTGGCGAGCAGTGTATATCACTGAAAATGACTCCACTTGGTCATAGAGTGCATTTTTGGTATATCTCTCGCTCCAGCAAATTTCAGGATCCTTACCTCACCATTACGTAAGATACAGGGGTGTTTCCATTAGAAGTGGGTCACACTGTATGTAGGTGTATATATACGTTCAGTTGAATATTTTTTTTATCACGAAAGTTCAGAATGGGGTTGAATACTGATAAATTTCAACCAATGGAACATACTTTTATTTCGTATGGAACAATTTCTGATTTTGTTTCAAATCTGAAATAATTTTTAGGTAATAGTTCTGAATTTTGCTAACTGACTTTTGTATCTAAATCTTTTTGCTTTAACTCATTTTCCAACTCTCTATTTTTTTCTTCTATTTGTTTCCTGAATTCCTCACTCTCTTCCAAACCTTGGATTTTTTAATATTCCTGATCTAAAAAACCGATTATCAAGTCTTTTTCTTTCAAAATATGTTCGAAATGATTTTCAGTTCTTACTTTCCCTGACGTACCGAAGTCGAAACAAGCCACAAACTCAACAGGTTTTCGAACCAAAGAATACTTTTGCTTTTTTGGATTCTCAGACTTTCGCTTTTGAACAAAAGGCTAAAACGCGCCACAAAATTCGTGGAGATTTGCGAAATCCCAAAAGTTCTTTTGCTTTAGTCAAATGAATCCGAAACAGTAAACTGGGATTCGAGTTTCACCTTAACCCAACGATATTTTACGGTGCAATGTGTGAGCTTTCGACTTTCCGGGTCTCATCAGTTAGGTGAAGAAGCCTAAGAGCTAATTTGATTATTAATTTAATCTAGTTGGTTCAAGAAGTAATTCTCAAACGCAAAGAACAATGTTTGTTCATAGTGCCAGTGTCGGCATCTGCGGAGTTCTATATTGAATTAATACTCATATCTTTATTTTATAGAAACGAGGAGAGAAAATCGCAAATAATCAAGTTCAATGAATGTACCACCTTCTTGATTAACCTACAGACAGTATTTAACTATTTACTACCTTCTCTCCCCATCTTTCCTAGTTACGAATGATTTTTCTGTAACATTTACATGAAATGTTTCTCAATGAAATAATATTTTTTTTAGAGTGGATACTTGGGGGTATTTCAAAAACTCATTGCATCAAAAACAAATGATCATGAAGGATTTCATCTTATGCAAAATTTGATCCAACATTTCCCAACGTAAGTTGTCAAGTCTTTAGTATAAATCGTGAAAATAAATGTTTCCCTCTTTTTAGTGAGGCTATGGCACCATACCACAAGCAAATCTTCTTCTTGTTGTTCCAAAGGCTGTCTTCCTCAAGTAAAACCACGAAATTTGTGAAGAATCTCATTGTATTTTTCAGTTTGTGTGCAGTAAAACATTCACCAAATGAACTAGTTACAACAATTGATGGAATCCAAGCACAGTGAGTATTCAGTGTTTAATCAAACATCATTGGTACATAATAGTTATTCATGTACCAAGTTCGTTATATAGATCCTAACGCACGGAGGGTAACATTCATCCGAGGGCTTTCGGCTGCCCAATATTAGTATAGATGAGTGTGTTATTTTTCATATGATTAAATTTGGTATAGTGTCTCCTGTTTCTTGTTAGTACGTTTCCATACTGATAATTTTTGTTTTAGGATGTTCGGTATGGTTCTAGAGAAGTTGTTTATAGCTGAATTACAAAAAATTTCGGGAAGCATCGAAAGAAAGATTGTAGCTTGTGGTGTTACAAAATTGCTTTGCGAGTGTCCCGAAATGTATACAGGAAACTATCAGAAATATTGGCCTCAGCTCCTGCAAGTATGTTATCTGAAAAATGCCATTAAAACACATCAGTTTATTATTTTCGATTGTTTCTAGGCTCTGTTATCATTTTTTGAAATGCCAAGAGATGAAAGTACTTTACCTGATGACCATTTCATAGAAGTTGATGATACCCCAACTTATCAGTCAGCGAGTGCAAAATTGAATTTTGCCAGTTCAACACCAAATGATCCATTACAAGGTAGGAGTGAGGAGTTATTCTCAATATATGGTTATTATTCCGCATTCCATGTACAGGGTATCCCACATAATATAAGCAACCCCCGATGTTGTTTGGCTCTCATTTTTTTTTTCGATTCTGTTTTTTCATTTATGTTTGGTAAACAGAATCGAAGTTTTTCATTTATTCTCGTTAACCAGAATCGAAGTTTTTCATTTAGAAAAAAAAATGAGAGTCATCGGATGACTTCTTTCGGCTCACCTGTTAGTTCCAGAATGGGTAATTTTTCAATTGAAAATTCGGTAAATCCAAAAACATCAACTTTTGACGATGAAGTTACACATCATATTTGACCCAGTGATGCGCGACTAGGGTATGTGTCAGCTTTTTCTCCCACATTTTCTACGCCACTGGTATAATTATGATTATCTTCAATAATGTTTCTCTAGCTAATATAAACAGTTTTGGGCATATTGACTCAAAATGAAAGTGTTTCAGTTTCAGTGATTCAGTGTTTCAAATATTTCCATTAAACACATTTTTTCTCCAATTGACAGCAAATATCAAATTTGTAGAAACATATCAATCAGCAAAGTATTACTTTTCCTGCTTAAGCAGCAAAGTAAGGACTTTTCTGCCTAGGCAGCAAAATGATTGGGAATAATTTTCTTCACATTTCATCCGAGGCTGCCAGAGAAGCGTCGCCACCTTGCTTTTCTCTAGAGGAGTATTTGTTGCTATCACTTTCCATAATATAAATATACCCAAATTTTTCCACAAAACTGTCTGAAATTTCAAGCTGTCAAACTATAATTGATCGAAATAAAACTTCTTCATCATATAATAATGTGGCCTAAAATGCAACCCCTTCGAGCTAAGTTTGGTGAAAAACAAAAGATTGCTTGAAATTGTGATCACAATAACGAATCAGGTGCAAGTATTGCAGTACCGCACGCCTCTGAAATATCAGTGTCAAATGCGTTCCGACATGTGATCACCTCCGAATGCAAGCATTTAACCCATTGCGTTCGAAAACGATGTCGTGGCCCCTTTCGTTGATTAAGTTTTTTTTGAAAACGGTTAGTTGTGAGATGTGATGCAATATACCGAATTCTTAATTTTTTTTTGGCCCACAAGATCATGCTTTTCAAAGTCAGATTTTCCTTTGGAACATACAATTTGGGCCAATAAAAGGGTGGACCCCCCTTCAAGTCCTTCAAAACTGGGTTTACATATGTATTTAAGCAAGAAGAAAATAAGGTCTTAAAAGACAAGGGCATGCCAATTTTCAGAAGATGTGATCCGTTATTTTAGGCACAATTTTAGATAATCTTTTTTTTACCTAACTTTACAGTGGCTGCAGCTAGGAGAGAGTGCATTTTTAGGCACATGTTTATATGAAGAAAAAATCTTATTTCCAATGACAATAACTAACCTCTGATATTCGTTCGGAGGTTCTAACAAATTACAAATCAATTTCTCGGGATATTTCCTATACTCATGTTTATTTTTCCAGTACTAGAATGGGCTTATATCACAAAAAATTTTTATTTCATAATTCGATAGAACTCACCCAAACTAGCTCATCACCGTAAACCGTTTCTTGCTGTGAGCTCCCTACGTTTTATAAAAAATTATTGAAATTCCCGATTTTTCGGACCTCTGAAAACGAGGCGATGATGTGACGTCAAAACCCTACTGAAACAAGACTATTCCAGACAGAGATGAATGATACATGATTCCTGACAGAGTGAATTAGCGCGAGATCACAGTTGAAAGAATTAATATATCAGTTGCCTCAGTCTCCGTCGGGCGTTTGGTATTTTTTTTAACTATGGCGAGATGAGGTTTCTACGTCATAAGTGGGTCCGTTTTCAGAAGGTACTATTATTTGAATGAAACATTCCAGTCAATTTTTCGATCTAATTATGTCGTCAATCATTATTTATGTATAAAAGGATCATTATAAACATGGTTTGAGTTGAAAGTTCTACTAAGGTGTACACGCCCATTGTTTACCAGATTGTTTCAGTTTTTCAGACAGCTCTGGGGGGGGGGTCTAGACCCCATAGACCCCCGCTTGATTACGCCACTGATGATTATTATGGATCAAATTTTGTTTTATCACCACAGGAATAATAAAAAGATTGTGGAAATTGTAATAATTTGCAAATACAATATCCTACATATATCATTACTAACAATCGGAGAAAAATGTATATGTTCAACTAAAAAGTAGACTGCCTTAGCTGAATTCCTATGAACTATCAGCCGCGGCAGTCAATCTACTATTCTCAGAATTATTTTTAGTTTTTCGATTCTGGACAGATATAATTTAATATCTGTATTCTGTAAGATGTTCAAACAAGTCATTGTATTTTTTTCTTCAATTAGGTATTTGCAATATTGGACAGATATAATCTAATATTATGTGGTATTTAGGCAGGAAAGTAGTTTCTGTTAAAGATTTCAACAATCAACTATAATTTTCTTTTTTTTTTTTTGAGAAAAACAGAAGCCTAATTACACTCGTGTGATAAATACACAAAAGGATTATTGAGATATTATATATTAAATGCTGACATTTTGAGGCCATATGCACTTATTCCCCGAAAAATAACAATAAATTTACATTTCAGCTGTAACTGAACCTAGACAATATTTGGTTCAAAGTTTAGCCAATTTGGGAAATTCTCAACCGGGTCGGATATCCAGTTTTATTAGCAACACAAATTCACAATCTCAGACGATTCTGCAAGGCTATCTAGCTAAATTTGGAGTGCAACTGGTCTAACCTTATTTTAGTAGTTAATATAAGTGTCATCCTGTTATATTTTATATGTTCAATATTATGTAATCGCTCGATTTTTGTTTCTACTGTACTATTATAGTTCATCAAGTTTAGAACTTCTACTTGCTAAATTATTTTTACCAATAAAACTTTTATTGAATTTTTTCATTCAAATGGATTTTGTTTTCTCTCATTCTTATCAATATTTGGAAATAAGTCTACTGCATTCATTCACTCAATCTTGAAATTTATTTTCTGAAATAAATCTACAGTATAGAGGCTGAATCATAAGGAACTGTAAATACAATAAAAAGGAGCGCCTAGATAGCCGTTCACGATGCGAAGGTACTGTCGGTTCGAATCTGGCTATCGGCTGATTATTTTTCTTTAAAATGTGTGATTCATGGATGTAATCCTGGCAACACCTCGATGCCCTAGAAGTGTTTCGGATTCCACTATAAGCTGTAGGTCCCGCTCTTCCTTACCCCGCACAAATTTCCACTTCTGGTTCCCAACTCTGAAGTAGCGATATACAAATTTTACAAAAAACACTCCCACCATGCCAGAGAGAAACCATGTAACCATACAGTTTGTCCGGAAATTATGCGCAAAAATCAAGGGGGTGATTCTACATGATGAAATGAAAAATTCATTTCATATGTACGTGGGTCCCGAAATGCATAGTTTTTAACATACAGTGTGTTAAACTTTTTTTAAACAATCAGTTTTTTATGAATATCTCAAATGTACTGTCACCGAATTCCTTGAAATTTGTCAATGATATTTTTTGTCATGAAATCCAGTGGCGTCCCGGGAGGCATCCTACCGAAAATTATTGCCAATAAAATGTGCGCCACTGACTTTTTCGACTTCTGTATCTTCATAACCTATTGACCCCATAACCTATTGAACCCAACTAAAAATGAAACATTTTGGTCTCCTGAAATGTTTTGATAATTTGCTTCATTTCCATGGAAAAAAATAAATACCAATTTATTGCATAAATTTGTGCCAAACAATTCTTTAGAAAACTGTGGTGAAAATAAATGCGTGATCCATGTCCATAGACATAGAATAAGAATGAAGATTTATTATGCTGGAAGAAATTGAAATAAATGTCACCGTGCAACCTAGCGGGTAAAACAACGGTACCTATGAGATATTCGCCGATTATTCCTGCCCATACATTGAGTCGAAACTCTTGCTGAAAATGGCGTTGTCTGATGGCATGTGGATTTTCATCTAAATACACATGTTCGTTGTGTGAATTTGTTATACCTCTTTCGGTAAAGCACGCTTCATCGGTGAAAAGAATTTTATTATGAAACTGAAGATCTTCAGCCTGACTTTCTTGAATGAATCTACAAAATGTCAGCCGCGATTCGGAATCTGCTGGTTGGAGTTCTTGTACACTTCGAAGGAGATAGGGATGCAGAGGTTGCTCTTTAATAACATTGTAGACTACGTCTCTAGAAATTAGGAAACCTTTTTTGGTGAACTCTAACGCTTCTTCGACAATTTCCTTCACAAAAACCAAGGACCAGCAACATATCAGTTTAGATAGATAGATAGATAGATAGATTACACTATGTGGGCGGACGGATCCTTCAGCATGTAGGCCTCCTAGTTCGGGCCCGTTATGCACCCACCTCTGCTGGGAATTGGTTCAGTCTTGGAGGTAGCCAATTTCGCGGGCGAAAGAGACCAGCCTTCTCAACGAAACCCTTCTCACACTCTCTGGTTCCAAAACGATGTTCCCGAGATGTGCTTCCCGTATTGCTGGAACTGCTGGGCATTCCGTGAGGATGTGAGTAGCTGACTCCTCGTCCTCCAGGCACCACCTACATTCAGCATCATCAGTGATACCCATAATGTTGAGGTGCCTGTTTAGATGGCAGTGACCCGTGAGGAGCCCTACCACTATTCTTATTTCTTTTCTGCTCAGTGTGAGCAACGTTTTGGTTCTTCTGATAGAAGGGCCTTCGATATGGAGTTTCGATTGTCTCATGCCTGGAGTCTCCATACCTCCTGGAATTTCGTTTCCAAGCTTTTCATCATGGTTGAGACGCTCCAGGATCTGGAAACTCCTAAGATTGGTTCTGGTCCAATGGCTGAGCTATTTGCTCCTTGTCTAGCCAGGGAGTCGGCCCTTTCATTACCGGGAATTCCTTTGTGTCCTGGGACCCAAAGGAGTTTCACCTTATTGGCTGCGGATAGCATTTGAAGCTCATCAATACACTCCGACACCAACAGCGAACTGACCCTGTATGATGTGAGGGCCTTGATCGCCGCCTGGCTGTCGGAGCATATCGTGATCAGCTGGCCATGGTAGCATCATTTCGTTCACCATAAGAATACGTTGTAGCCATTATCGATGAACTTAACAAGGATCAAGAAACTCAAAAAAATTATAATAAGAAACAAGATACTAAAACAAATAATAAGGAGAAACAAGAAAAACGAAAAACTCTGGATATTGAAATTCTACGATGAAATTATGTTATTCTGACTGAAGTTTGAAGAATTGATATCCCAGCCAACTAGACATTTTTTCTTAAAAATGCATCAGATCAGAAATTATTCATTTGGAAATGAACTTGGAAACTTATGAGAAATTAGCACGATACCGAAAATATTTCTGGAGGGAATATCTATACAAAAAATATTTCTGAAGAAAATATCTTTCTGGGAAAAAGCTTCCAGCCTAGCCTCTGAAAAGTTATCACCAAATTTGTACGGCAAGATAGTAGTTTGAAACTCTTCAAAATTACTGATGATGACCAAAAACATCTCAAAACGTGACAGAACATGACATGCCAAAAATTATAAAAATCGATCTCAGCTTACTCTTTTTATGAGCAAAATTATTGTTTTCCCAAGAAAATTTGACGCCTTGTACCAACTCAACGAAACGATTTTGGATATAGGTAAGTTGGCTAAAATCAACTTATTTTTATACAAGGAGTCAAGCTATGTCCCAACCAGATTATCGTTCTAAAAAATGCATAAGATGCCTCGGATAAGGAATTATTTATTTGCAAATGAATCTCGGGAATATATTCCTGAAAAAAAAAACACTGAAAATTTCCAGTCTGAACTCTGAAAAGTTATCACCAAATAAATTTGTACTGCAAGATGGATGAAACATTTGGAAAGCCACTAATGATGATCAAAAACATCTCAAAACGTGACTTACAGTCACAGAACATGCCATGTCCAAAATTATGGAAATTGATCTCGGCCTAATTTTTTCATGAGCAAAATTGTTTAATTCCCAAAAAACTTCAACGCCCTGAATCAACTCAACGAGACGATTCTGGATATAGGTAAGTTGGCTGTATCAACTCATTTTTATCCTAGGAGTCCACAGCCGAGCCATGTCCCAACCTTTTACAGACACCCTGTATGTCGACAACAGTTCCTTGTACGAAAAAAATGCCTGATATCAAATGAGAGCTGATAAAAGTCTTCACAACTTTCTCTCCATACACTTTTTTCGAATCTTCAACTTTTTTCGAACTGCATGCTCCAGAAAAGGGAAATTTTCGAATAAAAGATTATTATCTGACTTTATTCATCAAACATTCCTCCATATTGTCTGAACGGTTGGTTCACAGAAAAATCCCTTCAAAAAAAGTTGTAGGGAATTGAATTTTCTTCAAGAATACATGTACTGAGATATCCATCGAGATACGCACGTTGAATTCCGCGATGAGGAATTTCACAGACCTTATCAGAAATTCTACAGGGTGATCTCTGAAAGCATAACAAATTACAAAACCGTTGACACTTTGTTTGACAAGCGAATTTTGCATTTTCGAGGCGGAGCGTCTAGCGAAGCCGAGCGAAAGCAAAATTTGCGGAGTCAAACAAAGTCACTTTTGATCCGAATGAAACATGCTATTTTTTCTGCAACCGAAAGAATTAACTAAAATAAATATGTGAAGTAACCACCAATGCCGTGCCATATGTATGCAATGCAACAAATAATCCGTATGGTGAGACTACCTACATTAACAGATCAGGTTTATTCAATTTTCTAGGATGTTAGAATTGTAGTTTCAATATAAATACAACCACAGAGTGACCCATTTGTGTATAGACCAGGTGTCAGCCCTAATAGTAAATACCGCGCTAGTGCCCTTAGGTATAGGGAAGACGTGGAAAATGTTAGGTTAGTGGAATAGTGAGCATATCAACAATAATGATAGCGATTTTTTATTTCTTTTCATACTCCACTGTGTTTGGCTCGGTAATCAAATGAAAGTAAACAATATCGTTTCATTTGATTATTCAAAATCAAGTTATCCATCCCGAGAATAACGAATGAAATACAGATCAAGCAAGTATGTGATTCTTGAAGGCTTTGCTGATCAAAACAAGAATACCCAAATCGAGAGCATGGGTATGAAATGCAAAATCTGCCGGAATCGGAAACAAATCAGGTATGCGTCCCAACCCAAATAACCAACCGTATAACAATGTTGTTTATTCTTGATTACCTTTAGACGTTGATTGATATATTACGCTTACGCTGCGTAATATATCAATCAACGCTTTAGAGTACATCCTCTTTAGTTCTTAGGAGCTAAAGTTCAACTTTAGCACCTAGGAACTAAAAGTGTTGCCTAGCAACATACCTATGTGCTTTTGTGTCGGTTGCAGACAAATTCATTTTTAACCAAACCATCCATTTCTGAGAAATCTCCTGAAACAGGCCGATTTTTATTTTCAATTTCTCCCATTTTTAACAAAAACTTAAATATACAGGGTGATCCACATAAGAGTTATTACGACCACGATAATTTTTCCAAATGGAACACCCTATATAATATAATTCAATTTTTGGAATGTCCCACGATGTGTTTCTATACAGTGCGTCCGTTAAATTGAGTGCTTTCCCAAAGTACTGAATACATTCATTTTTACCCAAACTATCCATTTCTGAGGGATCTCCTGAACCAGGTCGATTTCAATCTATAATTCGTCACATTTATAAGGAAAATTAGATATACTGGGTGATCCACGTTTGAGTTATGATCGACGAAATATTGCAGTGAGATGAAAAGGAGGAGATAACATACCTCGATATCTCAGATTAAGATTGTGAACGTCGCTTCTATATGTAATTTTGTTATTATGTAATCTCAAACAAGATTTTTGTACACTTTCGATACGATTTATGCCCGTGTTATCAAGACACGGACCATACACTATATCGCAGAAATTAAAATGACTCACTACAAGAGAATCTGTTCAAGTTTCAATGATTGAGAAATAATGTGTCTATGAGGATATAACAATTTCAAATTAGTATATGCCCTGTTTATTCATTTACATACATGCGATTTGAACCGCAGATGAGTGTCGAGTTCAAGCCCAAGATTTCTTGCAACACGAGTGCAAGGTAAATGATTTCCGTCCAATAACACCCTCAACATTATTTTTATTTTTGCCAACTATAAGAACATTGGATTTCAGGGAGTTGATAGAGAGGTAATGCTTTTTGGAAATTTGTACAAGTTTTTCAAGTTCTTGGTTGATAACCAAATTAGCTAAATACAGATCAGAATAAAAAAAGAATATTTTATTTGTGTATCGTCAGCATAATGATAAGCTTCAGTACGTTCTAAAACATTGACTATATTATATAGAAATGGTCCCAAAATAGAACCTTGTGGTACACCACACTTTATAGGTTTCAAATTCGATTGCTTATCATTGACCACAACGAATTGTAATCTATGTGACAAATAACTTCTAATTATTACAATGGAACTCTCTGAGAAGCCCACGTAGTGCAAAATGGCAAATGAAATTTCATGGTTGATTGTATCAAACGCCTTGGAATAATCAATCAGAATGAGGGCAGAATTTTTTCCATCATCTATATCTTTGAGAATGTCATCAGTTATATGGAGCAATGCTGTTGTGCATTATAAGCATAAATGTGTACAGTAATTTGATATGTTTCATGATTTTCTCTAAGACTTTTGATAGGGTAGATTAGGGGTAGACAATAGTTTCGCCATTTTTCTTTTTGGGGAGAGGAATTACTTTAGAAATTTTCCACAAAGAAGGAAATATACTAGAAGAAAGACATGTATTCTTAATGTGTGTGATGACATAATCTGTGCTACAAGTATAGGAGTATATGGTTTTTGTCAATTTATTTCCTTATAATCATTGTCAAATTTGTTATAAAATCATTGTTCTTGACAAAAACCAAAAGTAGAGCTAAAAGTAGCCTCCTGGTGATAGTCCTCAAATAATAACACAAAACAAGTATAAATTCAATGTATATTTTGATTGCACCTGCACCATATATGGAATATGTTTCAATGCTTTACAAAACATGTAACAAAGTTGTGAGAGCCATATACCCAGTAATTAGGAATCCTATTCCAAAAGAGAGACCTCTTGCTGGTTGTGGAATGATAACAACAGCATATACAATAGAGTGAACAATTCTTGCTACAGTGAATGCAAAGAAAAGAGTTTTTGCCATGTATTCTGTTGGACTAGTCATCATGTACAAAAAGGCACTGACAAAAAATATTGGTATATTCTCCAAATCATTTAAATGTGCCCTTCTGACTCTTTCCACATTCTCATCTGTTTTGGGTTTGATTTTAAGGCTCTTCACATCTTCTGGGTTAACAAAAGCCTGAAATGAAACAAAAATATTTCATAAAAACTTGGTTCCAATTTATAAATCAGATGAAGTGATTGAGATTTCAGAAAAAAAAATTAACTAATCATTATCACTCATTATTTTCAAGGGGATTATATTGTCACCAAAAATCTCCATAAATACAGAGTCATGAGGAGTATACTCAGAATACAGGGTGTTCCCTAACATCTCTGACAAAATGCAAGGAGCAAATCTTCACTTCACTGAATGTCCTTTAGTTTTCAGAATACAAAGGTGTTCAAAATTCTATTTTAAATCGTTTTTTTTTTCATCTCAAGACATGCTTTACCCAAATTAATTGAAATTCAAATAAAAAAATTATCAAGTCTAGTGCGGCGTCCGGGGGGGGGGGGGGCATAACCAATATTTTTGACAATGTATAAATCATATGTATGCATCAAGGAATTTCACCACTAAACTAATCATAAACTGGATTATATACAGAAGATTTCAATAAAGGACCTACCTACACATTCATAAAAAATCATTTATAATCAAGAATATTTGAATGAGATGAACTGTATTCCCAAGGAAAAGTGATGAGGGTGCTGTTGATATCCTTGGTATTTTTGAATTATTTTCACTGAATTTGGACTATTTTGAAACCAGCTATGCTATATATACCTATACCTACTTTCTTACTAACTATAATCTGATGGTGAATTCATGCATGACTTTCAACTTACTAGTCCTAATTGAAGAAAGAGCTGAGCTTGAGAATTAAAGAATATTCAAAATTAACCAAATACCACCCAAGGACCTATTTTGAGTCCAGGAATCTGCAGTTCCTTCTATAATCCCTATAATAGTATAGGTAATCATTCAAATACTCCCTTATGAGTACCTACTAGGTATGATGCTCATGTTATGTAACATATTGAGAGGTGATTCTGATAATCATTATAATGAACCTCACCTTGTTTTTGTACCTTTGTACACTGGTTAAGATAGCCATACCCATCATTTTAATTACTAAAATACTGCAATAAAATAAATATGACCGGAAAACCGGATTTTGAAGAGAAACTAGGTCTGGAACAACTTGTGCCATTATTGTGCTGCAGATGTTATTTTGAAAAATAAAAAACAATCACAAATTAAATATATCTTGACAGGGTTCTACTTGACTCGCACTGAAAACCACTAAAAAAAAGCAAGGCCGCAAAAGTTGGAGTTGAGTATACTTTTGCTTGTCATAAATTTAAGAATGGTGGGGGGAGTGCAGCGTTGCTAGTTCGCTTCTTCTCGAATAAGATGGCTCGAATGATACTAGCGTGCTGGCGCCTAGAGACAGGAGGTAACAAATATAATCAGCGCGGCAAGTGCGAGTACAAAGAGTAAATTCTTTTTTTCTGCAACCGACACAAAAGTCGTCCATTTTGACACCAAAATTAACTCTTAAATTGACGTTTCTATTACTGACACAAAAATAGGTATGTTGCTAGGCAATATATTTAGTTCCTAGGAGCTAAAGTTAAATTTTAGCTCCTAGGAGCTAAAGTTGAACTTTAGCTCCTAGGAACTAAAAAGGATCTACTGGACGTCATCAAGAATAAACAACATTGTGACGGTTGGTTATTTCGGTTTGTTTCCGATTTCAGCAGATTTGGCATTTCATACCCATGCTGGAGATATGAATACACCTTATTATAGTTTAGTATTGTAATTATAAACATTTCAGTTGAGTATTTTTGTTTTGATCAGGAAAGCCTTCAAGATTCAAATACTTGCTTGATCTGTATTTCATTCGTTATTCTAGGGATGGATAACTTGTTTTTGAATAATCACGGCAAGCAATAGTTTTTTTTTGTCTCAAACAACGATATTGTTTAGCTTCATTTGATTATCAAGTCAAACACAGTGTAGTATGGAGAGGAATAAATAATCACTATTATCATTGTTGAAATGCTCACTAACTTAACATTTTCCACGTCTTGTTCCTAAAGCTGGCACTGGCGCGGTATTCGCCATTAGAGCACCTGGTCCATACACAAATATGTCACTCTGTGGTTGTATTTATATTGAAACTACAATTCGAACATCCTAGAAAACCTAACCTGCTGTTAATGCAGGTAGAATATTCTCACCACATGGATTATTTGTCAATATTTGTTGCATTGCATACATATGGCACGGCATTGGTGGTTACTTCACACGTTTATTTAAGTTAATTGTTTCGGTTGCAGAAAAAATAGCATGTTTCATTCGGATCAAAAGTGACTTTGTTAGACTCGCAAATTTTGCTTTCGCTCGGCTTCGATAAAACAATCTACTATTTCTGCGACCGACACAAAAGTCGTCCATTTTAATACCAAAATTAGCTCTTGAATTGACGTATCTGTTACTGATACAAAAATAGGAATGTTGCTAGGCAACACATTTAGTTCCTAGGAGCTAAAAGTTGACCTTTAGTTCCTATGAGCTTAAGTTGAACTTGAGATCCTAGGAACTAAAAAGGATGTGCTAAAGGTCATCAAGAATAAACAACATTGTTATGGTTGGTTATTTGGGTTGGGACGAATACCTGATTTTTTTCCGATTTCGATAGATTTGGCATTTCAAGTCGTCCATTTTAATACCAAAATTAGCTCTTGAATTGACGTTTCTATTACTGACACAAAAATAGGAATGTTACTAGGCAACACATTTAGTTCCTAGGAGCAAAAGTTGACCTTTAGTTCCTAGGGACTAAAGTTGAACTTGAGGTCCTAGGAACTAAAAAGGATGTGCTAATTTTTTTTCGATTTCGACAGATTTGGAATTTCATACCCATGCTGGAGATATAAATACTCCTTAGTATAGTCTTTGAGTATTCACACTATGTCTCCTGAAAAATGTACTGTGGAGGCATTTACTGTTGAGAAAAAGTTCTGACAACATTATTTTCTAGAGTAAAAGTTTGTTTTGGTCGAGTTAGATTGTGTTGTTTTTAAAAATAGTCTCTTTCCACTTCCATGTGAATTCATAAAAATGCTATTTTCTTCTTTTTGAGTTACCCTCAAGATCATTGAAGTACTTTCTTCCTCAAGTTGAAGAAAATCAGCACAGTCCGGCAACATTAATATTACTGACACGGGATTACGCGACGTCCCCACACTCCCCACCACTATTTTATGACGCAGACTCCGCACAAGGAGAGTTCTAGAGAGGTTCTAGATCCTTGGACTCCGCAGACGCAAGTTGGCAATGAGGATTGATGACGAATGAAATATGATTACAGTGTTGCCTCAGGCATATGTTTTTTCGAGCAAGATATCAACCAAATATCAACTCAAAGCTGTTTCCATCCTTCACTTTCCGTCCTTATAGATTCAAAAAGTACCTCTCATTTTGGTACCATTTTTGTTGAGATATTGTATAGGCGATGGGCCATATGAAGAAATAGTACCTATATGATCTAAGAGTATATGGTCGTCAATGAATAAATGAATTCTTGATGGTCGTTGATGTCCTCACGGCCTCGGTTCTAAACCATATATCTACTACTCATATAAGGCCTGTTCGTTTGTATTGCTAAACTGGCTGAAGTTGATCTTTTTCCCATAGTTGTCTCTGTTCATGCCATGATGTAAACAAAGAGAGTCATAGAAAAAAATCAAGTTTAGCAGGTTGAGCAAGCCAAAGCGGGACCAACTTGTGTGGGTAACGAAATCGGCCAATAGGCGTTGGTGCCGACGTAGGGAAAAAATAATACGAAACTTGTCACACCAATTAATCATTCCAGAATTACGTCATTTGACAGGTTGCTGAGGGGCAAACATTGTGTTTTGTCAAGATTTGTCATATAAAACCAGAATTAGTGGGATCGTTTTCCTTGGAATCCGAGTTGGAACCAGAAAGAATTTCATAATTTTGTTTGGTGAAACTGTTATTATATTGTGGATGTGGCAGGGACGGCCAGGGCAATGCTCATCGAAGGTAACTTAACAGATAGTTTGTGTGCCCCTCAAGAAACCATGTCAAAATCACGTGTTCTAGAATGATCAATATGGTTGTCTCCATCCTTAACTTTCCGTCCTTATAGATTCAAAAATAGGCGATGCGCCATATATAGAAATAGTAGATATATAGTCTAAAATGGTCTAAACCATAGACAAACCTTTCTCTATGGTCTAAACTCAGTGGTCTAAACATAGAATCATCAACTTCAAACTTCAACCTGTGCTTCAACTCAAAAGCTCAAAAGCAAAACTCAAACTGCTCTTCAAAACAAACCTCAGGAATTCAGGTAAAATAATTTCACATTTCAAATTCATTTGATTATTCAGTGAACCCTGAACCTGAAGCACTTGGTGAATGTGTTTGGTTTGTAGTTAAATTATAAATTTAAATTTTCAATTTTTCAGCTTATTTTCTGCATCATCAACCAAGGTCAACAAATTTGTTTACGTAGGTAGATAAAGTTGTTTACAATATTTCACGTTAACGTACGTTCATGGAATGAGCACTTTTGATCCAAACCACCTTCGATTAAGTTTCTGATAATTGTGATAAGTCCTCTTGAAAAATGTCTAGCCCATCTGACTCCGAGCTGAAAGCTGGACATCCACCAGCCGGTAAGAACTATTTATCTTTCAACTCTACTTTTTTAATTACCCTATCAATAAATTGGCACATTATTGTTCCTGGATCTAAGATGTTCCATATGCTGTAGTTTAAAATAGAATATCCTGTGAAGCCCAATTCGGAATTCTAATACTAATTAGGTAGGTAGGATATTGATATCTACATCATGGGTACCTACCCTGCACTAGTCTATCAACTAATTGGGGATTATAAAAGCTTTTCAGTGTTCTAAAGTTTAATAATTCAATTTCATGTATTGCCTTATAGCAACCAGTCTGAGAAAAGATTTGTTGAATCATTTCCTAAGAAGATGTGGTATACAATAAATAAGTGTTTTTAAATACATTTTCATGATTTTTATTTAGATTGATGCTAGGTAGGCATGCCAAATCAATAAAAACCATTCCCCTGATTTTCTACAAAAAGTTTCATCCACTTAAGATTCTTCCTGTAACCACATATTATACATCATCAGTATGGCATCAGTACTTGAAATTGAAAAAAATATATTTTTTCAAAATTGTTGACACATCATTCAGTATAATAGTAGGTATTTCATACATAAAATATTCCCAAAAGAATTCTGGTAACCTACAGACAGTATTCAAAATACTTTTTCCTTGCTTTTCTTATTGCAACAAAATGAGAACATCTAACTGAATAATATATGATATAGATATGATAGTTTTCCTCTTCCACTTTAAAAAACTTCACCAGAGTAGGATGATGTTTGGGAACCCAACTTTTGTTTTTCAACATTTCACTAATCAAAATTTAAAATGTTAGTGATTTCAACCAATAGCATCTGTGATGAAATCTTGTTTACCTCGAACTGTCAAAATTAATTGAGTACCTATGATTTTCTTCACTGACCCTTGTGAATGATTACTGAAGATTGTGTAACAATATAATAACAATTATTATCAGTTTTTTGAGAAAACAACACAATCTCATTATGTTTCCTTATAAACTTCCAAAGATTGTATGATATAGGACATAAGTGCATCTGGCACATCACATCACCTTTAGATCAGCAAATTTAATTTTACTTGTAAAATATGCAAGTGATAAAGTACTTGAATTGTTTTTTAAATCAGTGAAAGAAATCATGTCTCCAAATACAACTCATACTTCAAATTTTATCACTTGATCTTTTATTTTCATCATTCAAACTTCTTTATTGGAGGCAAAACTATTGAAACAAACTAATATTTATATAATTATATACATTTAAACATCCATTAGGATGAGTAATTTTTTTCATTGGGTTTGTAATTTTGGTCAAGAGTTCTCCTCATTTATAACAGTTATTTATATATCAAGGGAGCAAAGATATCAATTTCCTCCCAATATATATTTATATATGATTTTATCCACAAATGCATAATATAGTCTCCCGTGGGAGTTGATAAAGAAGTTGTCTTGGAAAATAAAAATTGATTGATAACATTTGACGGAGTCCTGGTAGGTGGTATTTAGTACCCTTTTATTGATATTTCCTAAAGTTCATCATCTGAATCTAAGTCTAATTCACTATTCTCTCATTTAGTAAAAGCTGGAGGTATGAGGATTACTCAGCATAAAACAAGAAAAGATTCTGGTGGAATATCCGAGGATGTGACTGGTATCACTGTGTCGGGAAGCCCACCTAAAACGACCACAATATCTGGTGCTATTCCTAAGGGAAATGCAGATTTTCCAGCTGAGGCAGTTCAGAGTTTTCATAAAGATAAACCTCCAGCAACGCACGCTAATAAACCATTGCTAAACATTCAACAACCAAGAAAGTGAATGTTTCTTTTTTATAACTATTATATGGGGCCTCTCATAAATAATGGGTTTTTTCTAGCTTGTTAGTATTTTCAAAAGTGTCTCGTTTCAAATTCATTTTTCATTTTATAATTTTTATTCTCCAGTTAGATATCTGACTGGAAATGATGAAAATTATTTTTTATTCAAGTTATCAGTTTTGAGAGATCAGAGTATTTCTTGTGACTTATTGATGTATTCATATATTTTATGAAGAGGTTATATATAGAAAGTAGTTGAGTTATATAAATAAGTAAGCACTTTTATCTGGATTTCTAATAAAGTATATTTACTGAACATTTTATTAGTTTTCATTATTCAATTTTGTTTTATTCCAACATAATTTCTTTTTATCATTAATTTCCTTCTTTGTCATTGGTTTGAGACATGCAGCTGCCACAATTTCCCTAAAAATTGATCACTTTTGTGTATAAGGAAAAGGACGTTGATGGATGGTAGTTTCTCTCACCTGAATTCATCATAATTTTTTGAAGTGACAACTGCTCGTATCTTTGCATCATTCTGTATCCAATACATTTTATCTTTCTCCAGAGAAGATTGTAGTTGTTTGTAGAGATTCGAAGTATCTTTATTTGACATGAATGACTTGTGTAATCTAGTAAAATCAAGACAGAATTTCAATCTGGAGATGTTTAATCAATCAACTATGGGTGGTACCTGGTAACCAGCTGGTAACTATGACAACAACTATATCAAATGTTACGGGATATTCTTTAGTATGTCCATATTGAGTGAGGTAATTCTTTGGTCATAATAAACTGCTCAACACATGAAACGTAAAATCGCTTTTTTTTCAAACAAATTTGAATCATCATAACTTTCGATTTCCTCAACCGATTTTCAATTATTTTTCAGTTTCTGAAAGCTCGTTTCATTGACTATCGAACCTATGGATATGACTATTTCATCTTTTCCGGATCAGATTCTACAGGATGATAATCAAAGCTGTGCATTTTTCCAAAAATTTCAAATGCCTCCCGTTTGAAAGTTTTCATTTTTTTGGGGTCAAAAATATGTTGCTTCATATGTTTTGTCGATACTGTAAAAAAATATTTGGAATTTGTCACACGCGTTACTGAAATATGAATGTTTTATTAAGATAATTCATAATTTGATGCTGGCTTATTTCTATTGGCTTTGTGTTCCTGTCAATCTGGTTCGAACGGTGGTCAAAATCTTGAAATGATGCATTATCAACCCATTCTTATATACAGGGTGGTCCTCAAACAACAATTATGACATCAAGTGATAAAAAAAATCTTGTTTTTTTTTTATGATCATGTATAAACTATTACAATGACGAAATTTGTCCTGGTCTGTGAATTAGAAATTTTCAGAATAAACATCAAAATTTTTCTGTATTTTGAAAACGGCTCACCCAATTAACTAATTTTTTGTCCTGGGGAGGGTTGAGTTAAACTCAATATCCTCAACTATATCATATAAAGGAAAAGAAAAGGAACTGATAATATCTGCAAATGTTCCTGAACATGGGATTGAACAAAATCCATTTTCAGCCAAATTTGTTTTTTTGAATTGAATACATATCATCAAATTTTATATCACAGAAACGGACCTATAAATTGTGGCATTACAATAATTAACTAGACTACTAGAGTATTCAGATTTGTTATCAAGTGGTTCTCTCTGTCTCTAAAATTTATGAATAATAAATGTTTGTTAAAAGATGAATACCTAATTTCAGGGAGGTGGCAGCTTTCACACTATATGTTATTTTTGTACAAATATATTTAAAACTTAACAAAAAACACAATAAAGAATACTTATACTACATTCTATCTAATCTTCCCTCCAAGTTCAGTAATAACAGTTTCAATACTTTTATTAATAACATTCACTTCAGCTTGAGTCAGGGTTCTCTCCATATGCCTATAAGTAATTCTATAACAGTGGCTCACTTTCTGAGTTGTGGGATGTGTAAAAGTGTCTATCAATTGAACTTGTTCAATCAGATCACCACCAAGACTCCTTGCCAGATCATAGAAATCATTACAGGAAAACTGTGAATTGGGAAGCCAAAAACTGATATCATTGACACATTGAGGATACTGACTAATTGGAACATAGATGATATTCTTGTTAACATCCTCAGTATTGAATTGGTTCAAAAACCCAGAATCTTTGGACCAAAAGAGACGAATATCTGGAATTTTATATAGACACATTGCTATCCTTTCTAATCCCAATCCAAAAGCCCAACCAATTTTATCAGTCACTCCAACATTGCTCAATATTTTTTGGTGCATTATACCACACCCCAACAATTCCATCCAATCATTATCATGAAAAATTTCTAGTTCCCAAGAGGGTAGAGTGAAAGGAAAGTATGCATCTACCCATTGATATTTGACATCTTCCCCAAACAAACACTTTGCAAGTTCAACCAGAGTACCCTTCAATTCATATTCCATCAACTTGACTGCCTCCAAAGTATGATGACTCTGTTTTTCTTGATCACCTGTGAAGGATGTGTTGTTTCCTTCTTCAAAAATGTGCAAGTTTTCATTATTGATGAATATTTCTTCCCTTGTTTTCAATCTCACTACATCTACTTGGTGAAACACTGGGTAATGTGTTCTGTCAATTTCATCTCTACGATAAACATCCCCAATCATAAGAAAATTATTCAAGCCAGCTTGAATCAACTCACTTTGGTGTGCAGTCATGTGTGCTCTCAACAAATATTGCTTGTTCACATAGTAACAGTCACTTTTATTTCTGGAGGGATGATTATCTGCAATAAGTAAACTATCAAAGTTCTGATAAGTACTCACAACAGGTGTCAGGTTTTCATGAACAGAGAATACAGGATTTCCTCTTCGATTAACAAAAGATTTATAGAAGAAGTTGATGATTCTCTGTTTCACCAAATTGAGAGGATGATGTGGTTTCAGATATATGTTCTTGCCTAGATGACTACATATTTTATCGGTTATATTAGTGTGAGCATCCTTTTTGTACCTCTGAGTAAATAGTCTCAATTCATTAGTTTCCAATTGTACCTGGGAATAATATTTCTTTGGTAGATATAAACAATAATGTTTTTGCATTGGTACCAAAACTATATTTTTAATTCTGTAAGCCATTAGCTTATGTCAAAATCTCTGATGAACTGTTTCTACTGTAACAAATGTTAAATTCATGTTAAATTGATATTTGTTGATAGCAAAATGAGAAAGAACTAAAAAATCCTCTTTCCATAGCATAACCACACTTAATGTTTTGTTTTGGTTGTAAATGTCAAATTGAATAGGTCGCGTGCAAGAACTGTCAGATGACCGACCCTGGAGGCAAAACATATTTGTTTACAAGTGATCGAAATAGTTTTCCACAATTATTTTGGCATATGAATTGTATTTTTCCGCTATTCATCAATTCGCTAATGCCTCACATTGTGCTGTTGTAAAATGCACAAAAACTGCAGCAAAAGATGAAGAAATCCGGATGGTACATTATGATTCAAAAGTAAGTACCTACTATAGTCACTCATAGTTTTCATTTTTGAAATTTGGTTATTTCTCTGATTTCTCATCGGAATTCCTTCTGCAATAGGATCAGCTAATAGAAATATACCTGAAATTTCTAGAATAATGCAAGAAGATTGGATTCATGCAATCAATCGGTAGGACTGGTCTGACATGCTGACGATCGTGTGTGTTGTAGACATTTTCAATCTATTAGCAGCATTAGCTTGAATTGCAGAAGTGGCAGAAGGCAGGAGGAATTTTAATAAGGAATGACAACATTTCATAATGCTAACTATATGAGATTACTATTTACCTGAAAAATCATATTCCCTAGTCTCTTGCTGCATTTTTTGTGCATTGTACAACAGCACAATGCGAAGGCATGCTTGAATTAATGAATAACGCAAGAAACACGATTCGTATGCCAAAATATTGTGAAAAACTATTTCAACCTTTTGATTCCTCTGTAACCAAATGAAAAAGTGAGGTTGTGTTTCAATAATTCACAGAAGAATGAGGTTGTGTTTCAATAATTCACAGAAGAATGAGGTTGTGTTTCGATATTTTGCCTCCAGGGTCGGTCTTCGTGCACGCGACCTATTCACCATTAATCACTAGCAAAGAAAACATTTTACCACTAGCGTCTTTACTGGGACAAGCCCATAAGCCCATAATACAGGGTGTTGCAGTTGCGTAATTCTCAAGTCCTTGTAGCCATCTTAGGTATATCATAGATCTAAATACACACTATAAACTTGAGGAAGATATTTGATGCTGAATGAATATGAATCGGGATGAGGGATAACATTTTCAGTCTCACAGGTTGGCGTTACAAAAAAAGACGTAGTGAACAAAAAGAAAGATTCGATTTTACGACCAATATTATTCTTACATTGCCGGAGAAGATATCGTAGGAAGAGGCCGATTTACACGAAAAGAAGAAGTTTATTCATCAGTATTTACCATATATGTACTATTTCTATATATATGGCTCATCGCCTATATATCTCAACAAAAATGGGACCAAAATGAGAGGTACTTTCTGAATCTATAAGGACGGAAAGTGAAGGATGGAAAAGGACCCCGCACCGCTTGGGGCCCGGTGACCCATAAGAGCGGTGTGGGGTCCTTTGAAATAAGTGGCCAGGGTGGCCAGTCGTATTATTTTTTCCCTACGTCGGCATCAACGCCTATTGGTCGATTTCGTTACCTATATAGAGACCAATAGAGACATAAGTTGGTACCGCTTTGAGGACAGCGATGATTCATATATGAGTAGTAGGTATATGGTATTTACTTTGCCTTCACTTTGAGTTCATTTGTCTACTACTCCATCGTGCTGACTATATATACAGCTATCCGCGCGTCCATATATGCTTCGAACATGTTTCAAAACAAATTGTCTGATAAACGATTGGATTTTTCTTTTAGGCTCTCTGATAGAAACATATTTTAAACGCAGTGACATTATTTGGAGTTAGTTCTACCAACTCTACTCACGTTTCAGTGGCGTGATTTGGTGGACAATAAATAATGTTAGCCCTCATTGACTTTGGATAAACCGGAGGGATTAACTATACCCAATGTTGAAAGGCTATATAACCTTGTCTTTCAATGACACCCTTTATATTTGCTCATAAGAATTGAATAGAGTAGGTCTATAACATTTTGAAAACTGCTTCAAGCTCATTTTGTGCTCGCAACATGAACAAAAGTTTGATCAAAATAGTACCATCTTCAGTATATTTCAGTTAAAAATAAAGCGTGTGGTAAGAGAGTTCTTATCTGACCTCTTTTTCTTTTGCCTGGACGCCAGACTACTAACGGTTAACAATAGTGATATTCGACCGGTCGGTAATTTTGAGCGACAGACAATTCAAGGGATTTTTTGCTATACCTAGCATAGAAAATCCCGCTATACAGGATGATCCACGGTGGATTTGTATTTGACATCATCACTAGTATACCGGGTGTAACAGGATCATGGTACACCAAACTATTTTCTCCAACTCAATTTGGTGATAAATCAAGAAATTTGACGTATTTGACAAGATTCAATTTTTTTCATCATCACTTATGTCGATATGAGTGCATCAGACTAAATCAGAATAGTCATGGCACACTCAAATGAAAAATCAAAAATTAAATCAAAATCGATAATGAAGTTTGAAATGTCACTTATAAGGTATCGTTGGATTCAGAAAATAATGCAGAATTTGAAAATGCAATGATATATAGGGTATTGCGTTTGAAAATCAGAAGTTATCATCATTTTCGGTGAAACCGGAAGTGACAAATGAAACTTATTTATGTGGAAACATGACGTTTATCAAGTTAATTGGTCATTCCAAATCACAATCACTTATCTCCGAAAATAAAGGAGAAATAGGGGGTGTACCATGATCATGTTACACCTGGTATATGGTGTAACGTTGTAACTCATCCATCCATGCAATCTACTTTATTCTTATATGGAATATACAATAGGTTGATCACTTCCCTCATTGGCCTATATCATACTCATACTACAGACACCTCATATATTGATGGGGAATTGGAATTGAACGAGATGCGTTCAAAGGAAAAAATGAATAGATTGCATTTTCGAGGTGCGGTATAATCACTTCAATGGTCGTCTTAATGATAGATTTATTACCAGTCAGATTTCAATTTATTCACATTACACAATTTCAATTATCGAATTATGAAATATTGTTCAACAATATATAAAATTATTTTGATAAATAACTGTACAACTTAAAAAGACAAATCAATTATTATATTATGTCAAACTCCAGATTTTCGCATGATTCAATAAAAAAACCTGAATTATAATTTGATTAGAACTTCAAATTAGCAGTACTCCCTTTTCACCAGAATATTCGGCAGCCTTTCCCGATTTTTGGAATATTTTTTACAATTTACATTTCCTGGATAAAGTTTATTCATTTCACTCTTGACTACTTGGTGTGCGGGATAGTCGTCGTCACTCAACTCGTCACTCGATTCCAAAGCACCCCTCACCACCCTATACTGTGCATTTATATTCTGGGAGGAGTCTGATGTGGTGAATGCATACTTAGAACATGAGGGAGCATTCGTGGAACTCGAAGATTTATCTCTGTGCCAACTGTAATCGATGGGCTCACTGTCATTTTCCTCGGTTTTGAACAAACCATTTTCCACACCCAATGAATCGGAGGTATACCTCGAGGAAGTGGGTAAAGCATTCGCACCCGGTGATTCACCTTCTGATCCCACATCAGAGGTTTCTTTGGTTGGTTTCGGCAGAAGATTCATTTTCACATGTTTGGAAGATTTGTACAAATTGGCAGCAGGCTTGTTACTTTTTTTGAGTTGCTTCTTTTTACGGATGAGTGCTGAAATTGGTATATCAGAGTCGGAGGAAGTGTCTACTCTCAACTCATTGTCAGATATTTTGGGTAACAATTTCTTAAGTTTCTTCATTTTTCTTCGCCTTTTATACCTGAAATTGGAATGTTATGAATCGTTAAACACGAGATAGGTTATGATTGGAATTAATTTAATTATTTATTTATTTAATAAACGGATTCACCTTTACAATAGAAATTAATTATATATAATCAAGATGGCATAAGGACAATAACATCGCAGCATCAACCAATGAAATTCAACAATAAAATAAATTTAACTACATCTTGTTGTTGAAACTATTTCCTATTTACAGCCATTAGGTTGAAAAATTACATTCTGCCCAGAGAGTGAAAAAAAAGGGAAAAGAGAAAAAAAAAGTATCAACTAAATTAATGGTGACTGATTAACCTAGGATCAATTTTACAAATTCTATTTTTAAATATGGCTAAAGACTGAACGAACAGGTCAATATTAAATGCATTGAAATTACGCCGCAAAATGCGGGAAAAAGGGCTGAAGAACCCATAGTTGGTTCTATGATTATTTATAGCAAATAATTTTGTATTTCTAGTAAAATATGAGGGAACATTGAAGTTAATCCTATTGAGAAGTTCATAGCAATCAATTTCACCTGAGATAATCTCAAACATAGTATAACTACCTAGCCTGAATCGACGGACACATTAGTTAGGTTGAGCGTATCAAGAGTATCCGAATAATTGAAATGATGGTAATTTCCCATTTTGTAGGAAATGTGTTTGGCGAATCTAACTTGGGCTTGTTCAATTAGTGTGATATCACATGCATAGTATGGTGACCAAATCGTACAGCCATAGTCGAATAAGGAACGTACAAGGAAGCAGTCCAAAATATACAATGTGTTGCATGAAAAATTATTTGTATTACGTGATAGAAAACCTACCATTCTATTGGCGGATGCTGATACTTTCAGTAGATGGCTCTTGAAGGTGAGACGTTTATCAAAGATGATAGCAAGATCTTTAATCTTGGTTATTTTTTTTTTAAGAATCTATTGTCAATATTGTAATTATACAGGGTGATTCAAAAATTCAAACAGATATTTAGGTGCATACAACAAGTATTTTTGTAACAAATTATGTTCCAAAGTATTGTTGAAAATTAATGGACATTATAACTTGATTTGAGGTCGTCATTCAAAACCAATTTTAATTATGGTGGTTGTTGATGTTGCTATGCTAACCATTGTATTTCGTACCAATTTCCCATAGATAAAACAACATATTTGTCATATCAAAGCCCAGTTAATCACACTTGTCTCAGCTCTATCACAAAGGACATGGATCAAAGAACTTTGTTTCACTTCACGTTCTACCAACGTGATAAAATTGAAGCATCCTAGGCATCATCACAAACGAGACCAATCAAAGAATATTGTTCAATCACAATGTTCTTAACCTAATGCAACTTGCATCTATGAGGCCTGATTGTTAAGGAATCAAAGATATTATCAATCAAACCAACTATTCCCAGGTGTCATCAGGAGACAGAATTTTGTTTCAACACAAACTTTTATAGCATTTTTTTTTTCATCCATATTTCATCAATGTGTACAACCAAGACCCAGCCCACAACATAAGTAATTTCTAATTTCATGCTACAATGTCTCTCCACGTAAACCCTTTACAGATTGTTCATTAAATTGACAAAGCCCATGGCAATGGGCGAAACGTTTTTACTACTCTATGACTTGTAATTACTTACAAAACATTAATACCTGAATCCAAACCCCAAGAAGGAGCCGTTAATCAAAAACATAAGTAAGGTTAGTGAGTGGAATTCTTCCTATTCAAATAGGTAGACTATGCAAATGACTGTTGAGGTGAAGTAATGAAATCGATGTGTAATTACAATGAGTAATTGATGTCATAATCAAGGCTATAGTATCTTAGCCTGTGATTCCCGACCATACCTCTGATATAACATTGTTTTTAAACAGATTTATGGAGTGTCCAGTTATATTTTTCCCAGAACGTTTCATATTCAACAGACGGTTGCAAATGTAAAAACTTCACAAACGATAAGATTTCCACAAAATTCTTAAACACACAACATGTTTCGCTAACACAGTGGCTTCGTCAGGTGATATACTGGTACAATTTTGTGTTTGAGAATTTTGTTGAAATCTTATCGTTTGTGAAGTTTTTACATTTGCCATGGATTTCCATCAAGTAACGGCCGAGTCAATTCAAAATTAGACGGTTGCAAGGAGATCATGTTTAAACCCAGTATGGCAAGTCTGAGATAAGTCTGAAACTTCATTTGATGCGGACATTAAACTATGCTAGACTCTATTCGCGAGATTCACGAAGTGGGCAACATCTAGGTTACATAATACGAACTTCAAACTGGGGGAAAACAAACTGTTGTCTTGCTTGCTGTAGCTGTAGTCAAACTTGTCAATGACATAAAGGTTGGCACTGTTGGTAGTGATGATGGTTGAGTTGGTTAATTTTTTCACATTATAACATTTTTATTAGTTTAGTGAACAGTGAACGGGTGAAGAATTGGAGATAGTTCAAACAATTCAAACTAATATGACGACCAAATCAATTGACATATAAAAGAGCAGCTACAACATGTTTACAATACCCAGAGTATCCTGCTTTGCATGAACAAATACAAATCCATTGTTCTACAGGAGTTCGTCTGGAAACCAACTTCAATTTTACTTCATGTGGGGAAGATTTCATCGCCGAAGTTTGTAGACAAAGTGCAAAAAATGTGCCTTTTGTTGAAGTCTTCTGCCTCACACAAAATCACATGATTAGCACAGAGAACTGCTTCTCCTTCCACTACTGGTCGGCTTTTTCCGTCTAAATAGAGCAAGATATCTGCCAAAAGTACATCTACAATTATTATTAGCGTTTTCGATCGAATATTGACAATTAATGACAAGAAATTTAAAAACTTATCACTCTTATCAGTACACAGTACACAAGCTAATGAAACTAATGGGATTGAGTGAGGATTGAGTTTGTTTTCCCCCAGTTTTGACGTGGCTTAGACATGGAACGATGAAAACCGAGCGCCACCTGGTAACATTGATTCCCGCGAATAGGGCATCTCTGTGATAAAACAAAGAACATTTGAAATGCAGCAGTGGTAGAGCTGCAGAATCAAATGTGATAAGACATCTAATAAGTTTCACGTGAGCCTGTGATTTCATTTGAGGAGAACATTCAACAATGCCATATATCTGATTTTTTAAAACCTGCTGGGCTGCACGGAAGGGAATCCATATAATGTTCAGAAAACATCGTGCATGTCTGATTGGAACATCTTCGTGATAAAACATGGCCCATTTGAAATCAAGTAGTGATAAAATTAGTGATGTGATTGAACAGGTGATGAGTTTCAAGTGAGCCTGTGATTTGTATTTATTGCAAATTACTACTAGATGAAATACCTTTTATATGAATCTTCAGAACTGTCACTAGAACTTTCACTAGGACAGCTAAAGCTTGATGAAGTTGACGATCTTGATCTGTGATGTCGGGACCTCTTCTTTCGCTTTTTTTCTTTCTTTTTTTCCCTTGACTGCCTCTTGTGTTTGAGTCTAAGTTTCAAAGGTAAAATTGGAGCACGAGGTGCGGGTTCTGGTTCTGAATTATCCTCTGCTAAAGGAATAGGCACTGGGTTCTCTTGAGACACCAATATAGGCTCATCAGAGTCCGTATTAACTAGATCTATGACAACTGGTTCCTCAGGGTTGGTGCTTCCCACAATTATCACATCGCTATCATTTTCATCATCAGAAATTTCATCTGTAATATCGAAACAGTTTTGAAAAAACTTAACAAACTATATGATTCTTGCAAAATTCGAGAGACCAAACTACAATGATCTTTGAAAAAACGGCTACAAAAAATTAGCCCCCAACTTTGAATGATGACATAGGTATACAAGATCACATACATGATTCATGAGAGTCAATGCAGAGTTACATAATACCTTTTGTCAATTAAAGAAGAAGCATTTGTTTGTGAAGTTCTTTCAGTAAGGGCTAGTCAATTATTAATACATATATATTTTCTACTGTCATCTTAATCAAACTATTTGAAGAGGAAAATAATAACAAATTAATCAAGATTTGTGCCTCATACAGACTGAATGACAAAAAAAGCTCCAAGCCATAGTGCCATGTTATTTAACAAGAAAATTAAATGACCCGAAACTAGGAGGAGGCACTATTTTTTTTTCAATTACAACTGTAACATCAGCTACTGTTTTGTTTTTAAATGGTAAGATATATTTCTTCCATGTCTGCATTATCAGGTATCTGTTGACTTCTGCACATAATTAGTAAGGAAAATTTAAGAGAAAACATTAGTTGCGTCAACAAGGCGGTATGAGCGAAGGTGAACTTGTTATACATCACTGAATTTCAAGAAAAATCAAACATTTTGAAAAAAATGAATATTGATATTAAAAAAAATTGAAAAAATATTATTAGTCGAACAATGCATATCGGCACTATAGCTTGGGGTATTTTATTTAATGATATAAAACTGCTCAAAAATGTTTCATCAAAATGCTAGACAAATGTTGAAGTGACCTGTAACTGAAAGTCACAAAGAGGTAAGAAACACAAATTCACCCAAAACAGGATAGCCATACTACCACATTTCTGAAAAATATCCACTACAAATCTAAAAATTGAAATTTTACAAGTACAAAATGAGAAAAACTGTGAGGAAAAACGATAAAAAAACTGCAATTTTCCATATTTGGACTCGTTTTCCTAGGAATGTATTTTTTTCAGTTTCCTACGTTACCACGCCACCATGTGCGAAACAGTGAGCGAAGTAAAACGATGCGAGATGTACATACTTCGCGCATTGTATGTAAACTATATGAGAGTTTTCTATTTAATTTTTATGGACCTCAATCAAGCAAACATACAAGAAATCATTCATTTTTGAATGTATAACAATAATTAGGGCCTTTTAGCCAGTTCAACACTATTTTTTAAATTAAGCTAAGAATATTACAACTTTAATTAGTACTATATTTTTTGAAGTTTGTAGAAAAAATGTTGTTTGCAACTCATGCGCGGAATATTTTGGTCATCTCGACTATTTATTCAACTCGGCAGCGCCCCGTTAGAAAAATCAGTTTCCGATTACCAAAGCAGCATTTCGCGCACTAGATACAAAAATTACTATTAAATTGTCATTCCAAAACATATTTTCACATTTTTTGTATCGTTTTTACTCTCCCTATAATACAGCTGAGCCATCGAGCTTCGCTCACTCCGAACATATCACAACTCACCTTGTAAAGTCACAACATGTGGAAGTGGAGACTGAGGCCTCTCTGAATATATCACATTACGATCATATCCTATCATATCGAACGGGGACCTCATGAAATTATAAAACTCGTGGATGAAATGGTCCGTTTTATTGTCAAGATAATCGAAGAGCAAATTTCGAAAAGTCCGACTACATATGTGATTGCGAAGCAAGTGATCCATGATGACGTCCACTAATCTCATCACCAATTGGGTGTTCTCATACAGCAAAGCATTCAGCTCCCTGTTGAGCCAAGGTACTAGTCTTGTACGGGCACCAGGGCAATCCCTGTGTATTTCAAAAAGATGTGAGAGCGTGCACAGGGTGGGCAAAGATCATACACACACTAGATAGTCAACGCCTGTGTAAAAATTGGCAACGCTATGATGGGATCTAACAGACCGGCGGCTAATCGGCTGTGCTATTCGTTGACCAAATATTATTATCCGAGTCGGTGGAATACGCGGCGTTATAATGAATAGATGCGCACAGCGGATTATCACCGCTCTGTTCGTTCCCAACTTAGCGTTGCCCATTCTTACATTTACGGTGCTTATCTAGTGGGTAAGCAAATCATTACGTTCGTAATGAGTAACGCGGTAACTATAGAAGATACCTTAGACTAAATAACAATAGATATATACCGCCAACAATCCTTAATGCCAAATACGGGTAAATGAATGAAATTTCGAATGGTGGGGATAACTCTGCGGAATCATTGCCAGATAATTGATATTTTTCTTAGATACATTTCATGCAAGTTTATGTGCATTAATAAACTCTCACCTATTGTAATATAATAATACGTCATTTTGTAACGCCCAAGCGAGGTTACTTGATATATTAAACATCATAAACACGCTTTTCATCAACAAAAACAAGCCCCCAAACAACACCGCCACTACACCAAATTTCTATTTCTGTAAGACAAGTGCAAGAATATTTCTGATTATCTATTCAATCAAAATATTGAAAAAAGTTCGTCTCCTCAGAAGGTGCTTGCCCTAGACCATAGTGAATTTTCTGGACTGAATACTTACTGCAGATAACAGAGACCTCAACACACAACTGATAAATCAGATAATAAGAGGATTATCTTTGAATATTCGCATCTTGACTAAATGAAACAAGGATTTGAAGATGCAAAAGTGACGATATTGACGTTAGGAAGTTAGGTTGACAATGTATTCCATCTGCTTCTTCTCTTCTTGTATTTCTGGGGATATTTTTATTGGTACTGAAGCATCATCCAAGTATACACTGCAAAATAAGTTGGGTTTGTTCTGTAAAAAATGTCGTAACGGCATCCGTTTTAAAGATATAAGGTGTTGAAAAAATGATTTTTCTACATATTTTTCAGGATTACGTCGAAACTACTGGCAACATTGTGATGAAATTTTGTATTGATGTTTTTTGGAATCTGACACCTGGCATGAATTTGTTTTTCTTCCATCCATCAATCTGTTTCGGCGTTTTGACCGAAAATTTGGCGACTCGTTCATTAGGCGAAGTTTCCGGATCCCGAAGCTACAGTGTGTGCTACAGGTTTACGAGAAATTATATGTGAAATTTATTGATCAACGACTCAAGACTGTCAAAAATGACACCCGCCTACTGGGAATAAATATAAAAATGTGCCATAAGTTTTTTTTTATTCTTGAGAATATTCGAGAAAAAATAATGAAACGTATTTTTTTATAATTATCGTTCCAGGATCGAATTCAGAAACATTATTAGTAAAAATAGTTTCGGCTCCTTCACCATTCGGATGACTGAAACTGCGCATACAACTTTAACGTTTTGATTTATAAGATGCGGCAATATTCAGTAATTCAAAAATAAGAGAAGTACTTCTGATAGGAACAGAAATTCGCTCATAAAAATAATTATCAACCATACCAACCAGCGCATAGTTTGACAGTCAGACTAAATAACAATAGGTGGACACGCGATTAATCATTAATGGTGGGGATAAAAATGCAGAATCATATTTAAGATATACTCAATATATGTGTGTATAAATTAGCTTGCATGCCATTTGTGTATTTGGCAGCAATTCCACAGAGATCCTGAAAATGTCTTTGGCAGTGGAAAAAAGCAAAATAAATCTCTTTTAACTTTGACAGATATATCAACATTGAACGTGCATTGAACACAAACACGTTACTGGTGTTCGACTATCGATAATTTGTATCGATAGTTCAAAATAATCCATAGTGTTGGAACTCAAACTCATGGATTAGATTAGGTGAAGTAAAAAATAATTTCCACAGATTCATTTAGGTTATACTTCCTGACTACCAGCAACAGCTGTCACTTTCAATGCTGTTGTTGCTGTTACTGTCATTTTCATATCGGGCATATTGAGCGATAGTTTATCGATTGTATAGATAGTTTTTCAGCAGTACCATCAATGTGTCGTGTGAAGCGACTATCGATAGTTTTTCACCTCTGAAACAAATATTTTTGAGGTTGTGTCTTCTTTTTACTTTCCTGTTCCGAGGCTTTACTAATGTTGGTCATAAACTTGTATGTTATAGTTTACCACCCCGAGGATTATTAATTGAGGTAATTTGAAATTGATGATGATTTGAATTATTTCAATAATCATTCTAAATAGAAGAAATATATTACTTAGTAGTAATAAACATATCTGATGAAAACTTGTCCCCAGGAAACTTATCTATTCTGAAGAAGAACAACCACAATATTCACATGTGTCTAAAAAAGTAGGAAATTGGATTTTATGTTTCTAACTTGAAAACAAAAGGCAAGAGAAAATTTTTGTTTCTTCCAGTGAATTTGAACCATAAAAAGATATTAGGAATGTCGGTGCCATTTTGTAGTATCTTATATAGTTACGGGGTCGTCATATACAAACAATAACATAGCATGATTTGAAATGTTTTCACTTACTGGAAAAATGCTGGAGATATATCTCTGTAACGTCCAGTAACATCTGGAGGAGCGCTAACCCATAAGTTTCTAGTGTAAATGGATCGACGGAAACTAGTTGTAGTGGTGGTAGAATCTCGACGTCTTATTCTTTGGAATATATTTCTAGCAAAAGATAAAATCAATTGAAATATTTGTTAGTGTTAATATCATTTGTAAAGAGCGCGCCTGATTAAATGGAAACAACTTTTCGGGAATATGAAGAAATGTTGAATACAAAAGTTGTCTTCAACTGAAATTTGAGTGATGTTTTCTATATACACGGTCTTTTATATTTCTGGAAGCATTGTTGAAAAAATTGGTTTATTATAGGACAAGAATGAAACTACTTGGTCCAAATAATATTTATTATTTTTTATATTTGTAGTGCTTGCACAAAAAAAATCAAGCTTTTTCCGTTCCTAATCAATTTCTGGAGTTGGAGTGGAGTTGCCTGAACCAAATTCTCGACTGACGTGGAAGAAGCAGCAGCAAACCGAATTCTCTGATAATGGAGAGTTCATTTTGAATAATGGATATATTTGGTTGCCACTTCCACCAATCTTTGGGTTTTGTATTTTGAAGAATATCATCGTAGAACATAATCACAGTTTAAGGAATATTACATATCAGTAGAACCTCAATTATCAGTGCTCAACGGGACTGGACCCGGCACGGATAACTGAAAAGCACGGATAATCAGAACATTAGTTTTTCATACAGGGTGGTCCAAGTAGTTGTTAGAATTTATGTATAAAAAATTACGTTGTCTAAATGTACTCCATTTCTGTATTGGCACTCCTGAAGCCGATCTCTAAAATTTTCCATAAAGCGGCGGCAAGTGTCTGCAGTTATGGCATCGATTTCTTGTCGAATATTGTTCTTTAGATCTTCCAGGGCGGCGGGTCGGTTGCGGTACACTTGACTTTTGAGATATCCCCATAAAAAAAACGCAGAGCGTCAGGTCCGGGCTTCGGGGGAGGCCATTGAATGTCTCCTCTTCGAGAAATCGATTTTCCTAGAAAAAGCGTTCGAACGACGGGCAAATAGAGATTTGAAGTGTGGCAGGTGGCTCCGTCCTGTTGGAACCAAGTGTCACGAGTGTATCCGTCAAATTCTTGAAGAATGGGTCTGAAAAAGGTCTGAAGCAAGTCGAACGTTACTGCGCGGCCTTGGTGGTCTTCGAAGAAAAAAGGACCGATTATTCCGGATCCCGACATTGCAACCCAAACTGTGACCTTTGGGCTATGCAGAAGCCTTTGATGTTTTATTAGGATGTTGAGTATTGACATGGCCATTCAGGTGGAAATGAGCCTCATCGGAGAATAAGATGTTGTCGACTTCTGGAAATCAATTCATTATTTCGTTAGCGAATAAAAGTCTATCAGCAGGGTCCCTCGGCTTCAATTCTTGCACTAACTGAATCTTATACGGGTGCATGTGTAAATCTTTGTGAAGAATGCGAAGCACTGACGATCTCGAGACATTTAATGCTGCTGCTCGCTTTCGTGTCCATAAGTTTGGTTGTTCGCGCACAGATACCTAATGCTTTCAATGTTTTCAGCGATTCTCGCTGACCTTCGACGACCAGGGACGCCTTTATTCAACGTTGATCCAGTTTCCTCAAACTTGCGAACTCATTTCGTTATCAACGGAAGGCTTGGACACTGCTGAACATCATGCAAATTGAAATGTTGTCGAAATCTACGGCGAGCAATAGTAGCAGAGTTGTTGTTGCGGTAAAACTCGCGTACACAAAACGAGGGCTCCTCTCCCGTGTAGCGCTGCATGGTGACTAAATTTCCCTGAGCCAAACTATCGTTTAAGACCGACCGCATCACAATACCCTTCCTACAAAATTTTCTACAGCGCTACCAAAATAGTTATCGGGTTTTCCAAAAAGGTCGAAACTTCACTTTATTTTTGTTACATCTATTCAAATAGAGTCAGACAAAAATAAAAATGAAATCGCGAATATTTGGTTGTATCCAAAAATATTCAGAAGTATTCGGAATTTTCCAAATTTCAAAACGGCATTTTGTTAGGCATAAAATTGCGCAACTTTGCCTCCATTTGACTCTCTCTGTAGCTCTTAGGGTTTCCGAGATCCCCATGCATCTACTTGAATTTCACTCAGCCGCTATACGGGATGTTTTTCGAAAATGGCTCACCCCTACAACTTTTTTGTTTCTAGAGATAAACAAATGAAAGTCGGTGTGTAAGTATATTATATAAATATGCATTATTTGACGTACTCAGTTTTTTTTGTCATTTCCGGTTGACCGGAAATTACCCTCATTTTCTCATTTTAAATAGGACCCCCGTTATATTTTCACTTATTTCAATAGAGAATCACATTTTGAGTACAAAGACACACCATTTACTACTTTTATACATTTATCATCCGGAAATTTTCAGTTTCCAAATTTCAACCTAGAGTGCCATGAATGAGTTAAAACAGTTGATTTTGAATCAAGTTGCCAAGGAAAAATAGTTTCCATGAAGTCTACTTTCGATTTGTATCAGAGGTACATTCAGGGTTTACAAAATTGTAATTAAATGTTTACACAATTTTTTCAAATACAACAAGGTTGGCTCATTACCATATCTGAAAAGGGACTTTTGTTAGGAATAATTTGATACCACACAATGGCTATGTATGGCACTCTAGATTGAAAATTGAAAAATAAAAATTTCAGGATGATAAATATCATAGAGTGCAAATGGGGTGTTATTGTACAGGGTGAACAACTAAGAACGGCTATCATCAATCATTCTCCCAACTTTGATCGTCAATATCTTCCATTAGCAAAAAGCTATCATGTTGCAGTTTTCTTTGATCTGTTCAGATTTAGTTTCCTTATTTCATCATGTAATAATATGCATACCATTTCATATTTGAGTTTTTCACGATATCTATTGATACTCTGGATCACGCCCTCTAGCGGCAATGGTGATATGAATATGAAACCAATTCAAATCACAGTTGATCAAAGAGGAAGAGGTATTTACAATGAGCTCAAGATTCTTGAATTCTGTTGAAGATAACCAGAGTTAAAGTCGTTTAGAAAGAACATAATTTGATGTTCTCCACCACTTTATTTTTTGATGGGAAAAAAAATCCGATTTTCTATTTACTCATAGCCGTTACGCCGCCTAGCGGTTATTTCAGAAACCTAAACATATTTCCCAGCTACTTTTTAGGATCCCTTTTATCAAGATTTTTTTTCAAAGTTATATCATTATTTCTTGCTGAGATATGGACGACAGCCGTTCATAGTTGTTCACCCTGTACTATCGAAATAAGTAAAAATATACCAGGTGTCTCATTAAAAATAAGAAAATAAGGCTCATTTCTGGTCAAACCGGAAGTGACAGAAAACAAATGAACATGACAAAAAATGGATATTTATGTACTATACTCACACACCAAATTTTATTTGTTCATCTGCAGAAACAAAAAATTCATAGGGGTGAGCCACTTTTGAGATACACCCAGTATGTATCTACATACTAAAGAGATAACAAAAAATAGGTAGATCTAATAAGTTCAAAGTAGCTGTGTATTATAGTTTCATTCATGTGATTTACTGTAATTTTTTGATGAAACTTCAAAAGCATAATCTCAACAATGAAAAATCATGGGGGAGTATTCAATCTATGATGGGAGGGATAGTCAGCACATTGATAATCAGGGTTCTACTGTAACAGTGAAATGTTCTGATCTGGCAAAAATGTTAATTATTATGACTAAGATATTTATAATGAATCACATCTTGGGTTCATTTCCAATAAAATCAATGTTATTTTATTCTTGATGATATGACTAATGAGCACAAACAAAATAGAAATGTGAACCAATAAAAACAAAGTAAACATGCTGCTTTGACAGCTTTAAAGAACTTTATAAGTGGCATATGCTCATTTTCTAAGGTGCATAGTATCAAAAACAATAAACAAAGGGCAAAAAATTTAAAAGAAAAACTTTTAGATGAGAATATTTCCAATTCACAACTACTAAAAATTTTACTCTGCCTTCTAATTTGTAAAAGTTAGTTCAAACACACATACCTAGATGGGGGATATCCTACAGAAATTTGTCCTCCATTTGTGAGTGGATGTGTTAGAAGCATCTGTTGTATAGCATGTTCTCCACGAGTATCAACAGTGAAAGTGGTTCTACAAAGTAATATCTTGTTTTAGAAATAATAATAATGAAAAGATCAAAGTAAGGAATAGGAAATTTGTTTCATCAGTCAATATGGCTTGTTTTAATGAATCTGAAATTTATAAGATTCTATCAAGATGATCAATGATCAATAAAAATTAGTGTTTTTCAGAATATAAGTGGATAATTGGCAAGTACTTTTCAATCAGAATTTTCATGCCAGATGTAAATGTGGTAGTTATTTATATTTGGTTATGTTATGTCATTCAAATTGTCAGAATAGATATTTCCCTTTCACTCACATACTTCATCAATGACTTGATGTTCAATAATATATTTGCTGATGAGTAAAATTATATTCAACCTGGATGAATGAAATTGATAAATATAGTAACATGATGAAGATATGATAAGGGTCAGTTGCACAGGTCTAGATTAGATAGCTGTTTTTCAATATTGTTTGCCCAGGATTACCTTTATAGGAATCTACATTCTACAGGAAATAAACTAAAGGTCTGTGAATTGAGGACCTCTGTCTAACAGAAAAACATAATTAAAATGTATTAACTGCTCAATACCTATGGAGAGATATCAGAGGAGATATCCATCAAGTATGAAAATTGTAACAAAATCACACAATACTGATTTTTACTCTTACTCTTATTTTATAACAATTTACCTGAAATGGAAGTGATGTCTGGTAGCAGGAGGTGGATTGCCAATGGGAAGATACAGAAAATCCTCAGTGTCAACGATGTGAATATCTTCTGGAGGAGTTATTTCAATAACATGCTCGTCATATTCTTCATTGCTTTTCACATTATGGATTATTCTAGTGAAAGGCTGTTTGCACAGGGGACATTCTGGTTTGATCTAAAAAAAAATAGAGGATGAAATCAATATCACTTTCTACATAATGTGCTACATGCTATACTATCGACTTTTGAAACTTTACCTTGGACCATTCCAGAAGACATTTGAAACAGAACTGATGCATACATGAATCAGAGAAGCACTTATTACTAAATGTACCCAAACAGATTGCACAATTTGGAGGTGGACTCGAAGAATTTGGTCTATTCACGATAACTTTACAATCAGCCATATTTATTATCACAAAATTAACGTGTCTTCGATGAATAATCACTGCACGACTGCAGCAGTATGATGGGAACAATCAAGTTGATCTACAATAATCTGTCATATTTCTTGACCTTGTTGGCATTAGAAAAATCAGATTAGAATACAGAATTATATCGAGTATACACTAAAGTCACCGATTAAACTAAATTCAGCAAAAAAATTGATCCTTATGAATACAAAGAAAACGATTTACTGAAGAAGTCCACCATGATCCCTTATAAACAGGATAACAGAAACAGAATAAAACAGACAGCAACTTTTATTCGTCTGAGACAAACACCAACCAAAATGCAAAAGTCAAACTTAATGTCAAAGTCGCTATCAACAGTGTTGCCAACTTGCTTTTCCATTTAGCTCAGAAACAAGTAGATCACGGCAGGAGGCTGTCATTGTGCACTTGTCCACCGAAAACGCTCGATTGTTCAGCAGAGAAGGATGAATAGCACGAATCCATGGGCAACTGCTTGTGTCGACTATTCTTTCTTGAAAAGGAATATTCTCACAATCGTGATTGAGTTTTTCCTTATCAGGATTTCTTTCCACGACCTGTATAATGAAGATCAATTAATCCATCATACACTATGGGTAGATCCTTTTTTCATACTATAATTATCAAGTACCGCCGTGGCGCAGTTGTTGGGCGTTCTAGTTCCAAGCCAGCGACCTGGGTTCAATCCCTGTGACGGTTTTAATCTCCGTTAACTGAGAAGGAAGAAGACGTGTGTTTGCTTCATGCTTCATTCACTGAACTATATAGTTCAGTGGCTTCATTGGCTTCATTTGTTTATCACAACAATGATATCACAACATATATCTACTACTCATATATGAAGCATAGCTGTCCTCAAAGCGGGACGAACTTCTGGTGAGGGTTATTATAGTTCAGTGGTCTCTATAGGAAACGAACGACCAATAGGCGTTAATGCCGACGTAGGGAAAAATAATCCATCCTTCACTTTCTTCAATGAGCGGTATTTATATAGAGTTCATTGACTTTCCGTCTTCATAGTATCAAAAAGTACCTCTCATTTTGGTTTAATTTTTGTTGAGATATCGTATAGGCGATGCGCCATATATAGAAATAGTAGATATATGTATCACAACCTTAGATCATAAAATGATCTAAGATCAAGGATTATAAACTCTAGAAAGATCACAGAGCAGTCAGCAGTCTCCGCACAGCAGCATGCTACTATTTGCATGACTGGCGAGAGACATTTGTACTCGGTTTTATTAGGTTAGGTTATCTTCCTGTTTTGTTTTGTTTTTTGAGCGGTTTCAACAGATTTTGATTTTGCGTTTTCTCAACTTTTTTGAAAAAAAATGGAGGTGTTCACAGAAGAGAAATGTTGCAAATATTGCGAAGAGAAGATCGAAATCTGTATTAGTGAAGGACTTGAATGTACAGAATGTAGAAAACAGGTACACTTGAAATGTTTAAAAAGGGGTTCTGTACCTGGTGGTCTTTACGGTGATGTCTTCTTTTCTTTAACTTGCCAGGAATGTTCAACAGATGAGATGGAATTGTTTACAAGAATGAAATTATCATGGTAAGATATTATCCTCACTATCAAAGCATCAATATAGCTTATCTAGTTTTATAAGCACTCTGAGCCAAAATACAAAAACAAGAACAATACTACTCATACTAGTTTTTATTTTTTTTGTCTAGTTCCTAGTTCAAAATTAAGTTGAAGTTTTTCCGCGCTTTGTCACAGACAAAGAATGATCCATAATGAATATGAGTATCAGGAAAGAATAATAATTGCTAGGAGGTCACTGACTCAGGTACTGAAAAACAGAGGGGTCAATTGGCTAATGAATCACTCCTTCATTTTGATTATCCTCCAAATAATGCTTTTCATTTTATTTTCCTAAGAAAAGAGACTGCACCAAGCAAGGGGTTATAATAATTACAACACTGGCATATTGTTTTGCTTAACCTCTGCAGAACTCTGCAGTATGCTGCAGTACCTACAAATTACTGAGCAGTCCCTTGACATTGTCCTGCAGTCCAATTGCAATTCATCTGCAGTATACTGCAGAGCACTTGTCTTTAATAACATAACTTCAAAATGCAACATAACATGAATACAGAGAGATAAAGTTTGAAAAAATTATTAATTAATATATAGGGAATTACAAAACTTATCTATCAAATTTGGATCACAACTACACAATCACCATGGTCATAATTGTGTTCACCAAACTTCAATTTCACAAGGAATTCCATGGAATTTCAGGGAATTCCAGTTCTTTATGCACCAGAATTATACTGCACTTCACTCAACAATTTCCTGAAAATCCCAAGATATTCCAAGAAACTCCAAGGAATTCCAAGAGAATCCAATTGAAAAATCATTTTAAATTATTTTTAAGAAATTTTTTTCCCGTTGCATCAGAAAATATAGTCTGCCCGGAACAAACGATCTTCAGAGTACTACTAGATTATTTCAATTGGAACACCCTGTATTTCATTTTCAGATTCTCCCTGAAGAGCTGATTTCATCAATATATCACACTTGGGGTCTAGCGGGAATGATTACAGAGATATAGGGTGTTCAAAATCGAGATTTTTCAGCTTTAGGATTTTTTGTGTCAAAACTATTCATTATTGGTCAAAACAGCTTCAATGTCCCTATCTCAACTTTTCAGTTACTATCTACTGACATTTAATTGGAACATACACAGTGTGGTTCAAGATTCAGAATTCTGATCACCCTGTATCTGTTCCAATTAATCAATATCAGTAGATACTTAGATAGTAAATCAAAAGTTCAGATACGGACATGAAAGCCGTTTTGACCAATAGTTGAAAAATCTCGATTTTGAACACCCTACATCTCTGTAATTATTTTCGCTAGATCCCAAGTGTGATACATTGATGAAATCAGCTCTTCAGGGAGAATCTGAAAATACAATGAAAAATAGTGTTCAATTTGAAAAAATCAAATAGTTCCCTGAAGATCGTTTGTTCCGAGCACCTTGTATTTTCTGATGTAGCGGAAAAAACTCTATCGAAAATCATTTTAGATGATATTTAAAATTTTGCAATCGGTTCGAAAATAACTGAGCTAGAGAGGGGGACATTTATGGTGAATCACCCACTTGTAAGCCCTAAAGCTAAACATGAATTACACTGAGTGAAATTTTCTCGGAGTTTTCCAAATGGACATGACAGATTTTGAAAATTAAATACCGCCTGAAACGCTATGGAAATCAAAATACCATGAATTGAATAAATGATGTCAATTAAGCTGTCTATAGTGAACAATAATATTCAAACAGAAAATATTACTCTCAAGAAATCGAGGAAAATACCCATAACTGTAAACAAATCTTTGATGGTTTTTATGTCATTTTTTACCAAACTTGCTTTGTCAGAGAAGTATCTAATCTGTGGAAATGTCGCGATTTGGAGAGTCATCGAGTGGAGAAATTTGAAAAACCATCAACAATAATGTGATTTACGTATTCATTTAATTGTCTTACCGAATAACACTCTGGCATTTTCTTAGGTCGAAGCAGAGATCATATACTCGTCGAAGTAAACTTGACGATAAAATTCCATGTTTGTTACTATTAGGAGATTTAAATTTTCAGGTGAATTTGAAATCATTTTTACCCACCTTTATGATACCCCTCTGGCAAACCTAACTATCAATTTGAAGGCATTTGACCTTGAACAACAAATATTTCGCCTGCGGCGCTTTTTTGATTTCTGTCACCCCCGTGGCATGAATAACCCCCTCCCCCCCTATGGAACACAAAGCTGATGTATACGCGCATGTTTTATGTTCATTAGTTTTATTATATTTCGTTTATTGTTCTTGGTATCAAAGAAGTGTATTTATTCTGTTTCATCTATCATTCAACAACTCGACGAAGTCCCGATATTTTTTATGGTGAATATTCTAACATCGCATATATTGAGCAGTCGACCAATTTGAGAAAAAAAAAAACGCCCGCAACGCATACTTTTTGACAGGTTAATCGGCCTGCTTTGGGAAATACGCCTGGCCCGTTTTGTACCTTCAGTCGGTCAGTGATGGAAAAAAATAGGTTATTTACTATTCTGAATGGATCTCATGAATGAACAATCTGAAACCCACATAAAATTTGGGAATTTTTACTTCAATTGGTTTTTTAATACCGTATTCACGCTCTTATTAAAAAAAATTGAAATTTTCATCGCCTCCTATGTTTTTTCTGAAATATCACTAGAAGTGCACCCATAGTGCAGAGCCAAGTGCCTCCCATATATTATGATATTATGATACACTAGATACACCCTGTGTATTGATACCAATGGAGCTAGCAAAGCCACTTTCGAATTTCAACATGAGACACATGTCTTGTATTTATTCTGTTTGAAACAACGACCCCAAAATTCGAAAATAGGGTAATTAATTATCCTAAAATTAGCTCTTCAATATCGATATATCAAATCAGTGAAAAATATATTATTTTAAAAAATGACTCTGCTGAGTTCGCCCGAAGCCAGCAAAGCCACAGGTATGTTTAAAAAAATATGCAGCAAAAAATTTCAATATGCAATAGTTATTGAGCTTATAATCAATACTAACACTTTGTCTTGAAAAATCGTCATAAAATATGCTTTTGATAGATATGCATAATGTATAGTGAATAAACGGGTATTTCGACGAATCGTTTTGGTTTTTTTTCTTGAAACAACGAGCAAAAAATTCGAACATAGGGTAATTAATTAGCCTAAAATTAGCTCTTCAATATCGATTTATCAAATCAGTAAAAAATATATTATTTTGAAAAATGGCTCTGCTGAGTTCGCCCGAAGCCAGCAAAGCCACAGGTTTCTTTTAAAAAAATATGTAGCAAAAAATTCCAAAATGGAATAGTTATCAATCTTACAATCAATACTAATACTTGGCCTCATGAAATCGTCATAAAATATGCTTTTGATAGAAATACCATAGATCTATGGAAATACATAATGAACAGTGAATGACGCGTATTTCGACAAATTGTCTTGTATTTTTTCTGTTTGAAACGTTGAGCAAAAAATACGAAAATAGGGTAATTGATTAGCCTAAAATTAGCCCTTTAATCTCAATATATAGAATAGGTGATAAATCTATGTTTTCAAAAATGGCTCTGCTGAGTTCGGCCGAACCTAGCAAAGCCACAGATTTTTCTATGATAGAGAGGAGCAAGAAAATTGGGAATAGGGTAATAAATTAGCCTAAAACGAGCACTACATTCTCACTATATCAGATATTCAAAAAATATTGTTTTTCAAAAATGGCTTTGCTGAGTTCGGCCGAAGCTAGCCAAGCCACAGATTTTTCTATGATAGGGAGGAGCAAAAAATTCGGGAATGGGGTAATAAATTAGCCTAAAATGAGCCTAAAATTATGAGATGTGTCTCATGTTGAAAGTGGCTTTGCTAGCTTCTTTGGCATTGTGTATTGATCTGTAACATATTGTTGGTAAATATCATTGTCTGCTAGATATACCTGTACATTTTCAGGTTACAGGTGATAGTACTGGTTCTTTTTCACCTTCAAAATAAAAGCCCAGGACTTGCCAGAAAAGGGTTTTTCCATTGGAGACATCATGTTGCCAAATTTATAGACAAAAATTGGGAAATAATATTTACCAGTGATGTTAAAAGAAAGAAAAAATGGACTGGTACTATAGCAGGGACATTGTCACATTTTAGTAATTACATATTCCTTTCTGGCACATCTGTTGTCAATGAAACAGCTTTTTGGACTTTGATGTATCCAAAGTTAACACCATTTGCAATTTCCAGCATATGTGAGTTAATTTCAAATTGCTAGGAGAAATCACACATCTCATTTTATATTTATACCATTCAAAATGAGCTAGTTAACATTACATGTGGTAAATATAACATTATAAATTTTTCTGCAGACTCTGTCATGGCAGTAGAAAAACAACAGTTGAAAAATAAGAAAGAAAAAGTTTCTTCAGATGCTGATCTTTTTAATAACACCATATTTACCTGCATGAAAAATGTGGATTTATTGCAAATATTTAGCAGTGTGCAGATCGTTTCCGATGTGAAAGAAGACTCAAACAATACCATCATAGACATGGAGTGCAATCAAAAAGTATGAAAAATAACTGTTGTTGATTGAGTTTTTATATAAAATCTGGTAAACACTTTATTTTTCAGGATTTGAAACCGAAAAACAGTAAGAGAATAAGTGTCCAACCCCAATTTGAAACATCATCAAAAAAGTATTGGTACCTTTGATAAGTCAACTGTTTCTTAGTTTTATTGAATTTCAGAATGATGAAATTGGTTAGTTCCACAGCAGCATTTTCAAATGACCTAGCAACGAATTTCAAGCCACTAGATCAACCAGAGAAAACTGATGACATAATATCTAATGCCACGAAAGAAGATATAACAGTAAAAGAGTTTGTGAAGCTCTTGGATCCATTTTGCCATTATAACACCTCCCTGAATAGTAATTATCATCTTTTTGTAAATCCTTGGAAAACTTTGTGTAGCATACTCTATAAAAAATATTTTATTCCTATCCATGACCAGATTCATAATAGTATATTACATTTTAGAAGAGTTGTAAATGCATATTACGCACGAAGTGTAGCGTAGCCGCGAGTGTGTAACTCCACAATTGCTTTACAACTCAAGAAATGTGCTACAAATTACCATACGCAAGAAAAAAATTGTTTTGCAATTCTACAAACATAACTGAAACATCTACAGGTTCTTCCATTCGAAAAAAAAAATATTAAATTCAATTCAAGAAGTTGATTTCAATATAAGTGAAAAAATGTAATTTATGTTAAATAGCCACTATTTTTTGAGATAATGAAAATGCCAATAAGCTACCTGAATCCTTGGTCACCAGTTATGTTTTCAGATATTTCAAGAATGAAAGGCCTCACTCTACATGCCAAACTCACCGGTGGGATACGACCAGAACTGATATTGTCCCCTTACAGTGAGATATACCTGAAACCATATATTCGCAGAGATACAGAGACTTTTCCTGTTTGGTTAAAACTTATGGCGGAGGTTCAACTTGCAGGCAATAAAAATGACAAACAATACCATTTACCACCCAGAGGTCCTATTGATTACACCTACATTCAACCTCAGCATATTCCAGCAATAAATAGTATTTGTAATCAATTTTTTTGGCCAGGCATCGATTGTAAGATACTATGATTTTTGAATATTGTATCCACATTGACTTTGATATTCATTTGCAGTGACAGAAACTCTTCAATATCCAGATTTTAGCTGTGTGGTTTTATATAAAAGACTCATCATAGGATTTGCGTTCTTGGTACCTGATGTGAATTACACGGAAAATTATCTTTCATTCATATTCACTAGACCCTATTGGAGGAACTGTGGAATTGCGAAATTCATGATTTATCATTTAATCCAGGTTCGTCAATATGGATGTTTTGAATGAGCAGAAAAACTAATGGTAATGTTTTGATTTCAGACAAGCCTTGGAAGAGATATCACCGTCCATGTTTCAATTAATAATCCTGCCTTATTACTCTACCAGAAATTTGGATTCAAAGTGGAAAATGTTGTTCTAGGATTTTATGATAAGTATTTACGTAGTGATGTGAATGATTCGAAAGATGCTTTTTTTTGTCGATTGGAGAGATGAATGATAGGTACTTTGTTTATGTGGGTGGTTGCCCACAGTGTGACCAATCAAAAATACTATGAAAATAGTAAATCGATTATAATAGTATCATCATTTCAATACAGCTTTTTACCTGTACATTTAATTTTCATACCTATAAGGGGATTGTACAGACTAGGAACTCAAACCACATAGCCATTTTATATTGAATATTCCATGTTGATACGGTAATTCATTATTTGAATTCATTAGAAAAATTCATTTCTCAAGTTTTTTTGGTATTTTCTCAATATACAGGGTGGCACTGAAATAAGTGCAAATATTTCATGCCTTGAGTAAGCTCGACGTATACTATCGAGTGGTACCAATACAAAAATATAGGTAGTATCAAAATAAAATTTGACGCTATACCCCTTTTTCCACCCAAGGCTCCAATACCAGCCAGGCAAATCAGAAACAAACGAGGGAGAAATGTTGACAACATAAATATGGACAAATCTCGAATGGGGATCCAATAACTTGGTAGATTTCAATGCAAACAAAACACAAGCATGCCTTTTCTCTAGGAAAGCCGGTCTCACTGTGCCCAACATAAGTTTGTCAGGAGTAACCATACCTTTGAAGACATCCATTTCGATGCTTGGTATTACTATCAGCAATAACATTTCTTGGGAAAATCACGTGAGATCAATTGCTTGAAGTGCATCCCAAAAACTTGGTTTTCTGTTTCGGGCCAGGAGCTATTTCACTTCCAGTCAGCTGCTTATGATCAATAAGGCACAGATCCGACCTATCCTGGAATACTGTTCCCATATTTGGAGTGCAGCACCGAAACATATCCTGAAACTGTTGGATTCTGTCCAAAAAAGGGCAATTCGTCTCATGGGTGATGCCTCGCTCACAAACTCACTCACTTCTCTGGAACACCCGAAAAAAGTTGGCGATCTGGCTCTATTTTATAGATATTTTCATAGACGATGCTCTTCTGAAATATCAACAATTGTTAATAATAATAATAATAATAAACGTCTTTATTGCTTCCATATGTGAATACAAAAAAAATACATATAATATGAGGTTGACATGAAAGCAAAAGGCGAAGTTCAGCTTGTAAAATGATTTAAAATCAGCTTACAAACTGTTCTTCCACTTAACCTTCAATATATCACTAGGTGTAGTTATAGCTTAAACAGAACAAAATAATGGAAAAAAAAACATGAACAATTCATATACATTAATAATAATGATTTTTATCGCACGGATATTTTAGGATTGCCTTGAAAACAAATGCTTCTTGTATTCCTCCCTTGGCAGTCCCCGCGAGATTAACCCGTCGAGTTGAGGCTTCGCACCCCTTCGTGGTCACTTTGGAGACCTGCAGAACATTTCTTTCCAAAGACTCGTTCATCCAACGAACAGCGAGGCTCGGGAACACATTACCAAGGAAGGTGTTCCCCGAGGCATATAACCTCCAGAAATTTGAGAAGAACACCAATTCCTATTTTATTTCCCTTGGTTCTCGCGATGTTCTCTGAACATTACAGGATATCCCTTTTCGTGGGAACAAGAACATAAAAAAAACTGTAGCCATTCTGACGTCACCTCTGTTCAAATTTTCGTGCGGAAGGTCGTACAATCACGCGGATTTCAATCATTTGAATTGTTTTAAAGTGGCGTACTTAATTTTTTTCTCGTTTACTGTACAAATTTTGGGATGAAATTTCTTGTAAATTAGAAGAATTAGGAAACATCTGATGTCATGGGAATATTCGTTAGACTGTATCATATTGATATGCTGATTATATGTACTTATCTCAAAAACACCTTGTATACCTTTGTAATAAGAACAAATCAAATGATTTGCCCTAAAGTGTAACTGTGCTTGAAATTTCACTACTGGGAACCTAAAAGGAAACTTAACCGATAGTTAATGACACCTTGTTTGAAAAATGAAGGAGATAAGAATATAAGGTGTAGGAGAAAATATTGAATGTCACTTAAATTTGGACTCACATGAATATCAGAATCATAAACATTTAAATTTCAACATTCGAAATTTCAAATACCTCTATCTACTCCGGAAATATACACCCAATAAATTCTAAACTCGGTATCCTAAGTAATTGCTAGACAAAATTCGAAAAACCTATAGGTTTTCAACCATTCTTTGGAATGTAAAAAAAGCTGCACTTCTTCAATATATTTCATGTGCCTAAAGTGTTCAATTGTTCAATATCAATATACTGTTTCATTATTGTACGGAAAAGTGTGAAAAAAAGTACTTTTTTCTCCGATAGGCAGCAAATATTAATTTTGCTGACACATATCAATCAGCAAAGTATTAATTTTCCTGCCTAGGCAGCAAGGTGGTTACTTTGCTGATTGATATGTATCAGCAAAATTAATAATCCATAAATCGTTTATAATTTCCTTCATATTTCATCCGAGACTTCTCCGGCAACAAATTCAACTCTATATTTTTTGCCACCTCCCTCATTTCTCGAGGTGTAAGTACTTCCAGGTCGCTATCACTGTCCATTATATAATAATTTAAATATACCGCATTTTTACAACTGTCAGAAATTTCATGAATTGTCAAACTATAATTATTATGGACATTTCCATAGCAACCAGCCATATCAACAACTGCGACTTCTATAAAATTTCATTTAAATTGAACACTACAGGAAAAATGAAGAGATATATATCATTATGAACAATCGGAGAAGAAACTATATGTTCAACTCGGCAGCAAAGTAGATTGACTGCCTTAGCTGGATTCCTAGCCTCGCTACGCTCGGCTATGAATTCAGCCTCGGCAGTCAATCTACTACTTTGCTGCCTAGTTAAACAAATAACTATTTTCACGTTTGTTGCTTGCGTGAAAGTGATCCATCAACTGCGTTTTTGGTAGGCTGTTTTGTTTGGCAAACAAGTCTGTTCGAACAAAAATGACGCAAAACCGAAAAAAAGTACCACTTCACCCACTTGTTACATAAATAGATATTATTATTCAAAGGAAAATAGTAGTAAATTAAAGCTTGAGGTTGTGTGAACTACAATCATACATATACATTATATTATATCAGAAAATTGTCGACGTGAAAGTTTTTAACAGGAATTACACCTGCAATGCAGGCATATATCTTTTTATAGGCATCTTTATAATTCTTTTGAAGTAATTTAATATCTGTCAGTCTTCTGTGATTTGATTTTAAAAAATTTCGAACTTAGGGGTTGTTTAGTAATTTGAGTAACCACGAAGTGGAATCAAGGGCGGATCCAGAGGGGGGGCGATAGGGGAGATCGCTCCCCCTAGAACCGACTGAAGAATAGTTATTTATGCAACAAGTGCAATAAACAATTTTTGCACGAGTTGCATACAACATTTTTTCTACGTTCATGCAAAAAGCAAAAAATGATTTATTGAGGTGCGGCACTAGGTGTAGGAAAATGAAAAACGCAACTTCAAGTTCTTTATTGCACTAGGTGCAATAAAGAACTTAGTGCAATAAAGAACTTCTTTTTCCACTGAATATAGTTCAATAAAGTTCTGCTTTTTGCATGAATGTAGAAAAAAAATGTTGTGTCTTCCATTCTGTTATTTTATACAGGGTGTAAATTTTAAAACTTTCAATGCGAATATCTCGCTAAATAAAACAGTTAGGAAAACGCCGTTTGGCACAAATGCTACAGAGTGAGGGGGAACTAGAACCACCATACTTCAGTAAAGGGATGAGTCACCCCGTCGGCGCGACACACTCCATCTTTGAAATGTCAAATGGCACTACCTCTTTTGTGTTACCTCAAATGAAACGGTCTCAGTCAGTAGTATTCACCTGTATAAAACTTATTTTCCACCAACTACAGGGTGAACGGAAAACATAAAGTCGAATAAAAAAAAATGCAGAATGCCGATATATTCCAAGAGATGTGTTCCAAAATGTTAGAATGGCATTTGAACATCGATTATACTATTGCTTACAACAGAATGGAATGCATTTTGAACATCTGATCAAATAAAATATCCTTTTAACACCATTCATTTCATTTTATTCGACTTTATATTTTTCGTACACCCTGTAGTGGGTGTAAAAAAAGTCTTGTACAGGTGAATACTACTGACTGAGACTGTTCATTTGAGGCATCACAAAAAAGGTAGTGCCATTTGACATTTCAAAGTTGGGGTGTGTCGCGCCGACGGGGTGACTCATCCCTTGACCGAAATATGGTGGTTCTAGTTTTCAAATTTAGACCCTGTATAAACTAGGCTAGATATACACTGGAAATTTTGTCTGTCGCGTCACAGAGTCTCCCTACCAGACAAGTCTTTTGTCAAGGATTCCTACCTGTTCCATCAGATTTTTCACGCCCTAATTTTATAGGCAATCCGTTTTTATTCCATTGCTAGAGTTTGTGATTGAAGGCTTAAAATACCGCTGCAACTAAGACACTTTGGGCTTGTCTGTCAATCTTATTTCCTGAACTTTATAATCAGCAATCCGGCAAAACTAAAATTATTCAAGAAATCGCAAGAATATATTGTTCCTTTTTAAATGAACCAATAGCAATGTTGGAGAAGAAGTTGCACACAGAACTCGAATCTTGGCAACTGAAATGTGCGCGACACGCCGATGTGGCCTCGCGTTCAGCATTTGATCTCTTCAACTTTAGTTGTAAAAAAACTCACCATTCAATTCATTTCGTCTTGTGAATCCTTATAACACTTCCTACAAACATTGCTGAGGCTGAGAGAACTTTTTCCACTCCAAAACGCTTCAAGACTTGGTTAAGATCGGACATGTCTCAAGAAAGATTGTCAAATTTAGCTTTACTACACTTGCATTACAATGTTTGGTTACCAGCTGATACTGTCCTTGAAAGGTACGCAAAAAGTAGCAAGCATAGGTTAAAATTTTCACTGTAAAATAACAGTATAGCAGATGAAAAATCCGAGAAAATTAGCAATATTATATGTAAATAATTGAATGTAATTGCAATTATAATTATAATTTTAATGTTTATGTTAATAATAATAACAATAACCAGAATAAAAAAAATATCAATAATAACAACAATAGTATTCATTCGTCAGTCGCCCCCCCTATACCGGGGGGAAGTTCTTTCTCGGAGACG